ACTGTCCCTCAGACCTTGTGGGGGGCCAGACCATATTGGGGGGGAGGAATGAATGAATTCCTATGCCCCACAAATAACCCAGAGATGCATTTTAAATAAAAGCACACATTCTACTCATGTAAAAACACCAGGCAGGCCCCACAAACAACCCAAAGATGCATTTTAAATAAAAGGACACATTCTACTCATGTAAAAACACGCTGATTCCCGAACCGTCTGCAGGCTGGATTGAGAAGGCTATTGGGCCGGATCCAGCCCCCGGGCCTTAGTTTGCCTACCCATGGCTTAGAGCAGGGGTCCCCAAACTCCTTTATCTGGCCCGCGGTGACCCCCGCTGCCTGTTGCCACTGCCCACTCTTACCGATGCTGCGCTGTGTGGCTGCCCACGTCCGGGTCGGAGGAGGCCCGTGCACATGCGCACAAGCTATTTCCGGTGCACATGCACTCCTGCCCTCTGGCCCACCGCGCAATCGGCGCTGGAGACACCGGCCCGAGGCACGGTACGTTTGCTGACCCCGGCTTAGAGGCTGCCTCAGAGAATGCCCTTTCTCGAGCCACCACCACCTGAACTTCTGAGGGCAGTGGCAATACCAAGAGGGAAATGGAGAGATGTTAATCAGAAAATGCAGAATCTAGAACTTAGAGTTGGTAAAGAGTTCCTCATTACCAATAGAGATGCGTTCCTCTTTCAGATGTCTACGGTGGTACCTGCAGCACAGCATCCACAAATTCAGAAATGAAGGAGAGCGAGCTGACAAGAAGCTTAACAGCTGAGCAGAAAGCTGGGAGTTGAACACACCTTGATGCATTTCCTCAGGACTCCATCTTCTTCTCTACTTACTGGTGGACGCTGGACCAAATCGCCTTTCCCACAAGCTCTGAACTTAAGAATTCTGTGAAATTTCATCAGCATGGAACATTTAAAAAAAAAAAAAAAAAAAACCAACAACTCGCTAATCTAGGAAATATGGAGGATAATGGAAACTTCAGAGGTATCTTAGAACTTGACAAATGAATCGACAGTATGCTTTTTTATACTGCATTTTTGGAACCATTGAAAAGGGTGTTGCCTAAATTAGGCTGACAGCATTGAAGGCCTTCAGCTTTGTGGCTATGTTGGTTAAATACTGGACTATTTAAAGAAAGGTCTGCAGATTCCACAGGAGATATTCTGTTGCAGAGGCCATCTCAGATTCCTCCATCCATTCAGATCAGCTGCTCAGCCTCTCCTCAACCGCAGGCTTGATTTCCTCAAGACAATCATGGTCGGCAAGAACAACGGAAATAGGTTGGGTGAAGAAAATACCGTTCCTGAACCTGAGCCAACTAGGACGCCTTTGCACAACAGCAAAGGATGCGACCTGCTTTGGGATACGATCTTCTGTCCACAGAATGTTTCGAGTGGTGGCTGGGAAAAAATGGGCATCTTGGGACGAGTTAGGCAAAAGCAAGGAACGATGACTGTGAAGGCAGTTATGGGGTTTGTCTGTCGTTTCAAGAGGGTGCCTTTGTTTCCCCCAGTTTGTGATTGAGGGAACATATCCTCTGCGTTTGGTGCTGACAATTCTGTCTGATGCTGCCGTTCAGGGCTCCACACTTCATTTTGGAACATTGTCATATGCTGGGCTCTTGAACAGGATACATTCCCCTCCCCCCCCCAAAAAAGTAACGCTTCCCCCATGTGATGTCCTCTACATGTTTAGGTGCTTGCAAATGGACCTACGGCTGACGAGAACGTGTGGTCATCTTAAAGGTCTGTTGCCATGCCATCTTATTTCGAGGAAGACTGTACCATCCCTTTGCTGCAATGGACAATGTCACAATTTCCCTCCTCCCCCCGCTTTCAAATCCCTGAAACAGAAGGCACTTCCAGAAATATATAAAGGTGTTTTTGCATGAAGGCATATTGATGGTGATTGGGAAGCGTAGGTCCCACAAAGCTGCTATAGTAGTGTGATGTTTGAAATGAATTTTGGTCTAGGAATAGGGCTACTTGATGGATGCTGTGTGTAAGGCTGGTAAACTGAGAAAAATCCATATAAAGTCACCTCCCCATGGCATCTGGTCAGTTCCTCATGCAGCTGCACCACATGATCAGTGATCTCTGGCAATGGTGCAAAGCAGGGTTGGTGGGGGGGCGGTGGCATGTGGTTCTTGTGTTGTTGGACTCCAACTCCCATCACCCTCAACCAGTGTGCGCAGCGATTGATGGGACTTGCAATCCAACAATATCTGTAGGGCCACGTGTTACCCATTGCTGGTGCAAAGGGTGCTGGGATGCAACTCTCAGACTGCATGCTGCTTGACTGACCTACCCATCAACTGCTTGTGCAGTTGGGCTGGCTCTGGCTGTGGTGTGGGGGAGCAGCCCAGAATTTATGTGTTACACCGGCAGGAGGGCTTTGCAGAAAGGTTTCTTTGCGTTGCAGTACTGTGACTGAAATTTTAGGCCATTTCCACAGAAAATTCCTTAGCAAAATAATTCCAGTTTAAAGTGTCTGTTCTGCTCCCAATTCTGAGCAATTTTCAGTATGCAGATTGAATATCTGATATGCAGCCCTCAACCAGTGGAAGTGGTACACTCCAGCACACATTTTTTTAAAAATGAGAAACAAGGATGAATTTCAAAGGATGGAGGAGCAAATTAGCCTCCTGCTGGTGAGAGCTGGCATGGCTTTGGATAATGCTATTTGGCCACCTTTGGATTTCCTTGCATGTAAACACAAGCCTAAAGATGACAGTTAAGAGCTGGTTTCCACATGTAGCAGCAGCAGCAGCAGCAGCAGCAGTGAAAGCCCTAAAAGCTTGCCCATGATGCCCACATTCTCATGGCAAGAGCAGCCTGCAAACAACTGGAGTTACACAGATATCCAGCTGCGTGCCATTGCTGCGATTGCAATAGCCTGTTTTTCGGAGGCTGCAATAGCAGGACTTGCATGCAAACAGGTATATGTGTTGCTTCCGGTTCACATGGCACTTCACCCATGCAGATGTGAGCCCACGAATGATTTGTGTAGCAAAGTCAGTCAAATGGCCATATTTAATAAAGTAGTGCTCCTGCAAAATTGCAGTCGCTGATTGGGAGATGTTTATGATCATCAACATACCGCAGCCCCAGACTTCTAGAAATTCCATTGAGGTGTCTTCTGATTTCTGACCCTTTAGTTGAAAACATTATTGGCCCCCACCGTGTTTTCCCTCTCAGCTGAAGGAGTCTCAAAATATGAAGCTTGATTGTTGAAGTGGAGACAGGTTTTCAAAAATGCAAGAAAGCTACCAACTTCTGCGTATTTTCTACAATGCTCCATAAAGCCATATTACATGATTAATTGCACATCATAGCAGCGGTTCATACTCCTGATCCCCCTCGCTAACAGGGGACATATGCATACAAATTTGGTGCCCCAATTGCTTGAAAAAGAAACTTCCCATAAATTGCTCCCTCTTCCCTACATAAAGGAAAGTGTGTGTGTTTGTACTGGGGGTGATATGGAGACATCTGGTGTCCAGATCTGATGTTAAGGATGGGTTTAGACTAAATCAGAGTTGTGTTTCATTGGGATTCTAATACATACATACAGACACAGGTGCCAATAGAATTTCAACAGGGTCTTCAAACAGTTCTATGCTGTTGCTTCTTATCCTTGCCCCTCCTCTATGAAGTGCAGCATTTCATTTGCAGCTGGGATTCTCCATGCACAGCCAAATGAACTATAGACAATCTTTCTTTCTGAACACCGTAAGCTACTATATAGTACGCCAATTGTGTGTGTGTGAATACTTTATTTTGCAAATAAATTATAAGTCCTTTTCTGTTTTTATAATGTATGAGAATAATACTGGGATGTATTGAAAAGGGGGAAATATCTACCCACAGAGAGAGATCTGTGTGCAAGAGCAGGCTTTTGTACACACAGCCAATGCCACTCACATCATTCTCATTATCTGAGTCTCAGTGAATGGGTTAGGTAGAACGTTTCGTGTGTCATTGTTGCACACAGCTAGTTGCACATGACTTGAGCTGGATTGCGACCTGGAACTTTATGGTTTGAGCTCATTATTATTATTTTTTAAGGAAAACGATCAGAATTTTTTTATATTAAAAAAATCATGTTCCAGGTGGCCCATGCTAAGATTTGCCATATGTGCTGCTGGTACATGCTTGGGGAGGGACACAAGCAGCCCACAGTTCCTATACCACTTGCAACATCAACCTTGGTGGTTTGCCAGCAATACAAAGAATTTGTATCACTACAAATGCTAAATGTCAGATTAAAATAATCAAAACACTTAACACTTATCACAAGATACTTTTTCCAGTTTTATTGAGGGTGTGTATGGAATAGGCACAGAAGCCTTTTCCAAAGCAAGGAAAATATGTTACATCACTCTTGCTAGGGCACTTCCAGTCTAAAGATATTATGTGCATTACCCCAGGGAGTCTATGTAAAAATGAAAAATAATATTAAATACGGTTGGGGGAAAATATGCACGTTCGATTTTTACTTTTGAAGTAGCATGGAGAAAATGATGTGATATGTAGATTGATTAAAACCAACATACTTACATGCATTGGTTTTAATGTGTCTACTCTGAGTATGATTTAGTTGGATATTGCCTAATCTACTTGCCCTCTTTTGGAAAAGACAGGTTTGTAGAATGTGGTTTAACAGACTCCTAAAGCAGTGGTTCTTGGACTTTTTCGTAGCTTCTACCAGCTAAAATGCAATGGGGAGGCATGTTTGAAAGCAGGGGTAGGGGGCATGTGGCCCTCTGAATGTTGCTAGACTACAACTCCCATCATTCCCTGACCATTTCTGCCGGGGCGGATAGGAATTAGAGTTCAACATCAACTGGACGGCCACAAGTTTCCCACCCTTATTCCAAAAGATTCTCCTGGGAGATGTTCTAGGCCACACACTCGTGGAATCATAGAATTGTAGAGTTGGAAGGGACCACAAGAGTCATGTAATCCAATCCCCACCAATGCAGGAATCCTTTGCCCATTGTGGGGCTCGAACCCGCGATCCTGAGATTAGGACTCTCATGCCCTACCAGCTGAGCTATCCTGCTGCGTCTCACCATCATCCTGCACAAACTGGGACTGGAGCCTTGACCACACCACTTTCCAGTAAATGCACATTGCTCTGAACAGGGTCTGCTGGCAAACATTTGCCATAATTGATGTTCTGACCAAGAAAGAAGAACCCCACAGTTCCTTGGAACACAATCCGATAACCACTGCTCCAAGGCATGACACCATGTTATGGATCCTCAGAAATGGCAGTCCCATGTGTTTCTCTAGGAAAGGCAAGCAGAAGTAGGAAGGAATGTCTCTACTGGGTTTCTCAAGAGTCCAAAAAACAACGAGACCCCAAATCTCTTAATCTCTTTACACCAGTTGTATGGTGCAGAACCACTCAACAAGAGGGTCAAAAACACTGGGAGATGTGGGGTTGAGGTGGCTGCCCCCATCATCACACCTCTCACTAAGCATAATATTTGTGTGTTTCATTTCGTACTGATTCAGGGCATTAAGCACACACACATACACACAGCATTTCCTTAGGTATACCTAAGAACTGTGAAAGACATCTGGAGGCTTGAACAATCTCATGAGTTGGTTTAAGATTGTGGTGTTTCAAATAATCCTGTGCTGTATTTCGTACAGCAGCCAGAGATATTGTACTGGAACCGCTGCTAAAAAAACAAAAAAACTTTCTTCTCCAACTGCTACTTGGTCTGAGATGTGTAAGTTACCCCTTTTCTACATTGAGGGTAATGATGTTATTTGTAGTTTGTGGTTGCTGGAAGAGAGGCCAGTGGCGAATCACAGAAACTGCTCTTCTCTCTTTCCTACTTTCTTGTATCAGGACCGAATGTATGAATGTACTACAGAATATGTATGTTTGTGTGTGAAGCTGGACTTTCTGTAAATAGACCATTATGAACTGTGTAAAACCAACCCTTTGTTTGAACTTTATAAGAATTATAAATACTGTATTACAAAATTGCCTGCAAAACGGGTTTTTCAGCCTTATTCTGATTATTACTTGTTTTTAAACGTGTAACAATAAGGAGTGCAAGTTTGCACATGAGACTAGACAGGACATTAACAGTGTAGGTGCAATTTTTGGTTATTTAAATTGCAGGTGGGAAGCCTTAGCAATCTTTGGAGTATGGGAGTGATTGGGATGGGAAGTTTAACACTTTCATGGTCATGATTCTGACAAAATCTCCTCTCTGAAGCTGCTATTTGCCTTTTAATGGAAGCCCTGTTGGCATCAATGCATGTGCAGAAGCGGCTGAATTGCAACCCGCACATGCGCAGACGCGGCGCTGCGGGTTGCGAACGTGCCTCCTGCACGGATCACGTTCGCAGCTTCCACTGTATTAAAATCGCCAGGACACTAGAAGATCGCAGAGCAACATGAATATCTTAGGAACTAGGATAACAGAGAGATGGTGCAAATATAAAGCACCCATACAATAAAAAAGAAACACCAGCACAGAACTTGATAATATGGAGACAACTTACAAGTTCTGGTCAGCTCATCTGAAAAGGGATATGGGACAGCTGCAAAAAGTTTAGAAAGGGGGATCCAAAATGGCCAAAAGGTTTAGCAACTCCCGTGTAATAAAAGGACATTTGGGTCTTTTTAGTTTCAGGCTGGGGGGAAGGCAAGTAAGAGGGAACATGACAGAGGTATATAATTATGCTTGGTGTTGAGAAAATGGATAGGGAGAGATCCCACTTTGCCAAAACTACTAGAAATCTGGGCCGTCCGCAGAAGCTGAAAGTTGGAAGATTCAGGACAGACAAAATTAATAAATAACTATTTGCATACATTCATTTACACATGCAAGAGGTTATTTGTTGTTGTTGTTGATGATGATGATTTATTAAATTTGTATACCGCCGTTCATCCATAGATCTCAGGGCAGTTCACAACATAAAATACAATATAAAAACACAAAATGCATGATAAAAACAAGAACAAAAAACACAAACCAATAAACCTCTCTCCTCCCCACCCCAACTCGTTTAAAAGGGGTCTGTGAGGTTAATCAGCCAAGGCCTAGTTGAAGAGGAAGGTTTTCCCCTGGTGCCTAAAGGTGTCTAATGAATGTGCTAGCCGAACGTCCTTGGGACAGCATTCCACAAAGCGGGAGCCACTGCAGAAAACAGTTAAAACTATGGGATTTGCTTCCGCAAGGTGTAGTGATGGCCGCTAACTTGGATGGCTTTAACAGAGGATTAGACAAATTCATAGGGAATAATATCTGCAATCCACTCTGGCTATGCTCTGCCTCTACAGCTGGAGGCAATAGGTCTCTGAATACTAGTTACTGGAAATCACAAACAGAGTTGTTGTTGCACCCAGACATGGGCATAGCCAGGATTTTTGTTAGGGAGGGGAGACCTTTGGGGGGGGGCAGAACCTCAGTTAGCTATGTATTTTTATTGTTTTTTTTATTGATTTGGGGGAGGGCAGCTGCCTCTCTCTGCTCCGCCCCCTTGATGTTGCTACTTACTATATGTGCCAGATTTACTGTAAGGAACAGGCTACAAAAGCAGGAGAATTTAGGTTGCTTCCAGATGACCAGTGTGTTGAGCATTTATCCCTTTTCGTTTGCACAAAATTTGCAGGGAGGTTATACAAAACCTGCTGTTTATTGAGCACATATTCCGATTTGTTGGGGGGCAGGGAGTATTAAATGAAGTTGTGTTAAGTACCATATTTTTCGCCCCATAGGGCGCACCAACCCATAAGGCGCACCTAGTTTTTTTGGGGGGAAATAAAGAAAAAAAATTTTATTTCCCCCCCCCCGGCGCGGGGCTGGGGCAGGGGAAGCCCGAGCTTCCCCCGACCCCAGCCCCCAGAACAGGCTGCTATCCGCAAGCCTAGCGGGGGCAGCGGGAAGTCGCACCGGTCTCCCCAGGCTTGCGGATATCTGCCCGTGCTGAGCGTGCCCCAAGCTTCAGGATGCAGGCAGCTCTCCACAAGCTGCGCGAGAGCTGAGCGACTTCACACAGCTCTCCCACGGCTTGCGGAGAGCTGCGTGAAGCCCAAAGCCTGCAGGCAGCTCTTCGCAAGCCGTGGGAGTGCTGCGCGACTTCATGCAGCTCTCCCACGGCTTGCGGAGAGCTGTGCGAAACCCGAAGCCTGGGGCGTACTGAGCTCAGCGCGCCCCAGGCTTCGGGATGCAGACAGCTCTCCGCAAGCCGTGGGAGAGCTGCGCGACTTCACACCGGGCTCCCACGGCTTGCGGGGAGCTTCCTGAAGCCTGCATTCGCCCCATAGGACGCACACACATCTCCCCTTCATTTTTGGTGGGGAAAAAGTGCGTCCTATAGGGCGAAAAATACGGTAGTTGTCATTGCATACTGTAAAATGCATTGTCCCATCACTTTCCTTTCTGTCATGTTTGGGGTAGAAGCAGGTTTGTTGTGCAAGAGCGCCAAATCCAGTATGGTGAACCCCATCTGCAAAATAGCGACAGCCTGGAAGTGTGGATTTCTATGACTGTCGGTGATAGAAAACTTTGTCCACTAGGGGGCTACAGAGTTCTTAGGAAATATCTTGTCTTTGTCAACAGGAGGGCTTCAATAAGAAATCTGTTTGTACCTCTCAAAATGCCTCCTGTGCTAAATTCTGGCAAAAAGAGATTTCCGGACCACAAGCAAGGTAGCTGGTTGTGGCAGTTGTACTGCAACTTGTCTCTCTTTTTTAAACAACAACAACAACAACAATGACATTTCACTTCTTTTCCAATTTCTGAAAATCCCTGCCTTCCAGGACTTCTGGGTATAGAAGAAAAACAGGTCAGTATGATTCCAGTCTGAAAACTCATAAAATCTTTAAAGGGGCATTAAAATGGAGAAAGAGACTGATAATAACTTGAAGCGAGATACTTATGAACTGCATCACATATTCTCCAATTGCTGCTATTTACCAGAGATAAGGGAAGGGTTAGAAATTTGATTCAATTTATATTCAAAGGTGAATTTATCAAATCCACATTTTCTGAAGCCATATGTCGGTCATCCTTCAAAATCCGCACTTTTTCTAATTTTGCTATATAGTTCTTCAGCTAAGCAATGTTTCCAGAAATGCTTATCTGAGCAAAGTGAGCACATTAATGCATATATTGGTGAAAACAGCATACAAAAATGCATTGTATTCGGGGAAATTGCTTACAAAAATGTGTGCATTTGTCAAAATGGTATTTTATTCAGAGGAATTCACACTAAAACGTTGAAGAATTTTCCTCCGATTTTTTTTTAAATTGCAGATTGCTGCAGAAGTGTAGAGAAGCGAATTTAAAACTGCACAAATAAGAAACTAGGAGAACTTTAAATTGACACCATTTGTCCCTATGTTTTTTTTGGGGGGGGGACTTGTTAAAATCTTGTCCGCTTTAATGTGTGTACACCAGAGTTGTTTGGTTTTTAAGTCTCCTTCTTTGGGTCTCTAGAAATTACATCTCCAGGGCAAGGGAAGATGAACTGTGACTCTAGTGCACATGCATGGGAACCAGGGATTGGGATCCTCTGGCTCACGTGCCAGAAGTGGCCCATGGATGTCCCTCCTCTGCATACCAGCCTGGCTTGGAAACAGCCTGCATTTTTATAGCAGAAGTACACATATAAAGATGCCTGCAATGATCAGGCCAAAGATGCATTAACTCTCGCATCTGGTTCCCCTCATTTGCTAGCCAGATGCCTCCAGGGAGCTCAAAAACAGAGCAAGGCGGCAAAGTGTATTGAGCATCCTCTGAACCTTGAGGTTGCTGTTGGCATCTGTCTGTCTCGGGAGACAATGGAGGAGTGTGCCTTCAGGGGCAAAGTGAAACTGCTGGAGAGTTACAGCGCCTGCTGTGGCTGTAGAGACCGACACAGGACAGACATGTTTTGTTGTAGCTGGGGCAGATGAAGGTGTCCAGTTGTGCTGCTGCAGATGCACCATGGCATTTCTTCTCTCTGCACTCCTCCATCATTCCTCCTCTCGTCACTGCTATGGGATGCATAACCTGTCTGTCTCCAGGCACTGCGGTCGTCTGCAGGGGATTTCCCTATAGTGGGATTAACGCTGCCCACCTTCATGTCACTTTTGCAGGCATCTTTGTGTCGCAGAGTTTGTAACATGGAGTGCCATGTTAGGGTGCTTCCAGATGACCTGTTTATTGAGAATTTTTCCTGCTTTGTTTAGTGGGAGATTAGACAATAGTGGCTATTTAATTAGCATTCATTCTCACTGTTTGCAAGGAGGTTAGATGATGTCACTTCAAAACAAGTGTTGCCCCCCATTTTCCCAGTGCATTTTCCCAACTCCTTATCACAAAAGTCCCAGTGTTTTGGAGGGAAGTTTGTTGTGCGAAACCTCCCAGTCAATTATCATTGCACAACCTGAATTTGCCAGTATGTGATTGAGTCCCGCCCCCAAATAGCTACAGGTCTGATGCTTCCCTTCTCCCACTCCATCCCTGATGCCCTCCTCCCGACAGCAAAAGTTGCTGAATATAAAGTGTGCAATACCACTTTAAACAATCACGCTTTCCCCCAAAGAATTCTGGGAGTTGTAGTTCATTAAGTGTGCTAAGAGCTGTGAGGAGACCCCGCTATTCCCCTCACAGAGCTACAACTGATTGCAGTTTAACAGTCAATCCCTCTTCCCATGGGACTCTGGAAACTGTAGCTCTGTGAGTGGAAAAGGGGTCTTCTAACAAACAACTCTCATCACTCCTAGTGAACTACAGCTCCCATGATTCTTGTAGGTAGGTCAGGACTACTTAAAGTGCTATCACAGTGTTTTAAATGCATGGTGTGAATGCCGCCCAAGGCACGTCAGGGAGAATTAAAATGCACTGGGCGGAGAACAATGCTAATCTTGCTTCCACTTTCAGCTCCACCAATGTTCTTCAAGCACTTTCTCAATGGTTCAAGGATGCTTCCCCACAATCCATTCTTGCTTTGCATGTAACATTCCAGTTCTTGTGCTGGACTTCCCCTTTGCTCGGAGCTCTTTGCAAGAGAACAGCAAACTTCTTGTCTCCCAGAGGAGGAGGCATGCTAGGCTGGTTGTAGGGAAGAAGAAGAAAGAAGCAACGCGTACAAAGGTTCCTTGGGGCATCTGATCTGTGAATATTACTCTTTAATTCCTTCATCATGAGCTGGGAGAAGAACCTGTTTGTGGAACTCCTCCTGGTTGCAGCTGGCGGTGAGTAGATCAGTATACCCAGTTATCACTGTATTGTGTGTTGCTTTGTAAGGATACAGGGATGCAACAGACTCTCTAGCTCTTCTTTGCCTGTGTTAAAAGAGATAGTGTTTTCTACAGGTTTGTTGTTTAGTCGTTTAGTCGTGTCCGACTCTTCATGACCCCATGGACCAGAGCACGCCAGGCACTTCTGTCTTCCACTGCCTCCCGCAGTTTGGTCAAACTCATGCTGGTAGCTTCGAGAACACTATCCAACCATCTTGTCCTCTGTCGTCCCCTTCTCCTTGTGCCCTCCATCTTTCCCAACATCAGGGTCTTTTCCAGGGAGTCTTCTCTTCTCATGCGGTGGCCAAAGTATTGGAGCCTCAGCTTCACGATCTGTCCTTCCAGTGAGCACTCAGGGCTGATTTCCTTAAGAAATCAGCGGTACAGCTTGTTAAAAGCTGTGTTAAAAGAGATAGTGTTTTCTACAGGTACAGCTTGTTATGCAGGAGTAGGGAAAGCCTGTACAGGATCATCTGGTGACAAGATCCACTCCCCACAACCACCTTTGAGCTTTTTCCTGAAGAGCTTTGCTGCCATTAACCTTCCTTGCGGCCCTGAATCAGATGTGGCAAAGCTTTGATTCTCCAAATGTTGTTGGACTGTAACTTCCATAATCTTTGGCTATGCTGGCTGGAGTTGGTGGGAGCTGTAGTTCAGAAACATCAGGAGGGACCAGAGTTCCCCAGCCCTGCCCTAAACAAGGCATGTGCAAGGAGGCTTTTGAGAGTAGCTGCATTGGGTTGTTCACTGCAGTGTTTTTGATAGAAAATCTAAGTTTCTGGGTGGTTTGGTCTACTAAAGAAGCCTAAATATGAGCACACCTCAGTTGTGATTTCTGTTTTGTACCAAATACACATGTTAAAGATAAATACGGAGAGAGTATCAGGCTACTGCAAAGTTACAAAATACTGTGGAAATATCCCAAGAAATCAAATGTAGAAGGATGGGTGCATGGGATTTGCAAGGCAATCTTGCCCATTTGGTCAGACTCCCTGACAAAAGGTTCCATGGGAAAAGAATAGTTCTTTTTAAATCTAACTGGCAATTTTATAGAATCATAGAATCATAGAATCATAGAGTTGGAAGAGACCACAAGGGCCATCGAGTCCAACCCCCTGCCAAGCAGGAAACACCATCAGAGCACTCCTGACATATGGTTGTCAAGCCTCTGCTTAAAGACCTCCAAAGAAGGAGACTCCACCACACTCCTTGGCAGCAAATTCCACTGTCAAACAGCTCTTACTGTCAGGAAGTTCTTCCTAATGTTTAGGTGGAATCTTCTTTCTTGTAGTTTGGATCCATTGCTCCGTGTTCGCTTCTCTGGAGCAGCAGAAAACAACCTTTCTCCCTCCTCTATGTGACATCCTTTTATATATTTGAACATGGCTATCATATCACCCCTTAACCTCCTCTTCTCCAGGCTAAACATGCCCAGCTCCCTTAGCCGTTCCTCATAAGGCATCGTTTCCAGGCCTTTGACCATTTTGGTTGCCCTCCTCTGGACACGTTCCAGTTTGTCAGTGTCCTTCTTGAACTGTGGTGCCCAGAACTGGACACAGTACTCCAGGTGAGGTCTGACCAGAGCAGAATACAGTGGCACTATTACTTCCCTTGATCTAGATGCTATACTCCTATTGATGCAGCCCAGAATTGCATTGGCTTTATTCTACTTAAACATTGGAAATGCAGAGGTGTTTATGGTCCTGAGTTCAATCAGCAGAACGTTGTTGATAAAAATGCTTGATCCAACCTAAGCTAACCACTTTCCAGTCCTATTGATTTTAGTGAAAGAGTTAAGTACTCTACATGTGTATCTTTTGCCTCCTGGAGTCAGTTTTCTTCTACCTATCAGCAGATCCTTTGCAGGGCTGCAAGTTCCTTAAGTGGGGAGTGATATTAGGTTTATTAGATAAATGTGTCCCAGGAGGTCTTATTCACTTGAGACAGACAGGACTCATACATACTTCTGCTTGCCCCGTTGCTTTCTCCTGGGGAAACCTGCTGTTTACCATTGCATTGGAACAAACATCAATGGCTTTATCTGCAGATTGGTGGGACAAATGAAAAGCCACTCAGACCCATGCCTAGAAAGAGGGAAACCTATTGGACTTTCTAGTCACAGGGCAAGTGGGAAATGTGGATGAGCCCTAAGAGCAACACATTTGAGGAGGAAAGGTGTACAAGTCATCACTGCTAGGTCTGGGCGATATCTGGTTTTCAACATCACGATAAATCAGCTAAACATTGCAATATACTGATATATCACAAATTGTGAAATAAGGATGGAACTATGTAGAGGCGAACAGTTGGGCTGGGCGATATCTGGTTTTCAACTTCATGATATATCACCAGCTAAACATTGCAATGTACTGATATAGCACGGCATCTGAAGTAAAGATAGAGCTGCTTTTCAATTTTGTGATGTATTACCGGCTATATATCACAATGTCTGAAATAAGGATGAAGCAAAGGCATTGGCTGGCTTCACGGTTTTTCCCACGTGGTGATTGTCGCATAGCACACGTGCACAAACATACATCATAATTTGCAATATATTGCCAGGTCAAAAATTATGAAACCGATATCATGATATGGACTTGAGACTGGTTTTGGACGATATATTGCCCAGCCCTACTCACTTCCCATGTCTCCGTCTTTTCAGAGACATGACTCGAGCTGAGAGATGCTTAGAATGGAAGGGATTTTTGGAAACAAGATTAAACTTACTCTCTGCTTGTTTGCAGCTATTTTATCCTGCAGTGGAGAGGTGCAGGTTGAAGCAACTCCACAGCCCATTTCAGTCTTGCAGAGAGCCAATCAAACGATCACGACTCTTCCATATGGTCATTCAGAAGTTTCAGTCACACAGATAGGCAAGCAATCTGTACAAGAGGCTACCCAGAGAACCCATTCAGTGTCAGCATTACCTGAAGATGCTAAGATGGTAAAAGCAGATTCTATACCACCAGCCAAACAAGTTTCAGTCCACAAACAGGCAAACACAGCAGCCACTCCTCTAGAAACATCTGCAAACCCCACAAGTCCAACCAGTCAAGCTGCAAGTCACAGAGTGATTAAAACTACAGTTGTTGCCAGGAGCACAGCCGTACAATCTGAAACACAAACTGATGAAGCTGGAATCCACGGAGCCATAAAAACGACAGCGGCTGCTCAGAGGACAGCTTCACAACCTGCAGCCCCAAACAGCTGGAACACTGCAGCTCCTGCCTTGCCAGTGAAGGCAGGAAATGCAAAGAAGACTGTAGCTGGAACAAGCGACAAGTGCATCACACAACATGTGCCAGCTGGAACGCCAAGCGCAAACAGTACAGCCCACAGCAAGATGCCATCTGGGCATAAAACCACTGTTCCTGAGCCAACAGCCCCAGTTGGGCCAACCCTCACACCCAAACCATCGCCAGCTGCAACGGGGGCTTATAGTGTTTCTAATGGAACTGCTGAGTGTATTAAAGCATCAGTTGGCTTGACAATGATAGCTAAAAATGGAAAAACAGTAAGCTGCAGCTTCCCCCTTTTCCATTATTCCCCCCCCCCATTTTTTTTGTTCAAAATATCAAAACAATCAGTTAATTCCAGGAACTGTGATTCTGGGTTCCAAAAGCTATTTCAGAAAAGCCTTAGGTTTGCATCTATAGCATGGGTAGTATCTGATGCCGCCATGCAGTCAGTGCAAAGATTTCTGTTCATGCAATGGAACTTCTCCCTTCTCCTTAACAACAACTACTACTACTTTCTTATTTGTACCCTGCCCATCTGACTGGTTTGCCCCAGCCACTCTGGGCAGCTTCCAAGATATATAAAAACATAATAAAACATTAAACATGAAAAAGCTTACCTATACAGGGCTGCCTTCAGATGTCTTCTAAAGGTTATTTAATTACTCATCTCCTTGACATCTGATGGGAGGGCATGAACCCCCAGAGCAGATTCAGGGGTTGAGCCAGGGGAGAGATTCATTGCAAGAACCCTTGTGCTAATGGAACAAGTGACTTAGTGCTACTTAGTGATACATGCCTTCCTCCTCCCCCCCCCCCAAAAATAACAGGAACTGTAGTTTACACCTCACAGCACTACAATTCCCAGCACCCAGGACTCTTTTGGAGGAAGCTATGTGCTTTAAATGTATTTGAATTGATTCAATTCATAGCCCAGGAGCCCAGGGCAGCAAACAAACAATTAAAAGATCTTAAAAGCAATTCCAGTGCAGATGCAGACTGGGAAAGATCTCAACTTTAAAAAGCTGGGTGAAAGAGGAAGGACAACGAAGACAGTGCCTAATATTCATGGGGAGGGGATTCCATAGGATAGATGCCACAACTTTGAAGGGATGGTTCCTATATTGTGTGCAGTGGACCTCCTGGCAAGAGGGTATCTTCAAGGTGCCCTCACCTGTAGAGTGCAGTGACCAGGTATATAACTAGGTACATGAGGGGTGAGACAACCTTTCAGGTGTTCTGGTGCCAGGCTGTATTGGGTTTCATATACCAAAAGAAGTATCTTGAATTAAGCTCCATAGCTGATTGGCAGCCAGTGAATGCTGCAGGTGTGACCAAACTCTGACGTAAGTCATTGGTCAGACATAGCACCAAATCAGGATAAGGGAGGTATGTGGAGGAGGTATTGGGAAGGGGGTGTGTGTGAACCTGTAGCTCACTTCTTCGTCCCCATTAATGATCAGCAGCGCCAGCCCACTCAGATGGGGAGTGTCAAGAAGGGACTGTGCAAGAACCATTCTGACCTGAGCTATGTGATGGGTATAAGAAAAGGCTCCTAGAAATGCTGCTGGAAGCAAGTGTTGTTGAAATAGATGGGACTTCTAATAGTTAGCAAGGGACTATAACTCTCATCATCCCTGACCATTGGCTGTGCTGGGTGGGACTGATGGGACTTGGGAGCCCCCCAACATTTGAGTGGGTGGGCAGGTGCACAGGTTAGCCACCCCTGTTTTAGAAAGAAAGCATGTGTCAGGCTGTGTTGGGATTCATGCGCCGTTTCCCTTTTACAGAACAACCTGGAATACTTCAATATCAACCCAAACACCACGCGTACAATTGGAATGTGTGGGGTTTGGGTGTCAACTCTGAGAATCTCATTTGAAGGTGGCTTCATACGTTTTACTTTCACCAAGGTAAGCATTTTACCAGATGTTGTTTTGGGGGGAGTGAGGAGGGGATCCCAGAATGTTGGGAATTTTCCTTGAAGAGAGTGATTTGACATTTGGCTTTGGCTCGGTTTCAGTGGTCGAGCGTGAATTTTACCTTAGTTCAGTAGGCTAGTTTCTACACATGCTCACCCCTATTTTTTTAGGAGGTTTTTAACGTTGGCCTACTAATAACTTCTGGTTTGTGCATTTAAAGTGGATTAAAAAGCTTTCTCTGCCACACTGGAGCAGCAAATCCACTTCAAAAGCAAAACAAAGAAATGGAAATGCGGCTTAAGTAGGAAAATGCATTGAGAAATATGGGGTAAGCAAATGATTCACGAGAAGCTATGTAAACACCCTGCAGGCAAATTGGGATGAAAGAAGCAAGAGGGATGTTTATTGTTGTACAACTGCCCGTTAAACATGTCAGGGGATGTGTGTGCTCTGTTTTCTCAACAGGGGACATGTGAGAACTCCTCGTTTGGAAGGGCCCCTTGTCAAACCAAAGCAAGACCCTAGTTGTCAAACAAAGACCCAATTTTAAGTGTTTGCTCTGGCTCCTCTTAAGAGAGCGGTGTTGCTTAACTGAAGTAAGAGGCTTAGAAACTGTTGTGTCGTTGACAGCCACATCACAGAGTGGCTTCAGTGAAGATGCCGAGGTAAAATTTTGAGTTGGCCACCCCAAGCAACACCCTCCAGAAGCAACGCAACTATTGGTGCAGCATTGCACAATCCAGCCTCCTCTTTAAGATAAGCATTCAGAGGCTGTTGAGTTTGAACCTGCTCTTTGAAATATATGCAGGCATGAATTCGGCTGCCAGATTCCCAGTGTGTGTGTGTGTGTTTGCCTTTCAGAAACTATTACAGAGGCCTTATTCTGATCAGTTAGATGTGATTTTGTACAGAGTGTGCCTTCCATTAATATGACGCATGCATAACCTGAGATCAGGTGTGGTGTGCTACAAAAATTGGATTGTGAAGTGTGTGGGAGGGAGAAGCTGCGTACTTGCTATACCTTTAAAGCATATTTGAAGCACATTTCCCCCCTCAGGTTTGTCAAGTGTTCTTGGGAACTGTAACTCTATGAGGGGAAAACTCATGCTGCCCAACTTTTTCAGATCAAAAACCAGGATGCACGTCTTCCAGGGCACATTCCAAGGGAGTTACGTAAGCTGCGTGGCAATCTCACCCTGAAAAAAACACTTTTGGGGGGTGCCATCCTGCAAGGTGCCCCAAAGGCCCTTTTGGGGGGGGGGGACAAGAACACATGAGGTCACTTTGGCTGGGGAAACCCAGATGGGTGGAGTATAAATAAAAATAAAAACTTTTTCCAGGACACTTGGTGGGTATGAAAACAGCAGTGCTTAGAATTCTTTGAGGTAAAGAACGTGCTTCAAATGTGTTTTAAAGTTACAGTGTAGACACAGCCAGAGAGAAAAAATGAAAGCGTCATGCCTGCTTTGGGGCTACTCAGAAATGGCTTTCAGGAGGCTTCCAGAACATGAATGGGGAACTTCAGGCCTGGGAACCAAATACAGCCAGCCTTCCAGTGCTCTGTTGGGCTCTTGGGACTTTCCCCGGGTCACAGCCCTCACCAGCCATGCCCTTTGACTGCTTTCGTCTTGGCAAGGATGGAGGATGGGGAGACAGTGTGTGGTAGAAAGGTCAGGCTTTTCTGTGGCTCAGAGTAGCCTACTGCACATAGGTTAAGAGTCATATCCGTTGCCTCTGGCCTCACCCGCCACTGAAATGTGGCCCTCAGAAGATTCCCCATGAGGAAGGTTGCAACTGTTGGCCTTGGTAATAAACATTGCTAAATGAAAAATATTCTGATGTACCCTGGAGTCCTCAGGAGAGTGCTTACCCCTCTTGCACCCTGGCACCTCTTGGATGTCACAAGAAATACCAAATTCGCTAGGTGTCTGAAGCATTTCCCCTTGCTTTACCTAATGCTAGGGCCAGCACTGACTTGGAGGCTTTGTTATTATATGGGCAAAGGTTCCAGTTCTAAATGTTTTGCTCTAAAGCGCCCGAGGAGCATGGCTACATCCCTGCTGCAGGTACCATGTGGACCAAGGAGCTCAACTATAGAGCATGAGTCGAACACTCCAGTCCTCTATGAAGGGCAAATACACTTCTCAAGCAGCTAGCACATAAGAAAGCTCCCTTCTGTTGTATTAGAGGAGGATATGTGGCCTGAAATAATAGGAAAAGGTTTTAGTTGGTTTCCCCTCTATCTGCCCATGGTCATGAACCTTCTATGCATCTTCTTGTGTTTTCTAAATTGTAAGCAATGATATTGGATAAAACGATGCTTGCTTCCTTCCTCCCCCACCTTTTTTTTCTTCTTCCCCAGAGTGGAGAAGTGTACTATGTCAGCGTGATTGAAGCTTCTTTAACTGTACCATCCGAGGGTAAGTCACATGGTGATTCTTCCCCTGCCTTTGAACAGTTAGCATTTACGAAATTTTGAAGCTTCTCTTAAGAGTCAAGGCACTGGGTCACGCAGTCACCAAAACTCATAGCTGGCGTTTGAGTAGCATGTAAAGGAAGTTAGAAATGTCTTTTTCTGCACTTTACTGCGTGCATTGATTTAAGATGTGTTGGGGATGAATCAAGCTTTCTGTTTCATTTTCTCTCAGCTTCTATTTTCTCTAGCCTTCAGTTTGACCTGTTTCCAAATCAATTTGCATTTTTTAAAAAAAACAACATGAAAATTTGCATGCAATTTGCTTACATTTCTCTTAATATACACATTTTTGTGCACTAAACTGAACACATATTTCCAAGCAATTTTCCCTAATATTATGCTCCCCCCCAAAAAAAAATTATATTGGGTGGTATTCAGCTAAATTTTATCCAGCTGCTGACATGCATCTGTCTTGAGAGACAATGGAGTGTGCCTCTGGGGGTGAAGTGAAACCACCAGAGGATCACAGCGCCTGCTGTGGCTCAGGAGCATAGCATGGGCAGGGGCTGCCAGGGTGATGGCCCTGAGCGCATTTTTCTGGGGGGCACTGCTCACGCCACCCTACCAGCCCTGTGCCACTTTGCAAGGCTAGGATCAAAGAGTGCATGGCTGCTGTGTCCTTCGTAAGCCACCCTCCCCAAGCCACTTTGCAAGGCTGAGATGATACGGTGGGAGCTGGGCTGGCAAGACAGGATCCCTTAGCCCTCCGTGCCCTGCCCACCCGCCCCAGGCACCAGCTAAACATGCTCCACCACTGCTGGGGCTGCAGAGACTGGTAACTTGTAACTACTGCCTCCTGCATTATTTCTGCTGTGTGGGTCATTCCATGTCAGTTCAACGTGGTCATGCCACCCACCATCTCGGATTTTGATGAAACTTGGTGTACACCCTTCCCCTATGGTTGAAAGAAACCCTCTTAATTTTTTCCCCTCTATCACAAACAGTTTTGATTTTATAGCACTTCAGAGTTTCATGAAACCTGCATTTCTGTCCCTCTTGAGATCCTCGGCCTTGTGTACATTTTATTTTATTTTTCCTCCATAACCAATGATCAGATCTCTTTGAAATTTTACAGAGCTCAATAACATGATGAGGATTTCAGGGGAAAAATACACCAGCACTCAAAAGATTTTATAAATGCCTAAAAAATGTATAAATGTAGTTTTTTTGGCGGAGACAAGAGGCAAGAGGCACCCTCTTATTTTAGACGGTGGAGGGGGCTGAAGCTGCTTGCCTTGCATTATGTATGTAATGAGTTTGTGGGAGAAGTGAGATTGCATTTAAGGATTCCAGGGTCAAGACTTTCCTTCTTGCCACCGCACTGCACTTTTTCTGGATTGCACTTCTGAGGCTTATTTTATGAGGATAAAAAAATGCACTCATGGTCACCTTAGGTGTACTCAAAATCAGTGGAACTTGAGCATACATTTCAAGTACTTCTTAAAGTACTGACTTCAAAGAAGCCGACTCTCTGCAGAATTTAGAATTGTAGCAGGCTGTTCTTTTCCTGAATAATCATCCACTAAGAGTCAGTTGAATAATAGCAACACATGAACCCCGCCCCCTCCAATCCTGGGAACTGTAGTTTACCCCTCACATAGCTATAATCCCCAGTACCCTTAAGAAACCAGTTCTCAGAAGTCATGTGCTTTAAATGTGTAGTGTGTGCGCAGAGCTAGTTTAACCCTAGTTCTTCATAAATTTGCACAAATGTCTAATGACTAGGTGAAACAGGCACTGTAAGAGACAGCTCCAGAAGAGGAGCCAAGAGAAAGCTGGTCTTAGCAGAGCCAGTGGAGGATCCTCACTGTCTTGTCTGCTGTGGTCAGGTGGATCTAGTGCTATGGAAAGACAGTTCTGGGACTGGAGGAGATGGATGAACCTGTAGCCTGCCGTATGTGGAACATATTTGCCTTACACTGTCAGGCACCTAGTTCTAAGTAGAAAGGGGTGGCAGACTGGCCGGCCAGTTGGCAGGTAAATGGTCTTGTGATAATGAGGATTTGTATGGTGGCTTTGGGTCGCTCTTGGGGGTTATCTCACACCCTGAACAGATCTGAGGTCTTAGTGTTTGCATTTGAACTGCCTGCAATCATAGCTGTCAACTTTCAGATTTGAAAATAAGGGATCAGCAGCCTCACCTGTCCCGGGGACAGTCTACGGGATATCTAACAATCCAGGATAGCAATGGGAAATGGCGCTGGAATAAGGGAATTTCCCGCAAAAAAAGACAAGGTTGACAGCTATGCCTGCAATCCATCCTCTAAGCAGCAGACCTAACAGCAAACCGAACAGGGGAATGTGCTTGATCTATAGCAGGGTTTCCCAAACTTAAGTCACCAGCTGGTTTTGGACTACAACTCCCACCATTCCTAGCTAGTAGGAGCAGTGGTCGGGGATGATGTGAATTGTAGTCCAAAACCAGCTGGAGACCCAAGTTTGGGAAATCCTAGTTATAAGATCGCAGCTCAAGCTATGCAGCGCCTACTGCACATCAGTTGGTGACCCTTCATTCAAGGAAAGATTTTGCCTCCAACAACACCATTTGTCGTTTCTTTTTATTTCTGTATTCTTCAGGTGTGCTGTACAGTGGAATTAAAAGCGACCAGCTCTTTTCAGCGCCTTTAGGGAATTGCTTCAAGTGTCTCAGCATGCAAACCATAGAGATGTCCAACAACCTTCAACTCCTGCTTTCCAGCTCTCAACTTCAAGCCTTTAATATCGTTGGCAACCAGTTTGGGAAAGGTTGGTAGCAGTGCTTGTCACTGGACGTGTGATAAGGCACTCCTTCTCATTCAGTTGATTTAAACACACCACTGTGAGCAAGTCCAGGCCAGTAGCATGTTTTTAAACAGCTAGACACTCCTGTTGCAATCAAAACTGTGTGAAGTATGGTTCAGTTTCAAGTTATTATCAAGAACTTTCTCTCAAAAAACATATGAAATGCAGGCTCAGGTAATATTCCTTGCTTTCATTTGTAGCTTAACTGGAATAGCTAGTTTGTTCATTTCACCAGCAAGCACACAGCAACCCATGTGACTGTGGCAGATGGCAGCTCCTTTCCCACGGCAATTGACAATTGCATGGGGATTGCAGGTAACCTGAATGAATGAAAGGGGATTCCACTTGCTATCCCCAGCCAATGTGCCTTCGGCCAATGGTCTGAACAAAACCAGTATGCATGCAACTGTGGGTGCAATCTGTGACCCTGCCATTTATGTGCGGGATTCCCAGCTGCACAGAGAGATGTGCCATTCACATGTTGCAATTTATAAGCATAACCCACACCTTCAGTTGAACAAGTGAGGACCAAGAAGGTGGGATCCAGATCCTCATACGCACGCGATGGCTGATAGGAAATGTTCGGTTCACATTTCTGCACTGAGCTTGTAAATTTCTGTTTAGTCCTCATGAAAATTCGTCAACATTCTAGCGTGCGTATCTCGGCACATTCTCACTTTTACGCAGCTTTGCCCAATATACGTCTTTGCAATTCATGTAAGGAATTGTGTTTGTTATTTTCACATACTTGTGCATTTTTCTCAGGGCTGTGATGTGGGGGTGGATAGTTCTTTGGGGATGTGCAGGCTCAGAGGTGACTGACTCATGAGATTTCAATTCTGTGATCATTGACAAGCTCTAGCTCAGGTCCGACCATGATCCTGGAGTCTTGGCCTGCACCGAACACCTCTGCCTCCAATACTGTTGGTCCAGCTACCTCAATGATCGTACCTTGTTGCAGTCAGAGTTCAGGCTGTTGCTCAGGGTGGGGTTCATGGCACAATATTGTAGACATGTGAAGACTTGGCAGAGGAGTTTCAGTCTGAAGAGTCTTCCCCTCCACTCTTGCTTACTGACATCCTTTTAACTGGGGATGCCAGGGATTGAACCCAGAAAGGTCAACCCCTGGGCCATAGCTTCTCCCAAATGGATTGGGGAGTGACTGTCAATTAAAGTATTTAGTATCAGATAAGAGGAACCAATATGTAAGGCATTCAGGCAAAGGACAGGTAGAGGGAAACCATACATCTAGATGTGCAGAGAGAGACCCAAGCAGTCTCCCCACACTGACAAGATTCAGGGGCAGACTTTGGTAATCTTTCATAATATAGTGCCCTGTGTGAGCCCAAAATCTGGCGTCCCCCAATGGATCTTCTCAGTTATGGATCTTCTCAATTTTGCGCCGCCTTGGCTCAGCGCCCTGTGCAAAGGAACTGCCCATCCTCCCTAAATCCGGCCCTGCCAGACTGAAGGAAGTTTTAAAGCTCTCCATTGAACCAGACTGGTCTGCCAGCATCATATGACTTCCCAGGCCAAGAGGATTCTGGGTCTCTTGTAAATTCCTAGCCAAAATGAACTGTAATTCCCAGTGCCTGATCCACAGAATCCCCAGTTTGCAGCCCTGCCATGCCCAATATAATGGTTTGAAATGGACTATAGATGGATGGCTCAATCCCTGATTAAAGCTAGGAAAAGTTCCAACCTACCTCACAACAATTAACTTTTATAAAAAAAGTTGCCTTCCATGAGCATTGGGGAAAGGATATGCTATGCATCAAGAAATTAAAACTGACCAAAATGGCAGCTCCACAGACAGTGCTCGTGGGTTTTTGTATAATTATCAGTAGCTGTATTTTACTGAGCAAGAAACTGATGAAAGCATATGATAATTGTGTAATACGCCATAACATCCTGATTTTTATTGCAGAGGAAGAATGTGCTCTTGACAGAAACAAGAGATTAATTCCAGTTACCGTGGGCCTCAGTCTCGCAGGATTATTTGTCATTGTCTTTGCCACCTGTGCGATTTACAGAAAAAAGCGCACCTCAAGCTATGAACGAATCTAAACCACTTCATTAAAGATCTGTGCAGCAGCGAGTAAAAAGGTTGTAGATGATGGAATGCTCTACTTCTGCCTACTTATTTGATTGTGGCAACTACAATTGTAAATTGATTGTGTTGTGTATTTACTTGTGTGCACTTGAAAATTGACACTATTATGTTGTTATTTCTATATTCATAACTTGCCTTTCTGCTTAGAAAAGAGCAGTTATATATATATATCTAGGGCTACGACCTTTAAGGAGGACGCAGCATATTTTTACATTTTTTTTTCACGTTTCCATCTTCAAAAAAGCATTTCCCCTTCTCTCATACAACAGGGAATGCTTCCATTCTGTCTTGTCTCATCTATAAACTAAGAGTGTATGCTTTTTGCTTCAAACTATGGTTGTTTTTACTCATATGCAAATATAATTAAATTAATAAATTAATCAACTAAAATTTCTTTAATTGTGTCCTATCCCTAATAAGAATAATCTCTTTTTCTCTATCTTTCACACATACAAAAACATATACACATCTCACCCACATCTCCGTCTTAGGCCAGAGTGGATCTGGGAGAGCCAGAACAGAAAATGGTCCAAGAAGCCCAGTTTTTACACCCTTCTGGACAAAGGCCTCAAAAGAAAATTCCAGCACAGCTTTGATTAAGGAGGTGCCACTCCCCATGTCCTAAACCTAGTATGGACTCATGTAGCCAGAGCGATGGGAATTTGTTTTTGTGGACGCAGGTGGTAGCATTTATTATTCAGATAGTTTGATTAGATCTAGATTTAAAGACAAGCAACTATTTTTGGAATGCAATGATTGCATTGTGAAATCCTGTGTATATGACTTGCAACATCACTTCCACTGCAGTGACTCAGTTAACACTTTCCCATCGGGTCTCCTGAAGCCTCTTTACCAAGAGAGCCAAACAAAAGCCATTCTTATAATCATACATGCAAGACATAGTAGGGTGGAGTGTCTCCCAGGTTCGTAAGTCCCCCAACATTACATGGAGCCACTGGCGGAGGAACAGGAGTGTGGAGGGAGCGCCCCCGGCACCATTATTCCAGCAGGGTGCTATCATGGAGGCCCCCCTGGACACGTGTCGTGTACCCCCCTCACGCACCGGGTGCCACGCCCCACAGGCAGCGTGTCATGCCCCCAGAACGTGCACCACGCCCCTGTGGGTGGCACGCCACACCCTCACAGGCAATGTACCACACCTCTGGGATGCACGCCACACCCCCTGGGGACGCCAGCCACGCCGCCATCTGCTCTCCACCCCCAGTAGCGGAGCATGCAGCTTCACCACTGCTTGGAGCTTCCAGGAATGGTACATGGAGACATCTCCTCAGCTTTCTCTGGCCCTGGGAGCAGATCCTGTCTCTAGACAACTGTAGGGGTTTGTCAGGGGTCACGCCATTTGGGCCCAATAAAAGGCACACCAGGTTAGCCTCACAATTTTAACACTGAAGCAACCTTGCCAAAGAGTTCCCTCCCACCCCTAAAAGTGTTTCATAGATATGATTTCCGTAGATGAAAAAACAATTACTGCTACTTGTGAAGAGTGGCATAATATCTGCTTTACTATTACAGGAGTCGGGAAAGTGTTATAAAATGTTACCAGTGGGGAGGGGCATAATGACAAGAATATATTTTTTAAAATAATTGAAGTCATTAGGCCTTAATTGATGCCTCAACGCCTTCCACATGTGCTGTGTCAGGAAGATTTTGGGTGTCACATGGCAAAACAGTCTGTGCTTTCCCAAGCCCATTTTCCCAGCGTGTTCGCACTCCTGTCTCAGCGACGTCTACGTTGGCTTGGTCGTGTCCACAGAATAAAGATGGCACGATCCCCAAGGATGTGCTCTAGGGGGAGCTGGCTTCAGGCACCAGACCACTACAAATATGTAAATGCTGCATGAAGGCTGCCAACATCAACCTCGCTGTGTGGGAAACCCTTTCGGAGGACCACAGTGCCTGGAGTCAGACAGTCAGGTTGTGGATCCACAGCAGCGACCACAGGAGGAATGACCACTGGGAGGAGCGCAGAGAGAAGAAATGACATGGTGTACCTGCATCAGCAGAACTGGGCGCCTTCATCTGCCCCAGCTGCAACAAAACATGTCCCTCCCATATCGGTCTCTACAGCCACAGCAGGCGCTGCAACCTTCCAACAGTTTGACTTCACTCCCAAATGTGCACTCCTCCATTGTCTCCAGAGACAGACGGATGTAAACAACTGACGTTATGTAACCCTATTTATATAAAAGGCCATTGGGGTTTTGTTTTTTAGGGTTGCAAGGATCTCACCAACTGGGACATTCCTAAATTCTTCACAGCTTTCCCCGCCCTCAGCAGATTATAGTGACTTCTTGTTTGGAATCTTGGCTTCCACATGATCATATGTCTCACAAGGGGCGCATTTTCTATGGTGCTTGCCTCAAAAGCAAACCATCAGTTTATGAAGAAGCCCTGCTGATAACTAAACAATTTCAGAAAAAGGAATGATAGGGGAATTAACCTTACTAGATATTGTAGGCAAGCTGTATGTAAAATGTGAAAATGCTAACTCTTCCCTCCCTCATGTGCCTAATTAAGATGGCACCACCAGCGTATTCATTACGTTACCACCAATGTATTCAATACATTTAATGTATTTTTAATCTTTGTTGGAAGTCACCCAGAGTGGCTGGGGAAACCCAGCCAGATAGGTGGGGTACAAATTATAAATTATTATTATTATTATTACAGAGTAACAAGCAAAAAGAACAGGTCTCCGCCCTGGGAAGATGACAATTTAAAATTCAACAGAGAGAGGCTATTTACAATTATAGGTGCCACATAATACTGATTCCACAGGGGTAAGAAATTGATATTTTAGTGTGGCAACAGCTACTCTTTGGAACTCCCTGTCTCCTGATATTGCCATCAAGTGCTCCTACAGAAGGAAGGGTAGGATGTAAATTCAATAAAAGTTGAGGCTTTTGCTCCTTGGCTGTGAAGATACATGGCAAGATTGCATGTCACAGTACTTAATCAATTATTACTTAAGTGTATGGTAAAGAAGGCAGTGTCCTGTGACTCTTGTCTGACTGAAGCATAATAAATGCATTATACAGTTTATTTCTGATTTTGGGTTAAGTAGCAGAGCCAATAATTTTGACAAAAACATGAGTCAGAGGTCATCCTTGAAACATTGTTCTTTGTTTATAAGAGAAATCCTTACCAAAATTGGTGGAGTCCTTTTCCTTGAGCCCGTCTTTCTCTGAAGGTAGAATATTCTTCATTCCTGTAGGAAGACGTCAAATTTATTTTGGCATTAGAGACATTTTAAAGGCATGCAAATATTCAGCCCCATGAACAGGACTACTAATTCCCATAGATAGGGTGAGAAAATAGTTTCCTAATCACACTAAAATATGTGTCCTCCTAATGTCAGTAAAAACTCCTATTTATTGGCTCATTAAAAACAACACTGTCTCTTGTTTGTTTTTTAAATTAAAGCTTAATGAGAACAAATTTTTGTGATGATTCACATTATTAAGCTGCATATTGTTATTTTCTAATCTAAATAGACAAGTAACTTCTACACACGTTAAATGCTATTTAGCAACCTCTTTTTCAACAAAACTCAGCATTGCTTTCCAAGACTGCTAAATGATTACATAGGTTGCCACCTAGTGTACAGAAGAACATATTACCCAGTCACCAAGGAGTAATACTGTATTGAACTTGATCTGGCTCTTTGGAACAATCCATGAACACTCAGTCACACCTACAGAATGGGGATAATTGGCAAAGTTTTTGTTGGTTTGCATTTTGGGCAAACCTTGTCTAGTACGGTGCTTTCCTGTTTTTGCAGTGCTCTCCAAAGGGAGGCTCATCTGGCACCTTCGTTGCATATATTTAGGCGCCAGGCAAAAACATTCCTATTCTCCTATATATCTCCTATATAAGTAGAAGCACAGAAATTTCTTTTCACCAAAAATAAAAAAAAAATGCACAGGTTGCCTCAAATAAATATTGAGAAACTATATTTTAATTCTCTTTCTTTCTTTTTCTTTCAAGTGCTCTGTGTTTCTGCCCATTGTCCTGTTGCCTTTGCATTCCTTTGCTTCTGGGGAATCGAGTAGATTAACGGCCTGCCCGTTTTAAAATTTATTTTTTTTAAATATTAAATGTATACACTGCCCTCCATCCGAAGATTGCGGGAATTGTACTCTTCGCAAATGATACAACAGGGTACGTACTTGGTTTTGACTGATAAACTTGTACAAGGCTGGGATGTGTGGGGAAACCAGGAAACATAGTTTGATGCTGACTAGCTTATAGTATTTTTCTTTTGTTAACAATCACTAGAAGGAACCCCCACCCTGTCCTGTAACTCATCTTTTCAGCTTGGTTATTTAACATGCTATTATTTTCTGCTTTATACACATGATTATCTATCTATCTATGCTGCCTTATTTTCTGCCTTATACACATTATGTCTATATCTATATATATGCGCGATTTTAGCTGTTCTTATTTTCATCTGTGAGCTGTCTTGAGTCCCCGACAAGTATTTATATGTGTTATAAATACATATAGAATAATTATCATCATCTTCATTTGGCTTTGTACCTGGTGACCAAGACCCATTATTTGTTGTTTTGCGTTGTTTCATATTATTCTTACTATAACTTCTATATAGAAGGCTCGCTGGTAGATATATATTTCTCTTTTTTATTATTAAAAAAAACCCACCACTTGCAGACAAATAACAAGTGTTCGTGTTTCTGAGGTGGCCGCACGCAGCTCTCTGCTTTTCCCCTCAGAGAGGCGACAGCCCTTCACCTTCGCCGCCTCAACCTGAGGCGGGAACGGAAGAATTCGTTCCCTCGGCCGGGAGAAGGGCGCTCCCACTTCCCGCGTCCTCCGCCTCCTCCTGGGGCCGCCCATGCCCTGCCTCCTCCCGGGCCCTCCTGATAGGCCCCTCCGCCGCCGCGGCCCGGCCTCCCGTTCCCGCCCGGCGCACCTCCCTCTCAGCAGCCATGGCGGCGGCCTCTGCTCTGGCGGCGGCGGAGTGGCGTCTCCAGGCCCTGCGGGGGCTGCAGTGCCCGTGAGTGCGGCTGGGCCCCGGCAGGGAGGACGGGGCGCGGAGCGGGAGACGAAGAAGGGAGGCCCTGCAGGAATGGACGGGCAAGGCCGACGCCTCGGGGCCTCGTCGTGGGTGCGGGGCGGGGGGGGGGGGAAGCTGAGCCGCAGCATCCCTCCCCCTCCCCGCTTTTCCTTCATCCGGAGGGGGAAAGGGACGAGGCTTCACCCCGGGGCTCGGCGGCCCCAGAGAAGAGGGCGCCTCTGAGCACGTGCAGAGTGCATTTTTATTCCACCCTCCAATCTGCAATAACAAGCAGGACACTCCCGCATGTCTTTCGTCCGAGGCAGAGTAGAGCAGGGATACTTCCACTGTTAATTTCCACAAAATTGCTGGGTTGGTATGGGGTGGGGGGCGTGTGTGTTATGTTTGTGCGCTCACAGTGAGGGGAATGGGAACCCTTCCGAGTAATAATAATAATAATAATAATTTATTTATACCCTTCCCAGCTCGCTGGGTTTCCCCAGCCACTCTGGGCAGCTTCCAGCAAAATATTAAAATACAATAATTCATCAAATATTCTGAAAACAGTGCTCTCATTTAATAAGAAGCAGCTCTGGCTTCTTCAGATCTTCCAGATCTTGAAATAAATAAATACAGGTGTGCCAGGGCCAGATTTCACCTGACCAGCTGGCAGCTTGAAAGGGCATTGGAGGAATGTGTGTATGTTGTCCGGGAGGAAGCAAGATCTGTTTTTCTCAGGCAAAGTATTACTCAAGAGGTATCGGAAGGAAATGTTTGAAAACTGATGAATGACTGTTATAGATAGAGAGAGGAGGATTTACCCTACTTGACTATTTTGTGGACGGGTTATAACAGGCAAAGGCAAACTCAGCCCTCCAGATGTTTTCGGATTACAACTCCCATCATCCCTAGCTAACAGGACCAGTGGTCAGGGATGATGGGAATTGTAGTCTCAAAACATCTGGAGGGCTGAGTTTGCCTATGCCTGGGTTATAACAATGTATAAAAGCCATAGCAGAAATTGGTAATTGAATAGGTGATGTGTAGGGGGTGGAAAAGAGATGAATGTATTTTGAAATGATAGTTGGAAAAGTTATTTTACTGGGAGCAGCAAAGGAAGGGGGAAAATAAATTATGGAAGATCAATGAAAATAATTGGCAAAAAAATGAAAGGGCATTGCTTCGTGGCGGCAGTGTTACTATAAGCGGTTTGCGTGTGGAAAACCATAGGGTCCCGGTGATGCTACAAAGCATTGCTGCCAACGAGTGGGTTAAGTTTTTGTGTTTTTGTCTGCAGAGGCTGGCTTGCATGGGAAACGGTTGCACAAGGATGGAATGGCTGCGTGGGGCAGCTGGAAGAAGGGTGGTGGTGTTTGGATGAAATGGACCTTAGGGCTGTACTCTTATGTTGCTGGATTGGCATGGGTAAACAGTTCCCGTCATCTGTAAAGAGAGCCAAGCAAATTCCTGCATTGCAGGGGGCTGGACTAGAGGACCCTCGGGGTCCCTTCCCACTCTACAATTCCATGATTCTATATACTCTTCAAGGACACAATGGAGGAGCTCTTGTGGGATCAGGCCAGAGGCCCATCCAGTCCCACCATTGTGTCCTTACAGTAGCCAGCCAGTTGCCTCTGAGAAGCCCACAGGCAGGACATGAGCACAACAGCGCTCTTCACACCTGCCATTCCCAGCAATTGGTCAGAGGTTTACTGTCTCCAGCAGTGGAGGTAGAAGGTAGCTATTGTGGCTAATAGCCACTTATAACCTAATCCTCTGTGAATTGGTCTGAACTTCTTTTAAAGCTACCTGTTTGCTGGAAGGAACCAGACACCCTGAATGGCTCGTCCTTGTGGAAATTGTTGAAGGGGTGTAGGATTTTGCCCTGGGATGGCCAGTCCAGTAACATATGAATTCAAAAAAACTAGGCAAGGGTTTGGTAGGACCCACGCAGCTACACCCTATAGGTGAGACAATATTGCAACCAAGCTTGGTGGGATGAGCCCCATCACTGGCTTTCAGACATCTGATAAGGCAGCTTTCTGTGCTCCTAATTGAAATCATTATAGACCGGGCATACTTTTTGAGATGGCATAAACAGTATTTCCAAATTTGGCCTCACCACGGGAAAGGCAATGCAACACTGACTATCTGGTTCTGGGGAACCCCAGCCAGATGGGCGGGGTATAAAGAATATTATTATTATTATTTGCTTCCTGGCTTGGAATTTCATACTTGATGCTGTATACTGAGCTGATATTTCTCTTGACTCCCGAGATTTCTCTTTTGGTTAGTTACCATCAGTTCAGACAACCCCATCAGCACATAGGTGAAGTTAGGGTTGTCCCTATGTGCATTACTTTACACTTAACTTACATGGAACCACACTTGACTCTTCTTCTCTGTCTTGTTCTCAGCCATGTAGATATGACCAAGTGTACATTTTAAGTGCTGCATTCACACAGCTATGTTCTTCAGATCTGTTCTTACCATGTAGTAGCTCAACTGCAAAAGGAATTGTTAAAGATCAGTCAGGTTTTTTCTTTCTTATTGGGTTCATCTACCCTTAACAATTGTACCCAGCATTTTATTTCCACCCCAGGAATAGCTCAATCGGCTAAATTTCTACTTTTGTTTTATACTATGTTGTTTCCCTCTTACAGAAAATGGATCTGGACAGCAAGAGTCAGAAAATACTCTTCTGCAAAAGGTGAACTGTTTGGATTATTGTATTTACAGGGGGGGAAATGTGTATTTAATGTTAACATTTTTGTAGCATCAGCTCTGCTTTTTAAAAACATTAAACGCTCACCCTGGGTGCTTGCATCTGAAAGTTTTATTTGCAAAGAGCTTGCTGAAGTTTGGCAAGCAGGTAGATGGCAACAGTGTTTCTTTACGTATTGAGCTTTCCTCTAGAAAAGGTAAGTCCAGATTAAATGGGAGAAATACACAAGCTGACATTTCGATGGTAACCATACAGTGGTACCTCAGGTTAAGTATTTAATTCGTTCCAGAGGTCTGTTCTTAACCTGAAACTGTTCTTAACCTGAAGCACCACTTTAGCTAATGGGGCCTACCGCTGCTGCTGCGCCACTAGAGCACGATTTCTGTTCTCATCCTGAAGCAAAGTTCTTAACCTGAAGCACTATTTCTGGGTTAGCGGAGTGTGTAACCTGAAGCGCATGTAACCTGAGGTACCACTGTATTGTGTTGATGATGCAAAAAACTTGCATACACGAGGAGCACCCATCTCACACAAAAAAACCCCACCTCTGCAAGCACCCACTTCCTTAAGCGAAGAAGCTTTTATTCATGATGTGGAAGACATGTTAAAAATAATAATAGTAATGAAGTTGTGCTACTGTTAGCAGTAACAATCATGGTTTAACACTTTTGAAACTTATTTTCTCCTTTTCTAAAACAAACAAACAGGACAAAGGAATATTGAAAAAGTCCTTGTGGCAAATAGAGGTGAAATAGCATGCCGAGTGATGCGGACTGCCAGGAAGATGGGAGTGAAATCTGTGGCCGTTTATAGTGATGCTGACAGGAATTCAATGCATGTAGCAATGGTAAAACGCACATTCGTTAAAACATGTAAGGGGCCAACCCTGAAAACCCTGTGAAGAAGCGGAATTAAGTTGAACGTGCAAAGCTGATTTAAACTGAGTCAGATTGTTGTTCCAGATGAAACTGGGTTGTCTGCTCCTCCTCCCCTCCATGTGGCAGATTTGTACCCCAGAGTTTGCAGGCGTCAGCTTTCCGATTGTATATTGAAGTGACATCTTTTCTTTTAAAAGAAAGGGACAACTGAACTTGGAAGAAACAGAAAATGCTTGTACAGTCATACCTTGGTTTTCAAACAACTTAGTTCTCAAACCTTTTGGCTCCTGAATGCCACAAACCTGAAAGTGAGTGTTCCAGTTTGCAAACTATTTTTGGAAGCCGAACATCCGATGGAGCTTCTGCAGCTTCCAATTGGCTGCAGGAGCTTCCTACAGCCAATCAGAATCCGCGCTTTGGTTTCCGAACATTTTGGAAGTCGAATGGACTTCCAGAACGGATTCCGTTCAACTTCCAAGGTACGACTGTAGTAATTAATGCAAACATTTCCACATCTGGAAACTAATGACTCAGTCCTGCTTTATTTGTATCTAGCCTTATTCCAGTTCCCCAGAATATGTTGGAAAGCCAATATACAGATTTATTCTTAATTATATTGCAGACTCAAGTTAAGGGCTCTTTCTTTTAAATTTTCAGACCTACACAGTTTCTTATGTATAAGTCTCTGTATACTCAGTGGAACTCAAAGTAGTCTATAAATTCTGATTCAATTGCGGTTCTGCTGTTTAAGGTCCCCCCCCCTAAAAAGGCGTCTTGGAATGTAGCTCTAAAATTAGCTGTTCTGCAATTGTCTGAAATGTAGCCAAATAATAATGTAAACACAGGTCCCTTTATTTCATTACAGGCAGATGAAGCGTATTTCATTGGCCCAGCACCATCTCAGCAAAGTTACCTGTCCATGGAAAAGATAATGCAGGTGGCCAAAAAGTCAGCAGCGCACGTATGTATTATAATTCGCTTCTTCATTCAACCTGCTTATACATGTATTTTTAAATGGATGTCAACTCTGGATGCTATTCAGTATTGAGTTTTACGGGGCAGCCAAGGCCTTAGGAGCAACTTAGCACAGAGTTTTGTAGTTCCACAATTGAAGAGATTCTCAGCATGGTAAATGTGGGGTCCTGCATGCATCATTTCAACAGTTAGAAAGACATGAACTTCACTTTAAATCAGAAAATTTTCCTTGGATCCCCCACAAGACATTAGGGGTTGCCTTCCTGTTCGCTTTTGCCTTTCTCCACTAAAGCTACTTGTGTGGCTCATCTGAACTTTACGGAGAGTGTGTTCTCTCATGTGCTCCTCCTTGTGTACCTAAATCAGCAGGAGAGGCCCTGCTTCATAATGCCTTGCGCGTTGCTGAGGGGAAGTTGGTGAGGATATGGGACGGGACTTCATTTGTGATGGCACACAGATTGTGGAATTTGCTTCCACACAAGGTCCACCTGACTCCCTCCTTAGTGTTTTCCACCAGAAGCCAAGGATATCTTAGAATAATAGAATCCCAGAATCATAAAATTGTAGAGTTGGAAGGGACCCCAAGGGTCATCTAATCCAACCCCCTGCAATGCAGGAATATTTTGCTCAACGTGAGGCTGGAATCCACAATCCTGAGATTTTGAGTCTCATCCTCTAATCTTAATCATGAGCTTTCCCATTCAGCTAAAACATTGCTATTTTCTTTTGACTCTGATATTCCAGTTGGTTTTGTTTGTTTATACATTTGCTGGTATTTTAGCTTTCATTTTAAGTTTGTAAGGTTGTATGTCTAGCTTTTTAAAAAAGAAAATAGAAAACATGGATTGTGTGTTTATTTCATAGGTTTGTTGTTTTATTTTGCTGCTTTGAATGCCCGTTTGGTGGAGAAAGCTGTAAACAAATGGTTCAAATTAATTATTAGGGCTTTAGCTACATAGGGATCTGCTTTATACCAGATCAGATTTCTTCTCCATCCAACTCAGCATCATCTGCTTTGACCAACAGCATCTCTCCAGGCAGAGGACTTTCCTACCACCTTCTAATGAGAGATGCCAGGAACTGAACCTAAGTTATTCCACATGCATTGAGCTGTGGTCATTTCCCATAAAGCTGAGCTAGGGAAGGCTGTGTTCTTGCAGCACTGCTGATGCTCCTGCGGTGTTCTGCGCTTGGGCAGAGCTTAGTAGTTGCATCCAGCGTCCTGGTCACACTTCAATGACGCAACATGTGCTAACTGAAGCAAATGAAAATTTGTGCATTAGATATAATAGTATAGAACTTCGTGTGCCATAAGCCACAGGCATAGGCAAACTCGGCCCTCCAGATGTTTTGGGACTACAACTCCCATCATCCCTAGCTAATAGGACCAGCGGTCAGGGATGATGGGAGTTGTAGCCCCAAAACATCTGGAGGGTTGAGTTTGCCTATGGCTGCCATAAGCAGTTAATAAAACGGTATTTCCAGTATCCAAGCCTAGAACTTGATTCTACGTTCCTCACTGACTTTCAAAGAAAGCTACAAGAAACCAAGGCAGACTGTGGAGCATCAGAATGTCCTTCTGATTAACAATATCCTTCAGATATTAGGTCACTGGATTTGGGGCTCTGTGCAGCTTCTGAAATAGTTAATTGAGGGAAAGCTCATGCAGGGCACTGTGAGACCTTCCAGTCTCATACAATATGCCCTTGATACTTCCTGTTTTAGGCTATCCATCCAGGCTATGGCTTCCTGTCAGAAAACACAGAGTTTGCAGAGCTCTGCAACAAAGAAGGAATCATTTTTATAGGTCCTCCTTCATCTGCCATCAGAGATATGGGCATTAAGAGGTACTCTGTTTTGCTTCACGGCTAAACCTTTTTGTACAGGGATGTTTACTATAATGGTTAAGATGGTTTTGGGTCTGACTGTGATGGTGCTTTACCAACCTAGTGCTCGCCAGAAGTTTTGGACTACAATTCCCATCAGCCCCAGGTGCTGCAGCTGATGGGAGTTGTAGTCCAGAGTGTCTGGAGGTTACCCAGTTTGGGCAAGGCTGCCTTGTGTTTGGGCTCCCCCATCCCCTCTTCTGTATGTGCAATGAATTAAGCCTACAGCGTTGTCACTGGTCTGTGGGAATGACCACAAAGTGATATGGTGAACCTCAGCATGGAAGGAAATCTGACTGTGTACAAGGCTGTAGAGCAAGACTAGAATCAAGTTTCAAAGTGTGACATGGCACTTTTCTTACGCAAGCATAAAATTTGCACTTTTTGAATTTAGCCCTCATAGAGTTGTGGGAAGAACTCTATAAAGAAAAAGAAAACAAACAGGAATTTCCCATCTGCTAAAACTGTTGTAAATCTCATGGGCTGATCAGATAAGCATTTTATATGCTGCAAGTTCTAGTTTGCCCCCTTGTGGCTTCCCAGCATGCATACATGGCAAAGGATACAGTTCCTTTCTGTATGAGAAAATTGTCATGTTGGTAGCAGTCCTAGATTGTGGGAATAAAATGCAGACGATGAGATGTGTAACAATAAGCCCTCACTGACATTGCCACTGAGTATTGAAAAATATTCTTTTGAAGCACTTCCAAAGCTATCATGTCTGCTGCCGGGGTTCCTGTTGTCGAAGGTTACCATGGTGAAGATCAGTCTGACAATTGCTTGAAAGAGCAAGCCAGAAGAATAGGGTATCCAGTCATGATCAAAGCAGTTCGTGGAGGTGGAGGAAAGGTAAGGGCAAAGGAATTTGATCCTCAGCTGATCTACTGTACAAACAGAACAGAGCAAAGATCTTCAGCTCCAGTAAATGAATGCTTAAGGTGTAATGTGCCAATCACTGTGCCAGCCTGACATCTTGGACCCTGGTCACGCTACAAAGTTATCCTATATGCCAAGGGTGGCTAATCTGTGGTCCTCCAGATGTTGCTACACCACAACTCCCACCAGCTTCAGCTGGCATGGTCAATGGTTAAGGATGATGGGAGCAGTTTTAGCCACATCTGGAGGACCACAGAATAGTCAGTCCTGCTGTGCATTAATAGTGAACTCAACCTCTTTGTGAGAATCTATGTATTCAAACAGCACCATTCATATTCAGGTTTGCAGGAATACAAAAAAAATAAAAATAAAACCCTCATTGGGGGGAACCTAAAGGGACACGGGTGGCGCTGTGGGTTAAACCACAGAGCCTAAGGCTTGCCAATCAGAAGGTCGGCGGTTCAAATCCCCTCGATGTGGTGAGCTCCCATTGCTCGGTCCCTGCTCCTGCTAACCTAGCAGTTCGAAAGCAACATCAAAGTGCAAGTAGATAAATAGGTACCGCTCTGGCGGGAAGGTAAATGGCATTTCCGTGCGCTGCTCTGGTTCGCCAGAAGCGGCTTAGTCATGCTGGCCACATGACCCAGAAGCTGTATGCCGGCTCCCTCGGCCAATAAAGCGAGATGAGCGCTGCAACCCCAGAGTTGGCCACGACTGGACCTAAGGGTCGGGATCCCTTTACCTTTAAAGGGGTTGGGGGCAGGGGCAAGCATGCAACAGGACTTCAGAAGCTGCCTAATGAGGACTATGGCTGCTCAGTGGGCACAGAATGCTGACAGGGGGACAGAAACAGAAAACCAGGGAGGCGCAGGAATGGCGTGTCCTGGAAAAGACATGATGACTAGCTGACTGGTGGAAGCATGAGCCAGAGCACTCCATGTTGCAACATTTGCATGTGGGCCTCAGTTGTCTTTTATCCTTATTTAAATTGCTAGCTGTCATCTCTCCATTAGCACCAGGGCTTGTTGTTGTTGTTTAGTCGTTTAGTCATGTCCGACTTCGTGACCCCCTGGACCAGAGCCCCGCCAGGCACTCCTGTCTTCCACTGCCTCCCGCAGTTTGGTTAAACTCACGTTAGTAGCTTTGAGAACACTGTCCAATCATCTCGTCCTCTGTCGTCCCCTTCTCCTTGTGCCCTCAATCTTTCCCAACATCAGGGTCTTTTCCAGGGAGTCTTCTCTTCTCATGAGGTGGTCAAAGTACTGGAGCCTCAGCTTCAGGATCTGTCCTTGCAGTGAGCACTCAGGGCTGATTTCCTTCAGAATGGATAGGTTTGATCTTCTTGCAGTCCATGTGACTCTCAAGAGTCTCCTCTAACACCATAATTCAAAAGCATCAGTTCTTTGGCAGTCAAACTTCTCCAAGGCTGAATTACTTGGTTTCATACAACTTCGCCACAATGCATGTTTTGACCATGGCGGTAATGCACCTAATAGGAAAGCGTGAGACAGTGGTTGCCAGTCTGGACCCTCCTCAAAGTTATTACAACTATATGTTATGTGCTCAGTGGCACCTGAACAGTAGCTGATTCAAAGTTAGTACTTATTAGTACTAGTATTAGTTAGTGAGTGATGCATCCATATTGTAAACCAACCTAGCAAAAAAGGATTTGGGACATCCTATTGTTTTTCACTCACTAATTTTTGCTCAGTATTATTCTAATATACTGGTTTTATCACACCGTAGGGCATGAGAATTGCTCTTTCCGAAAAGGAGTTTAAGGAACAATTGGAATCAGCCAGGAGAGAAGCCAAGAAGTCTTTCAACGACGATGCCATGCTGATAGAGAAATTTGTAGATAATCCACGGTAACCAAACCATCCATCTGCTTGTAATCTCTTTAATGAGTTTGTAGAACGAAAGTAGGAGAATTGATGGGGGGTGTCTCTGAGTGTGCGTCCTACGGCAGGTGAAGCATCAGCCGTGAATTTGCCCCCCCCCCAAAAAAAATCTCAGAAAAGCATGTTCGGGACATTTGGTAGGTGCACAGCACTCCTGCTGCCCTGGAAAATCCAGCCCTGGCTGGAGGGAGGTCAAAGCTTGGGTGGCTGTTGGGGTGTTGAGCAAGGGAAACTGAAGATGCCTGATAGACTATTTCCCTCGAGCTCTTGGGGCATGGCACTGACCTCCCCTTGCTGGGTGAAGAATTTATGATAGTAAGAGATGCAGCTATCTCACCCACCCCCCAAACCTCTTTCTCTTATCACTTTTTCCCACTTCAAGTTACTTGCAGACCACAATGTATAGTACTGTATATTTTAAAAGTAGCAATGACTATCTATTTAGAAGGCATATTGCTGGGTTGTATGGTGCATGCTACAGTAGACTTCACTACAGTATAAAATATTTCAGGGTTATAGTGATCTCTCTAATCCGAGTTAACAATTGTGAAGCCCCCTTAAAGCAACTGCAAATCACAGGTCCTTCAATATAACAGTTGTGAGAACAAAACTTACATACACTGAGAAAGCAGGCAATAATAGTTTATTTATATTTGTATACTTCGTTATCCGGTAGGCTCGTGACACATCATGTGTGAAAATGCATTCTGAAGTGTGGAATATTGATTCCAATATATTAGTGATAATTATTCTGGAATATACTCTGGCCCTATAGACATATATAGTTGTGACAGTGCAAAGTGTAGCTTGCTATCAAAACTTCCTAAAGGGGGCACTTTAAGTTCCAGGATAACAGTTTACTACAATGCAGATCACATGCTTGGTTGTCTTTCAGATCCTTCCATTCATTTAGGGTTTTTAGCACAAGTTAACAAGTCAAGACCTAGTATGTGATATTGCAAACATCAGACACATTGACCTTGTTCTGAATTGCTGATTGAAATCTAGATCTCTCTGATAACTTACTACTATTTAAAAACAAAAGTGTGCTTTTGATAAATGTTTGCTTAAGTGCACAGACCTTCCTTTTCCTAGAATATGATGTTAGAGATTAGCATGTTTAAAGTTATTTTAAGTATGATGAAGGGTAGAAGAAAACACTGATCTTCCTGAAGTTTAACATTGTTTCCAATTCTGAAAAATAAAATTATCTTTAATATATGATAGGTTGTGCTAGTTGTCTTGAAGTGGCACAGACTACCGTGATGGAATAATGCACTTTGCTCTTTAAAAAAATGGCACTAATGCTTCATTGGCACTGATGCACATGAACCTTTATTCATTAATATTTACATCTGAACCTTTATTTGTTAATTTTTACACCCGAAACAGGCATGTAGAAGTTCAGGTATTTGGAGACCAGCATGGCAATGCAGTTTATCTGTTTGAAAGAGATTGTAGTGTACAGAGAAGACATCAGAAAATTATTGAAGAAGCTCCAGGGGTGAGTGACTAGTTTCTGAAAAGGTGATTGAAATAGATGTAAGTGCCTTTTTTGGTTTACTTTATTAACATATTTTTTGTTTTTCACATGTGATACCAATGGCTTCTTGGTATAGATTATTATTTTTTGCAAAATATAATACGAGTTTCAGAGACACCCAAACACTTCTAACATAGGATTTTGTGTGTGGTTGTTGTTTTTTTAACCACATTGAGTTTGGAAATCATGATTGCTACCCCAGTATCCTGTTGCTAAACTGTATAGCACATGCACACACTTCTGAAACTACTAGAGAAGCTACTTTTTCTGGAATGTTCTGTTAGTTTATCTGGGGTATTCTGAGCTACCTAAGCTATTCCTGAAATGTGTTTTATACTGGTGATGCCTCATTGGTTCCACCATGTCTCTATTATGTTCAGCTTACTGATGACTTTGTAACTTATAAAGTAGCACTCAGTGCGTTGGCAGCTAAGAAGATCAGGAGGAAAGAACTAGATAAAATAGCGGTCAACTGCAAAGGGGATTCGGATACAGTATTTAATTTGGCACATTTTACTAGAGAATCTTCTGCTATTCTGCTTTATGCAACAAACAATCTTAGTAGTTGTGACCGTGGTTTATATTGTATGTGTGGTGCCTGATGATTTTTATGGTTATTGCTGTTTTTCCTTTTGTTATTTTTCTGAATGATGCCATGGCCTATGGCTAGAGCAATAAAAGTCTATGATGATGATGATGATTATGTTCAGCATGTGGTTCCAGAAGACTTTATTTATTTAAGCCTTCCGTCAACATGCTTATATTTAAAGGGGCTGGATATTTTTCTTTACAGGTTTTTTAAATCATAAGAGTACAGTTAGGTGATCTGTTCTGGTACAGCTTCTCTGTGAGGTTCATCTTATGTAGATGAAATGTGGCTTGAATAACTGCATGTGAAAAGAAGAGGGTTTTTTAAAAAAATCTGTTTTTCCCCAGATAGATGATACCTGCATGCAAGCACATAAATGTGGTATAAATGTAGTAACATCATTTCAACCTTTTCTTAGCCAGGAATTAAGCCTGAAATAAGAAGGAAACTTGGAGAGGCAGCTGTCAGGGCAGCTAAAGCTGTGAACTATGTTGGAGCAGGTATTGCAAACTTAACTTCCTTTTAGTGCTGTATTTAGTTTCACATATGTTTCACATATGTACCCATAGTTTCACATATGTACCCATATGGGAGGCATGTTTAGAGGAAGGCTGCTTTAAGTAGAATGGTAGAGTTTATAAAGTGATTCTAGCTCTAATTTGGGTGGTTAAAATTCTAAACTGCAAAGGAAGGATTAGAAAAACACCACCCAGAATAATATTGTCTGTACATTTATTTATTTTTTCAATCTAGACGTGAAGTCTGCAGCCACAGATTTAGCTAGCTATTTTAAGTGAACATGTAAAGGTCACTCATCTTTATCTTTGTGGCTCTTGGCTGTGTGTTCCCTTTCTCTCTGCCCTTTCATTCCTTGTTGCCTTTCCCCTCTCAGTCTCCTGTCTTTTGGCTTTCTTTTCATGCCCTTCATAATTCCCTGCACCTTGTACTTTTATTTTCCTGGGATGTTAAGCCCAGACACTGAGATCCAGCGCCGAGGGCCTTCTGGTGGTTCCCCCACTGCGAGAAGTGAGGTTACAGGGAACCAGGCAGAGGGCTTTCTTGGTGGTGGCTCCCGCCCTGTGTAACGCCCTTCCATCAGATGTCAAGGAAATAAGCAACTATCCTACTTTTAAAAGACATCTGAAGGCAGCCCTGTTTAGGGAAGTTTTTAATGTTTAATGCTGCATTGTGTTTTTAATATTTGATTGGGAGCCGCCCAGAGTGGCTGGGGAAATATTATTATTATTATTATTATTATTATTATTATTATTATTATTATTTTCTGCCTCACTGCTTCTGTCCGGAATAAGGGAAGCTCAGCCAGCCACTGGCCCAATTGCACGCCATTCTAAGCCAAACCATGACTTAGCACGAATTTGCTGCCTTTCAAGGAGGATATCACAACTACTTTCCTTTCCCAGGGGTTTTTAAGTCCGTGCAGTGCAGCAGCTAAGCCCAGGTTTGACTTAGTGTGTCATTCAAAGCCAGGCTCGTGGTTGAGACAGTGTGGTGTAGTGGTTAAGAGCGGTAGACTCCTAATCTGATGAACCGGGTTCACATCTCCACTCCTCCACATGCAGCTGCTGTGTGACCTTGGGCTAGTCACACTTCTTTGAAGTCTCTCAGCCCCACTCACCTCACAGAGTATTTGTTCTGGTGAAGGAAGGGAAAGGAGAATGTTAGCTGCTTTGAGACTCCTTAGGGTAGTGATAAAGCGGGATATCAAATCCAAACTCCTCCTCCTCTTGAGATCTCTTCTCCTTAACCATGATCTGTAGCTAAAGCTTGTCCTATGGTTTGTTCTATGGTTGCAGGTTATGGTTTGAAAGGCATGCTGTGCCAAACTTTGGCTGTCCTGCACTGTCCCCAAATGCCCAGGGAGGGGCAAAGTGACTGCAAGCTTCTCTTCTGAAGCCAGCTTGTTTGTGTGGTCACAGTAAGCCAGAATCTGAATAGGTTTAAGACTGCATTTGACTGAGAAATATTTCCACTGGATTAGGGTGTTATACCTCCTGGAGGGTTTCCAAGCTGTGGTTTTGGATCAGGTTTTTAAAAATATAGTTAAGATGCTTCATATCAACAACAGACAGCAAACTCTGTGGATCAGTGGGACTTTGTTTAGAGAAAGCATTTCCACTGCTATTAAATGTACCAATCTTAAATATTTCAGGAACAGTGGAATTTATTATGGATAGTGAACATAATTTCTATTTCATGGAGATGAACACCAGGCTGCAAGTGGAGCACCCAGTTACTGAGATGATCACTGGGACAGACTTGGTAGAGTGGCAACTTAAGGTAAGGGCTTATGAGGGCAGCATCCATAGGAACATAGGAAGCTGACTTATACTGAGCCAGACCCTTGGTCCTTCTAATTCAGAATTGTCAGTGCTTATTGGCGGAAGCTCTCTATAGAGTTTCAGACTGTGGGCATTCCCAACCCTACCTGAAGGTGGTGGGGATTGAACCAGGGACTTTGTGCATGCCAGTAAGATGCTCTGCCTTTGCCTCCATTTGAAGCCAAGCATTGCTTTTTACCAGGAGCGTGGGAAGGTTTCTCCTTGGGACAGTGAATTCTCACTCTTTCTGTCTGGGCTGAAGCTAAATTGGGCATTGAATGAGAGTATGTAAATGCAGTAATATTAGAAGATAAGGATTCATCAAGAACGGCACATGGGAAGTCACTTGAACAAAATTGTATTAATTGGGAAATATTTTGTATAATTAGGTTGAGATCTGGAAAATCAATAAAAATAATTGGCAAAAACGTGAACGAGGATCTGGGATAGACTTGCTTCAAGTTATTCCACTGTGTGAGTGCTTTCCCACACAACGTTTGCTACAGTCTGACATGAGAATTAAAAATGGGAAGGATTAGCTAGTTGCAGGTATTATAGAATTCAATCTGTTGCTCTGTAGATGGTTTGTGAATGAGAGTTTAAAGCAGGAATTGCCAACCTTCTTTTCTGTCTGCTGTACAGCTGTCAAAGGCACAAGAACCCTCTTTTTTTGTGCAGTGTAAACCCTAAACCTCAAATACCTCAAGGATTTCTACTACTCAGATTTTGCTGCGTGATTTTTTTGTGATTCCTTGATACCCTCACAGTCCAAAGACACTATTCTCAATCCTGTAGAAAAAGCAAAACTCTTTTTCTTTACAGGTTGCTTCAGGGGAGAAGATTCCTTTGACTCAGGAAGAGATCTCTCTTAATGGACATGCTTTTGAAGCTAGGATCTATGCCGAAGATCCAAACAACAACTTCATGCCGGGGGCTGGACCCTTATTGCATTTGTCTACACCGCCCTCTGACAGTTGCACCAGGATAGAAACCGGGGTAAGACAAGGTAAACTGAACCTCCTTGCTGCAAATTAGTGTCAGGGATATTCTTTTCGCTTTAAGGGGGCGATCGTAGTTTCAAAAGCAAAGGGGATGGTTTACTAGTCTACCCTTTGCCTTGACCAGGTTTTCCATACCTGACTAAAGGAAGTAACGGGGTACGAACTGACTCCTTTTTAAGTTACTCATTCTGGCAAATTGCTTCCCCAACTCTTCCTATTTCAGGGGATGAGGTTTCTATATACTATGACCCAATGATTGCCAAGTTAGTCGTTTGGGCAGAGGATCGTCAAGCAGCGTTAAGGAAATTAAGATACTGCCTTCGGCAATATAATGTAAGTACAGACGACATTATGATTTATAAAGTTTGGGCCCTATCCAGTGCTTTTCCTCTGGGGGGACGCAGGGGTACGCGTACCCCTAAACATTTTGTGTTGCCCTGACCAACAGACCAGCTGTCTCTGCAGTAGCAGCACGGACTGGACATTTGTCATTCTCCCGGCTGGTGTCCAGGGAGGGGAGTCTGGGGCAGCCGTGGTGGAGGTGATGGCAGTCCTCCTCCTTCTCCTCCTGCCGGGCTAGAGCCAGCCAGTGAGTGCTTGTCCCTCCTTGTTCAAGCCAACCCCGCCATCGCCATCGTTCAAGCTCCGCCACCTTGAGTCCCTCGTCTGGGGGTTGGGGGGGGAGGAAGAGGGGGAGCAGCCAAAATGAGAGTACCCCTAAACATTTTTAAAGAAAAAAAGCACTGGTCCTCTCTGATAAAGTAGGGGAGGGAGACCTGTGGCCTTCCGGATGTTCTTGGACCTCATCTCCCATCATCTGTGACTATGCCTGTTGGAGCACGTGACTGCGGCAAATGGCTTGCCTTCACCTGGTGTGCTTTCTTTGTTCCCTTTCCCTCGGCAGATTGTAGGGCTAAGCACCAATGTTGATTTCTTGCTGGACCTCTCAGGCCACCCGGAGTTTGAGGCTGGAAATGTTCACACCAATTTTATCCCACAACATTACGATGAGCTATTTCCACCCAAAGAGGCAATATCTGAAGTGGCCTTATGCCAGGCAGCGCTTGGACTCATACTGAGGGAGAAAATTGTGACCGACACTTTCAGAATGCAATCAGGAGGTAGGCTTGAGGCATCTTTGGCTTTTTAGAATCCTTTCCGTTACAGGGAAGAATGTGCCGTGTGTGTCTACTCTCCCTCCGTCCTCCTCTCTCTCCCCCTCTCTCTCTTTCTTTTATTTATTTGTTTCACATTCATAAGCAACAATTTTCCAGATCCTATAATTGCTTACAAGCAGAATTCTCTGCTTGAAAGAGCTCCCCCATTCATTTCAGTGGAGCATTAACTGAATCTTTCTCCCTCCATTTTTTATATTCCAGATAAGTTCTCTCCATTTGCATCCAGCAGTGGAAGAAGAATAAATATACCTTACGTTAGAAACCTGACTCTTTTAGATGGTGAAAATAGTAAGTGACTTAGTTCTGAATGCCAAGAATTTGAGTGGCAATCTTTATTCTATAGCTGAGGAGGACAAAGAGACATACAAGAGTACAATAATTCAAAATGCCGTTCTTTTTATGTACATTGGATTGATTTATATAGATCACTTGGCATGTACTTAAACTGCAAGCATGGCTTTTTGTTTTCTTTGTTACTTTCATCAGAGCTGCCCCATATTTCCTGGTTGTTTTTGCAAAGACCTGTTTTGTTCATGCTGTTCAACATTCTCAAAACTTCGGGAAGCAGGGCTTGCCACTACTGCATGCTTACATAGGATTAGATGTGCCCTAGGTATAATACTGAGGGATTTTAGTATTTTGTGGGAGCACTCAGGGCTGATTTCCTTCAGAATGGATAGGTTTGTGGGAGACCTTTTTTGTGCTAAGGGCTGCTTCACCCTGCTGGAAAGCTGTTGGGAGGCTACATATATGTTTCAGTGTTGGATGCACAGTCACACACCCTTAACACATGCACAGGCACACAGACAGGCACATAGTCATATATGCACAGAAAGCTATTTCCCGTGAAAACTCTACTCAAGTTTCACATTCTGTTTTCTCTAAAGTTTCTGAAAAGAAAGGAAGTTCTCCAACACCCTTCCCTGCCCTGACATGCAAAAAGAACTCAGTTGTCTAAGCAGCACATCTGAACCACGACCCCTCTCTTAAAACAATACATTTCAGGATGCAGTTGCATCCTAAAAATTGATGGCATGCAGTTGCTCTTTTGCAAAATGGCATGCAGTTGCTTTTTTGCACGCTTGCAAGGGGCCACAATTCAAGACTAAGCCCTAGAAGGCCTGCTTCTGCATTGACACCAAGTGGTCATCTGCAACTGGCAGTGACTTCTCAGAAGTTCTTAAAGATCAGCTTGGCCTGTATTGGGGAATGTGGCCTTCTAGGTAGCCTAGTCCTAAGTTGTTTAGGGCTTTAACTGCTAACAACAAAACATTGAACATGGCTCAGTAGCTGACAGGTAGCCAGTGCATATCTAATACAGTGGTACCTCTAGTTACGAACTTAATTCATTACGGAGGTCTGTTCTTAATCTGAAACTGTTCTTAACTAGAGGTGTGCTTTCCTAATGAGGCCTCTTGCTGCCGCTGCGCCACCGGCACACGATTTCCGTTTCTCATCCTGGGGCAAAGTTCTCAACTCGATTTAACTCTTACAGGTTAGCAGAGTTTGTAACCTGAAGCATTTGTAACTCGAGGTACCACTGTACGTGTAAAGCTGTGTCTCCCACTGAGCAACCTAGCAGCTACATTTTGTACTTTTCGGCCACTTCTGAACCAGGTGCAAGGGCAACCTCACGTTAGTTTAATTGTGAATCACTGTAGCGGCACAGTATGGCAGAAGGTGGAAGGTGACAAAGGGAACAAGGAGCCCACACTTGTGGAGAATGGGGAGAGAGAGTGGAGGTGAAACTACTTAGAGCTTTCAACGGATAAATGGCATACAAATTTTAAAAATAAAGATAAATGGAGAGGAGGTGAGCGACTTCAAAGTGGTGCGGCTCAATTGGATGTGCATTATTTTTGGGTTTTAATTCCTCCTCTCCCCTAAAAAAAAACCCCACCAAAAAACCACTTGGAAGTAATTTAAATCTTTATTTTCTAACAGAAGTGAATATGACCGTAACCTACAATCATGATGGATCATATGACATGCAGGTAAACGTCCTCTATGTAATTTGAGTGACTTTTTCTGTGTAGTTTTTTGCAAATCCTTTGTGGCCTATATGTATTTGACCCAATCCCATCTCTGTGGACTGAGACAAATAGGATAGAGTTTCTAAGGAGCTTATGGGTGCCTTTTTCCATATTGGTGAGTCTTAATGTTTTCTCCTGTCACCCACCTTTGGAATACAGCATGATCTCTCCATCTCCCAAGCTTATTTCCTCAAAAGCGGTACCTGGACCAGGGAGTTAAAATCCTGTATTCCTGCATTGCAAGAGGTTGGCCTAGATGACCCTCAGGATACCTTCCAATTGTGTGATGCTATGTAATTGTATTTCAGATACAGAATAAATCTTTCCATGTTTCTGGAGATCTTTCGAGTGATGGTGATTTGGATTGCATAAGATGTTCAGTAAACGGAGTTGTTCATAAATCCAAGGTGGTGATTTTGGGCGACGCCATTCACCTCTTCTCACCGGTAATATTTTCTACTTAATTTATCTGGAGAATAAATTCACAGCCAGGGAAATGAGTGGTTTTTTTTTAAAAAAGGGAAACAATTACAGATCTGGATACATCTATTTACATTTGGGAGAACAGGGACTGAATGTGTGGCTCTAAACTTTTATGTAAGCAGCCCATAATATTCTTGTAACACTTGAAAATTCATAGCTTTAATTAGTAGCTAAGGCTAATTAGTTGATACTGAACTGTTCAGTGAATAAATTGGCTTGTAAAGCTAAATGCCTCACATCTTTAAGTCATAAGGATGGGGAGTTGGGGCATGGATCTTAAAATTTAAAAGGATATCCTAAATGACTAGATCTCTGTGTAAGCTCCTGTGAATCAGGGCTTCAATATTTGAAATGTATTCATGAGGAATTACACATTTTTAATCCAGCCCATTCATATTCATGCTTTATATCATTTCCAAAATATGTGTTGGCTTAGACTCGCATCCTTTTCATACATTATTGTTATTGCTATATCTTGGAAGTAAGTTAAGTCTAAGTAGGCTTGGGAAGTAAATTCAAAATAAGGTAACAAATTACCTTGGTGTTTTCTGAATTACATTGACAACCTCCTTTATAAGAAGGAATATTCTGTTGGTGGTCTCAGAAGGCTGCTTTTTCAGTAAAAAGTGATTAAAGGGAATTAAAATGGTTCTCTTAGTGAACATCATGTAAACTCCTTGTCAATAAATCAAGTGTTTAATGTCCATCCTAGTTACACCTGTCATTTCAGGATGTGGAAAATATAGGTTTGTACCAGCTGTAAAAAGTGTTGTTGCGCTCATCTGTTCTTGGCGTATTTTTATTTTCTCCAGGAAGGTAGTGAGCAGATTGGTCTTCCTGTGCCAAAGTATTTATCCGGAGTGGGTTCAGTTGGAGATCAGGGTGGGGCTGTGGCCCCCATGACGGGGACAATAGAAAAGGTAATTCTGGAGGGATCTGTGTGTGGGTGTGGCAGAGCTTTTTCTCTTTGTAAACTGCTTTACAGGTTTTTAAAAACAATTGGCATATGAATTTTATGAAATAAATAAATATATGAGGCGCATTGCCCTTTTGTACCAAAGGTGATGCATTGATGTGTCCTGCGGGTTTCACTCCTGGTTACTTATCATCCTTCCCTACTCTAGAGTGTGGTTGCCTTCAGTAGATTGCTGCTTACTTTGCAACTAGCCGCTTCCTTTAAGCTCCTCTGCTGAAGAATCTTGAGGAATTGCGGCAAATTCTGGAGCATGTTCTCACTTCATGCAAGGCAATTAGCAGGTCTTTTGAGTCTCCCCCCCCCTCCCCCATGTGAACTGAGAATATGGCCAGGAACACACTAGTCTCCCATGCATGTATGGAAGACACGTAGGGGAACTGAAGACAAGATTACGTTCAAGGAAGCTTGTCCATTGCTATGGATCTTCTCACTGAAGCTCATTGAGTTCCTCAAGTAAATTTCCTGGGACTCCCTTGAAAAGGATTTCTCAGCTGTCTTCCTTCTTCATTGCCATCTGACTGTAATCTCTTTGTCCTCACAACTAGCTGTTGGTCCACATCATCTGCTGTCAAACATTATAAACCCTCTAGGCTGCATTGCTGTTCTGTGCTGCTGCTTTGTTCATCAGTTTGCTTTGTGGCTTTAGTTTATGATATTATTATTATTATTATTATTATTATTATTTGTACTTGTTTTAATAGTGGCATTTTTGTAACTTGCCCTGGGACTATTCCATGAAGGGCCAGGCATTAAGTACGACTCATAAACAAAGATGGCAGGTGATTTCATGTTCTCTAATTCTTACAGCCCGTTTACTCATGGTGTGGATTTACTTGCAACTGGGGGCTCCTCTGGCCTTTTTTTTTAATTGCACATGCATGATGATATGCACTCACGATGCTGTCAGGGTGGTCATACATGATCCCAATTTTCAATATTTCGGGATGCTCATACAGCTTCATGTCCAGTCTGCATATACTGTAGTGTCCTGCTGAAATCCTGTAACCACAAATATTCCGGGGGTGTTTTTTTGTCCCACTTTCATTGCACTATTGCCCCTCCGGACAGCGATGATGTGGTCGCATTGGCGAAGCAAAGCAGAACAACTAAAGCAGAATAAATCCATCATTAATACACTCTTACTATGTCAAGAATATATTGCAGAACACACCTGCAATAAAACACCAGTCTGGAACATACATATATAGCAAGAGCCATGACCAGTCATCCCTCCCTAGTCCATATGCCTCTATAATACATACGTGGTGATAAATGTTCACATGAACAAATTATATTTTTGGGTGCACATTTTCATAGGTGCACTTTTAAAATGTCACCGTGTTGGAGAAACCAGCTGCAAAGGTAAACTTAGAAAAAGATTGCCATTCTTCATCCTCACACAAGGAATCTTTTGTCCTCTTTGTTGCTTTCTGTGAACTTGGAGAGAAACACTATATTTGTATAGGAGGAACGTGACACCTGGCTTCTCACTCGCTTTTCAATTTGTTAGGTGTTTGTGAAAGCTGGTGATAAAGTCCAAGTCGGAGACCCGCTGATGGTTATGTTAGCTATGAAAATGGAGGTGAGTATCATAACATTTTAATCATGGAGAAGACAAGAGGGATTTGGTTTTGGTTTATTAGCACATCATATAAAGTGTGCCTTAAATGTTGCAGGCATAGTATGTTAACTGACTAGTTGTTTAAGGATTGTGCTGGTTTTATTGGCATGACTGATTTCTAGCTGTAACAAACTGTTCTAATGTTTCCCAGGAGCAAATCTTCCATTGCGTTTGCATGCTGGAATATTCTGTATAGTTTAGAAAAATGATCACTCGCCCTCCCCCCAACCCACTGCCATTTAAGCATTTCTATTCTGTCCAAGGCTTGGTGCTATACAAATTCCAACAAGCAAAGAATCTCTCTAAAAACCACTGCATTTTTTCTTCATAATGCTCCTAGTAATTAATCTAAACCGTTGCAGGGTATGCATTTATAACCGTTGCAGGGTATGCATTTGGCCTAGCTGGGTTCCTTAATAATAACCTCAAACAAACTGGCTCACTTTGCCTTATTAATTGGATTCCACCTTGCGCACTGAACTATTGTTAGGCACTGTTGTAGAGCAGCGTGTAAACAAAAGTGGTGCCGTGTCAGAAATGGTAGAAATCGTAACTTGATGCTAAGTGACCCTTTTCCTCAAGCATTATATCATGTGCGAGCTTTTGACCCATCATTTTGATATAGCCTTGCATGACACACACTTAATTTCTAAAGCCAAAACCCAAAAATATCCTCTTAAGCACTCAGTCTAGCCTTAAAGGTTTGGAGCAGGGGAGAAAAAGACAAAATCTAGGGCAGGTAGATGCAGCTCATGGAAGGCCAGGTGATAGAACCTTCAGCATCCTACCAGAACTTTGGCCAATTTCCCAGCCACCTCTGCCAAAGTAATTAAAATGTGGTCTTCAATAGAATATAATTCGTAATATGCTTTTACAGGTATAAATCTGTGAAATTTGTAGGACAATGATCAGTGCTGTGATAAAAGTGCCCTGGGAGCAGTGCTATCATGGCACCGGTCTGTTTGGGAGGAACGAGAACCTCGGCCGAGTCTGGGTACCACTTCCTCCCCAGCAGACAGTGTGATCACCTGATTGGCTGATGGGAGGATGCCCCATAGCTCTGATGCACCACAGTGCAATAGATAACCATCATTCGCACGGAAAGGGTTAACTTCCCACTCTGACCCATCCTACTCTGCAGATAATTGTTGCTGTGATTGTTGTTGTTTAGTGGTTTGGTCATGTCTGACTCTTCATGACCCCGTGGACCAGAGCACGCCAGGACTCCTGTCTTCCACTGCTTTCCGCAGTTTGGTCAAACTCATGTTGGTAGCTTCGAGATCGCTGTCCAACCATCTCATCCTCTGTCGTCCCCTTCTCCTTGTGCCCTCAATCTTTCCCAACATCAGGGTCTTTTCCAGGGAGTCTTCTCTTCTCATGAGGTGGTCAAAGTATTGGAGCCTCAGCTTCAGGATCTGTCCTTGCAGTGAGCACTCAGGGCTGATTTCCTTCAGAATGGAGAGGTTTGATCTTTCAAGAGTCTCCTCCAGCACCATAATTCAAAAGCATCAATTTTTCAGCGATCAGCCTTCTTTATGGTCCAGCTCTCACTTCCATACATTACTACTGGGAAAGCTTTAACTGTTGCTGTGATAAGGTTACCTAAAAGCAAAGTGATATGTTCTTATCTGTTGGGATGGAATAGAGGAATCCAATAGAGGTAGCTCTCCCTGCCCCCCTACCTTAACATTTCTGCATCCATTGTTGTACTTGGATATTTATCTGTATCGATAAAAATTAAAATTTCTGTTCAGTAAATCAGCATTCTTTCGTTTGAGCCCTGAACCATGGGTTTTGGGTATAATGTCTGCACAGGAATCTTGTACAGTGGTACCTCAGGTTACATACGCTTCAGGTTACAGACTCCGCTAACCCAGAAATAGTACCTTGGTTTAAGAACTTTGCTTCAGGATGAGAACAGAAATCGTGCTCCGGCGGCGCGGCAGCAGCAGGAGGCCCCATTAGCTAAAGTGGTGCTTCAGGTTAAGAACAGTTTCAGGTTAAAACGGACCTCCGGAACGAATTAAGTACATAACCAGAGATACCACTGTATTGGCTTATAGATGATCTGCATATTTTAAATGAGGTGCCCTAATATATAGCTCTTATTTGTACAACTGATGGTGCCAACTTGAAGTTTTAAATAGAGAGACAGTGATTGTTTAGCTAATGTATACTTCTTTCTCTGCAGCATACCATACGGGCTCCAAAGGCGGGAATAATTAAGAAGGTTCATTACCAGGAAGGATCACAGGCCAACAGACATGCTCCACTAGTTGAGTTAGTGGAAGAAGACTCTGAATCTGAATAATCCCTGGTGAATGTCGGTGATGCCTTTTGATTTTTCCCTGATTCTTTTTTATTCCTCAAGAAAACATCTTTATATTTTATTAATTTAATTATTACTAATAAAATGCTATTATAATAATTTGAATAGTTTCTCATCACAACTTTAGACTGCCTCCAAATTCTATGCTTCACTTGATTACTCAACAACTGATGCAAAAACGGCAGAGTTTTTTGTGGCCCCTTAAAGACTTAACACATTTATCACTTTCATGGGCTGCAGCCCATTTCACCAGGCACAGGAAGTGTTATTCTGAGTTGTGGGCGCTTTGCGCCTGGTTGGGATGGAATTATAAGCAGTGAGGTCACTAAATTGGAGAGAAGTACAGACAGTGATGATTACCAGCCAGATGGGTGGGGTATAAATAATAATTATATAAATTATTATTGCATATTTAACTGTGGTCATTCAGACACACACACACACACACACACAGTTGGAGTGATTACACATCTGAAAGGGAGGGGGGACTGCCTCCAAGTTGACAATGGGTGATGTGAAAGTTCTGGCTGTTGAAGGAATTTGTAATGGCTCATTCAGACGAGCAAGGCATCACGGGATGCTGTAGTCAATGAGTGGTAAGGATGCATCATTGAGAGACTGTGGACTCTCCTTCATTGGAGGTTTTAAGGCAGAGGGATGGCCATCTGCCATGGATGCTTTAGTTGACATTCCTGCATTGCAGGGGGTTGGACTGGATGATCCTCGCGGTCCCTGCCGACTCTACAATTTTATGATTCCATGGTACATGCCACGTAATGGCTAGCTGGTTGTGATGTACACTGACAGAGCACTCCGAACACATAGGTCGAAAGAAAGACACTTGTTAGTAAAAGTGCAGTCTCTTCACTGTTTGCACAGCTGAATGTGTTCCATGTAAATGCAGTTTAATTTAGCTAGGCTAGTTTGTACAAAACTTCTGTTACAGGAAAGTTTCATTTTGGACAGTTGGCCAAGTGTGCTCCGTCAGTTCCAAAGTGCACTTAGTACAGAATGCTCCACTCCTTCTGAAGGCAGCCCTGAATTGGGAAGTTTTTAATGTTTGATGCTTTATTATGTTTTATATACTCTGTAAGCCACCTGGGAAACCCAGCCAGATGGGTGGGGTATAAAATAATAATAATAATAATAATAATAATAATAATAATAATAATAATTGTAAAAGTTGCTCCAGCTTACAGTTGCACTATTCAGTTTCTTTTCTAAACTCAGTGTTTAGAAAATGCAAGTAGAAAGACATAGGTTGAAGTTGGCCTGTATCAAAAGGGGTTCTGATGCTTCTCCAGTGCATTGAAAAATGCATAGAAGGGGCTCTGTGAGCTGCCATATCCTCCTCACAGTTGGATCAACATATGTACTAAAATACAGTATGCACCTAGAGCTCTTCCAAGGAGTCTTTCCTTGTTTGAATCTCTTAGCACATTGTTATGATTCTGTATTTATTTATACTCAATCTTTTCCCGTTGGGACTGAAGGCAGCTTGCATATAAAAATGAGAAGATGGTGATGATAAATAGAAAGATAGTTGATAGTGTCTGTTAAAACCATACAAATAATTACAATAGAAGCAGCATGACACCAGCCCTTTCATTAAAAGCAGTCAATTCCCAAAAGCCTGTTGCAACAAAAAAAAGTCTTCCCCCACTGGCATAAAGAGGAGGAGTGAGCCAATCTAGCTTCTCTAGGGAGGGAGTTCCACAGTCTGGGAGCAGCTGCTAAGAAGGCCCACATGGAGCCCCTTAATCCACCAATCACATGTGGAGCGTAGTTAGCACCCCACAACAAACCATAGTTAAGATTGATCACAATTTGTTGGGTTGACTGTCCAACAAGCTGTGCTTAAATCAAAAATGGAAGTGAATGCTTCCATAGGTCTCGTGGCAATGTGGGAGTAAGAGAGGGGAGTGTGTGATGGTAACATAATTTATTCTCATCATGCCAAACTTGTTCAGCACAGGCGGGAATCTATGGCCCTCCAGATGTGGCCAGACTCTGGTTACTACCAGGACCAACCCTTATAGCCAATGATCAGGGGTGATGGGAGTTGTTCAGCTACAGCTGGAGGACCAAAGGTTCCCCAGCCCTGTTTTAGTGTGAACGGGCCACTGCTTCTGCCTCTGTTTACACCTGAAGGATAATTAGGTAGCAATGCCTTGAAGCAATCGGGAAGAATAATTGGGTCAGAGATTCAGGCAACACAGCTGGGACACCCTTGACCTGTAACCTCAAAACCCTGATATGTGTGCCGTAAACTAATTGCCACTTCAAAGCCGTCATACTATTAGGAGTAAACAGGAAGAGAAAAGTTGCATCAGCCTTTTCCTACATTGTTTTGTAGGTTTGTGAGCTTTGAACAATTTAATTATCCATCAACTAAAGCTGCAATCGTAGATTTGCCGTATGATGAATCGGTGAACCAGTGAAACTCGGAAGCAGGGCTTGAAGGTTAGCAGTATTTTCTGCTGCCCCTCTTTGGCAAGTGGTACCCAGCTGCGTATTGCCTCTGAACTTGTCACTTCTGCATTGCTGTTGTGGCTAATAGCCACTGACAGAACTATCATGCGTGAATTTGTCTCATGCCTTTTCCAGGCCAGTGGGTGAATTCCGCAAATTAATTGCACGTTGTGGGAAGAAGTACTTCATTTGGCTTCTACCCAAATCTATTCCCAATCAATTTCATAGCACAACCCTGAGTTCCAGTTACCTTTGTCTGCTTTCTCAACACATTGGAGACTGTGCATTGGAAGGATAAATCAGATCAAAAAACAAACAAAACAATTTTGAGTGCTGAGTAGTTTATCAGAAATGACAATTTACAGTAATGCCAGGCAGGGGACTGGCAAGATCAGCGAAAGCTTCAGTGAAGTCTGATTAAGTACAGTAGTAGGTTCTGCACTAATTGTTCTTGTTTATTGAGTCATAGAGGTACCAGGAACGACACAAATCCAAGCCAAGATCCTTCAGGCTCCCCAGTAGCTGACACAATTCACATTGTGTCACAAGCAGGACTTGCCAGGAAAAATAGGGCATTAATCCAGACTTATTGCCTAATCGTGTGTAATGTTAGGTGTGCTTTGTTAAAAAAGCTGCAGTAGCATCTCTCCATGCTGGCTGCATAGCTGGAGAAATCTCACTCACAACCAATATGGAAGTGCAAGGTACTAGCCCCTTAGCAGGTTTATAAATATATATATGGATAGGCCCATCAGTCACCTGTGTGAAATTCCTAGTTGCAAGATGGTGAGTTGTTAAATACAATCTAGCCGAAGCTCATTGAAAACTGCAAAGGATTGGGCTGCATGATGCCTCCAGAGTAGAAACTATTTCCCTTTCCTAGTTGCCTGGCCAGTCCTGCCAACAGTGTGACGCGGCAGCTAAAAAAGCCAATGCAATTCTGGGCTGCATCAATAGGAGTATAGCATCTAGATCAAGGGAAGTAATAGTGCCACTGTATTCTGCTCTGGTCAGACCTCACCTGGAGTACTGTGTCCAGTTCTGGGCACCACAGTTCAAGAAGGATACTGACAAACTGGAATGTGTCCAGAGGAGGGCAACCAAAATGGTCAAAGGCCTGGAAACGATGCCTTATGAGGAACGGCTAAGGAGCTGGGCATGTTTAGCCTGGAGAAGAGGAGGTTAAGGGGTGATATGATAGCCATGTTCAAATATATAAAAGGATGTCACATAGAGGAGGGAGAAAGGTTGTTTTCTGCTGCTCCAGAGAAGCGGACACGGAGCAATGGATCCAAACTACAAGAAAGAAGATTCCACCTAAACATTAGGAAGAACTTCCTGACAGTAAGAGCTGTTCGGCAGTGGAATTTGCTGCCAAGGAGTGTGGTGGAGTCTCCTTCTTTGGAGGTCTTTAAGCAGAGGCTTGACAACCATATGTCAGGAGTGCTCTGATGGTGTTTCCTGCTTGGCAGGATGGCCCTTGTAGTCTCTTCCGATTCTATGATTCTATGATCTTTTCCCCTCCCTGGCTTCTGTGAAATGTATTTTTGGGAAATATGAAAATATGCAAATAGCCATGTTGGTTCATAGGAAAAGAAAACACATTCCAAAATATAGGGTATCACCTTTGTTAGAATTAACATTTGTGATTGTTTTTGAAAGCTTGGCCACTATTTGAGGGGAAATAGAGGCTTTGAACTGCATTGCCTGAAACACCTTGGAGGAGTTGGGAGACAAAGTTGGGAGTATGTATAAATAATTATTTTCTCTTGCTTTGGAGCTCCTATATCACACTCTTGAGCAAAAGGAGATGGATACAAGAGGTAGGAAGAGCTGGACTTGCCAGGAAAAACAGGGCACTAATCCAGATAGCTGGATTCAGGAATTATCACCCCAACATAATATACATGTATTTTTGAAAGATCATCAAATAAAGAGAATTGGAAAGGGTCTCAGGGGACACCAAACAACAGCATACATCATTTTGCAAATGTTGGGAGGTTATAGCATTGTGAGCAACCTACAACTTCAAGGATGATGATGGTGATGATGATAATAATAATAATAATAATTTATTATTTATATCCCGCCCATCTGGCTGGGTTTCCCCAGCCACTCTGGGCGGCTTCCAACCGAATATTAAAAACAATACAGCATCAAACATTTAAAACTTCCCTAAACAGGGCCACCTTCAGTTGTCTTTTAAAAGTAAAATAGTTGCTTATTGCCTTGACGTCTGCTGGGAGGGCGTTCCACAGGGCAGGCGCCACTATGGAGAAGGTCTCTTTCCCAGTAGGTGGTCAGTCACAGGGAACTGTGTGAATCTGTTGTTTACCCAATCCCCTTCTCTTTGCCCACTGGAGTTTGTGCGTGAAAGGCAATTGCAATTTTAGTCAATCTGGAGGGAGAGGAAGGTGAGATTTCCCCCCAGTACTATCTTCCCCATGGGACATTCCTCCCCCCCCCCCCACTGCTTTCTTCACACAATATAGGTGTTTTCACTCCCATCAAACCAGAATCTGCTGTGATCACTGCCATCACAGATCTATCCCAACCTTGGGAATTGTGGGGTGGGGGGTACATTGGGGTCACCCCGTTTTCTCTCCACAATGACCCTGTAATGTGGGTTAGGTGGGGCATATGCAACTATAGCCCAATACCACCTAGTGAGTTTCATGGCTAAGCAGGGATTTGATCCTGGATCTCCTGAGCCAAAGTCCAAAGCTCTCCTGCGTCCAAGGTTCTCCTCCTATTTCACCATGCTGGCTCTCTGGTGTTTATAAAAATCCCATTTCGGCCACACCAAACAGGCGTGCACATACATGCATATACACAAGGATACCAGTTTTCTGCCTTTTCCTTGTGAACCACCTCATTAAAGCCCAAGTGCTCCCTACAGCAGGGGTAGGCAACCTAAGGCCCTCAGGCCGGATGCGGCCCAATCACTTTCTCAATCCGGCCTGCGGATGGTCCGGGAATCAGCGTGTATTTACATGAGTAGAATATGTCCTTTTATTTAAAATGCATCTCTGGGTTATTTGAGGGACGGTGGACCGGCCCATGACTGAAAAAGGTCCTGACCCCTGCTCTACAGGATCATGATCCTCATTCACATGTCAGGGAAGGCATCATTAGCTGGAAGAGGGGTGTGAAGGAGTGACCCTGCTCACCTTTGCCCCTTAGGGGGTCTCCATCTCAGGTGTGGCTCATCCAAAGAAGGAGGGGGAGGAAGAGGACCAAATCTCTCCTTTCCCCCTCCCCATAAAGAGTCCCTGTGATAAGAGGCACGACTCAAATTGCCTTGGGGTTTTTGCACAGGCGAAGATAGGATTTTTGTTAAGGGGGGAGGCAGCCAATGCTGCTTCTTTTTTTGGGGGGGGGAGATTTTTTTTTAATTATTCTCTATAATCACACTTTCCTCCAGGGACATCGAATAACTTACAAAAAAACCATTCAGTCGAAAATCTAACTATAACATACATCAAAATCCTCCTCCTATTAGTTATGCATAACAGTATATTCTTTTATCTATCCTAATTTTTTTCCCTCCCTCCCTCCCAATTGTTCTCTCTTCAAATCTTTAACCATGTGCACAGATTAATCATTCTAATTTGGATGCTTGGGTTGGCTTCCCCTATTTTTTTTGGGGGGAAGATTGCCCCCAAAAGTTGAACTTTTGTCGGGGGGGGGGGGGAAATCACAAATATCACAAAAATACCCCCCCCAAAAAAAGAGGCCATTATGGGGAGCAAGCTTTCGTGGGGGTGGGGGTTTACTTTCGATGTTTTCCGATCATTTTGAAAATGCTCTCCCCCCGTTGGGATTCGCCCGCCCCCCGAAGGCAGAGGGGTGAGCAGCTCCATCAGGCCTCCCTCTGCCCTTTCCCCACATAGGTCACCCCACTGAGCTCTCGCTGTCACCCCGGGAGACCCCAATCTCCGCCCATCTTATTTCAGGCCCCTAAATGTATATGTGTGTGGGGGGGTGTCATGATCTCTTGCCCCCCCCCCAAAAAGAGCTTCCCTCAGAGGCGCCTCAGAGGCTTCCTCGCGCGTGAGGAGAAGAAGCCCCCACGGCCTATTCCCCCCCCCCTCGCGCCTCGCCTCGCCGGATCCCCGGCCGGCCGGGCGCCGTTCTCGCTCTCCTCACACCGGTCGGTCTCGGCCCGGGGCGGCCCCGCCGCAGTGCGCATGAGCGGGTCGGCGGCGGAAGGCAGGGCCCGCGAGGAGGAGCCCCGGGAGCCGCCGCCGCCGCCGCCGCCACCGACCCTCCTCCCGCCTCCTCAGTGTCCGCCTCAGCCGGCCCGGGAGGGGAGAGAGGCCCGCGCGCAGCCCCCACCATGGTGAGGCCCTTCGGCCCCGGCAGGGAGGGAGAGCGGGCGGAGGGAGGAAGCGCCGCCATCGCCTGGCAACGCGGGGCCTAGTCGGGGGTGGGGGGGGAGAGAGAGAGAGACAGTCGGGGGGTGCAAGGGTTGGGGGGGGCGGCCTCGGCGCCGGTGAGAAGCAGCCCGGCCCTCACCCAGTTCCCACAAGCCGCCTATGCTGAGAGGGTGGGGGGCTTTGAGATATAGGGGCTGGGGTCGGCCCTTGTGTGGAAATCCACCCCCCACCCCCCTCAGGGAGCTGAAGTGGGGGTGGGGGTGGGATTTGGGGGTGCCCCGTTGGGGTGTATGGAGGGGCTCCAAAGGGTTTGCGTGTGGCTGGGCTTCAGGGGTTTCTGTATATGATGTGTCAGGAAGGTTTAGGGTTATTTTTCTCTTCTCCCCCCCCCCCAAAAAAAAACACTTTGGAGGACTGGTGGGGTAACTGGTAGGGGGAGAAAAACCCCCTGGGCATATGGGTGCTGCTTGATCTTGGGTGCCTGGGCCTCCTCTTCCTTGTTTCGTTTTTTTCTTTTTCCTTTTCCCTCTATCTCTCTCTCCAACCTGGGGGAAGCATCTCTCTCCCTCTCTCTCTTTGCATGCTGCACCTATCTCTGTTTGCAGTTGCGTTTTGTGCAGACACCTCTTTTGTTGCGGTGTGTGTGTGCACGTGTGCATGCAAGCAGGCGGGTACTCCAGAGAGGGTTAGCTGGGGTTAGCCTGGTTTCAGCAGAAGCTCCCCCAAGTGCCTCGTGGCACCTCAAAAGACAGTTTTAAACCCTGTGAAAGCATCCGTGGGCAGCAGCAGCAGCTGCATGGTGGTTGTCCTTAACTGGCAGTAGGGGTGGCATCCTGGCACTTTGTCCTCCAGCTTTGCCTTGTGGCAGGCATTGTTAAATCTGCAGCACGTCATGAGGCTGGTGCCCAGGAGTTGCCGCTCAGTACAGGACAGGACCTGGAAGAGAAAGTGGAGGAAATGTGCATGTTGCCCTCTGCGGCCCCCAGCCAAAAACTGCTTCAGAGTGACATAAATGACCTATGGAAAGGCCCATTTTGCCAATGGACAGCTCCATAACCCAGCGGTTGCTCACTTGCAACAACTGGCCGCCTGATAGAAGCTCAGACAAAGGGGCTGAGCCCTGCTATGAACCCAGATGCCAACTCTGCTCCTGTATTGTGTCAGGTGGTGCTATTGCAGGACCTAGCGCCAGTAATTCCCCTTAGGGGCTTGCTTGGTTGCTTGCTTGCTCATCCTGCGATGTGAATGTGCCATCACCTCTCATTAATGCCTTTTTGTTATTCACGTCAAAGAAACAGGTAGATGCCAAAAAAAGGGGGAAATAGAGACAGAAGGAAAAACGATACTGAAAAATGGAAGTGTTCAGAAGGTAGTGGGAGAGAATCTATTGCTCACCTCAAAATCGCCACATTTCAACAGAAGACTCCAAAGTGAGGCTCCGGTTTGAAATTGATGCACTACAGTTTATGAGCAAATTCGGTTCAGGTTGATTTAAGCTTGACTGGACTACAGTTTTTCTTCCCACTCCAGATGTTAAATTAGCATAGTGCACCTCGAAAGATATTGAATAGTACCACCACTGACTGCTGTTGTGAACAGTTTGCAAACCTGTTGCTATGCTGTCACTTGGATATCATGACTTTTTGACCTGTGTGTGTGTGTGTGAGAATGATTGCATCCCATGCTGTCCTTCTGTTCTTTGCAGTCCCCCTGTGCCAGTGTTCATGCTATTTAGAGGAGTGGGATATGCAGAGGCAGCACAGGGAAGGGGGGATTCCCCCCCCAATGCCTTCTTACCTCTTTCATTCACAGAAAGCTTTACTGAATCAAAAAGCTTTCCATGAATGGAAGGACAACATTGGATACATACTATATACTATATATATCTGAGGAATAATCTCAGGTAACTGCTGAGTAATCTTTTATGCATCTGTTGGAATGAGATCCAGTTCACAAAAGCTTAAGACCATAGAAATCTGTTAGTCTTTAAAATGCCACAAGACTGCTTGTGAATGCATATTTCATTTATGTTTCTCTGTGTTACACATTTTTTCTTGCTTATGAGGCAAGGAAACCATATCAACCATATTTATTCAGATGTAATCCCCTCTTATTTCATGGGGAAAGCATTTTAAGATGACAATCATATGCACACTTACTTTAGGAGTCTGTCTCATTTAGATTGGTAGCTCTTACTTCCAGGTTGTTGTTGTTGCTGCTATTATTTATTAAATTTAAATACTGCCGTTCATCCGAGGATCACAGGGCAGCTTCAGATCTGTTTGTTAGAATAGGGTTGTAAGGTGCAGTCATCCGTATTTACCTTTTAGGCTAGATTTTAAACATCATGCTGAAAGGCTTCAGTTTCCATACCATTTTTTATTTTTTTTGCCATTAGAAATCCTTACTAAAAGGCAAGCAGAAGAGGAATAGATTTAAAAAAATGATTTTCTAGGTAAAATTATTTTTCAAAATTTTTTCAAGTTAATGGGATTGTTCCATAGTAAGTCGTTTGAAAATTGTAACCACGGTAATTTAGTTTACATAAATTTAGTTGATTAGTGGGCTTCTGAGGTTCTTTCAGGTACTTTAGCCTGTTAAGCGGTTTGAGAACTTCTAACTACTGGCTTCCTCTGCCACATTGCACAGGCTTCAGGAAAACATCATGCAAGATTCTTCAGGAAATACAGTGAGTGTACCGAGGCTCCTGAACTACTCAAGGTGCTTTGAGTGCATTTAACTTTGGCCTCACAGCACACACACCCAGGATGTTTTCTCCTTAAAACTAATTTATTGCCTTTGCACAAATCAACACCCAACTTCCTGTGAGGAGACTAACACAATGGAGCACTTATCCAGTCTAAATATAAGCTGTGGCAAGGCATATTTATACTGTAATAAGTTTCTCAAGAGGTGTGGGACACCTTCCTCTCTCTATAAATAGTTGGGCTAAAGAACTAGAAAATGATTGGATATGTCATCTGGACTTGAAATGTTTGGATATATAATTAGGTTCCAAGTTTGTTCTTGCTATCATAAGTTGGTGTTCTTCAGTAAATGTGGGCCAGTAAATTGAAGCTGAATCTTGAAAAAATAGAGGTGCTGTTCTGCGTTCCGAGTTCTTGAGTGTGGAAGATGGAAAGATGGCCTATTTTTGATGGGATTGCAGTCACCTGAAAGGTGCAGATCTGTAGCTTGGGGGTGTTCCTGGATCTAACACTGTCACTGGAGGCTCAGATGTGCCTTTTTCCAACTCTGACTGTTTTGTCCCTCATGGATAGAGATGACTTGGCCACTCTATTGCACCTTCTGGTAACCTCTGGATTATACTGTTGCAATGCATTTTACTTCAGGCAGCCCTTGAAAACAATTTAGAAACTTTAGCTGGTTCAAAATGTGGCAACCAGATTACTGGCCAGGGTTCCTCTTAGATGTCATATAAACCCTATTTTAAAACAGCTGCACTGGTTGCCAGTGTGTGAATTAGGCCCCAGATATATGAATGAGAATATATATATATATATATATATATACACACACACACACACATACACACATATATATATATACACACACACACACACACAGTCATACCTCGGGATAAATACGCTTCAGGATAAGTATTTTTGGGTCGCGCTCCGTGGCGACCCGGAAGTAACAGAGTACATTACTTCCGGGTTTCGCCACTCACGCATGCACAGATGGCCAAAATGATGTCACGCATGCGCAGAAGTGGCGACACGCGCAGACGCGCTGTCGCGTCTTACGTTCCGTTCGGGATGCGAATGGGGCTCCGGAACAGATCCCGTTTGCATCCCAAGGTACCACTGTGTATGTGTGTGTACACACACACACACACACACACACACACACACTGCCTTCATCCAGAGGGGCTTTTCTTGGTAGTTTCACCGCCCTCAGGATTGAGAGGAATGGCAGCCCAGGGAAGGACTTTCTTTGTAGCAGCCCCCAAATTGGGGAACTCCTTTTGCACAGAGGTTATGTTCTGGGGTTGGTGCATAGATATAAACGCACATGAACAGTCTTACCTTCTGGAGCCAGTGTGCCAAATGGTCTTTGCCCTCAAGCAGGGCAGAGAGCTTTAAAACTCCCACTCTCTGGTTGGCTTTTACAAGATCTTGTGGGGCCATTGGAGATCTTGCGAGAGCCTCCCAGAGCGTTGTAAGAAAACCAGAGAGCTTAAAAGTTCATTCTGGCATCAGCCCAGTGCCATATAGGCACATCAGCAACAGCAGTTTGGTCGCAGTATGGGGGCGATGATTACTGCTCTGTTGTCCTCAACACCTGCTCATGATACTGCGTTTTGGGATTGCTCACTGATATTTAAAGAAATGTAGCTCCATTGAAAGTGTTTCACAGGTACTGAAGTGCTGAGTGACATGGAGTTGCTGTTCAAAACGGCACTGTCCTTTCTCCCTTGTAACCTGCCACATCATAATGTCGGCATGCAACACATTTCTCTGCCTGCGCTCCACCCCTTAAATGACAGGGATGGGGAAATACACAACACAGTGACATCACAACATGGCTAAGTGCTGATGAACACTATTGTGGGGAGTGGAGTGGAGAGACTTTAACAGGGAGGTTCTTTCTTTCTTTCTTTCTTCCTTCTTTTTTTAACAGCAACACACCTGTTATATCTAGTTCCACTCCAAGAAGTTTCCTTAAGCGTGTTGAGGTAGCACGCCAAAATGTCACTTCCTTAAAGCTGTGCTAAGGTGCCTTATGCCCATTGTTGAGGGCTAAGAGTTCCCAGCCTCACTGAACAGCCAGCAAGTAGGTTGTGCTCCTTTATCTTATCACATGTTTGTCAAAGGGAAAAAGTAAACAACCTGCCATTTTTTAAATTTGTGTAGACAGAATTATGGAATTGTATTTTTCAACTTCCTTTGTTTAAATTTGCTGTGGCTGGGATGCAACGTTTGTTTGTTTGTTTATTAAACTTGTATACTTTGTTGTATGCATGTTTGTCTTGTTAGCCAACTTGAATATTTATTGATAAAAAAGCAAGGGAGAATCTCTTCAAATAAACAAACAATACAAGATAGAAACACTGTAATTGTTTTTTATGTACAGAAGCAATTAAAATAGGAATGCCTATAAATAAACTTGTAATATAGCATCTTTGTATAAGCTGAGAGGCATGAATAGAAATTCAGTGAAGCTATATTCTGTTTGTACCATTTGTGGCTTTTATACTTGCCTTCTTAAGCCAGGGGGAAATAGGTAACCATAGATAGATGTGGATTCTTATCACAGTCGTAATGTCTGAAACCACTTGCTTTATCATGTGACTGTTTGGTGTAGTTTCTCCATCAGATGATGCTATCGTATGGCCTTGTTTACTGGCTATGAATCTCCATTAGTCAGGAAGCCAAATTAATTGTTGTGATAATGGAGCAAATACACCAACAATTTGCAATACTGAAGATTGTGGCAGGCTGTTAGCAATAAGGCTTCAGGGAAGGTATAGGCTGTGATCTAAAGGGACATACGCATATGCCTCCTGCATGCTCCTGCATTTTTGCATTTTCATTGCAACCTCACATAGCTCTTCTACAACACTTCTTCCCCAAGTTCAGCCAGTAGTTTGGGGGATTTGGTGTGAGAACAGTTTATAGGAAACCTGCCAGTAGTGTCTGCGTAGTGTTTGAAACCTGTTGTGCAGGTTTCCCTTCTAACCACTCTCCTGGAAACTGATATATTTGGATGCATGTGTGTCTCTTTGTGTCACAGCTGTTGTCCCCTCCTAAGCCCTGTAATGTGCTTTCTGTGGAACATTTAGAGCCGTGGTTCTCAACCTGTGGGTCCCCTGATGTTGTCAGACTACAACTCCCATCATTCCTAGCCAGCATGACCAGTGGTCAGGGATTATGGGAGTTGTAGTCCAACAACATCAGGAGACCCACAGGTTGAAAACCACTGGTTTAAAGGATCTGCCATGAGTGTTTCTGTGGCTGCTACATCCTCCCTATCACAAAAGAGCAGGACACATCCATGAGCCAAGTTGCTGGTTGTCTCAAGTAGAAAGGAGAGCCATCACACAATGTTTTATCCTTGATTCTGTTGCATAGCTTGTTTGTTGAACTTGTGAGCTGCTTTGGGCACCATTGAGCTTGGAATTAAATTCTTAATTAGAAGGAGTTGAACACTACAGGTAGACTTTCTGTATGTCCACCTTAATTCTCTATCAGGTACCATTCACTTGAGGAAAGTGGCCCTTTTGAGCTACAGGTTGAAGTTGGATATTCCTCCTCAGGTAAGCACACGGGAGATCTCACTGTTCTTGTGTTTTCTGATACTTTTCTAGAACAAGCTGAAGTCATCACAGAAAGATAAAGTTCGACAGTTTATGATCTTCACACAGTCCAGCGAAAAGACCGCAGTGAATTGCCTGTCTCAGAATGACTGGAAGCTAGATGTTGCAACAGATAACTTTTTCCAAAATCCTGAACTGTATATACGAGAAAATGTTAAAGGATCATTGGACAGAAAGAAGTTAGAACAGCTATATAATAGATATAAAGGTAAGTATAGTGCAGTTTTTCTTTTTCTTTTAAAAAGGTGTGTTAAATGCATCATTTTGCTGGCAATAGATTCCATTTGGAATCCAGGCCAGAAACTTGAGTTTCAGCTGTGGCCAGAACAGACCAAGAACGCAGTGCCCTATAAGCATTACAACAAAGGCTACCCTTTATTTATGACATTTTTATCCCACCCTTCCTCTAGGCAGCTCAGGGTGGGAAACATTCCCCCACCATCCCACATTGTATCCTTGCAACAACCATGTGAGGTGGCTTAGACTGAGAGATGGTTAAAGGGTCTTAAGGTGAGCGTCATGGCTGAAAGTAGATCTGGACCTGGGTCTTCCTTCTGATTGCTACACAGATGCTCGTTCTTGCCGTCATGCTGCTAGACTTACTGGCAGAGCATCTGGGTTGCCCAGTTTGTTCTCATCCTCCCAGGCAATCATTTGTCAAGCCATCTCATCAACCCTGAGACACAGGAAAGCCTTCCTTTTCCTTCTCCCGAGAATCTTTTGTGCTGGACTGCATTTTAACTCCTCTTCACAGAGGTAAAATCCAGTCCTTCAGGGAGCACATTGGGTTGAGTCATGCTCTCTTTCTTGAAATGGGAATAAGTGACCCACCTTCCAATGCAATTGTGATTGCAGGTAAGATGAGGTTTGCAGAGGGAACACACTTAAAACAGTGCATAAAAGTGAATGCTATGTAGCAGCTGACAGCATTTAATGGCCTTAGGAAGCAGGTTCTTGAACGAGTGCTTGGCCGCCATACCTTTTATTAGAAATGGTTTCAGAAAGACGGAGACTTCCATTCATTTTATTTTGTTTCTCTCTTATACTCCAAGATCCTCAAGATGAGAATAAAATTGGCATAGATGGCATACAGCAGTTTTGTGATGACCTTGCGCTTGACCCTGCCAGTATTAGTGTATTGATCATTGCCTGGAAGTTCAGAGCTGCGACGCAATGTGAATTTTTAAAAACGGAATTCATGGATGGGATGACAGAACTAGGGTAAGTGCTCAACAACTCTATGAAAGTAGGCGGGCCATGCTATTCTGTGCATGGAAAGGTTTGTACTTCCATGCTTGAAGCAGAATCTTACGTAACTCAGGAAGAGCCATTCAAACTCTTATCTGGTGGAGGAATTTGTATTATGTGTTTGTGTCTCTATGAATGAACACAATTTATTTCGCACACACTTGATTTCCCAGTGCCAGCCTCAGGTGCAGCTTTGCCATAGCATCTCTGGGCTCCTTTCAATGCCATGCAAAGGGCTCCTGGCAGCTCCCTCAGTCCCCACGAAGCTCCTAGGAAATCATACATACTGCTACTTTCAACTCAGTAACAATATAGGTCAGGGCCATACGCTGAAATTTAAAACAAAATGCTCCATGCAAATCTTCAGCTACAAGGCATTCAGACTATCTGATACATACATTTGCTCAGCGTTTTGTCTTCTAAATGCCAATAAGCATGTCGATGCAAGGTTCGATTGAGGTATGAGGGAGCACAGATGGTGTATTTGAGCATGGCATTCTTTGCGCTCCTGATAATGCATTTCTTTGAGACCTTGTCTGTTCACAAGAACAACTCACCATCTGCCAGATTGTTGAGATTAAACAGCCTGTTTTCAAATGTTGCCCCTTCCCAGCTGTGGTATTTTGCTTGATTCTTCTTTGATGGTGTTTGCCGCTGTAATCGTATTCATAGATTTGAACAGAAGAGGAGCTGGTGCCCAAAGGGGGTTTCTTGAATTTCTTGGAGAGGTGGCCCCAGCCTCTGCCTCCCAGGAAAGTTCCACAAATGTGTTGGTGATAATGTATTTTCAGCACCGCTTAATAGAAAAGAGAGCTTCAGGAATGATCAGACTATATATATGTGACATTCCTTTTTTTTTGTTAAAGCAACTATTTAGTAATGCCATTTTACAAAGTATTTAGAACATGATCCTAAACTAATGCACAGGTAAACTTTTGTGTTTGTTTGTTTTTTAAACCAAACCACTAAACCCAACAACAGATGTGACAGCATAGAAAAACTAAAGGCCCAGCTTCCAAAAATGGAACAAGAATTGAAAGAGCCAGGAAGATTTAAGGATTTTTATCAGTTTACCTTCAACTTCGCAAAGAATCCGGGACAAAAAGGTTTAGGTATGTATGCCAATATTTCCTTGTACAAGTCAGGGTCCATTATTGGGCTACAGCTGAATGTGATGAGAGGAAACACCCCTTGCCTCCAAAGTGGTGTTTACACGTTGAGATTACCTCAGTACACTTCCCTAAGCAAACGTATCTTCTTGGAAAAGTGTCCTGATACGTTGGCATGCTTGCGCACTGGAGGACTGACGATAAGTTTGGTGCGTTCAGTAGTGTTTCTAAGTTCTCTTTTCCAAAAGCATTTTCAATTGACAAGGAATTGTAAGAATTATAACAAATAAGCTGTATTTGAAACTTGGTATAGTTTAGGAGGGACGCAGGTGGCACTGTGGCCTAGGACTTGCCGATCAGAAGGTCGGCGGTTCGAATCCACGTGACGGGGTGAGCTCCCGCTGCTCGGTCCCTGCTCCTGCCAACCTAGCAGTTCGAAAGCACGTCAAAGTGCAAGTAGATAAATAGGTACTGCTCTGGCGGGAAGGTAAACGGCGTTTCCGTGTGCTGCTCTGGTTCGCCAGAAGCGCCTTTGTCATGCTGGCCACATGACCCGGAAGCTGTATGTTGGCTCCCTCAGCCAATAAAGCGCGATGAGCGCCGCAACCCCAGAGTCGGTCATGACTGGACCTAATGGTCAGGGGTCCCTTTACCCTTTATAGTTTAGGAAGCAATCTTTGTCACAGCGTGCAAAGCTGTCCAGGGGGAGGGAGGGAGAAGGTGATGCCGCATTGAACATGGGCAAACTCCTGCCTGCACGCTGCCTTTAATATCTTGGGGAAAGGGCGGATACCCAGGATCATGACTGGGAAGCCTTGGGCCTTCCGGATGTGGCTGGACTACAACTTCCATCATCCCTGACCATTGGCCAGGCTGGCTGGGACAAACAGGAATTGGAGCCCAACCACATCTGGAGAACCACTCATTCCCCAGCCCAAGATCCCGAAACACTCTTAAATGTTACTGTACTAAGAGAGTGTTCTTTGCAACCCTCACTTTTACTGTGCAATTCCCGAACAGGTGTGTCTGGACAAGCGGGGAGGGGGAAAGCCTCAATTACTTATTTAATTACCCGTTTTCTTTAATGTTGCAGACTTAGAAATGGCCATCGCCTACTGGAATTTAGTACTTCATGGACGATTTAAATTCCTAGACTTGTGGAACAAATTTTTATTGGTAAGCGCAAGTATGGATTGCCTCATTAGTAATGACTAAGTGCCCAGTTCTGGGAGGTTCTGCAGCCTGACTCTTCCCTACGGGACCCAGATCAACAATCTTTGCGGCACGTGGCATTGGTCAGCAGCTAGTGGCCCACCACCCAAATCCACACTGTAGATAACCGGCAGCTTTCCTTGCCCCAAAACCTTGTTTGATTTTAAAACTTGAAGAAAGAGGGTGTTGGGATGACAACCAGAAGCAGAAATCCCAAATGGCATTCTTTTAAAAAAGGATTATTTTGGATATCTCTTACAGAATTATTTTGGGGGTTCCCCCCGACCCATCATGGTTCTAAAGCCTGTGGGACTTGCAGCTGTGTAAGGCACCTGACTGGCTTTGCTGCAAAAACGGGCCTGTATGGTGGGCTGTGCTTGACTTCACAGGTCATATGTGAACATGCAGTGGTGCTGCAGGTTTTGTATCTTGAGCCACTAGCCCAGTCTGTTCTTATTGGCAGTAGCTCCCTATGAACAGGATTCATAGCCAGTCCTAAGGGCCTCTCAGCTGGAGATTGAAGCTGGGACATTCTGCACACTCTTGCATTAGACAAAGCCTTTCCTCTGGCCCTTCCAGGGTTGTCATGTGTAGCTAATGCTTTTCACACTCTGATTTCCCTCAAAACAGGAACATCATAAAAGATCTATACCAAAGGACACTTGGAACCTTCTTCTAGACTTCAGCGCGATGATCGCAGATGATATGTCGAATTATGACGAGGAAGGTAAAGTTGCTATTTGTTCCTCTTGGGGCACTTTGGCCTGTGTGGAGTGCTCTGTCCCCAAGAAGCTTCTCTCCTTAAGTGATCCTGCTTTTGCCCTGGACCTTCTGTATTTTCTTGTTGGCTTCCCCTCCTACTATAATTTTCAATTTGTTGGAAATCCCTGATATCATAAGGGGCACAGTGGGTATTAAAACAGTTTCTGGAAAAGTAAAGCCGCTCATTTCTTGCGTATACCGAGCTGAATCCAGGACTTGAACAATTCTAGTCATTGCCATCCTCATAGTGACCACGAATCTAATTCTGGCAAGCCAGCCTCTCCACAGCAAGGAACACCTGTTGTTGTTTCCACTATTGAGTTGCTTCTCCTCTTACGCTGCTCAGTTGGGTTGCCAGGTTGGCTCCCGCACCACTGAATCTGCCACACCTCCGTGTCTGATTGGCTGAAGTAGCAACCATGTGTGACTTCCCTTTCTGCCTGCCCTTGAATGTTTTGCTCAGCTCCCCAGACTTGCTCTCTTCACGTCCCTTGGGTGCGAACGAGGAGCTGCCTGTTTCTGCATGAGGGGAAAACCAAGATGGCGGGGCGAAAGACAGTTCTTAGCTGTGTACAGCAGGGGTGGGGGATCTTGTTCAGTTTGAGGGCTGCCTTTCCTTCTTAGCCACCTTCCTTCCAGGGGCCATTTGGCAGTAGTGGGTGGGACCCGATGTAGATGCAGATGGAACAATGAAGGTGAACTGTACCTTCATTTGGTGGGCAAGCTCCTGCACATGCTCTCCCCTCCGGCCAGGCAAACGAGGCATTTTCAGAACACAATCCAGCCAGGAGTAACACCCCATGAAAGAAGCGAAGTAGGACAATGGGTGGTGGTTCGGAGAGACTCTCATGGATCAGATAGAGAGGCTTGGAGCATCTCTATAAAGAGGAGTGCAGAAAACAAGGGGGGAACAAGCCTTGTAAACTTCTCTTTTGTGCTGTGCAGGGGTAAGGCTGCACTTGCATGGCGGGGAGCAAACGGCACTCTGCCCACATTTCAAAGCTTTTTAAATATAACCCTGCTGGCCCATTGCTTGATCCAAAGATCTCCTTCTGCAGCAGGGTGCTGTGTGTGGCTCTGTGAATGCTAATCTTTCTTTTCTTTTTTTAAATTGTATAAAAAAAACCCAAAATTAGCATATCCAAGAAAAAAACTTAGCATTCCATCTTATAGAACCTTGTATAAAGTTTTCTGACTAATTGCTCTCACTTTTTAAAAAGTTTGTGTTCAAATCCTGTCCCAGGATTAAAAAAATTAAGATTATTTAATTATTATTAAATGATGAAAATAAAAATACTGGCCAAAATTGAAGGGCTGTTCTGAGGTAACAAGGCATGGGAAGAGCTTGGAACGCATAAAGTGCTAAATATTTTCTGGTGACATTTTCTTGTAACAGCTAGGGGGGCAAATTATAGTCTCCAACTCTTCAGATAAGGCATTCTGCAAGCTTAATAATTCCACCCCTCTCCCTTTTTCTTCCAGGGGCATGGCCTGTTCTTATTGACGACTTCGTGGAATTTGCACGCCCTCAAATTGCTGGAATAAAAAGTACGACAGTGTAGTGCTAAATGAACCTTCTAGAATGTACATAGTCTGTACAAAATAAACAACATGGGGGAAAATTGCACAGTCAATTTCTGCTGACTGACTGAACAGGACTGAAGACCAATCCTCAAGAAATAAAGGCTGGGGGTTGAGTCAAACCTTTAAGGATCTACTTTGGACCATATCAGACGATGGGTGGTTTGGGCTTCTCATCTAGCCTGGGCCAGCCTTGCCCATTTGAAAACTCCAGCATTGTGGATATCATTCTTTTTCTTTTTTAAAAAATGAAGCACCCTAATCCTTTCCATAAATCTTAAAATGCTTTTTGGATTTTTTTTTTTTTAATTTCTTGTTCCTCCTAAAGGCACATGCTGTCTTCACCAAGCAAAATCTTTTGACGTAATAATTTCACAGATCAGCATCGCAATCTGTTTCAGAAAAGCTTCAAGTAGCACACCTTTGGGCTAGCTGCAAAGACTTTGCTGAGAATATCCTAAAAGAGTGATTCGTTGGATCTGGTTCCGTACGGTCCGTTCACAGCTATTGTCTATGTGAGTGGCAAGGGGTTTCTTTGCTTTGCTCTGGCAAAAGGTCTGGGCTTTTCTGCCCGCCAATATCGGGCTATCCAGCTATGTAGGTGCTTGACTGAAGTTCTGTTGTGTCTAATAGTGAATGCTGCTGAAACGCAGGACAGATACGGCGCTCAACAGTATCCATATTTTAATAATCTAGTCGGAAACACTGGGTGCCTAATGTTGAAAGGTGAACCATCCTTTAGGGCCCCGATCCTCAGTAGCTGGGCCATGTGAATCTTGCTAAGTCTCTGCCTCTTGCTTCTTGCTGTCCCCCCTGCCAACACTTGGTGGCTTCCCTTGTCTGCCAGCACTCCAGCCTTGACCACCGCGTTTCTTTGCAATGCCATGCATGCAGAGAGAAAGAGGCAGGGCCTGGAATACCTGTGCCCACCTAAATTAGTGATACCCTCTCCACCACCACGCCCTCAGTAGACTGTCTTGCAGCTAACTTGGATGACACCATTCCAGGGCGGCAGGGGTGTCCACCTTCTTCAGGGAATTGGGGCACTTACTATTACCCCTCAATCCTTGGGGCAAAGTATCATGGGTCATGTTATTTCTAACTTCCAAGAGTGGGGTCGAGTTTTCCGATAGAAAGACCAGCAGGATTCATCCTAGAATGTGGGTGATAAGTTGCTCACAACTGCTCTTAGTTACCCAATAAATTTTTTTGTAGCATCTCTTTGTCCAGGAAATCTTTCCCGCCCCCATTAACTTCTACTGAAATGTTATAACTTGAATACAGTACTGAATTTATAATGTTTGCTACACGATACATATAATCCTTGATTAGGGCCAACAGAGGTTTTTGATCGTGGGTATAACAATGAGTGTGATATGCATTTTCTTCTATACTTGATGGTTTGAGCCATTAATACAAAATTTTTATGGTGTTAGCGGTACTGACATTATGGTCCACGCCCTTCATTGGTGACAGGCAACTTACCATATTAACCGCAAATCGCTGTGGTTGTCAAAACAGAGGGATCCCTACTGCGAGCAAAAGTTCTGCCAGGCTCTAGCACATAGACACCTTGAGCAAGCAGGAACGCCTCAATTCATTTTTGCAATCGTGGCCACAGAAATCCCTGCGTGAGGTTATTGCTCGCCCAAGAGCTCTCCTGCTTAAGTGAAGCCTTTGTGTGAGCTCCAGACTTGCTGGGTTCACAAGTTTATCTTTCCCAAGCAAGTACATAGTATAACTAGCATAATCCGGCCAAATAGGTTAAGCACTATTAGTGGGAGAGTCTTAAGTGTATCGTTGACTCTTTAGTGGTGCTTAACTTTGGCTGGGTCAGGCGAAAGAAATGTTTTGCTTAACCATGGTGAAGAAACTGGGAGTGCGCTTTGGGCTCATGAACCCCTCTTCCCTTTTAGCCGTGTGTAGCAATCCCATCTCCCCAATGCTTTTAAGATAGAGTTTGAAACTTAAGTGAAGGAGCTAGTTTGCATACCTTGGTTAAAGTTGACTACAGTATTGATCTTGGTTCAAGTGCCACACTAAACATGGTTAATAAAAGGAATGGGGAGAGATCTGGCATGGGAGAGAATTAGTGGGAGCCCCTGGGATCTCCCAGTCTTCCCCAGTGCCTAAGCAACGGGGAAACTTTTGCATCTGAACTAGGCTCCACTGCACTTCATCTGCTTCTACACTTGTGTCCAGTTCACAGAGTCTGGCTTATCCTTTTGAGCCATGGCTTTAGTCCTTGTGTTTTAACATGGCAAAAGCAGCACTTGAAACGCCTTCTGGCTATAATGTCATGTAACTTCACGAGCGATACTAAGCTGTTTTCTGGAAATCATTTCGCAGAGGAAACATGAGTTGTTTTCCCCATCCGATATTAGAAGTCCTTTTCTAATCTTTTAAAAAAGGAAAAGTTCAGGCTTGGCATATTGTGTCCTATCTCATTTATCCATAAAATTAGAAAGAAAGAAAGAAAACACTTATGCACATGCTAAATAATTTTAGGGAAAATACTTGAGTATTAAATTGCTTTATCTTTTTTAAAACCTGTATGAAGTTGTGAGAAAGGGGCTTCCCTTTTTCCCAGCTGTGCCCTTTTGGTAAAGCTCAGTCTTGTGTTAATTTAAGAAAACCATTAGATAAAAATTGGGAATCCCTTCTTCAGAAGCCAGAGTTGGCAAAGTCAAATATATTGCTTTACTGCTTGCATTGTTTCTTTTCTCTCTCTCGTGTAAATATCAGTGGAGACTTGAATTATGAAAACTACAAGGTGTGTGTGTGCTGTTTTCGGTCTTAAGAAAATTTGGGTACAGTTTTTTCAGAATGAGTCATTGATGTATGTATGCTGTGTATTTTTTGTGTTTTGGTGTTCTTTTCCCCCCCAAATGAGATGTACTTAACTCTGTCCCTGTGGAGAAGGTTGGGGCATAAATGCTGTGCTGTTTTTTGTTTCTTTTTAAAGATAATTCCTTTTGCAATGTTGAGGCCTTTTCAACAAAATGGATTTTGCCATCAGTTTGGTACTACACAATTTATAATTACTGTGTAATTATAAAACTGCATTACATAAAGCATTGCTGTCTTAAGTAGCAGAGAAACTAAGGTTATTTGTGTGATCGCCTCTCTGAATTTTAAGAAGAGTGTTCAGTTCAACAGGCACAAACTGGTCAAATTTTCTTTTCAGTGGGAAGTGTGCTATCAAATCAGCGCTTGGTTGGATTGTGTCCAGTGGCAAGAGATGTTTGGCTTATTGTTGGCTTGCTTCTGAATGTAAATGCCCAGCTCTTCGAGAGACTGAAAAATGCCCAAACTTTATGCCCATTTGTATGTGTGTGTTGATTTTTTTAAAAAAAATAATTAAAAGTTGTGAACTTTTTGGGTTGATAGTATTCATAAAATCAACCCACTCTTCAACTTGGCAGTAATCTTCCCCTTCACAAATCACTTTCTTTTGCCAAATATTAGAAAAAGTGAACGCTTAAACAAAATTCAAACCCTCGTATTTGATCTTTTTATATATATATATATACCAATATGTAGAATTAGAAATACCTTGCTACATGAAAATATTTGGGAATCAAGGCTTTTATTTCAGTCACGTGATCAGAATCTGTAAGTTAAATTGTAACTACCTAGAAAAATCCCTCCGACAGACCAGAGGCAATAAAGTTCCGGCCCAGTTGTCATGGTGAACCTTTCTCATGAATTTTGTTGTTTAAAAAAACAATCCCAAACTTGATGCATTCTAAAAAAATTTTTTAAAGCAAAAGCAACTCATGGCAAGGAATGAGAAAGCAGAACCTTGCTAACAGCCTCCTGTTTGCCATGACACACCACGACTTTCTGGTTGCACAGTGGAGGGGTTTTTATTCCCAGCCATGGCACATTGCTTTGAGATTACTTGGGGCGGGTGGGGGAGAGAGACTGAGGAACCTCCATGTTTAATGTGGTTGGTCCAAAAGCTACAGCATTTGTCTCTTGATCAACCTGTTAAATAAAGTAACTTATTTCTTAAAACTGTTCTCTGATGAAAATCCATTTGAATAAGTTAAAAGACGATTCATATAGCTTTAAAAGCTTTAAGGTGACTTTTCTTATGGGTCTTGTTTTCAAAATGTGATGGGAATTTCCAGAGGGCTCTCTTGAGCAAGAGGAGCAGGTTAACTTAGGAACGTTTTACAGATTACACAGAGGCAGATCTCGATTTTGCCCTCGATTGTGCTGCGAGTATAAACTCTACATGGCTTCTTAGTGAATGCACCTACGTGCTACATGCATTTATATTTATATTTTGGGTGTACACCTAGAATTGACGTGCATAGGTTGCCACCCTATGCACCAAACTCCATACCCCTGAATAAACACTTGTAGGAGTTGTTAAGATTCTTTACACATGTTGTTCTCTCTGGAATCTAGTGAAGAATTGAGGTCCAGATCTCATCTGGGTAAAAAACCTTTTATCAGCAGTGTAATGTTACAAAATCAGCAGCTTCAAAGTATGGTACACAAAGTTTCAATTTCTTGGCTTCCCCCAATTTGCGATTACTATATTGATGCTTAGGTGCTTGTGAGCCAACTCTCCATTCACTAGATATTTAGAACACACACACCCCAGCCTAATTTCATGTGGATGGCAAGGAAGGGAGAAATGGAGACTGCATTGCAGGGCCTTGCCCGCTGCCAGCTTCATGTGCCAGCCACCAGCACTCAGCCTGAGAGTTTCCCTTGGAGGAAACGAAGGTTTTTATCCCTGCGCTTGAGTATCACAAGAGGTCACCTCAATCTCTTCCTAGCGCAGCGTGACGGGTGCTCAGGAGTCCAAACTGAGTAATTCAAGAGCATCATTTGCAATGCTTGCTACACTGCTACACCTTGCAGCTGCCTTTGTGGTTGTATAGCAATTTCTGATTTGGGCAGGCAGGTTGGTATGTACTGGCCCTATTTTTCTTCTTCGATGAAAAGTACAATATAAGCCATGGCTATTTGCTGTGGTGGATTATTCGTGTAAATATAAAGCACTGTGTAACAGGTTTAGGTGTTTTTTTTAGCTTGGTATTTTAACTGTAGACCCGACAGTGTAGGGTAACAAACAAGAGATAATGGATTATTGTTCTATGGGTGAATGAGTGCGTGTTAACACTAGCTGCTATTGTGGTGCATCCTAAAGAAAGCTTGCAAGTATTGCAGCCCTGCTTTTAATGGGACTAAACAAGAATCTAAACCAATGCGTTAAAATCTGCAGAGTAAGGACGGGGAGCTGTGGCCCTCCAGATGTTAGAATCAGATAGTTTGGGGACCCCTTGGATTCAAGTGGGAGGCTACTGAAGCCTCATCCCTACTGTGGAAGCGCAATGAAACACACAAAACACTGGAAAAAGCTGCCACCTTCTATTTGAACTCCTTGCTTTTTTTAAAAAAAATGGCAGGTGGATAGCAGAGTTGCTGAGCTGCAAACCTTTTTCCTTTCTCTACCTGTGACAGACAATTTGTAGAATGCACTAAAACATGCAATTCCTCACCCTCAAATCCTTAAGCACCCATTCTTAAGCAGTGAAGACAAGACAAGTGGCATAAAAGTCAAAAGATTTATTCAATAAATATAATTTCCATAAACTTTTGTAGAACAACCTATTGACATAGCAGTACGGTCAGCACGCTATATTAAACTCTGTTTCCACAGAGGATCTAAAAACGATGGTAGAGGTGGCCACAGTGCCCGGGGTCAAGATTACTTGGTACCTATTATTGCTCTGGTTCCCAACAGGCAATGCTGCTTTAATGTCCCTCTTGCACAGTTTCAAACAGCTAAGGTGGGGCTGCATTCGGTGCTCCTTCCAACGGCACCATGCAGGGGCCTTTTCAAACCCTGATAGCAGTGCACCCCACCAGGCTTGTCCACAACTGAGAATCAAGAGGGCTTGCTGTTTCTTCATGAAGGAGGACCAATTTGCAGGACCTTGAATCAAGCATGTTTGATGAAGCGCAGTCTTTGGCATAGTAAGAATAATGTCTCATACCTGAAACCACCCTCGTTTTAAAAATAAAGTATTTCCCAGCTTCTTTAAAAAAACACAAGTCAGTAAATATTTAATCCTGCAGCTAAGTAACAAAATAGGCTTTCTCTGAAATGGCAATTCTTGTTGAAAATGGTGAGTACACACACAACAAGCACTATCTGTCGCACGGGATCTCATTGAAACCTAAATTCTGCCCCAAGACGGAGATTATGAGCTGTGCTTTACCCGCCCCCCATTGATTTTAGTGAGACCGAATTACAGCACAATCCTATCCAAGTTCACTCTGCTACAAAAGTCCACCATGCACAGTGGAGCTAAGAGACAGGAGGTTTGAGCATGATCAACCATCCCTTTGCAGTGATTTTTCTCCAACTTGGTGGCCTCCGGCCACTGCATGTGGTACTTCAACAAGAGGACGCCAAGTGAAGGAAAGCACAGTCTGCATACTTCCTAATATGTTTCTGGGCCCTTCTCAGTCACTTATCATTCTACTGTCCATCAGCTGTTACAGAGGTTCAACGCATTTACATGACACATGGCAAAAAGCATAAAGATGGCCATAGTTGTGTCTGCCACCAAATTACTGTTGGCATTGCGCCATAATAAGCACATAGGCTCTACTTGTAGTCAGTCCTTCAACATTTCCAGGGTCCAGCGTTAGTCACATTTCTCAATGTGGGGCCTGGGTTTAACACAAACGTCCCTCCTCAAGCCAGTCTACACTGCGGAAGTTTGGGTTTGCATTCCTTATCCCTGGGGAACCCTGGAAGTTCTGTAAGTGTTGGCAAATGTGTAGTACCTGCACCCAATTGCAATCCCTGGGATTTTAGGGAGCGGAGCCACAGCAGGTTTCCGCAGCACCCTTATGACAATGGGTATGTGTTACAGGAAACCACTATGCATCAACTCCTTAGCCCATCTAGCTCAGTAGTCTACACTGGTTGGCAGCTCTTCGGGGTTCAGTCCAAAGTGTTTCAAAGCCAGTTGATGCCAGGGCCTAAACTTGGAACCTTCTGTGTTCAAAACAAGGTCTCTACACTTGAGCTACCTGAACTTCAGCTCCTGGCTGCTTTCCCCCAGCTTTTCCTATTGGGCATTTAAGTCATTCCTGCATGATATATAGAGATTTCAATATACAAATGTTCTACTGATTGCATGTTAGATACACTTGGAAAGTGAAGTTCACAAAGCAATCAAATTTGGAATATTAAATTTTAAAGAGAGATTCTATTCATCCTTAAAAACTTTGGGGGGGGGCAGGTCAAAAGAATGTTTCAGACTACCTTCTTTCAGGGACGCAGGTGGCGCTGTGGGTAAAACCTCAGTGCCTAGGACTTGCCGATCGCATGGTCGGCGGTTCGAATCCCCGCGGCAGGGTGCGCTCCCGTTGTTCGGTCCCAGTGCCTGCCAACCTAGCAGTTCGAAAGCACCCCCGGGTGCAAGTAGATAAATAGGGACCGCTTACCAGCGGGAAGGTAAACGGCATTCCATGTGCTGCGCTGGCTCGCCAGATGCAGCTTGTCACGCTGGCCACATGATCTGGAAGTGTCTTCGGACAGCGCTGGCTCCCGGCCTATAGAGTGAGATGAGCGCACAACCCTAGAGTCTGGCAAGACTGGCCCGTACAGGCAGGGGTACCTTTACCTTTACCTTACCTTCTTTCAATGGCTGAGCAATGTTTAGCACTACAAAATGCAGCTTCACACAGGGCGATACCGGTGAAACTTTACATGGGCAGAGGCTGTGCAGGCCCACTGAAGGCAACGGGACTTTGCAGGGAGTGTTTTTGGTACGATGCCCCCTCCCGCAAATCTCCAAACATCCTTAAATATGCATAGCATGTTTTAAGCAGACAAAACTCTATAGTATTTGGAAATAAGTAGACTCCTTGGGACTCTGCAGATACCCCCAAACTATTGCAAATAGAGCTGCATGTAGGAGATGCCTGACCCACTGACTCCCTGAGTCCCAAGCTTATTTCTTGTCTGTTGTCATTAGGAGTTTCTTTCTCCCAGCAGCTGAACTTCTGAGGATGGCCAAGTCCCCTTTTGTGGAAAAATCTGTAAAGTCTGAACTGGTTCTAAACAAGGGGACCTAAACACCTGATTTCCATGGGCATTTAAGTCTCCTCTCCACATTGTACTCTCCAAGCCATGGGTGAAGAACTCATGGCCTGCCCCATGTTAGTGAACTACAACCGCCATCATTCCAGACCACTGGCCATTTTGTATAGGGCTCGAGGGAGCTGGACGTTCCTTACGCCTGTTCTCATGATAAACAAGGCCCAATTGTCAAAGGTTACTGTGAGAGGAGGGTTCTCTTCTGTCCCTGTTGAGCCAGATACATCCCAATATTTTCTGTTGAGGGTAACATTTGGGGCAGCAGCAGAAAGCTTGTCAGCAATGCCAAAATACAACAGATGCACGTCGCAAAAAGACAGCCGCCAAACCCTTCCCAGAACCACTCTCACACCAACACCAACGTGGAGAGCAAGGAACATGCTCCACAATCAACGTGTGGCATTTAGAAAAGACACACCCAACTATGAATGGGGATGCCACAAACCTGGCCGTGTGCCGACTGGGGTTGGAAGAAAGAACGGACTTGGCCAACGAAGCAACGCACAGAGCTGCCCGTAAGGTGGACAATCCATGTTGGCTTGTTCTGGGCACGACTGTGCCAGACAGCATGAGGCTATATGCACAATGTCACACTCTGTAAGAGAGATGACTTTCCGAGTCATTTGAGTACCTCCAGAAGCCCCATCTAGAAATCCTAAGGAGCAAAGTCAAGGGTTTGATGCAGATGCAGTTCTCCGTTGCCAACGTTTTTGCAGAGTTCCTACCGTGGTGAAAGCTTCCACGGTGATATGAATGAAGACGGCCCTGTTCGTACATCATGCCTCTTCGCAGGGTTTCGGACTGGGAATCTTGTATGAACATTTGACTGATGAACTGGGATTTTGCAGTTCAGATTCTTCCAGGGAATCGGCAATACGCAACGCTAATTTGACACTAGGTTTCCTTGTGTGTATTCCGTGAACTAGAGAGACTTAACAGAACTTACCCCTTACCTAAAATCAGTAAAGCAGGAAAATGGGCCCACTCTACTTTTCCTGGCTGGCCTTAACAGGTACAAATATGTTATAATTCATGAATTTCACACTTGATTCATTTTGTTCGGCCTATGGCTGAACCTAGAACTAATCAGACCAAGAAACCAAAATGCACAAACATTATTCTTTTTTTAAAAAAAGATAAAATTATAAAAGCATCTGTGGTCCAATACAAAATATATTAGCTCTGCTTCCATTTGCCCCAGGTCCTGTTTATCATGCACAAAACAAATGGTACAATGAAATAAATCTTCTCTGAATTTGCTTTCCCCCCTCAGATAGAAAATTATACCTGGGCTTGGACAGATGGACTCTTATACTCTTCCTGAATTTGTTTAAATACATGCTTCTTCTGCGCCCTTACATACACTGAGGAGGGGAGGAGAGAGAGAGGAGGGAGAAATGGGAAGTTTTGAAAAAATGAAGTCAATCACTCTTCAAATTGCGCAACTGTGGACAAAAGTATTTAAAAATCTAACTCTTTAAACACTCTTTTTTAAAAAAAGTAACTTAAGTTATACACTTCAATAAATGCTTGGAGCTTGATTATTTGTCAAGCCTGATGTCTTTTCTAACCTTTTGCCTGAAAAGATGAAATGAGGAGATGAAATGAGAAACCAGCAGGGCAACAGCATGTATGAATTCGTGGTTTATGTCACTGACAAAATGGACTGAATAAGGAGAAAAAATGGAGACAAAATCACTTATGCAAACAGCAGCTATCTGATCACAAGGGGTGTCATCCACCGGGAACGCCTTCCTTCCTTTGCGCATCTAAACTGAAATGCACGGGAGCTGTGCCAGAGTGCTGCTGGCGTATATGGAATACCCCTCCTCTCTAAGGAAAACATGAACTTGTGGCAAAAAACACTTGCAGGCATTCCTAGAAATGACAGCGTCTGCAAGCAGAGGACCCAACCCAGAGGTCAACGCGATGAGATCCAAACACGGAACAGGGTTCTTTGAGGCTTGCTGCATTTTTGGAAGCAGCCACCGACGCAGCTAGTTAAAGCAGCCTGGTGGGAAAAGCAATGTCACTTCCAAAGTGGACATTTATAGGGGCACGTGGCTGGTGAGAGCAGCAACCCCACTGGTGCCTGGCCAAAGATGAAGGGTGTCATGAGCTCATCGCACTCAATGCAGTTGAGCCCCGATACGGAAGCGAAACACAATGGCCTCATTTTACGCATTGTTGTTTTTTTTCCACCACCAGGAAGATGATGCTCTTCTCAGTGTCGCTCATGACCTGTTTGGCTCAAAAAGGAAACTGCAGTGGACATGCGAGCAATTTGCACAGGGGTGGCATTTTGAAATGTGAACTCCTGCACAGGGATGATACGGGATTCATGAAAGGGCTGCCACTAAGTCTGCAGTCCCTGCAAAAACCGGGAGAATAATTAACTGCTTAGAAGTGCTCTCCTATTAAGAGGATAATATTGCTAATAAATATATGGAGGGGGGAAATGTATACAAAAAGCAGCCCCCTGATCATGCACGCCTGGGGAACAGAACGATTATTCATTCAACAACACTTTGCTGTGATTTTCCATGTTCAAAACTTCCAGGTAGTCTAACAAGGGTATGACAAATATTGAGTTCTCAATTTGTGGAGATGTTGGAGCTCCCACATTAATAGTGCTAGCAACGTCCTATCTTGATTATCTTCTTAAGAGTATGGATCTCTGGACAGCAAATCAAACCACGTCTTTCCTTTTAAAATGATTCCAACATATTGTTGTTGATTGACTCGATCATGGAAAACCAAGAGTATCCATCTGAAGAATGCCAATAGGTTTCAGCTCCATTAAATGGCATTTTCAACATGGTTCATTGCAAATGATAATCTGGAACCTTCAAAATCAATATTCTTATAGTAGGACAACCCATAACTGCTTTCCAGCGACATTCAAATGAAATACAAACTATTCCACCCAGGCTGTTTGGCATGGAACCCAGAGGAAAATCTCCTTAAATCTTCTGCAACAATTTGGGGGGAAATAAGAGACACCCCAGGACAAAAAGACTTTTCTTTAAAATAAAAAATTGGGGGTGAGGGGTGGGTAGCAGATTTGCTAAACCAGTGGTACGCTACTGAATCTGTTCGTAAGCTAGCAAGCTTATGGATTTCCAAAAGACACTGAGAAAAGTCTCAACATATGATTGAGTCCATTGTGGACAACGTCAAGATGCTTCGGTCGTTGGTATAGAAGGGTTCCGTAGAGCTCCATGATCTAAAGTAACAATAAGAAAAAAGTTTTGCTGACTGGAAATGTGAATTTCTGTTTGGAAAAAAAGTGGGGAGGGGGATTTTAAAGGGATTAAAAAAAATAAAAGCAAAAGGAAGTGAGCCAAGGGTCCGTGTTTTCCAGAGATGATCATGGGCATCATCTGGAAGGGCCCTGGGTTTCAAATCTGTGCTTTGTAACATTTTGGATGCAATCAACAGAGATGCAGAACATTCCCAGTCTGCAGAAGAAAAATGGGGGAAAGCTTCATGTTAGAAGCACCCCTATTACTAGCTCATAATTATGTAAACAATTATGCCCCTTTACACATATGGGGCTTGTTTTCATGTAGTGGCCATGATTCGGAACCCAACTCCTGTGGAGGATTCTCAGGATTGTCTACAGGGGAATTGCTGCTTATCATGCACTAGAGGTGGCTAACCTATGGCCCCCCAGAACAATATCCACCATCCCTGACAATTGGCAACACTTGATGGTGCCAATGAGAATTGCAAGTCAACATATGGAAGGGGCCATAGGTTAGTCACTCGTGGTATGCAGTGAAGAGCAGGATCGTCTAGCCATTGTGGAATATTTTCCTCTCATTGGGACGAGCGCGAAACCTTTGTTAAAGATGCGTATTAGTGGCATGCAATTGTGCCACATGTATTTCGGGAGAAAGGTGTAAATGAGCACAGGTACTGATTGGGAAGTTTAAAAAAAAACACATTCAGAACAAAAACCAAAAATAAATAATAATGGAAACATCCATCTCCATCCCAGCTATCTGAAATATCTTGAGGAAGTAGCTGTGAACATGTATCGTTAATAAAACCACAGGATCCAGTATTAGCACTTGAGTGACTAATGCAATGACGAACAGTTTGATTGATGGAAGACAGACGAGCAACATATTTTGGCAACTTAGAAAAGTCATGCACAAATTCTTGTTTTGAAAAATCAATGAAAGCTCAGAATAGAAATCATATTTTAATTTTAAAGCATTAAAAGAGGATTTCATGTGCTGTACCCATTTCCCCTTCACTCCAAGCATTTAACACCATTAGATGGAACAAAAGCATTCCCATTCAGAATGTCACCAGGTACTGATTTCACATTCCAGTTCTCTTATTTGACAGAATATTCAGTGCTGGTAATCATGGGTGTCACACAATGTCTTCGAGCCAATAAACCAGGTAAATTGTTAGCATGGGTAAGTCAAGAGACTTGATGGATACTGTTGGCCAAGTGGAAAAATTGTAATACTGGAAGTGGATAACTGAAATGGCTGAAACAGGCGTTCTACCTATACTACCAATCATATGGAAAACAGAGCCTGAAGACGTGTGTTTCATCTGACAGCAGACAATCCTGGGACAGATAACTAGAAAGTTCTCAGCTCACACCCAAAGTGTTATCAGTCATAAGCACATGGCGAGTCTACTGTCACTAAGCTTATTTATTTCACCCTGGTCCAATGACTCAGGACAGACACTGAGGCCCCCCATTCATTCCCGGTGCAGCAGCTGATCTGAATACATGCTCTGCAGCCTTTCATGAAAGTGAATGAGGACTTCAGGTGCCCAAGAGTTTATTCTGGGTGCACATCTCAGTGCTCCGATAGATTCGGGGAAGAAATACTGAAGACTGATACTGTCCTGCCTGTCTCAGATCACAGTGATTTGGGCAACATCTACTCCATGTCTAGAGCACAACTGCTCTAAATCCATGATTTTAGGGAATCAACTTTTACTCTACAATTGCTGCATTATAATCTTGGCGAAGAGACGAGCTACAATTCCAAACTGTCTGAGGAACGGTGCTGTGCAATTTACAAAGTAAAACTGGGCCAGGAAAATTATTAAGTCTCTTTCAAGTGATGATCTAAAGCAGCGGTTCCCAACTTGTGGGTCCCCGGATGTTGTTGGACTACAACTCCCATCATCCCTGAGCTCTGGCCTTGCTAGCTAGGGTTGATGGGAGTTGTAGTTCAACAACATCTGGGGACCCACAGGTTGAGAAAGGCTGATCTAAAGGGAAACCAAATTATTTCAGCAGAATTTAAAACCAAAACAGAAAATGCTGTGGGGTGCGCTGCGATGCTGCCAAGTCATGTTCTCGGATTGCTTTTTAAGATGCATGGTAAGTTTGAGAGGGTACTATTCTGTCAAATAGGAGACTTTAGTCACAACATGCTGGTCATACACTTATAGATGCAGAAACAAAAGCAAAAACCATCAGAATTGTTAGCCAAAGTTGAACATGAAGCAGATTATACCTACCTTTTGTGAACACCATGCATAGCCAGAACCTTTGTGATATTGGCCTGGTTTGCATATAACACTAAACCCAACGATCGCTTAGCGAGAACAAGAGAGCTTCGCTCCACCCCCCAGTCTTGCTGCTGCTGCTACTCAGAGCTAAACCACGGCTGCACACTCTTGCCTTGCATAGGAATCTGTGCTCATGGTTTGTCTCACTTCCAGAAAACCATGAGCTGCAACAGGCAATTTTTTCCCCCTTGAGTAGCCGCTCGTGGCATGTTGGCACGTGAGCCAGATTTGCACGTAACTCTAGGTCTATCCATGGTTTAGCTCCGAGTAGTACGGTGGCCGCAGGGCCGGAGGGGGAGTGAAGTGGCTATGATTTTCCAGAACGTGGTTATCAATCGGAGGTGTTAGGAGAAACTCAGCTGCAACAGGTGATTTTCTACCCCACAAATATCTCTCTGTGTTTGTGTCACGCTGTTTCCTCCCGGCTACCCTAGTTTCAGCAGAAGGACGAAGTTGCAGACAAATTCTGCAGATTCTAAAATTTGCTGTTTTAAAACGGTTCCAAACATAATAGTGCTCGTCAAGGATATTTATATGGGCTCTATTGGATATACTGCTTTTTTTAAAATAATAAAAAATAGGTATCTACAACTGAAAGAACATTTAGCACTGATTTCTGAATGGCATGTATTGCAGATAGAAGTAGAAAAGTCCCGAAAATTTAAAAACTGTTATATTGAGCTGCTTTGGTTCCGTCAAGTTTTGCTATTCAATTGTACGTATATAAAACTCCTGTTCCATATTGTTTTAAAAGTATTTTTTAAAAAAAACAAAACACTGCCAATGAACAAATAAAAGCCCCAAAATAAAATAACACCCTCCCCAAAGCGTTTACATTTGCAGAGGAAGTTATATTTCAGGGGAGAAAATGCAACCTTTGTATAACTAGAATCAGACACTGCAATATATGACTAGTGAGCAGACAGACACTGAACAAACAAGGGATTGCACAAACCGTTTTCTAATTTGCGAACACAAGGAAGAGCTAAATCAGGGGAATAAATCAGGACAGTGATCAGATTTTGAGGAAAAGGAAATACAAGGCAAGAGAGGAGGGGGGAAATCACATTGATATATGCACACAAGAAAAGGAGAAGCCAAAAACGGAGCTTTTTTTGGACTGCGGCACACGCACAAAGCTTGGCATGAGCAGAAGCTACTCTCTTCTGCTCCCTGGCAAATGCACTCAGATCACTTGTTGGTATTGCAGAGAGCAGGGGAGCCCCGGCTCATGTGCAGCTTCATGCGTATGTCAAAGCCGCTCTAGGCACACTGCAGCTGCTGGATCGGACGACGTCGCGGGAAAAATTCAAGAAGTTTTCGGAACCAAATACAAATACAAAGGCAGCTTCCTTCCTTGCGCTCCACTGAAAGGGCTTCCAGGAGAAGCAGAAACACTGATCTTTTGAGATCCAAAAATAAAAAAGGGGGGTGGGCCCTATGAGGAGCGCCTCCTGCCTTTCCTTAGACATCTACAGCTGCCGGCTCGTCGTGCTCCAGTTTATAAGAGAACCGTCGGCAGCAAAGGCAATTGAGAGAAATTCCACACCTGTTGATTCGCGTCGGGCTGCAGCTCCCCATCATTCGCTCCAGCATTCTTCTAAGAGGCGCACATGCTGTTTCTCCATCTGAGAAGCAGCACATGGAGTCCAAGCAGTTGATACCTGCACTTGTCTCAGTAAGCTGAGGGGGTGGGGAAGACAAAGGAGAGATTAGCGTATCAGATTCCTTTTCTTTTTTCCTTTCTTTGCTATTACAGGTCACAAACCTCTTTAGAGAAAAAGGGGGGGGGGGAAGCAAGACAAATCTTAGGAGCCTGAAAGCAATACGTATGAGCTAGCCTACATGCATCCTTCTTGTAGATCCTGTAAACTTATGTTGGGCAATTCAGTATAATGGAGGTGCAGCAGTGATGGGGCACCATTTAAAACAGGGGTAGGCAACCTAAGGCCCGGGGGCCGGATGCGGCCCAATCACCTTCTCAATCCAGCCTGCGGATGGTCCGGGAATCAGCGTGTTTTTACATGAGTAGAATGTGGCCTTTTATTTAAAATACATCTGTGGGTTATTTGTGGAGCCTGCCTGGTGTTTTTACATGAGTAGAATGTGGCCTTTTATTTAAAATGCATCCTCTGGGTTATTTGTGGGGCATAGGAATTCGTTTATTTATTTATTTTCAAAATATAGTCCGGCCCACGGCTGAAAAAGGTTGCTGACCCCTGATTTAAAACCTGGACACCTTGCCATTAATGGGAGCACTTTCTTCTGCACTAGATCCAAAATGGGAAACCAAAACAACAACATTAGCTACAAGGTCTGGGACCCAGGATACTCACCCCTCATCCCTGACCCATGGTGCCCCACTAGCTACTTCTGCTTTCTCTTTAGGTCTCATTGGCCTAACGCAGACCATACTTTTGCCCCCATTGTTGCCTTCCCCACTTTCCAGCAGTGCCCACAAGGTCAAAAGCAGATTTGACTCGGAAACCTACTGACAAAGTCTCATTGACCTGCTAGGTTTGAACTCAACAAGTGGGAATCACTTCTGTGGCTGCGTAAATGGAGAGAAATAAAAGGAAACGACGAGGAAACCATTTTGAATTGGCATATGCCTGACATCCTGCCAACAGCTGCTGCTGCTGCTACCGTGACAGCAGGGATGATTTTTATCGAGAAACAAACGAAGGGACATCCGTTTTCTTATGTGGCGTCAAGGTGCTAAACCTGAGAAGGCAGGTGATTGGAGCTCCTTGGAGGAAGTGTGTGGTACAAATACCAATGAATAAAATTATTTCCACTTGAATTAGGGAGTTTGGGGAGACAGCTGGGCAAAGGAGGGGGGGAAAACATGTTTAAAGTAGTAACATTAACAACCGCCAATAGCACAAAGGGTAAACAAGCAGCGGGGCATTCAAGCTGAAATGAACAACAAAAAAGTAGGCTTGTCCTATTAGTTAGTATGAAACCGGCTAGCGGAAAGAAAGGCACTGAGGACCCCCCCCCCAAAAAACCCCCCAAATGGTTAGTGAGGGGGAAAGCAACAATTACATACACGGTTGAACATCTTAGCTGAAACCCATGTCAGAAGTGTCACAACTTTTTGTACAATTTCAAAACCACATTTCAGAAATCTCACAAACGCTGCAATTGTCAATTGAATTGAAGCTTATCGCTGGCACTTAAACAGCCATTTTCTACTGTAAGACTCATAAGCCTAAAGTCTGCACACCCCTGCCCTAAATGGCCTCAGCCCAGTATAGCTGAAGGAGCATCTACACCCCCATCATTCAGCCCGGACACTGAGGTCCAGCTCCGAGGGCCTTCTGGTGGTTCCCTCCCTGTGAGAAGTGAAGTTACAGGGAATCAGGCAGAGGGCCTTCTCGGTAGTGGCACCCGCCCTGTGGAACGCCCTCCCATCAGATGTCAAGGAAATAAACAACTCTCTGACTTTTAGAAGACATCTGAAGGCAGCCCTGTTTAGGGAACCTTTTAATGTTTGACGTTTTATCGTGTTTTTAATTTTCTGTTGGGAGCCACCCAGAGTGGCTGGGGAAGCCCAGCCAGATGGGCGGGGTATAAATAATAAAATTATTATTATTATTATTATTATTATTATTAAGCTTAATGCCCTTCTCTCCTCTTTCTTCCATTCACTCCCACGTCACCACAGTCCTGCCGAAATAAAATCAATCTTCTCCCAACTTCGACTTACCAAGACATATTTGACTACATTTGAGAACAGTGCCCCTGGACGCTTCAGGTTCCTTGCACATACCCACCCACCCCACCTCTCTGGTGGGTCCCCAACCCTCCAGTGGTGCTCAGAGAGGTCCAAGAGACAACAGGAAGAAGAGAAAACTAATGGGCCCTCCTACAGACAGATCTCTTTGGGTCCTACCCAGGAAGTCCTTTCCCAGAAGGGGAAAAATGTTCTATGGACACCAAGCAACAGACCAGACTACAGACTACAAAAATAAGAGGAACTAGCTGAAGTCTGCAACATTTCCGAGGAGGATAACCAACAAGTGGCCTTCCCATCATTCTTGAACACTGACCATATTACTTGGGGCTGATGGGACTTGGGAGTTCAAAAACATCCAGGAGGACTAGCCATCCCTACTTTAAATATAATCAGTGCTCTTAAAACGCTTTTTAAAAGACTGCAATACAGCGCATCTCACCCCACCCTATTAGTTCTTAATGGAATTAAGAAACCAAATTAAATCAATGTGACAATATTAGTGATCAAGTTTGTTAGGAAAAACACAAAACCAGAGGCATGCCAAGATGTCAAAAGTGCTTCATGGTGAAAAGTGCAGGGCACAGGGCACCACAGATGAATCGATTCATGATGAGCTAGATTATTAGGATATAGAACTCGGGTACTACCTAGGGCACACGGTCACTCTCGCTGCCTAAGGGCATCTGCTAGCAGTTGCCTGCTGTCCTCCCCTCTGTGCCTGCCTTCAGTAAAATCACATGCTGGGGTGACTGAACCCCTTTCTTCTTCCATCTAAAAAAGGACACAAAAAGCAACAGACCTTATAAAGCACCCAGCCGTTCTACAGAAATAAAGACAGCCATTACACTCAAGTAAATGAGGCGCTCAGGGCAACATTCTCGATGCTAGTGTACGCAATTTGCTTACCCACAAGCTGAAACGCCAGCGAACAGAAAACAAAAATTAAGCAGAGTAGATGCAAATGTTTAATCAGCAATCTGTCATAAGTGTTTTCTGAAGATATTTGGTTCTGTCCTTGAGCAATGCAGCAATTGTGGCACTTTAATCCACTGGGGGACGTAACCTGCAAACCAGGGTGTCTCGAGTGCCACCCCCCGTGTTCTGTATAGCACCTTGCACAATAATGGCGAGTACCATGAAAAAGGCTACAGACTTTTGCTTTACTGGACCCAAGAGAAGCATACTGGCACTTGAGCATGGCTGGTCTTACAGTTTCCACAGCTGGTGGCTGCATAAATTGTGATGAATTGTGGGGCGAGATGCGTCAAAGGCTAATGGCTTAAGCAGCACACCCTGCTAGCTGAACTAGACCCAGGGACAGTGGCTAATTTAAGACAAAAAGATGTAGAAACTCAAGCCTGTGATTAGTGTCAAGGTATAGTGATTAGTGTCGAGACAAGGACTTGGGAGACCAGGTTTCAAACCCCAGTCATCCATGAAGCTCACTGGGTGACCTGGGGCCAGTCACTGCCTCTCAGCCCAATCTACCGCACAGGGCTGTAGGGATTAAGTGAGAGTGGGAAGAACAATGTTTCCCATCTTGAGCTCTTTGGAGGAAAATGTGGGATATAAATGCAATTAATAATAATTATAATACAATCAACCTTTCCTCCCGCTCCTACAACTTGCTCTGAGAACAGAATGAAAAATTCCAGTTCTCTTGGTTTGCCAAGGTATATCTGATGACCACAGAGGGAGTGGCTTCTTTCTCTCTTTTTCTCTCTCTCTACAGCAGCTTGCAATGACTTATGGTCAAGTTGCCAGAATGCTCCTGGATCCACCCCCTGCCTCAGTTGTGATTTCACAGAATATGCTCTTCCTTGCAGGGTAAATACGGACCTCAGCATTACTGAAGACAGTTGCTTTTCAGTAATGCAAGTGAGCTTCGCTGAGAAAAGATGAAACGGGCGGGAATGAATTTTCATTATCTTGTAAATATAATGCAAGAAATCCAATTCATGACGTACATAAACAAATCAGGGCTTTAAAACAAAACTGTTTTGCATGTGCTTCTGCTAGAAAGGAGTTAATTCCTAAAAGCTGCTTCAGCATCCCTTTTCAATGTACAGTACATCATGTACAATATCTAATGGCACTATTCTATCGACTGTTATAACTTTTACTAAAAGCATATTTAAACCACCTTACTATCGCTTTGGGTCAACATGCTCCTGGTTCCTGCCTGATTTACTCCACAACTTCAGAATGAGCAATGAGGGATTCATTCCTGGGGAAATAATGTCATTTACATGAGATATTGTTCAAGATTAGATCTGGATGCTCTGATGGCAGCAAGAAGTTGCACAATAATTATTTTATATTAGTAAAAGCAAAAAGCATGAGATCTAAACCAGGGTTTCCCAAAATTGTGTCTCCAACTGTTTTCGGACTACAGTTGCCAACATTCCTGACCCCTGGTCTTGCTAGCTAGGGATGATGGGAGTTTGTCCAAAACCAGCAGGAGACACAAGTGCGGGAAACACTGATCTAAACAAATCTAAAGGTAATTACTATGCTCATTGTTTTTCAGTACAGTACTGATTTGCAATGGGCTTTGATAATTGGTATTTATTTTGCATTTGACAAGATTCACATACTACTTGATCAGTAAAAACCTCCAAGGGCTTTTTAAAGTAGCATACTGCCAAGTCAGCTTTCCATAAAAACTAGCAATTCATTTTTAACTGCAGTATCTGCAAGCTTCAAAATTAGAACTTCAGATTTCAGAGCGTCTTTTGTGAAGGCACTCTGGCCAATGCCCCAGGCTTGGAACACAACTTTCTCCTGGAAACAGGGAATTAGGCAGAATAGCTTTAAATTTGAGGGGGCTTGCAGCCTGATCCTCAGAAGTAAATGCCACCAAGTCCAATGGTATTTACTCTCACGTGTGCAGCCTTAGTCCTGTAAGCTCAGTGGAACTACAGTCTATTAGACATTTATCCATTAAAGCGATCCATATCCTGCTTTACAAATTTGTTCACACGCTTTAAAGATAGAAAGCCGTTGAGTTCAAGGCTTTATGCTTCTGTGGGCTCTGTAATATGGTGGCATGCTCATTCCTGCACCTCCAGGCAAGGAAGAACTGATATGACCTTAAACACTACACTGGTCCAATTGAGTTTTTAGCATATCAACTCTTCCAGCAGTGGATAGTTAACAAAATAGCCAAACCACATGTCCTAGGCTCAATACATTTACCGATGAAGCTACAGTGCCATGTGGAGTCCTTTTTGGCCTTCCTTGTAAATGGTAATTAACATTTTACATGGGAGGGGTCATTTATCAGTAAACCTGAAGAACTGTTAAAGCAGGCTGCCTCAAACTTGGCCCTCCAGATGTTTTTGGCCTACAACTCCCATGATCCTTACCTAGCAGGACCAGTGGTCAGGGATGATGGGAACTGTAGTCTCAAAAACATCTGGAGGGCCAAGTTTGAGGAAGCCTGCGTTAAAAATTGGAGGTCATAAGCTAAATACTTTATCTTTTGCAGATTTAGCAAGGTATGCTGGGAAACACCCACAATTATGCGGTGCTGATTTAATGTTTCTGTCGAGTCTTAACTCCGTTCACAATCAACATTATCCTTAATATTTCTGTTACTTGAAAGCTGCTATTCTGATGAAAGGTGCAGAAATGCTTGAGAGTTTATTGACAACAGAAGAAAAGCAGCATATAAACGGAGATACAGGGACCCATTTATTCATGTCTGCAAAACTAATGTCCGGAATGACTTACTCATGTCTGGAAAACAGCAGAATCCACCACTGCTTCCAGACTAAGGTTTTCTTCATTTCTATTGCCAATACATCATTAGAATTTGTTATTGTTGTTGAAGATCAAAAGAGAGATACTGGGTCATTGATTGCAGCAACCATGGAATCGGGTTTTTGATTCTGACATTTAGTAGGCGCCAGCTACTAAAGGGACTAGGAAAGGGATTTTGGATCATAGTTGATAGCTCAATGTAAATGTTGCCCCTGCATGCGGTTGCTGAGAACGGGGCGAATTCCACGGAAAGAACCCAAAAAATAAAACCGGCAACATCATAATGTCTTTATACAAATTTATGGTCTGATGGCACTTGGAATATCATGTATGATTCTGGTTGATGTACCCCATTATATTATTGCCAGGAAAGCTGAAGAAAAGGGAAACCAAAATCATGAAGTGGTTGGAACAAGTGCCCTATGAGCAAAGGCTAAAATGTTTTGGAGAAAAACGTGAGGAGGAGGAAACAAAAGAGTGGTATGTAAAATTATGCATGGCATGGGGACGGTGCAGAGAGGTTTCTCCCTCTCTCATAATGCCAGAACCTGAGACCATCTATTGCAAGATGGATGGCTGAGGATTCAGGACAGACAGAAGGAAGCACTTCACACACTGAATAGCCAGACCAGGGTTTCCTGAATGTGGGTCTCCAGCTTTGTCTGACTACAACTCCCATCATCCCTAGCTGGCAGGACCAGTGGTCAGGGATGATGGGAGCTGTAGTCCAAAAACAGCTGGGGACCCAAGTCTGGGAAACCCTGAGCTAGTTTATGGGATTTGCTGGCTAAAGCTGTACTACTACCAACTTCAAGAGGTTTAATAGGTTAACCATATTAATGGAGATTAAGGCTGTCAGTGGTTACCAACCACAGTGACTAGTAACCACTGTTGGAGGCAGTGTGGTTCTAAATACCTGCTTCTGGGGACCGCAAGTGGGTAGAATGCTATGCCATGTAAATCCTGGCTTGTGGGCATCCCATAGGAAACAGGATGCTGGGCTAGAACACGCCTTTATCAGATGGAGCAGAGTTCTTCTTGTGAGATTTAATGCCTTGGGAAACATCAATATTTACTATTAAATGACAGAAATCAAGCTGAAAATCAAGTCATTCTGCAAAAGCACTCGGGTGGTTTGTGTTTTCACTGTTCTGTGTCAGCTTTCTGACCTTTCCCACTACACTTCCACACCACCACCATAGCAGAAAGGCTGCTTACGACTTTTGAAAAGAAAGATAAATGGAATGAGCCACTTGTATGGTGTGGTATGGCTAGAAGAAGCGCAAGTACTTCAGTGGCCAAGTTTCATTTCTCCCAGTTTCCTGCCTTCGAGCAACAGGTGATGCTAAACCCACTTGGGGGCATCAACACCCAAGGCAGAAAGCAGAGGGCTGCCCACACACAAAAATGCGGAAGGAGTAGTCAATCACTGTAAGATATGCTATCGGCTTAAAACTATGTGAACGGGGAAATGTGCTTTGGATAGGCTGAAAACCACAAAAGCCTGTGTGATGCCCCAAGAGTACCTAAGACATCATATGAGTACTTCCAAATATCCAAGTAAATGCTGACACATTATTAGTACTTATTGTGATGGCATTCTACCCGCCAGGGACAAGAAGTCTTGACCGTTCAAATTTTTGACAGGTCAGATCGGAACGTGTTTGCTTACATACTGCCAAGGAAACATCTGTATTGACTCCGCTGCAAAACCAATTCAGTTTTTTTCCCTTGTGCTGTCACACACCAGCCCAGTTCGGAGAAATGTATATTGACTTAATTCACTAAGGTATGCACGAGCCTTGTGTGCACATGCTCTGACCTTGAACTGCCCCTTTCTCGGCCCATCATGAAAGAATACTTCCAAGTTTAATTGACCGTAGCTCTCCATTATGTCTGAGCTGAAAAACTACAGTTACCACAGCCAGAACAGACCAGGACCTTAAAAGCAACTTCCAACTGTGTTTTAAAATTCCCCGATTCAGAAGCAACCTGGAACTATGGCAGATTGATCCAGGAAGTGAATCGCGGTGCATCCAAAAGGCAGGAAAGGGCCAATACGAGGGCAGAGCACATGGGCAGAAGGCTTGTACATATCTTGGCATGTTAAGCTCAGAAAGGTAGGCATGTCTGAATTTGTAATTCACAGTTTAATTCGGGATGTCAGTTTTAAACCTTGGATGAGAAACACCACCTTATAACATGGATGAAGAGCAGAGCTGGAGGCCTAGAGGCCTTTAAACTGGGCCTTTATTTTTGTGCAAATTTCTCCTTTATTTGCTCTCTTTAAGTCCCTGTAGATTATCACCTGCTGTTCAAGTGAAGTATGTTTCGGCTGGTAATGCATTCACTCAGTCTAATCAACACCGTCCCATCAACCCCTTGCTTACAATAAACACATCCATAGGGCATTCCGGTGCAAAACACAATATAAAGCTGCACAAAATTTACACATATATACACAAACCACAAGGAAGTTGCCCATTACTTGTGCTTTTTTGTTTTTTTAAATCAAATTAGCAAAAGTCAAAGTAGTCAAGAATGAACAGTTATGTTTGCTGCAGCTGAAACTGTCCGACATGCAAAAAGCAGTTAACATCATGGATGGTTAAGTTAAGCAGAAGCGCTGGGACCATGCTTGAAGGATTTTAGTTATTTTATACAGCAGAGCGGGGAGTAGACTTGGGATTCTGAACACTGATCGTCATGCTTGCAACCTCTCCCCCACCCGCCCAAGCCCCCCAAGAAGAACTATTTTTGTTTTAAAATGCATGCTGCGTTTGGGTCTGCAAACACAGAGCGAAGCTAAGGGCTGTGTGGGAGACAGGAAGGCACGAATGTGCGCTGCCACTACTGCGCTCTCAGTCCACACCACTGTCCATGCCTCTTGCCCCTTTCTCTCTCATTGCTGGTTAGCTGGCCTTCAGCATGCATAAAAGTGGGTAAGGAGCTCCTCCTCCTACTCTACCTAATTTTGCTCAGCTGACTCGGAGCCCTGGACAATGGCTGCAGTGCGATGCATTCCTCGCTTAAAGCAACTCTGCTGGAGTACATCTACAGGTGGACAAAGAAGGGATGGAACACACAGGTCAGTGAGAAGCAGTCACCTTTATATATATAAAAAAAGACAGACACAGGACAGGATCTTTAAAGGCAAAGATCTTTTTTCAAAACGCAGGGACTAATCTCGTAGGCAGAGCACATAAGCGCAGGGACACTGGTTTCCGAATGGTTAACACGCGTCACCTAGCCCAATGTGGGCTGTACGTAATGGTTTGATAAAGGGAGAGGAAAAGCTTATGTTTGCAGTACATTAAGAATGCACTGCGCTGAATTAACGCACGGCTGTGTCAGTTACGGGGAACATATGCTCAACCTGCACAGCGTGGCTTCCCTGGCTGCGTTTTGTCTTTTTAACTTGCTGCAAACCAGTGTTCCTCCACATAGGGGATTTAATACAAGCAGGTCAATTTCTAACACCATCCATGTCATTTGGCCTTTGCCATCCCATTTTCTGATTCCCGTCATGTGGGTGGGGTGTGGAAAATAGGGATAGGCAAACCAAAAACCTGACTTACATCCCATCGTTTGTACCAATATTTTTAATTAAGAGGTTTCCTCCGTGGGTCATTTCTTCCCACAAAGTTTTACATCAGCTCTGGTACAAAAGCCAAGAGAAGGAGGTTGCACAGCAACCATGGACTGGTTTGCACATCATGGTAAGCCAGAATACAGTTTACTGTGACCACACAAATGCACACTCTCTCTCTCTCCTGGAGGGGAGCTTGAATCCACTTTGCTCCTCCTTGGGGTTGTTCCGGCAAGTGTGGGATGGCAGCTAAGCAAAGGTTTGACACAGCGTGGCGTCCAAACCAAGGATCATGGTTAAGGCCCCTCTGTCTCCTTGACCATGATTTGCAATCAAAGGACAGACCTTGGCTACAGAACATGGTTAGGGAGGAGTGACTTTAAGCACAATCTTAGGTTCGGACAACATGTTAAGTCAAACTATGGCTTAGCTACGAGGTCAAGAAAGCCAGAGAAGGAGCCATTGGGCTCATGCTAAGCCACAGTTTGGCTTAATGACATCTGCAAACTTGGCCGCTGTGAACTGAAGCTGCGGCTTTGAGCCAAAAAGGAACATTTTACAGGCACACAAAACGGGAAACAGAAAAAAGCACACCCTTAGCAGACTCCCCATGAACTATTCTTCATTAATAGGAACTGGAGCACATAATTTTAATTTAAGGCTTTTTCAAATGCCATTGTTGGTGAGTGTTTCTATTAGTACGTTGACAATGCACGCTGTAAGTGAGGGGACCTGTCTCTACAGAGGATGGATTTGAAGCCATTTATGATTAATGGAGCTACTATTTATTTCATATTTTCATCTGTTATTGGCATCGCTCACGCACAGCAAATCAACACTAAACACATTTAATGCTTTATTACTTAAGCATGAAAGCTGCAAGCTATAAAAATCGTTAGGGGATGTGTGGTTCAAGTACTCTTGTTGTGGCAACAAGACTAATTGTATAGTTAAATCACACAGGCAGCTGAACAGTAAACATTCACTTCAGCTGTTTTAGTGTCACTTCGGAACAGCTAGATGTCTACTTTCAACTTTGACTCCCTAGCCATAAACTGACATGAAATTCATAATTTTTTTTTGGAAAAAGACACAATGTGGGTCTCATTGCATTCTCCTTTACAGCTAAATGCTCAGTGCTCGGTTCCAAATATATTTTTTCTCCTTTTCTGAACTGAAAATAGCATCTTAAATGCCAGGTAAAATAAACTTAAACAGGAATTTCAGATAATGCATTAAGTGGTGTAAATATCAGCAGAGAATTCTCTAATCTGCTCTCAAATGCAGGACTAGTCGTCACTTGAGTTATCAACTGTGTCTGGGCTATAGCAATTCAGAAAACAGGTGGGGGCTGAGGTGATGTATATGCAAGATATTTATATGGAAGACGGCTCAGACTAGCACATCAAACAGGAGGATTCTAGCCTAGCTGTCTTCTCCCTGATGTGTCAGTTTTCTAGGAATAGGGGTAAACCCCAGTCTAATGTGGTGCAGTCCAGATACAGGATTGCTGCCTCTGCGAGAGGCCCACTGTTGTCCATTCTGACCACAACGTTTGGATACTTTTTGTAGAAAGGTCATTTAGAAAATTTTACAATAAAGTTCAATAAAAACAATAAATAAAGATCAATTAAACTGAGATGTAACGAGTCACTTGCATGATGAGTTACGTGGGGCCATGAAGTATGGCAGGCGTAAGACTGCGAGGAGAAACAGAGGTACTGCCCTAAAGTGACCATGTTTGATTTTCACCTCCTGAGAAAGTATTTTGTATTAGAGGGTTGCCTGCCAAAAAGTAGTTAGAGATACAATCCAAATGCATGGAATGAATTTTGCATCCCTTGCACTTAACTAAACTCACATTTATAACTGTTTTAAACATGTCTTAAGGCATGACTCAGTATGGTTGGGAAGGATGGGACTGATTTCAATAGGCTGTATGCAAACAACAAGGAAATATGACTGGTGTTTTCAGATGCAGCTCAAATGAGACATTCCATTAATGCACAAAATACAGATCACATTTTATTAACTGCACATCACAAATTGCTGGAGGACCATTAAATGTCTTGAAAGACCACTGATAATTATATGCAGATATTAGCTGCTGTGTTGGCAGTCGTGTTTAAGAAATGCCTAGAACTGCACTTTCCTAGCAACTGCCCCTTGTACAGCATCACAGGTGGTTAATGGACCGCCTACCAAGTTTAAGCTGAGGAAAATAAACATCTAAATGGAACTGAATTCCTAAAGCACAAAACAATGATTCACACACCCTGGGCTGGATCCAGGCTTCCTGTGAACTGCGTTCTGCTTGTAGGGAATACCTGCTGGAGAAAAGCAATTTTCGCCAATTCTTCTTTCCTCCTATGAAAAGCGGCCCCAGAGGGTTGGGTACTCCCCCACAAACAACATGGAAGATGGTGCCAAGAGCTGCAGAGTGAACTGGGGTCTCCCTGCTTTTCCTACACTGGGAGCCCCTACAGTGGGTCTCCAGCTGTTTGGGGACTACAATTCCCATCGTCCCTGACTACTGGTCTTGCTAGCTAGGGGTGATGGGCTATGTAGTTGGAGACCCACGTTTGGGAAACACTGCTCTACGGGATCCAAGCCAATGATTTCCCCCCCTGCTAGTTGCATATGGAGTCTACTTCCAAGACAAATAAGAAATGAATTACAGATATTGGAAGTGCTGGAGGAGGCTTCCTGTGGCTTACAGACCTACAATTCAAAGCAATAAACAAGTCACTCTGATTGGACAGAGTGTTATTCTGTGCCACAACATGCTCCGGTCTTAAGGCATTGTTTATAATGGGCTGTATTGTGGAAGTCAGAGTTGTTAAGTACAGATTCTGAATAGCCACTGGCGCAGTTTGAGACTTTGTGGCATCCTGAATGTAAGAAGAGGATTGTTCTGTTTATCAAATAATCACACACACAAAAACCAGGGATGGGGAAATACCAGCAGGAGACCAACCTTCACAAGCCTCACCCTAATACGAATCACCATGATGCTTCTCCATGCGTCATGTCTAGCAGGAGTAGTTTGTAAGAGGCCGAGGCAGGGCTCACGGAGACTGCCAAGCACAGAGTATTACAGCAGGTGATTTACTGCCTGCTCAAGGAGGAAGAAGCTACTGGGAAGGGGTTTTCTCATGTAACTCACTAGAAGACAGGACCTTCTACTGTTTGGCTGTACACAGAGGAAGCGCTGCCTCTACATCATCTTCTCATACTTGGCTCTGCTTGTCTGGGAAAGGAAGAATCTACTGTGCATTCAGCTGCCATCCGCTGAATGCAGAATAGTGAATCTGTATAGTTAACGGGCAATATTGGCACACATGTGTGCGTGTGTATATAGAAAGGGCACATTTGTTGCCCAAATGGCTCCGGCCAAGAAGTTCCCTGAGCTTGAACTGAGACTCAGAATGAATGCTTAGGATGCACATTTATAAGACATGCTACCATGTCAGCAATGGCTGATCTCCCACTATGACTTAAATGCCGGAATCCACGGAACATGAACCAGGAACTAGTGGCTACTGACAGGACTGAAACACAGCCCCAAAACGACAGGAGCACTACAGCGGGAGGCCATTACAGAGTACTTTGGGCTGCCAAGGATCAAGAGGAAACCTGGTGTAGTATCTGGTGATCTGGCAAATGCAGAGGGTCGGGTTCACAAACCAAATTTTAGACACTTTCCTATCTCCCCAGATCCATTGCAGATTATAGTGCCCAGGCTTCCCGGTGTCTTGCCTCATCCAAAACAGATCCATAATTGCCTCAGCTCTGTCATGGCGTTACTTGAGGAATTACAATCACATACACATGCCTTTTCTGGACATTGTCCTTGGGGCAAGGGAAAAATACTGGGGGCAGATCCAGGCACAGGAACTATGATCCAAGGTGCTGTGCGTGTAAGAGAAGCTGAAAATTGTGGGGAAAGTACTTCCCTTGATGCTGTAATCATGTGGATTATCAAATCATCATCAGTGAGGAGTTGCAGTGATCCACTTGTGACTAAAAGTAAAGTGAGCTAGACTGTACCTGGAAGAATTCATAAGACCTTAAGCAAGAATATTTATCACTGAAAATTTCCATCCCTGGCAATAATCACGCTTTCACTTCCATTCTAGTCAAGAGACTAACAAAAGAAAAAGCACCATTTACAATCTTCATGTAGAAGGAGATTTCTATTTTACGCTCAGCAGCATCACAGTAATTCATCCAAGAACTGCAGGAAAGGTTTCATATGCAGAGAAAAGTTCATTATACTTGCAGGGGGCCTCCCTGGTAAAAGCCTCCTCTTTTAATGTTAGAAAAACCACATGTAGGTGCAAGTTACCTGGGCTTTTTCTGTACTTGTGGGCTGCAGGTGTCTGTACAGTACTTTTTTCACAATATCGAAAAACAAACAAGTGACAACTATGATGATTATGGCAAACCAAGCAGAGCCACTGGAGAGCAACTGGACAAATACGAAGTACATGTCTTGGGTGTGCAAAAATGGCCTGGAATAGTAAGAACAAGTTACAGGAAAACAGATGAATGAACAAGAACAAATCAATTTTTACCACTGGCTAAAACAGAAAAGCATGCAGAATGCCACACCCCAGCTGCCCAGCAAGGCACCAGTAGCGGAAGACTCACATTTTATACTATTTTCTAGGGGTAGCTTAAAATTTCTGGTACCAGTCATCACTCCTTTTTTTTGTCTTTTGAGCAGATTTTGGGAATGGCTATCTAACACACCGCTGGGATGTATGCGTGTTCACTGACTCAAGTCCTGGGATGCTCCTTGGTTCTACAGCATCTAGATCAGCGGTTCTCAACCTGTGGGTCCCCAGATGTTGTTGGACTACAACTCCCATCATCCCTGAGCTCTGGCCTTGCTAGCTAGGGGTGATGGGAGTTGTAGTTCAACAACATCTGGGGACCCACGGGTTGAGAAAGGCTGATCTAGATGATTTACCACTGAAATACTACCCACCATTTTTTTGATCCATGGGGCTGTGACTTGCCTGCTCAGGGGAGTACTTGAAAGAGCCAGTAACAGCAATCCAAGTTTCTTGGGCACATGCATATGTACGGTGACCCTGCATTCTGCTCACTGACCTTTTAAAACCTGTTGCTTAACTTATTTCCATCAATCCACTTCACTGCATTCATGGCAAATGTTCCCCTCCCACCCCCTGCACATAGCACAGACTACAAGATATTGACTCCTCTGTTGGCATGCAAACACACACACACACACACTTACCAGATAATTCCCCCATAGAACAAGGAGAATACAAAGTAAAAGACAATGGAACCCCAGGTAACAAAATGGTTTATCCAGGTCCAGAAATGAGTCTCTAAAGCCATCTAAAAGCAAAAGAAGACAACAAAGTTGGCAAAAAATCACCGAGTAGAAAATACATTTAATTAGTAAAGAAATGGTCCCCACTCTTTAACGGGGGTTCACCATAAGGCTGTGCAGTTGTTGGAAAAAAGCAACGCTGGGATTCTTTCCCAAGTTGACACCTTTTGGCCTAGGCTGGTGGCAGAACAAGTTCTTCCAGTACTTCCTCTTAGGGTTCACAGGGAACTACATCATTTTTTCCAACTGGTGTATTCTTTTAAAGTTTGCCTGAGAACTCCAAAGGAGATCCCTTTGAAACAACCCAAATCCAAAAATGTATTTGACACAGGATGCCTACTTTCTCGGCCTCACTGAAAGGTGAAATTTTCAATGTGAAAATGAGAAATGGTGAGAAGTTAAATGACTAATTCAGTTCAGCCCTAGTTTACATCTAAATCTGGTTGTTCTTGAACATTCAAGAAAAAGCTAGAAAAGGAGCGTGAAAGCCTCGCTTTCTAAACCGTTAGGGAAATCTAAGACAATTAAACATGCATAGCAAAGTCACAACTGTGTTACTATACCTTCATTGTCACTGTTATAACCATAACCGTGAAAACCAGAGTACCAAATGTCCAGTTTCCAAACATCTGTGAAAGGAGAAAGAACAAGATCCAGTGTGTTTAAAGCAGATGAAAGTTACTTTAACTCCCCCCCCCGCCCCCCCGCCCCCATGAATGCAGCTACAAGTGATGCAACTACACTGGTCAAACTAATTCTACTGAAAGCACAGAAATGCAAAATGCTAACTATTTAGTAAGGCAAGAGGGGAAAGTGCAAAGCAAAACAGGGAAGAGGAGTATGAGTTACAACATTCAGATCCCCACCAGACAGCCAATTATACGTAAACACCCGGCTACTGAAAAATTCTACAGCGGTGGGAAAGCAAGTAGCCTTGAATTACTGGGGTTGGGATATTTTCCTTTCAATGCAGCATCACATTTAGATTTTGCAAACCAGAGCCTGCAAAACTCAAAAATAATGGTGGGCACTTATTTCAAGGATCAACTGTACAACAATTTAGAGCAAGGCTGTGCAGACTTTTGTGAAAGAAACAGTGTGAACTAAGAGAATTCAGGCACATGTCCATCAGTTGTGGTATTTGTATTCCTGCTACAATAAATGCAATCACTCCAAGTATGTACCGTATTTTCCGCCCTATAGGACGCACTTTTTCCCATTCAAAAATGAAGGGGAAACGTGTGTGCGTACTATGGGGCGAATACAGGCTTTCGCTGAAGCCTGGAAAGCGAGAGGGGTCGGTGCGCACCGACCCCTCTTGCTCTCCAGGCTTCACGAAGCCCTGCGCAACCCTAGGGAGACCAGCGCGGCTCCCTAGGCTTGCGGTTAGCAGGCTGTTCTGGGGGCTGGGGTCGAGGGAAGCTCGGGCTTCCCCCGCGCCAGCCTCGTGCCGGGGGGGGGGGGAATAATTTTTTTTCTTTATTCCCCCCCCCAAATAAAACTAGGTGCGTCCTATGGGGCGGCGCGTCCTATGGGGCGAAAAATACGGTAATCATTCACATCCTCCCATCTTAAATCTGAACCAGATAGCTTTGTTGATGTTTTCATCAGAATTTGGGATATACTCCCTGGACTCTGCTATCAAAATCTGACCACCTATTTTTAACTGCTACCCTTAATGACCATGAAGTCTTAAAATATTGCTGTGTAGATTAGATGAAGGTGTGAGAAGATGCATTTCATCTCACGGGTCATTCCGAGGATTACCAGAATGGAGACAATGAAAGACTCTAGCCAGAAATGTACAAGGAAGGAAAGAATATTCTACTAAATTGTATTCAATGGAAACCTATAGAGGAGGAAGGGATCTTCACTTCACCCCTTAGCCACACACTGGAGGAAACCAAGTACATGAAAGTTGCTGGCTGGGCATCTTCAGCCCCAACACAATAGCTGCTTTAAAGAAAGGAACACACGGCAACTATGAGGCCTATTTGTTGAGATGCTCAATATGAAGGCACCATAGTCTCCTAAAGAGGAAATTTATCCCACACCCCATTTCTTGGTTTGCCCTTCCAAGTTCTCCCTAAGAATTGTACAGCAAACCCTCTTGAGAGCTACCAAAAACTGAAAACCAGGAGCACTGCTGGGCTCACCTAAAGTGTGGCCTGTGTCCTGCCCTCACCCAAAAACCACTGAATGGACGACTTGTCCACAAAGACTCCCCCTAGCAAGCAAGCAAGCAGGAGGCACTTCTGACCAACAGCTTGTGGCTATGGTGATACTATTCCACGGAGAAGCGCTAAACGACGGTAAACATCCGAAATCAGCAACAATTTTTTTGGATGGGGGAGATGAAGAGAAGCAGCCCACACTTGTGCAGCAGTTATGCTCATCTGCTCTGTGCTCAGCATTGTAAGAAATACACTGTCAGTCTGTTTACACAGATAGTCCTTTAATACTGGGTTTAGTACAAGGGTTTCTTCATCTGTTCCAGGATTATAATATAGAAGTACTTCTAGAGGAAAATTACACTTAACACATAAAGTGCCTATCCATCACACGGTGCCGCTGTCACCTGAAGTGAGACACAGACAGACAACTTCTTGCCACCATTTATTTTTGAATGTATTCATGGAGGATACATGCTGCATTCTTCACCACAGATACAAAGACACTGTATCTGCTGATTTTTGTATCGCTCTTCCTACAACACAGACTCTTACCATTTGCCTGTTAGATTTCAATATCTGATGACATGCACAGCGTGAAAAAAGGGGGGGAAAGAAAACTAAAAGATCAAATTGAAGTACAGTATGACAGAGTAAGGCTATGAATTAGAAAGAGAGACAGAGGAGATAGAGAGGAGAGAGAGCAAGAGAGAGGCAGAGACATTCACAGAAAAAACATTCTCTCTTAGCTTCAACCGTGACAAAATTCTTGGTTGAAACCACTGTGTCCCATTCTGCCGCAGATTTCAGGTTGGTTAAAAGGATCTCATGGGGAGGGAAAAGAAACTCTGCCTGCAGTGCAACTATGACTGATAACAAATAAGCATTTAGCCACAGCTGATGCATGGCCAAACTCCTCCTTATCGCTTGACAGGGTGAAGCCAAGCTGTACGCTAGAGTTATTTTTATTGTGGCAGACGTGGACCATCAAAACCCTCAGTCTCACTTTCAATGTGGACAGGCTACGAACGGCCTAGGAAGCAACCGAAAAAGGAGTGCCTGGAGGCTCAAACTGACTACTGAATTAGTTCAGCTATGGTACCAAGGTTGCTGGCAACTGCCAGCAATAGGTGAATTTTGCTGCAATGACATGGATAGCACAGAACCAAGTTGCTGAATTCTGTTGTGGGACGCCACCACTAATTGCCACTCCCCGATCCTATGCATGCACAGACAAGGAGGAAAGCCGACACAATCCTCCTTCACTGCTAAATGGAATAAATGTTGTGACCAAGTTATAAAGTCCTTGTTCCGATGGCACTTCCCCCATAAACTTGCCAGGTAGCCTTAATGTAATTCCCAACCTCTCAACCCACCTACATCCAATTTGCAATACAGGAAAGAGTAATGCAATCACCCCGTAAGGATTAGAGAGAACATATGTCAGCCCAATTAACACAGTTAAGTGCTCTGTAAAAATATTTTGAGTTATTCGCCACCATATCAAGGCACTGAGTGCATTGACATAGTGATCCTCAAGTTGGGCAAGCCAACAGCATTTTTAACATTTCCAAACAGCTGGAATTAAGAGACTGGACTAACCGCCACATGATAAACACAAAAGACCATTATGCTCTGCTATGATCTGGGCAGCTCAAGAACAAGATCTCTGTGTTATCCCCGTGGAGGTACCCTCACATTATTCTTGTTTAGAAGACCACCATATGCTTTTGCACACTTACAACAATGGTTGATTTAGCCCCGGCTGCATGAGAGGTCAAAGCCTACAGAAAACCATATTTAAATAGCTTAAGACACCCATGGTTTAAATATGCCTAACAAGTGATTTTGTCGTTGATGGAACATAAACTTCCCAGAAACGTTACAGGTGATTGTGATTTCTCTATCGTAAGTGTGCATTCTACCTTACCTGGCCATTTCCCAGCAATGAAGTGTCTTCTCCCATCAGAATATATGAGCCAAAGAAGAAAACAAAAGCATGAACGAATCCCAGGAAGGTCCAGTAAAGGAAAGGTTTAAAGCCCAAGTGGGCATTTTTACTGATGTCTCTGTAAAGGGAAAAAAGGATACAAGGCCTTTACTGCTACTTTCCAATTAACAGAAAGCCCATTTTAATTCTGTATGCACTTGAGATACAATCACCATTGCATCAGAGAGCACCTCTTCTGGTAAAACCATAAAAACGTTCTCTAGCCACCTGAGATAAACATCTGATAGCGTCGCTGCAAAATTAAATGATGTACTGACCTTGCAGCCTCCAGGAACATTCCCCAATGAGCCAGTTTCCCCCATTTGTCAAAATACAATTGGCTTGATTGATGAATTTATGGGAGCCAGGACTTAAACAGATAAACTGGCCTTTTAACAGATCAAGCAGTACATTTCAAGCTTTGAAACCAGAGGGATTCACAGGTTCTTAGCTTTTGCAGCTCTGTGGTGATGTGGTTCAGCCCAATATCTCAAAAAAAATCTCTTGGCATTCTCTAGCAAAATTCTTAAATTAACAAAACCTAGGATTCAAATGTTAAGGTAGCGTCTCCTTAGTTTTCGGAGCGGAATGGAAACATCTGTGACTGACCTCCCTCAACAAATGAAGGCAGCCAGCTATCCATCCTGACATTTGATTTTGAAGTTTTACTTCGTACTCGATTTGAAGAATGAAAAGTACCATGGCAGGTTCAATAGTTTTCCAAGCAAAGAAAACTATTTTGCGTATTCTGAGTGTCATTCTGTCAAATAGATGAGAAGATGTTCTGTCATACTATCAGAGAAGGGAGAGGAAAGGACAGCTTTTTGGTGTTCCCTGCACCGACACAAATGTTCCTGAACGTTATTAAAAACTGACCTCGCCAGCGTGTGGGTGCCTTATAGCAAGGGGTGGGGAACCTGTGGCTCTTCCAGATGTTGCTGAACTACAACTCCCATCATCTCTCAGGTTTGGGACCATGCTGAGGCAGATGGGAGTTGCAGTCCAGCAACATCTGGAGGGCCAGGGGCTCCCTAGTCTCAGAGTTACAGCCTGACCCTTGGACTCATTTAGCCTAGTGTTGCCTCCCCTTCTTTGCAACAGTCTCAGCCCAGTCCTGCCGTCATAAACGGGAGATGGCTAGACTGAGCAAGGAATCTTCCATGTGGAAACTATATACAGTGGTACCTCTGGTTACAAAACTAATTCGTTCCGGAGGTCCGTTCTTAAGCTGAAACCATTCTTATCCTGAGGCGCACTTTTGCTAATGGGACCTCTGGTAACGTGATTTCTGTTCACATCCTGGGGCAAAGTTCATAACCAGGAGCAGCTACTTCCGGGTTAGCGGATCTCATAACCTGAAGCATTCGTAACCAGAAGCATTCGTAACCAGAGGTACCACTGTATTTGCTTTGATGACTGACTATGGCTCATCCACTTTTCAGTTATTCAGTGTTCACAAGAATATCTGCCAGTTACATCGAAACAAGCAGGCTGGGATCATCTAGTACTGGTGCTTTTAACAGCTTCTGGTGCCACTGTTTTTCTACCACTTGAGGTGGGGTGGGGGTGGGGGAGTGCCCCATTACTAATTTATTAAGCACACCCCTCCCCCCAGGAGAGCATGCTTACCGATACAGCGTTGGCTTGCTGTGTAATACATGGGGATGCACGTGCTGTTCAAAAAGACTGTACATGAGGACCGGCAGGGAGGTGAAACAAATGTTGTACAAAGTCAGGTACACACTGTCATACAGAGTCTGAAAAGCAGGAAAGGAGGGGAATTAGTGGTTCTGAAATGCAGAAACAGGAGACAGGACTTAAGAGTCAAAAGTGCTCGGTTGCGAGCAATTTCAAAAGCCAGGTTTTATTTCTATAAAACCAAAAGGCATCCAGTTCTATAACGTCAAAGATACACCACAAAACCAATATGCCCCCATTCCCTCTCTGCAGCTTACTTACAGTGATGCTTCAAACCACAAGAACTAGTGAATGTTACGAGTTCATCATGCTCTAAATGTGTTTTCAGCTTCCTAGCACAAGTCTACCTCTTTTGAAGTTTCTCGTAGACCCTAACACCTCAGAGAAAGGAAAAAGGTTGGCACCCAACCAACTGGTACAAAGATGGGTATCACTTCACTTTGTGCATCTCTCATTCTGTAGGGCAAAGTCTTTAATGACCCTTGAGGCTATTTTCACATTGAAAATAAAAATCTTCCCCACAGACACAGACAAGTTCTTGTATATTTCTATGACTTTACAAATGATAATTTTAAAGGTAGATAGACAAAAAAAGGGAGGGGGGATAGAGAAGAGAAGTGATACCAAGATGTTAAAGGCAAAGGTAAAGGACCCCAGACAGTTACGTCCAGTCGCGAACGACTCTGAGGTTCAGAAATGCCATTTACCTTCCCACCAGAGCGGTACCTATTTATCTACTTGCACTTTGACATGCTTTCGAACTGCTAGGTCGACAGGAGCTGGGACCGAGCAACAAGAGCTCACCATGTCAGGGACCAAGATGATACTTAAGGGTTATCTGGCTGTAGGAACAGTCATTCTGTTTTAGCTATCGTACAATATAAAATATTCTATTTTTCTTTCTCTCACTTCTCTATATCCACCCATAAATGCATTGGGGTGGGGTGGGGAACTGGAAGAAACATTCAAATGAATACTTACTTGTTGTGAAAACAAGCAAAAGAATTGATATAAAAACTGTGGTGTAATAAAGCACACATTCTGGAAAACAAAAAGTGAAGCAGAACCAGTTAGGCGACACCAAGCAAGTACAGCATATCATGGATATTGAAATGGGTCTAAGTTTATATAGGCCACTAGCCATAATGTTCAATTAGGAATCCTGGGAGGAACAGAGCAAATCCCAACCTTACACAGATTTTTAATCTTGGACACTATCGAATTCAGGATCAGGGTAATAAGATACAGCTAGCTAGGACACACTGGTTGGACTAAAAAGGAAAGTTCTAATGTGGGTAATATTCATGATACACTAAAATGCTCTCAGATACCATCGTTTCCATTACCAAATAAAGAATCTCAGGTCCTAAGTCTACACTAGAGTGAAGCCTTAACAGCTCTGACAATTATGGTTTACAAATAGAGAGCACGTGGACCCTGCCTCCTCCCTCCCCCCCAGGATCCCTCCTTCCTTGTCTATTGACCATGGTTTTTCATTATGTGTCCATCACATGGAAGCCACAGTTACCTTATAAAACTAGGTAAAATATGATCACATCTTGTGCACGATGAACTTGCACAATTTCAACCTTGTGTGGTTGAAAGCTGGCCGGCTCAGATGCTAAAAATTAATTGCACACAAGGCAGAGAGCTTAAAAGCTCCTTTTGCACTGGGTTTTCCCGGCGTGGAAAGAGCTGTTACGCTCTCATACTTATTTCCTGGGCTCTGGGGTGCTCTTGTGAGATTTCACAGGAACTCGAATGGCCCTGTGAGATCTTGCGAGAGCATCCCAGAGCCTGGAAAGCAAGCTGGCAAGCTGGAAAGCTCTCTGCCTTGCTTGGAAGGTAAGGTTCACCATATGGGGGTGGTTCAAGTACATACACAATTTTTGCGTAGATGTGCCATTCCTGGAATGTAACCCCCGACCCATGACACAATACTACTGTACTGAAACTACCTGGTTTGCAAACCATGCCGTTTAAATGACAATCATTTTCAGCTTGAATCCCAAGTTAAGGGAAGGGAAGTTACCATACTCTTATCCCATCTGCAAACCCCAAAAGGCTTATCTGGAAAACCAGAGGGCGTTCTTGAACAATGCAGGATGGAGCAAAAGAAGAAGAAGAAACAGGAAAATTTCCTTCTCTAACATAAGAAAGTTCCAGACTGAGTCAGTTAAAGGTATCTCAGCTCTGCCAATAAATGTTAAGAATGCAAAGTACCATGCTGAAGACAATTGCATATTATAGCTTTGAATGATGTGTGTGGCAATGCAGAGTCCTTAAAAGACCAGCAGTGGATAACTTCTGAAGTTATGTGTTTGGTTAACTGAGGTCCTGTTTAGGTGTTTCTGAATGTTCTTCCACCTGGTGCAGTTAACCTTAAGGAAGTACCATCAGAAGAAAATGTTTCTAGCAACAGGAAGATGCAGTCATGATCTGCAGGAACTTACCTTGTAAAAAAAGTACTGTACAAGGGTTGCTATTCTAATGTAATAAAGGTGGCCGTGGACCAAAAGTAATTTGGAAAGAAATTTAAATCTTGCAATTGCATAGTCACTGTTTCTTACAGCTTGTCTTCCTTCTTTACCCATAATACCTGTAATATATGGAGAAAAGAAAAATTAAGGTGACTTTATCACCTGCCCCCGAGGCACGCAAAATTCAAGGGCAGGAGCCTGAAACACAGTAAAACTAACACAAGCAACTGGGAAAAGTGACTAGAAGAGTCAGGTCTTGAATGTGTAAGGCGTTGTTGTTGTTGTTGTTGTTGTCATCTAGTCTGGGGCTTTTAATAACAACAAGAAGCCCATTAATGCTCAGTTCCTTAATGCTCAGTATCCTTTATAAATCGAGAATAAACTCAATTTATGTAGTACAAGTTTCTAAAAAATCACTTGCCTGTTGGTTTGGATTAGAAATAAAAAGGCCACATGTAATTAGCATCACTGTGTGAGAGCAAGTAGGTGAATAAAAATGAAGGCTTCTAATTTTTGCAAGAAAATACTGGCGTAGTATTTTCTCTGTGTAAATGGTCTTCTAGAACAGATTCTGCCCAACTCTATGAACTGTCTTACAGATGCTGTAGTGCTACAGAAAAGGGCTGGCGCTCAGCACCTCCTTCTGGCATTCTGAATGGTTGCAAGTGTGTATTGAATTGTATTAATTCATCAATGGGTTTTTTTGTTGCTTTATTTGTATGCTACTGCATTTTTGATACTATTATAGTGATTGTGATGTTTGCTAATTTTCAATGTCATTGCCATTTACTTGGTTTATGATGTGTTCATCCAGGTGCCAAACATGCTTTTTAGAACGCTTCCCAAATACAATGACCTGCGTCTTATCATAGTTTATAGATAAAGCATTCCTCATGCAATATGAACTTAATTTTGCAAGCAGCCGTCTCAGGCCCACCTGGGTTCTAGATACAAGTACTAGGTCATCAGCATACATTAAAACTGAGAGTTTTTGGTCGAGAATTGTGACAGGGGCAAACTGTAGGCCCTCCAGTTCTTTAACCATGTCATTAATATAAAAATTGAACAGGAAAGGTGCCAAAATGCATCCCTGTTTGACTCCAGTAGTGGTCTTCATAGTGGTGAGATGGCCAGCCAGATCCACCTTTACTTGTGTCAGTATATAATGTTTTGATGAGAAATAATAGACGGAGGTCTATATTTGTCTTTTCCAATTTTTGTCACAATGCGCGTCTTGGGACCGTATCAAAAGCTGACTTTAGATCGATAAAAGCAACATATAATTTTTGCTTCAAATTATGGATGTATTTACATAGCAGAAAGTTCAGCACAAAGCACTGGTCCAATGTGGATTTCCCTCTTTGGAAACCTGCCTGGACTTCAGATATCACCTTATTTGTAGCTGCCCATTCTTCTAGTCTCCCAAGAAGGAGCCTGGCATATAGTTTGGAGGCTACATCTAACAAACTAATGGGTCTATAATTCGCAGGGTTTTTCTTATCGCCCTTTTTATATATTGGGGCAATTATACTCAACTTCCACCCTTCAGGTATATGACCTGAGCTGTTAATGTATGAAAACAATTTTGCAAATATGGGTGACCAGAAATCAGGTCTTATCTTATAGATCTCCATTGGGATCATATCTTCTCCTGGAGCTTTATTAGCTAGTTGGCTTGCGATTAGCCTCTTAATCTGATTGGGCGTGACGTCTGGCCATTCTGGCAGTTCTGATAACTGAGTATAGTAAACTTGTGGGGGTAGGTCAGGACAGGGGCCATATATTTCTGTAAAATATGTCACCCAATCCTTTCCTTGGACAGATGCTTCTAACAAGTAGCCCATCCCATTTGTGCCTTGGGCAACCAGATGCCAAAATTTCCGTGAGTCCTTCTGAAGTGCTGCATCTCCCAATTCTTTCCACTGTGGTTCATAATATATTTGTTTCTTGCTTTTAAGTAATAATTTATAGTTGTTTCGTAACTGGGCTACCTCAGCTTGTAGGGCAAGATTGTGCTTATCCTGTTTTAACTTCAATTTTCTAAGTACCCTAGCTAGGCATTTTTTGCTATTCTGACATTCCTTATCAAACCAAGTCTGTCTCTTAAACTTTTTGTTTTTTATCACACTAGCTGTGGTCATCAGTGGGCGCATTCGGTTGATTATGTTCTCATAAAGTCCAATTACAATTTCCTGTTTCTAACAACATTTCCCCCTTTAATAAAGCAAATTCATGGGAATCCAGGATCTGAATCATTTTTTCTTGGACCTGTGCATTCCATTTTAACCTTCTATTTCCAAGTATCAGATATTCTGTTTCATCCAATAATTTAGGAAAGGCAGGAGAAAAGAATAATGTCAGAGATAACTCAAGTGGAAAGTGGTCACTTTCAGCTCTGGGAATTATCCTGAAGGTATCTCGGTTAACCAGCACATTATTAGATATTAGGATATAATCTATGGTGCTAGTAAATCCTCTGGGGGAGATAAAAGTAAAATAACCCTCTTGATCCCCTTGACCGTGCCCATTGCATAACAAAAGGTTATGCTTTATTGTAAGTTCACAAAGATGTTTCCCAGCGCGATTAGAGGTGGTGTCCATTGCTGCCCTCTGACAGATTTCAGGTTCGTCCTCCAAGTTTAGACCAGATAATATTGTATTTTGTGGGGAAACAAGGCCGATCCGGGCATTGAAGTCACCCCCAAGATAAACCGAGGGTTAGGTGACAGAGAGTCTATACTTTCGAGTAGTTGGTCAAGTTTATCCCAATATGATCTCAGTTCCCCACAAGACTTTACTGGAGGTATATACACACATATGCAATAAGTATTTCTCTCTCTTTTTTTTAAGAATAATTTTTTATTAACCGACCAATCATATCAAATCAAACCAAATTACATAAATTCCAAATTACACAGCCGAATTTTAATTTTTTGTTGGGGGTACCCATGTTTCAAGTTCCGAAGGGATCCAATCAACTTCTTGCTTCTTACTGCTGTTTTAATGTCCACAAATCTAACCTTATGATGTTCACAGTACTATCCAGTCCTTTCTTATTATTTTTCCACATCTCTTGTTGTTATTTTCATATATTTTCCCTTTCTCTTTGTGACCTCTGATAGTCTCCGCAAGCTGGTTAGAACAGTTTGTAATCCTGTGTGGATATTATTTTTTTTATCCAGTAGCCATATCCAGACGTTTTCCATATAACATCACTTCCATACATCAAAACAGTCATAGCGTCATTAATCTTCACCAATCTGCCTCCTTTTCTCAAAACCTCTGAGGAGATTCACTAGGAATGCAGTCTGAAAACAAATCTGTTCTTCCTCCCGGCTATAATTCCTTTGGCAAGATGGTGACCCCGAATTAATTGCTGCGACATTCCCAAAAGCTCTTATTGCTTCTCGGTCTCCATAAAGCATACTTTTGGTTAAAGTTTATCTCCACACAGAACTTAATCATCCTGCTTGGGTCAGTTCAACCGACGGTTCTAATGAGGAGGGGTTCTTGTAAATCACATAGAAGGAAAGTAAAAAAGGTCCGTCCCCCCCATTCAGCCCCATTGTCAACATACCCCGCCTTTGGTGTATCTTCATCGTAAAATATTCCTGTTTCTCCATCCCGTCGTCTTCTTTTGCAGAGGTCACTTAAATTAGCAGACTTCACTCCCCTTCTTCACTTGAAATATGTGCATTTGCTTCTTTTGTAATTAATTATTCCAAATTGCTGCAACTAGTGCGCGATCAGAGACAGCGTCCAGGAGAGCCAATGTCCACACGAGGGCATTCTGCCTAGGGCCCTCACCCCCTTCTTTCGAATTAGGGGGTGATTTATGGGCACAGCAGGCAAGGGCAGTGTTCCCCATTTCCTTGGGGCAACAAGGGAGGCTGCCTACTCCCATAACAGCCTCTTAATTACAGTGGTGCCCCGCAAGACGAATGCCTCGCAAGACGGAAAACTCGCTAGACGAAAGAGTTTTCCGTTTTGGAGGTGCCTCGCAAAACGAATCTGCTATGGGCTTGCTTCGCAAGACGAAAATGTCTTGCGAGTTCCTGGTTGTTTTTTTTCCTTTTCCCCTCTTTTCTAAGTCGCTAAGCCGCTTATCTGCTTATCCGATAAGCTGATAAGCTGCTAAAAGCCGCTAAAAGCCGCTAATAGCGCTAATAGCGCTAATCCGCTAATCCGTCAATGGGCTTGCTTCGCAAGACGAAAAAACCGCTAGACGAAGAGACTCCCAGAACGGATTCTTTTCGTCTTGCGAGGCACCACTGTACCCCGTGTGGGTCGGAGACATGGTATTGTTGGCCATCTTCCAATGCGCCCCCTAGTGGCCCCCCGCAATAAGTATTTCTCAGGAGACTATCAGAAAGGGACAACACTAAAAAATTAGGGGTGGTCAACAAGGGACACTGTTGAATTGATACATTAAGAGAGGTTGACACCAGCACCGCCAGCCCCCCACTAGACCTTCCATCCTTTCAGTTTTAAGAGCTGGTTGAGTGTAACTTGTAAAACCCTGTAATTCAACCATAGTGCCCTCTTTTGCCCAGGTTTCTTGAAGAAAGATGATATCATGTGTTTGTAGATAAGAACAGAAATCACTGTCTTGGATCTTGTTCGTCCACCCTGTTACATTCCATGAGAGAAGTTTAATTGTTTTACAGTGATTTACTCTTAGTCAATTGTTGGCCGATGTGCTCTCGGAGTTTACCAGTTTTTGAGGCAACAGGTTATTGCTAATGCTAGTGGAATAATCCAGATGTTCAATTATTTCAGTCGTCGTACATAAAGTGCTCACATTTGTAATCACTGGGCCTTTTCTTTGCAAATTGTTTGCCAATGGGGATTTCTTGGGTGTATTTCCTGACTCCTCCTCTTCTAAATATCTCATCTTTGTCCAATACTCCGGTGGTTCTATAGTTATCATTCTGTTGTGGTCATTGGATCTATTATCAATCGCTGCCTCCGGTTCTTTAATCTCTTTCAATGTCTGGCTCATAAGATCAAGCCTCTTGATAACTGTTTGTTGCTCTTCCTGAGGGAGATTCCTAAAGGAGCTGAGAAAATCCTCTTCCAAAGGATTTACAGAGTGCTCAGATTCCTGAAGATGAGGAATCGGCTGTTCCTTTTGGCTCACCTGGTTATTTTGATGTTGGGCATGATCCTGCGGATTCAACTCAGGTATGTCTGTTTCCTCCCCACCTGCCAAGTTTTTTTGTGATGTTATTACTTCCATTGGGGATCCAGGCTTTGGTTTTGTGAGCCCCTCTGAAGCAGCAGTCATCTTACATAAGGGTGCAACAATAGAATTGCGAAATACCCGGGTTGGAAAAACTCCTCTGCTTGACAATCTGAATTTCAGCTTGTGAATTAGTGAGGGCAGTCTAGTACAGGAAAAAGTTAACATAATTTTTTGGCTTTGATTTGTGGTAATCAAGAGTTCAGTCCTAACGAGGTTGATCTCTGTAAGTCCAATGCCAAGTAAGTCTGATAAATGTCGTTTGGAACGCTGGGCACCTTTCCAGCTAGGCGTTTGATCTGGCCTTCCACAAATTGTCATGCAGATATTTTTTGGTTGGAAGATTAAATAAGAAGAGTTTGTTTTAAGAGCCTCTGCACGTTCTATGTTGAGCTTAGGGGTCTGCTCTTGTTGTCGCCAATTTCCTTTGGTATTATGGTGTTCTGTTGATGCCTGCTTGTTATTAACTGATAAACTGTGGACCTCTTTGGATAACTGGGTTATTTGAGAGGCAATACCTCTAATTTGCTGGAAGATATGCTCAACCGTTCTTGCAATTAGAGTTAATTGGGTGCTCTCCCTACTTGTTATTCCTTCCTCTCTGAGGAGCACAGGATCAGCTTGCCCCATTGCTGGATCCAGTTCCACGCTCTCACCTTGAATACTCTCCACACACTCACAATCATCTTCAAGAGGAGAAAACCGTTTTTTTGTTGGAACTGTAAAAGCAGATTTGTTTAAAAAGTCCTCTATTTTAGATTGTTTGGGAACCGGTGAGAGAGCTACATCCTCTGGGTCCCTGTGGCGTTTACTAGCAGGCATAGCGTCACCGTGGGGAGTAAACAAGGAGAGGTTTCCCCAACCAAAAAAGAGAGAAAAGAATAGAAAGTGCTCAGTTTGTTCAATTTAAGAGCTTCTCTGTGTGGAGACTGCCAGGAGTTTCAGGGACAAAGTATAGAAGGGAGTTGGTGGTTAATAGCTAGCAGCTGGCGGCCTGCCCAGGATGCTTCACAGAACTTGCCCAGGATGTTTCTCATAGCATAGACAAGAAGGTGCTGTTAGACTCTCAGTAAGTTAAAAAGTAGAGAAGTAAAAAAGGAAAAATTACTTCCCTGGGTGGCAGTCAATGCTAATTATAGTCCTGTTATCTGCGGAGCTCCGAAGCCTGCTTGCTAAGCCGTTGCCATCTTGGACCCACCCCCATGTCATTGCCATTACTGTGAGCTGCTTTGAGCACAATACGAAGGTTAAATCAATGGAGTGGAAAGCAAGCCAAGCGTCTACAAAGTAAGGACACACAAACTGAAGTCCCACGTATGCTCCCCCCGCCCCCCACTTCTTTACATAGGTATTTTCCCCTATTTTATTTTTGGTGCCAGGAACCTGAAGGTCAATGGAAGGGCTGCAAACTGGCATTTTCACCATCTGCCAGCCCCTTCCGTCACGTCCCTCTGGGAGAACCTGGACTGGGTCATATATTCCCAGGGGTCAGAAGATACTGCCTCCCCCCCCCCCAGCATACCCTCCAAATCAGCCTTCCTCAACTGGGTGCTCTCTGGATGTTTTGCGCTACAACTCCCATCAGCCCAAGCCAGGCACCAGGCTGAGGAAGGCTGCTCTAAACTATATCATACCTTTGCTTTAAAAATTGTAAGCCTCTTTAGAAGAAAACCTTGGCTAAAAAGGAGCTATAAATACATTTTTATATGTCATCCGTGTGCAGACAGAGCCTCTTGTTTATCCCCCAGGTCTTTCGTGCACAGAGCAGATACGTATCATAACTCCGCTTATTGAATGCAAGGAGACTCTGAAGACTCCAAAACAAAAAACCTAGATAGAACTGCACAACGAGAAGGCTCTTACCTATCCCAACATGAGCTTCCTGTATCATGCTCACATCGTTAGCTCCATCTCCTATAGCTAACGTGATAGGCTTCTCTGGAGAGGTTTTCAACAGCCGCACCACCTGTACAGAAAAACAGGGTTTTAAAAATGGAACCCCAAGTACTGCCTTTTGGGGTTTTTTGTGGAGCTGCTCAAATAACAAAATGCCATTAGCAAAGTCAGTAGGACAGTGATTACAGCTTGAATACATTTTTTAAAAAATATACTTTTAAGCTCCTTGGGGTAAGGACCTACCATCTCTGTTCTCCGGACGCAGATTAAGGGAGTAATGTATTCTTGGATGGTAGCTGGAAGTCTAATTTTTGATGCCTAAAGTAAGAATGTGGGCTGTAATGTTTTCGCATGTTTCAGGCTTGCTCTATAACCATTCAAGTGCGAGAGACTACGTCAGTATAGAGTACTAGAATGGGAGATAGGAAGGGAGTGGCTATGCTGCTGTTTGGCTCTCAACCAGTCCATTAGGTAAAGGTAAAGGGACCCCTGACCATTAGGTCCAGTCGTGGCCGACTCTGGGATTGCGGCGCTCATCTCGCTTTATTGGCCGAGGGAGCCGGCGTACAGCTTCCGGGTCATGTGGCCAGCATGACTAAGCCGCTTCTGGCGAAACCAGAGCAGCGCATGGAAACGCCATTTACCTTCCCGCTGGAGCGGTACCTATTTATCTACTTGCACTTTGATGTGCTTTTGAACTGCTAGGTTGGCAGGAGCAGGGACCGAGTAACAGGAGCTCACCCCATCGCGGGGATTCAAACCGCCAACCTTCTGATCGGCAAGTCCTAGGCTCTGTGGTTTAACCCACAGCGCCACCCGTGTCCCAACCAGTCCATTAGCAAGGCATTAAATAAATAACAGAGGATGCTACAAGTGTTGAGGGCACCTCCACAGCAGATCGTGGCTGCCAGATGACCCTGCAACCTAAGCAAATTACCTTTGCTTTCTGCAGAGGCGCCATGCGACAGCACAGGACGGCAGAGCAATTTCTGCAGACTTCCATGAAGAGCTTCTCATGCTGCCTGAGTGCGAGGGAGAGGCTGGTCCCGTCCACCACCAGCCCATGCTGGATTACATGGTCCTCCTCTATTCTAACAAGGGAAGGAGGAAATGTTACTGCTTGCAATCCGTTCCTAACCCCCACCCCTTTTTGTTAAGACCAAATCCTCAAAAGAACCTGAAGGACAAAGATTCCCTCTCCTTTCCCAAAGCAACAGGCTTGTTAGCATCAGGTGAAGAGTCATGCCGGAAAGACGGGAGATGCAAAGCGACTGGCTTATTTACGTATCGAGAGAGTTCTGCATTAAGAGCTGTTAACGTTATCCACCCAGACACAGCACAGCATTTTACCTTCTGGCTAGCTGCCTCAGCTGCTCTGCACATGTACTGTCTGATTTGTGTTGCACAAGTTCCAGGATGTTCATGGTTCTATGGAAGTGTCCGCAAGATAAACTGACACTGACAGCGGTTTCGTGCTTGTCGCCAGTGAGCACCCACACTTTAATACCTGCCAGTCGGAGCGCTTCTATGGTTTCTTGGACTTTGTCTTGGAGTCTGAAAGTAAAACAAGCCATTCTCGTCAACAATGCTACAACTGATTTTATGATTATGTGTCTCACTGAGCTTGATTTAGTCTGGTTTCTCTAAAGAAGCCCTGTTCTCAAATCACCGGAAGAGTTATTCTAGAAATGCTCTGGCTTCTGAGATTATCCTATCCGCAGTCCACACACTCTCACGCATACCTTTTCCAAGCACAAATGTTTAAAAACCCTCCACAAATTCTCATTACACTGAATTCCAGTTTTAATACCAAGTTCAGTGCTTTGTTTCAGGCTCCAGTAGAGTGCAGGTGGCACTGTGGTGTAAACCACTGAGCCTTGAGCTTGCCGATCGGAAGGTCGGTGGTTCGAATCCCCATGAAGGGGTGAGCTCCCGTTGCTCGGTCCCTGCTCCTGCCAACCTAGCAGTTCGAAAGCACGTCAAAGTGCAAGTAGATAAATAGGTACCACTCCGGCGGGAAGGTAAACGGTGTTTCCGTGCGCTGCTCTGGTTCGCCAGAAGTGGCTTAGTCACGCTGGCCACATGACCTGGAAAAACTGTCTGCGGACAAATGCTGGCTCCCTCGGCCAGTAAAGCGAGATGAGCGCCGCAACCCCAGAGTCGTTTGCGACTGGATTTAACTGTCAGGGGTCCTTTACCTTTCACCGGTAGAGCTTATAATGCATATTATATATGTATATTATGTATATAATACCTGCACTAGCTTCAAGAGGCACCCATTATCTTAGGCTACTACACCAAGCCTTTACTCACCTCACTTTTAAACATTTGTATTTGGTAACATACTTCACCAAATTCAATGAATGCTCATGCCTGCTACTGAAGTGGTCAGAGGACAATCCCAAGGAGGACTATTGCCAGGTGTTTTTTCTTGTGTCAGGCTGGCTGGCACAAGGTATATAGCACAGCCACACAAGTACGATTTTCCAGCCGCTGAACACCCAAGGTTTTGATGCCGAGAGCATTGATTTCAGCCCGATACGTAGAAACTGCATGCTGCCTATTCACTTCCCATGATAGTATCGAATTCAGTGTGAAGCTCCTGCACTTGCAACTACAGGTGCAATTGCCCTGACTGTACACTCTTGCATTCTGAGAGGGTGAGAAGCATCACAGACTCTGGCTACATGCACATAGCTTACCATGGCACAATATGTGAATGAGGGGTAGGATATATGCCCACAGGAAGGGAACCAATCCCCAATTTGCATGGAACGGATTAATTTGCAAGCTGCCCTGCAGTGGGCAGAAGTCCCACATCCAAATAATTAGTTCAGGTAGTACATACTTGTCTTCCACTCCTGTAGCTCCAAGCAGTTCCAGGTCATTTTCTATAAAGTTATACACCTCCGACAATCGCTCTTCCCGCTGTTGTAAAGCGGTTTTTGCCTCAAAAAGGCGTTTTTCGACTTCCTGATACTCCTTAGCGGTGAATTTTCTGTAAGCTACACACAGAGTTCTTAATCCTTTCTGTGAAAAGCAAAAAGGGTTACTTCAGCATTAGACAGGCCCAGCTGACATCCATCAGATTTCTAAATGATTTACTTTTTTTTACAAGCTGGGTGGTGACCCAATCTGTACTTTACTCTCTTTCATGTATTTTGCTTTGGTTTTGTTTGTCATGTGGTGTTAAACGAGATTTTGTACACGGCATATATTTTATATGCGTTTGCGGTACAGAAATAAATAAATCATTGACACCCAGAGGCCTGTTGTTGCTGCCCCATCTCTTGCAATAAACAAAATGAAGTGAAAGGGTAGGAAGAGCACCTGAAGGACAAAAGAAATGCAAAAACCAATTCCACAATACAACTGGTTGACCATAATCTGCAGGTGCTCTGGACAAGGCAACTTTCATTCTATTATTACAGTGGTGTCTCGCAAGACGAAATTAATTCGTTCCACGAGTTTTGTCGTCTTGCGATTTTTTTCGTCTTGCGAAGCACGGTGTCGGGAAAGTTTTGGAAAAGCTTCAAAAATCACCAAAGTCTTTAAAAGCCTCAAAAAAGGCTATCACACCACGTTCTATGAGTTGCTCCTCGAAGTCAAGTCGCAACTGTATTAACGGTGTTAAGAAAAAGGAAACAAACTTGCAAGACGTTTCCGTCTTGCGAAGCAAGCCCATAGGGAAAATCGTCTTGCGAAGCAGCTCAAAAAACAAAAAACCCTTTCGTCTAGCGAGTTTTTTGTCTTGTGAGGCATTCGTCTTGCGAGGTACCACTGTATTCAGATTAAAAAATGGGATAGCCCCCATCTCACTGCTCTGGCCTCTTGCAAGGGAGTGGCACTTTTTCAAGGTGTTCACATCACGGGTGACACTGGCATTGGCGAAAGAAGTCTATCAGCAGGGAGTAGCTGACACAAATTCAACTTTTACTCAACCCTGCCTGGGTGTCTGAGCTCACAAGCCCCTGAAGGAGACAGCAAGGGGCAGGGAATCCCCCATGTATGAATCAGTTCTTAGTCCCACATTGAACAGTCATCAATCTTCTGTATCCATAAGTCATCTGTGTCAACCACAGCACTAACTGGTTCTCAAGTTTAGCAGAAGTTTTACGTAGATATCTACTAACAAATTTTAAAGAAAAGCAAAAAACACTTGTACATACCAAAGCAAATTCATCCACATGAATTCTGGTTTTTTCTACCTCTCCACTTGTACTGCGAGGAAGAATAACGGATTCTGCACCTTTGGTGAATAAGAGCTTCTCACCTGCAAAGGATTTAAGTGTAAATCATGTTTACAGTTCATAGTAACCTGTTCAGAATCCAGAAGAGTCCCCAACAAGGAAACTGATGCAGGTTTTGGTTTAAGAAGCAAGGTAAGAAGCAATAAATATGCATGATGTTTCTTACCTGTTGGGCTTTCTACAATTACGCTCATTCTTCTGCGATTTGCATCGAACTCCAAAACATGTAGTAATTTGTACCTTCAAAAGGAAAGATCATGTTTACAGTATGTATTAAAAAACTGAAGGCAAAAATATCAATACAGTATTACTTGTTAAACCTAACAAAGAGCCTTGTAGCACCTTAAAGACTTAACAAATCTATTACAGCACAAGCTTTTACGGACCGTACCATAATTAAGTTTGTTAGTTACTTAAGGTACTCAAGACTCTTGCTGTTTGCTGCTCAAAACTAAGGCAGCTACTCCTCTAGAAATTGTTGAATCTAAAGAACCACAAGAGCTACAGAAAACTACATGCCTGCTGCTGCACTGGTGAGGCTGGAGAAAAGAAGCAGCATTCTCCCAGCTCAGACACCGGGTGGGTGCAGGAACAGGGAGCAGCTTTTAACCCTCAAACATGGATGAGGTGCCGAGACTCAAGGGGCATCTGAGACTCAAGTGGCAGGTGGAGAAAAAGGGAATATGTGTACAGAAATAAGCATGTTTCTAGATATAATCCTTCTACCAAAGATCTAGTCTACGTTCCTTGTGTTTTCAGAATTCCTTTCCTTCGGAGGAACTCAATTTAGGACCACACACTTCTCTTCATTGTATATTAGAATATACATTTTGAAAAAAAAGAATGCTCGCTACATATTTATCCGGAAGTGTTTTAAAACACTGGAATGTTTTAAAGCTGTGACCTGCCAAGTGACAGCTAAAAGCAACAAGCTTCTCGTTCGTGGCTTATGAATAGCCACTGCCAATCAGACAAGAATGTATCTGTGACCGACATACAGTTATCATATTTTCAAGCAAACATATTATGTAATTGGCATTTCCCCCCCACCTCATGCAGTTGCAATGTATCATAGATAATGACTAAATAAGCTAACTATGGTGTAGATATTGCAATCAAATCTGCCTTCAGGCCTGCCTCCATTTGTCATTTATGAATAATATGACATAACTGGACAAATTGATCAATAGGCATAATAAGTCCAACCAATAGCCCATCTAACTAAGTCTTGTTTAACCTCCACCCTAATATATAAGAATCTATAACTGGAAATGCCAGAGACTGAACTTAGGAGCCCAATGAGTTTCCAGTTAAACTTAAAAATGGAAAGCGTATTGCTGGTGGTCAACAAAAGAGGTTTAAAGACTTTAAATTTTTTTTAAAAAAATTAAATTTTTAAAAATGTAGTATAAACATTGGCAACTGGGAAACACTGGCCTGCAAGCTCTCCAATTGGAGAACAGCCTTTACCAAAGGTGTCATGGGCTTTGAAGATGCTCGAACTCAGGAAAGGGAGAAATGTGCTAAGAGGAAGGCATGCTTGGCAAACCTTCACCGTGATCAACTCCCACCTGGAAACCTATGCCCCCACTGTGGAAGGACGTGTGGATCCAGAACTGGCCTCTACAGTCACTTACGGACTCACTGTTAAAACCGTTTATGGAAGTCAATCTTACTCAGCTACGAGTGATTGCCAAAGAGAGTTCTCCTCTGAGATTAAAGGCAAGCCAATTAAACTGCTTTTTGCTAAGAGGGCATAATGCAGATTGGTTTGATGTATCAACACTGATTGAGACACCTTACAGAATCTTAGCAGTCTGAGAAACATTATTGCTGCTTAATTACTAACCTTTCTGGCTTTCCACAGCTTTTAAGCTCCATACTTTCTGCGCTTGCTCCAGTAAACACAACACCAACCCTTAAAAATTTGGAAGAAAGAAGTCAGTTTAAAAAAGTGTCCCCATGGAAACAATTTGCTTGGATATTACCAAAAAGCATTATACTGCCCCGCTCCAGCAGGAAGAATTATCTTAGAAATAAAACAGAATTTTAAAGAAGAATTAAAGTCATTGTGCAAGCAATCGTGATTCCAGACATAGAGCTAATCGGTAATACTTTCTTAATTTCCCCTTCTGTGTCACTGGCCACTAATCAAGCTCAGAGATCATTGAGCTGTTTGGGGTTGGTATTCTTTTTCTAACATTTTTTCCGCAAATCTTCTGGTTCCTCTAAATATCATGGTACATCTATTTCATTACCCAGGAGCTACATTTTGACTAAAAGCTGTAAGCTGCAAATTTTTTGTATTGGAAAATTATTGTTTTATTAAGTTTTATATTATTTCAATACAGTCCTTTGTCCCATCAATGAAATAGTCCATGTAATAATTTAAAATATCTACCAATACCCCCCCCTGTATATATTTGTGTATAAATCATACGAAAACAGTACCAACGGCTGACATTCCAGCTGACCTTGTCTCAAAAGCACCTTTTCATTAAAGGAAAGTTACCAAGGAGGAAGGGATATAGCTTGAAGAGGAAAGGAAGGGGCTAAAAATCACTGCTACCCTCCTGCCAGAGATCTGGCCTTGTGCAAAGTTCCTCTGGATGATGACCTTGAGTCACTACTTCATTATGCATAGCTGCTCCAGGGGCCCCATGAGATATTAAAGAAAGTCATACTCTCTACCATGACCGACTGGCACTCCAATAGCTACGCTTGCTTTATGAGCTAAATCAGGGAAAGGCAAAAAGCTTGTTTCATCACTCTCCTTGCTCTTCTGGGCTCAACGGGACAAACGATGCAAGTTTCAACTTCTCCAGCGTTGCCATTTTTGCCTGCTAAATAATGCACAGAACCTTGGCTTCTAATCCTCACCTGCGGGCAGCTTCGACTAAAGCCTTTTCATCTGGGGAGGAGGCATAGTATTCCAGCTGAGAGGATATGCCATTGCTACGCCAAGGACTGTCACAAATGCCGTCAGTTTGGTCATTATTAATCTGCACCGTGTGACAGAGGCAAACAGCTTTCAGGAAGATTTCCTCCTCTTCCGTCTGTTTTTAAAACATGAAGGCAAAACATGGTATTAATACAGGTTAACACAAAATTGACAAGCAATTCTTTTTATTCTTCTCTAAAGAAAGGAGTTACTAAAACCTGCGGAACTTTCAGACCAAAAAGGAAGAGAGGCAACTTCTCAGCAAACAACATAATCACTGTCTTCTCCTGAACCCTAAGACTGTGATACTTGTCTACTGCCAAACCTTGGAAATATCCAACCTGGCATCATAAAATATCCCAAGTGCTGCAGGGTTATAGTGGATCCGCATCTTACAGCAAACATGGTGCTACCAATCCTTTGCAGAGGTGGTATTGTGAGCTCGGGCAATACACAGGGCAACATTTCATAAAATCCAGAAGTCTCTCTCACACAAAAATGAGTCAAGAGGATGCACAACGTATATAGTCGCTCTTGCTAAAGGTTGCACTCCTATGCAGCACTCACTTGGGGTAAAGCCCCACTGCAAGAAATCAGATTTGCTTCCAAGCAAGAACATGGATAGGCTCAAGATGCATGACTGCAATCCAATGAACGTTAACTTGGAAAATGTCCCATGGAATACTGTTCGAAGTAAGCGTGCACATCATCTGGCTGTTCTCTCCAAATAAACAATTCACTGTCCCTCAAAAAAAAGCACCTAAACCTCTGCTCAACGATCATTCAATTCTCCTATTGAACACTTCAGTAAGTCCCTTATGGAACCCAGTCTTGAGGAGTGTTAAGCTACTTAACCGGAATATTACATGAGACATTAATGAATTGTAACTGAGAGAAAATCTTACCAGTCTAGGCTGTATTCCATCTGGAACATCCTCAATCAGCCCTTCTGGAACCAGTTTGCCATTGATCTCTTGGTACTTTATACCATTAATAGAACATTCCCGAAACTGCATCACATTTTCAGTTAATGTACCAGTTTTATCTGTAAACACATACTCCACCTATGGTAAGTTGAGAAGAGAGATAAGAAAAATAGGTTTAGGAGCAGTGAAACCAAGTTTGTCTGTTCCCCCACCTGCACACAAAATGTTGATGTGATCTTGTGTTGATGTGACACAAGGCTGAACTGGGAGCGGTACTCAAATCCCATTACATAGCAAAACGCTGGGGAAAAGGCACTCTCTCACCTTCAGTGTATAAAAGTACTTTCTTTTGTCTATCATGAATTGCTCAACACTGTTGTCCTAACACACAAACACGCATCAAGATAACACAATTCTCTTGTTTCTGCAGCCTGCATTATGGAAAGTTAGCCTAGGTTTTGAATGTACAAAACTGTTTTAAGCAGAGTCAGGCCATTGGTCCACTGTCCATCTTCCAGTTGGAAGAACTCTCCAACGTCTCCTTTCCTTTTCATTTGAAGTACTGGAATTTTGAAACTGGGGTCTTCAGGAGGCAACTCTGTGCTATACAATTTGTTCAACCGTCAGTAAGTAATAAAAAGAATTGAGGCATTATTGCATCGCATTGAAGCCCCAACCCACAGCAACTAAAAAGCCCATTGAATTCTCTCTGGTCTCAGAGATTTCTACACATTTTCTAAAGGGTAGGAAACGGTTTTTTAAAACTAAGGTTCTCAAAATAAAGAATGTCAGTTCAAAATTCTGCACCTTTCCCATGCTTGTGTGAATTGTGCATCACTCTGCTTATAGGTAATGCAAGGTAAGTACACAAAATCACTGATCAATAACAACTTTAGAATAAATTCAGCAGATACTGGAATTATAGACTGTTCTGAACTTGGGTGGGGGAAGTCATATTGAAACATCCATTCTATACCTGTCCCAGCTCTTCATTGAGGTCTGAAGTATTCACTTGGGCCTTCTCATTCGTTTCTTCGTGATAGAGGTCAAGATCCCAACCAATAAAAAAAGATCCTAGAAATTTCTGCATCTCAACAGTTACGTACAGTGAAATGGGAATAATGAAGTTGTAAAGGACCAGGAAAGCAAGGAAATCTGAAATAAATCTCAGAATCTGAATGAGAAAGAAAGAGAAATAGTATTCACCAAACTGAAAGTGAAACATATTGATTTAAGAATAAATAATAATCATTGCAAAATGCCCCGCTGTCCTTTTAGTCACTTATTATCAACTGGAGACTGCAATACCTCCTTTGAAAAGCTATCCTTTCTGTTTGGGTTGATATGAAAGCTTTGAACTGGAATGATTATTTTGTTTTTATTTTATTTAGGTTATAGTTGCATCCCACCTTCAGATAGCTTTGAGCGGCATCCATGGTTGCTCCCCCCCACTGCCATATTTTATCCACAAAGCAACCCTGTGAGGTCAGTTAATCTGAGAGATAGCGACAGAACCAAGATGACCCAGTACACTTTTGTTGTGGTTCAGTCGGGAACAGAACTCAGTTCTCTGCAATGTAAGCCTAACCACCATGCCACATCTTAAAATACACCTTTGCTATAAAATACTGGACCCTTTGCAAACTGCCATCTTGGATGCAGTGCACCATTTTCCTACGAAATCTTTTTGCAGTACTAACTTCATAGGCTAATATGCCTCTGTAGACTTGGCTAGTGCATGCACAAACCAATGCCAGTATCAGTTACCCAATGTGCAAAATGGCTTGTAACAATGGGATGTCTCTCAAACTTGGGAAACTTACATTCTGGCACTGCTCCCTAGAAGTGAAGAGAAGGAATCCCTGAGCAAGTAACTGTCTAAGCAGCAATGACTACATCCCTCTAGTACTAGGCAAGGCAGCATGGGGAGAGGGGGAATCACCTAGAACGTGCACATAATTTTACACTGTACCTTGCTGCTGTTTCTTTCATGATCAGTTTGCCGGTTATACCAAGGCTCATGCCACTTTTCTTCAGACTGCCAGGCATATTTCAATATTGTACTCAAGATTGCTTCAAAGAGGAGGATTATTAGATAGATAATTAAAAAGGAATTCATAGACCTAAGGAAACAAAATTGGTGGGTGCCGATTTAATGCACAAATATCCACAAGATGTCAATAACCCTGTAAAAAAAGCTTCATTAGCAAGCATGGAAGACTGGGCACAATTTAAACACAACCATACATTGCTGCAAAAACACATCCTCGTGCATATTTGTGGGTGGAGATAAAAGCAACTCCGGTTAAAAAATAAGACGGTGATTCGGTCTTTGCGTGAATATGACCTTCTAGTTTCTAGCCAGAGGTCAAAATTGCCCACAGTAGTGGAAGATTATCTTGCTCAGGACAGAAGAAAGGAAGAACTGTTCAGTCTTATGTTCCCCTCCTGTTTCTAACCATCTCTGGTTGCGCAAGAAGAACGCTGCTCTTCCCTATGAAGAACAGGGTATGCAAAGTCAGGAGGAGAAATCCTCTGTTCCCAGCCTAGGGAGGAAAGGGACTGGAAAGACAATATGGCAATGGGGGAGTTTGGAAGGACAGGCTCATTAAGCAGAAAGTGCAGCAAAGCAAATCCTTGGAGAGTGAAGGGCAAGTAGACACGGCTCATCAGTCTTAGAATACTCTGGACTACATCAAATATTGTTGTTGTTTAGTCACGTCTGACTCTTCGTGACCCCATGGACCAGAGCAGGCCAGGCACTCCTGTCTTCACATCAAATATAGAAGGCCCAATTCTCATGTCATTTTCCAGCACAACACCTCTGTTCTCTTCAAAAACTTAAGAGATTACAATAGGATTCTTTTTCCATTCCCCAGAAAATTAGCACTTAAAATTTCCAGTTTTGCAGCTTACAATACCCTATGAGAACTTTTAAAGCATTACAATTTTCCAGTCAGTGAAAATCTGCAGGACACATACTTTTCCACTGCTGATCGTTTCTGTGATTTACTCTTGTAATTTAATGCCATCTTCGTCTCCATTCCTGTATACACTGCAACACCTACAACAAACAAAATCGATGTTTAGACTTGGTATCTGCAGCATGAGCTGATTAAAAAAAAACCAGAGTGCTATTTTTATCGTTGCGACTGCAAAGCCATACAAGAAACATTAGATTTGTAGCAATGCCCTGTTATGAGAAACTGTGGGCTTGTTCAGATACAAAGCTAAATCCCAGCTTAGCGTCATGAGAGCTAGCTGCAGTGCACACTCCCTGCTACCACCGCTGCCTCCCCAACACCGGCAACAGCTGTAAGGAGGCGTCTGAGAGTTGCTGCTTCTGTTTTAATTCAACTGCAGCTTGTTGTGCCATCCCACACTATGGACTAACTGTCGCTCACTATGGTTAGGGAAAAACCAACTGCTAACCATTGTTTATGAAGCTGTTTTATTTCAACTAATTGTTGGAATAACCACTGCTTATGCTGAACTGTGATACAAAAATGGAAGAAGCAGCCTCTTCTCTTCTCATGGTCATGGCAGAAGGGGAAAACAGGCCTGCCTTGTACAAAGTAATGTCCAAACACAGCCAATTTAAGTCCTATTGTGAGCTTGTTCTGAAGTCTGTGCTAATATCCATTATACAAGGGGTATGTGAAACCCATTAGCCATAAAGTTTTAAGTTGTGGAATTTCCTCCCCGAAGAGTTGTGTCTAGCATTTTCATTAAGCAGTTTGTGTTGTACACTGAAGATGCACTTCTTTACTCAGGCTTTTGACCCCAGAGAGAAAGATTTTTAGGACCCAGCCTACTCTTGTGACTGCCATTTGTTTTCAACTGTTTTTAATATTGTATTTTAAATTGCTGCAACCCACCCCAAGACCTTATGGTGAAGGGCAGGCAATACATCAAAGCATTAATTACCATTATTATTACATTTCATCTAATATACTGCAGTTGCACGTGAAATTTGCTTTGAAAGTAATAGCCACCTAAGTCAAATGCTCCGCAAAACTGCATCAGCTTTTTCACTCTTTGAAACATGCTTGGGAAACAGCTGGTCAAGCATATAACCACCAGGGTATTAATTAAGGCATTCCAAATGGAGATATGCTGGTTTTGCAACATCTTCATTGAATTTCAGTTGGTTTCAGAGTCCAATTCAAAGTGCTCCTTTTGCCCTTTAAAAGCCCTATATTGTTTGTGTCCAGAATACGTCAAACTCTTATCTTTTCCTAAGGGGCTCTGCTCTGTGTTCACCCAGAGTCAATGTATGGTTGGCAGAATGGTGGTACCTGGGACAAGGCCATCTCTGCAATGGCAAAAAGTCTGTGGAACTCCTTTCCCGAGGGACCAACTCCAACCTTTCTGTTAGTTTTTAGAAGCCAGACAGACATTTTATTCTAAAAGAAGGCTTTGCGGGGCTGGTAGCTGCATTTCTGGTTGATGGGTCTGCTGGGTTTCTGCAGCACATTTAGTCTGTGACTATTTTAGCAGTCTGCAGAAACTGTACATTAATAATTATGGGTGTGAGCCCTTAAGCCACCCTGATTACTCAGGCTATGCTGGTGAATGGCAACGCCAATGGCCTAGTCAAAGGGAGAGTGGGAAGATGATTCAAGGTACACCAAAGTGTTCCCCTCTGACTGACGCTCAAGAGATAACTACATTCTGGGGAACCTGCCTCAAGAATCTCTGAGCAATTCGTGAAATACTTATGTGGTTACAAACCAAAAATTTCTTTGGTGTTTTTCAGTCTTGCTCCACGAAGTAAGAGACTTTCGGGTCCAAGAGGTCTGAAAAAGAAAGAGGTCAATTTTTATGTTGGCAGAACACAACATATCAACAGCCATTTGCTTAGATGTCCACTCCACCAATTCCAAAATGCAACTTGCACCAAATGAGAATAAACAACAGGGATAAAGCTATGGTTTATTCAAGGTGAAGAAAGCTATGCATGACATTTCATCCTTGGTAACAGTCAAGAGCCAAACAGAACAGGTAACATTCCTATTTTGCCTAAAGTAACTCAAAACAGAAGATGAAATGGGGAGTGAGGGGAAGGAGATATACACTGCAGTTAAGGTAACTTGTTCATAAAAGGGGCTAGGACAAGTTAATGGAAGACTGCCCTTGATAGACGTATTAACACTATATGGACTGTCTCTGGTGTGGAGGCTACTAAATACCAGCTGATGGGGGTAGCAGTCCCCTACTGCTGTTGATCCTCAAATCTAGTTTCTGAGCATCCTGCAGGCATCTGACTGGCCACTGGAGGGAAAAAATGCTAAACTAAAATGGACTTATGACATGATCCCGAAGGACTTTTAATTCTACTGTGCACGTCTAAGAACTAAAGAACGTTTGGTTTCAATAAATTCACGCAACATTAATTATCTGCACATTTCAAAAAAATTTGCAGTAACTCCAGGATTATTTGTACCTATAGCAAGTGTAGCATCTGCGTGTAATGCTCACACCACTGAACAGCGGCTGTATTAGCTTGTGTTTCTTTTAGAACATCATTATTATCCTACCATTTAACAAGATGCAAACCTTGGGCAACTCACAATTTCATTTCCCTTTGCAAACAAGAGGTTGAACTTGTAAAATTACAATTCTGTATTATTTTTTACTGCAAGGACAAGAGTAACAACTCCAACTCCTGCAGTTACTCTTAACAGATACCCCTGGGGTGCTTGAAACTCCTGCTGTTCCAATAGCTACTGTACCAGTATTTAAGGACGTGTTTATGACTCCAGGAGAGTTAAGTCAGTAAATGGAGGCCCTCGGTCAAATAAGGCCGCTACCCAGACGAGTGCTGTCAGTCTCTTTCCCACAACTATCACCCCAGAGAGGAAAGATATGGGGAATGTTGGTGCAATGACTTGTTTGTAAGCTACTTTAGGGGAGAAGCATGGTGCACACCAGAAACTTCTCTGATTGACTGTCCACAGAAACCAAGCCGTTTAGGCATAAATGGGGGAACAATCATCAACTGCATTAGATCACATTTCATCTGGTGGTGGGGCAGTCTACTTAGGGAAAAACAGTTTCTATAAGACATCTGTAAATTCAGGATTAGTGAGAGATATATCTTCTTAAAGGATTGACATGATTAATGGATCTTATCAGCAAGAAATAAAAACTGGCTTTGCAAGTTAGTTCACTCCAAACTGGTATACAGCAGTTCATGGCATTGCTAAGTGCAGGAAGAAGTTACAACCTGTAGCCACCTCTTCACAGTTTCTGCTACAAAGAAAGCCTAATTAGCTGTCCAAGATTATGTAAGAAGCACTGGAACTGAAGTTGGCACACTCCCCACAAATATTTATGCGCTAGCAAAACAAGCTCTGGAATAAGGAAGCAAATTCTTTACTAACTACCTGAACGTTCTCTGCTACACAATTAAGATGGTCATTTTCTCATAAAAATGCTATCAAAGTATTGAGGAAGTAGGATGCTGGACTAAAATAGACCTACGGCCTGATCCAGCAGAGTTTTTGTGGGTTTTAATTCTGTTATGAATACCTGTCAAAGAAGATTGGTGGTTTCAATAAATACACCAAATTTTTCTAGTAGCACAAAAGAAGGAAATTAGGGGGCAATCCTAAATGTGGGAAGCCAGTATAAGTTACAATGGGTTAAATAATGCTAGCGTGAAGTATGCCAGAGCTAATCTCCATTCAGGAGTCTGGCCTAAGTCTGGAAGAGGAAAAACGAGTCTTTAAAATAGAGTTGCAACACACTTTTTGCAAACTTACCTTACACGAGATTGCCAGGTCACGTAATCAAACTGAATGGGCTTAGCATAAATTAGAGGGTTTTTTTAAAAATTTAACTCAACTCAGTTAAGGAACTGCAGCTCATGCCTCCATGATCCAGCAGCCACACCTATGTCTGATCTGGGCAGTCCCAGGCAGGCAGCAAAAACACAAAATTGTCCCATACAGAGTCAGGTCCTTGGCTCATTTTGTGCAGTATTTTGTACTAGCGGCACTTCACCAAGGCCTCAGGAAGATGTCTTTACAAAGCATTGCTCTGAACTGGAGATGCAAGGCACTGAATCTAGAAAGTCTTATGTGCAAATTATGTGCTCTATCACTGAGCTTCAAGCCATTTACTGAGTCCCTGGTGGCTGATGGATTGCCCCCAGCTTGGTGGTTCACATGCTGTGGAGCCCTGCTGTAAACACATGCTGTTTAAATTCAAGGAAAATCACATGACCTTTACCAACGCTTGGCTTACCGTACTATTTCTTCAATTTGTTGACTTATTGTTATTCGTCCAACGAATCTGCAAAAGAGATTAATGTGTCAGAAAGACATATTTCTTCTATTCCAGCTCTGCGAGTTAGCAACAACTATGCAATAGAAGGAAGAGAATGTTTATTTATTTATAAAATTTGTATACCACCCTTCATCCGAAAATCATAGGGCAGCTGACCAAAAAAATAAATACAAAATGAAAACACAAAATACAGAATAAAACAAAAGCAAAACAAACCAATAAAACCCCTCCTGTGATCTGACAAAGAAATCCTCCTAGTTTGTGAAGGATTCTAGAATGTTGCAGAGATCTGTTCCAAATGCTGAAGAAACTACACAGATCTCCAGAGTTTTTGAAAATTATGGGACAGTTGTTCTCATTCTGCAGCTGCTCAGAGTGATGCAGATGAATGTTCAAATCAATTGACCCATTAAGTCAGGCATTGTCAACCTGGTCCCTACCGTCCACTAGTGGGCGTTTCAGGATTCTAGGTGGGTGGTAGGGGGTTCTATGGCACAAGCTGAATCCTCCTTCCATCAAGCACTGGTGGGCGGTAAGAAAATTTTACCATCTAGAAAGATGCATTAGTGGGCAGTAGGTATAAAAATGTTGACTACCCCACATTAAGTAATCTGGTCCTTGCCAGGCCTTGCAACCAGGTTTATCATTTAAAAAGTGGGTGTTTAAATCAGGAATGTTATGTATGCACTGTCACTGCAAGATTCTCTGCTAGTACTTCCAGATTTAAGTAGCTCATGCATTCACATAAAGATGAGAATTTCTAGAAGAGTTTCCTGCAAAATCATCTAATCCTTAGAACACTATAAACATTGCTTTCCAAATCATCTTTGGGGAAAAAAATATATTATAAAAAATGACACCTGTATAGATCTGCTTCTGGTTGCTGACATTCTATAACAGCTACAAGTTTGTCCAGATTGGCAACTGACTGCAATACTGCTGTTTCGGGGACTGCGACATGCGTCTGAAATAAAAAGAAATAACCACTCAGGTTCCATTAGGCAACAATGAGCAGCACATTGTGCAAATGCTATAAAGACATAGGCTTGCAACTTACACACACATATATACACACATTAAACAGAGCTGTCTGGTTAAGTTACCACCTAAGCCTCCAAACCGCATCTTAAATTTTCCAGTACATCATCAGCTCCCAAAGCAACACTGAGTGAACATAAACAACGATTTGTCAAGTGCTAACTTGCCAAAATGTGCATATTACCTTTTGAAAAATCAGTCAGCTGTACTGTGCTGCATCTGTTCAGAAATCCAAAGTGTTTAGATTTCTCATCATTTAGCAGAGCAATGCAGATGACAGGCTTATCAGGTGATTTACATGCACACCACTTGATAAAACTGTTGCAGGCTTTTGACTGATGAGCAAACACAGAATATCAATCTTGGGTGGGGCAGCCATCCCCTCAAGTTACTGACCCCTATGCGTACAGAATGCACACATCATCACATGCACATAAGCCTTGCATCTCTAGTACGCCAGTAGTACACACACGGTTTTGTTCATAGCAGAGCACACGCTTTTCTTACAGATTCTTCTATCTATAGAGAGTTATAAAATTATTTTCAAGGGCAGACGGTAGAACTATTTCAGAATCAGAATACCGTAAACGCATACATCAATTGCAGTTCTGTCACTTGCTATTTTAACTGTGTACAGGTATAACTGAAATTAGGTTCATTTTTCTCCAGGTCATGTCACTACTGATGCAGACCTTGGTTTGAACAACATGCTTTGTGATTCTGATATTCTGAGGTGCACCCAGGGGAATTCAACATTCTCCTTTTCTGTAAGAGGGATTTGGAATATATCAATCTTGGTTATCAGGAAACAAAACCTAAATGTGTTTCTAACTTAAGGTATACAAAAGGTGATGAAAACAGACCTTAAGATTAGTTTCTCCGTCCAAGCTTGCAGTAGTAACATAGCAAGAGCCATCTGCTCTGTCAGATGACAGAAGTACGAGATCAACAGGGAAAGTTTCATCTTTGGCTACTCTGACAATATCTCCCACCTGAGAAGACAGGCAAAAATATCTGTTCAAATACACCTTCACAAAAATATTTTTGTAACTTTCATTAACACACGCTATGTAAAGCGACGGCCCTTTAAATTGCATTTTTAATTTGCATGTATATACACACAAACACACACACACACATATATAAACATACATGCACACTTTTGAAATGTTCAAAATCATTTTGCACCACTCACACACATACCCGAATGTTCTTTGATCTTGTTTTTACAAGGCCACCACTGCGAACAACATACACTGGAGCTCCATTCACTTCATTGTCTGCTTTATGGCGTAACCAATCTTCATAGCCCTGGAAAAGATGCAAAGAAGCATTTTGGGGGGGAGGGGAAAGCCAACAATACACATAACTGCCTAAGAAAAGCACCTACGCAACCAATTTGCTGATAACTACAGGCAGCTTCCAATTTATGCACATTCTATTTGCTCGCAACCGTGCACACGAGCAGTGCTGGGGAACTGGAAACGGGGAGCATCCTAGAGAGTCTGCCTGGCTCACAAACAGGATGTCCTCTCTGGGCTCCAGGCAGGTTATCCTCGCAAGCTGGAGAGGCAGCAGGGCTTTATTGAGCTGCTCAGCCTAAGAGCTGACATCTGGGGTAGTGCAGCAACAGCCGTGGCTTCCCTGTGTGTCAGCTGAGAAGTCCCGCTGCCCATCCAAGCTCACGTGGAGGCTACCACCAGAGCCCGAAGAGGAGCTCCTCTTCAGACTCTGGGGAGTGAGCCAGAGGCTTGTTGAGGTTGCTCGGCTGATGTGTGCAGGAAAGTTTCTTTCCTGCGCGCCAGCTAGGCTGGTTGACAAAGCTCTGCTGTCTCTCTGGCTCACGTGAGATGAACTGTGGAGCTTGTTTGTGCATACGGAGGGACAGCGGTGCTCGGTTGACCAGTCCAGCTAACACACGGTGAAGGTTCCTGCACATCAGCTGAGCGAGCCGGGGTGGGGAAGCGGGGCTTCCTCGGCTGACACGCAGGGAAGCTGCTGCTGCTGCTTTTGCACTACCCTGCACATCAGCTGTAAGGCAGGGAGGCGGAGCAGTTCAACAAAGCCCCACTGCCCCTCCTTGAAGACTCTTCCAGGGGTGCTCCCCATTTTTTGCAATTTTATGCACAGAGTCCAGACTGTAACCCCCACATAAATGGGGAGTCACCTGTATAACATTATCAAGTCAAAAACAAGGATCAGCAACTGGCAGCCCAGTTGGCTCTAGGTAGGGTGTTGCTTCCACTTTAAATTGTGTTCCGTGACCAGAAACTTAACTTTTTAGCTGGCTTTGTGATAGTTGGGCTGAGAAAAAAGTGACCTAGGATAGAAAAAGAAGGGGGAAATAAGCAGCATTTTGTATTGTTGATATGCAACTCAAATTCACCAGGCAAGAGGTGACACAGATAGCCTCAGAAACTTATTAGAATTTCCATCACAGCACCTGCCTGCAGACATGCTATGACACATGTCCTCTACAAATGGGACAGGTCACGTCCAATAATGGGATAATCTGCTAGGTGTTGCAGTTCAGCTCATGTGGAATCTCCCACTACATTGTCAAATACAGTTAATGCAGCCTTCAAGAGACACTCAAGTGATTTTGCCTTATTTATGGCCAGCATGTGTATTACAGAAATGTTCCCAAAGAAGACAGAGCTGGTGTGAGAAATCCTGTAGGCATGCCTGGAGAAGGGTCATGAGAGTCTAGAGGAAGCCACAGATGTCTGGTCTTCCCTTAGTTACCACTAACTTCACTGAATGCAAGGCAGTGACAGGCTGCGACAAGGCAATTACAATAGGCCTGGAGACTGGGAAGAACAAAAACAAAAACAAAATGTGTACAGCTTTCAAATACAGCATAGCCTCTCTCAGTACATAAGCTATTGTTATGCAAGAACTTACTCCTCTGGGTAAGTGTGAGGCTGCTGGAAATAAGAATTTATGATGCATACTGACATACAAAGTCCTCGCACAAAAACTGGGGGTGAGTCTGTCACTGCCCACTTAGGGGTGTTGCTATGAGTCACTGACTGCATGGCAGCGAGACAAAAAAAACCCTAGGCTGACCTGCTTGATTGGCAACATAAAACATATTTACTTGTTTTCAGCTAGAAGCTAGAGTCTAGTAGAATGCTGCTCAAATTTCATGAAGGTCCAAACAGATTCAACAGCAGCAGACGTGCCCAGAATTTGGCTGGCCGAGCTCCACTGCATACAAACCATCTCCCATTCTATCTCAGATGAACTGACAAATCCATAGAACATGTACGACAAACTCATATCTGGACTCTGCTCCACAACTGTCCATTTCTGCCCAAGATTCTCCACTCACTGGTGCATAGAAATGATGAATTTGACATGTTTCAGGTGAGAATTGTAGGTCACATAAGCCATTCTTGTAGCAAGTTTATCCTCTGCAACATACAGGATTGCATGGGGTGGCATCATGACATCATGTTAAGCACTGCTTTGCAGTGTGATGATGCCACAACACAAGGTAAGCAGCCCTACACATTCTGGAAGACAGGGAAGTAACCTGAACACAGGGATGTTCTGTTCTGTATTACACAAAGCATGTCCATCTGCCCTAAGCGAGTACCTTCTAAAGCACCTGTGTTTCCTTACCTGCTTTATGGCAGTCACAGTTATTACAAAAAACAATGGCAATCCACTGGTTATTGGACTTGTAGGTGTATCTATCATAAGCTGGAGAGGAAAACAAAGATGAAGACAGCGTCAGCACATGCCACAATAGTACACTGAACGCAGGGCTCTACAAGTCTTAGCTGGGCTTGGTAGCTAGCCAATGTTTGTGGCTGGCACTGACTCTGCCCCATCCCCAACTCTTCTCCTCTACCACATGAACTTTTGGGAATGGTATGCTGGTTCCAAGTGGCTGCAAAGCCTGGTTGAACGTTAGGCATGTACCAATCAAAATGCAGGGCTCATCCCCAATGTCATGTTGGGCTTTAGAAGCATTTAGAACAACAGCAAGTGAGAATGAAGAAAACGTGGTGTCCATCAGTCTAGGCTGAGCACAAGGAGTGGACACAGGTCTGAAAAGTGGCTCCCTAGATTTCCACTCTCAGCACAGAGAGGACTGCTCACAGAGCTGCTGGGAGAAGGGCACATGTGAAACAAGATTTCAGCATGACAGAGAGACTGAAGTTGCACAATGCCTAGCAATGTACCTTAATCCTAACTAACAGGTTCCCTTTGCTCTTATTGCAAAATAGGCAATCACAACCTGCCCTATTAACACTGTTGTGCTAACTGCAGCAGAAAATATCAACAAGCTCTGCTTTTATTGTTTTCATGTTGCTGGAAAGAAAACGCCATCTTGCAGGATATGATGCATGTCTTCAAGAAAATAAATGAATGGAACAGCAATTATTCAGAAACTAACATTAATCCAAGAGACTTCCTACCTAAGGAGGATTTAACACATCTCTAGGAAGCTAGAATAAGAGATTTTATGCAAACAATCACGAAGGAATTTCAAGGATTAGCATCCTATATAGCCAATCTTTATTGAAAAACAGTTAGGGCAACGTAGTGACAATCTGTCATCCACTTTGAACACTGAAGTTTCACTTAAAGGAGCCAATATGTGGGGGGTTTTTTAGTAGTCCAAATTGCTTTGTTTGTAGAGAACTAGTTTTAAGGCTTGCCTACTTATTAGGTATCAGTTTGCAGCTAAGTACCACTTGGTATTTGTTTTGACAACAAGCTTAGTCACACTTTCATGCAGCGGCATGGGAGGTGCTACCTTGTGGTCGATCTAAACCATCTGGAAGACTGTGTGGTGCATGCAGCAGATAACGTGAGCAAGCGAGCGAAGTAACCACACAGTGGCACCAGTTAAGTTCTTTCCCACCCACTCACTGAGGCAAATGGCACCAACCAATTCAAGAATAAACCGAAGTAGTATGGCACTGAACAAGAGGTGAGCATAATCCTGTATAGGAGAGAATACAGTGAACACAGAAACAGGGCTCACACAACACAGATTTCACTAATGGCTTGTAGCTTCTTTCAATCCCAGGTGCTAACGCTAACCACCATAAGCACAGCACCACAAACATGTGGGAAAGGATATATTTGAAACTGTTGGCTAGCAATGCATTTATCAGGACATGTTGTTTCCAACTCTACACCAAGAGTCCTAGATTCTGCACCCCTGAGTTACAAATTCATTTACATCCATTTTGCATGCTCCAAAGGCACCTTTTCCAGCATCCTTTATGTTCCATAAGGACTTGTATTTTTTAAATTTGTAAGTAGCATTTGACATCAAAAGGCATCGAAGGCATCTCTAATGAAAACAAAGGCTATACCAACAGCCAGGTTGAAAGAGCCTGGGCTGCAGATTCCAGTGTGTATGATAAGCCATGAAACCTGTATGCTATCTACAGAGCTCTAAAGCTCTACAAAGAGTGAAATGTCTCCAGTTCTCATAAACTGCAGCCAGTATGTCCAGTAATCAGGGATGGGAGCTGTAGTCCTGCAACATCTGGAAAGCCACACAGTCTGCCTTTTCCAAGTTTAGCATCATGCATGAATGTGGCCTATGGGACTTCACTTTTGCAACCATGAAGTCAGTCAGTAGTCTACTGGAATGAGGTACAATCGTTTGAAGAGCATTTAGGTCGGTCTTTTGTTTCCTGGGTTTTGTTTGTTAACTGTATGCTAGATGGCTTCTTGCTTTGTTTTGTGTTTTCATTGTAAATCCAGGCTGAACTCCTTTGTGGAAGAGGTATAAAAAAATGAAATATGCTAGTTCAAGCCAATTTCATTGGGGGCGGGGTGAGGAGTGTGTGTGTGTGTGTGTGTGTGTGTGTGTATGCATGCACTGAAATCCGTTAATATTATCCCAGTACTGATTCTAACCTTATTTGCAAACAGAACAAGTGTTGCAAATGAAATTGCATTTTTCAATTTGTCTCCCTGACAGAAATTGAAAGCATTCAAGTACCAACTAGGAAATACACCAGTACAGGAAAGTGAGACAAATGAGCCAAAGTAGTTCATATTGGCAATGCAATTCAATAGAACTCGCTGCTCAAACATTAACATTTGTGTGTTTTCTTATGAACCAGCTTTTCCTGGATGTCAGGATTCCTTTCTTTCTCAGATCTATTTTTAGAGGGGCAGAGGCTTCAACAGAACTTGTGAAATAAGCTGTAAAAAGTGTAAAGGAAAGCCTGTTCCCGATGACTCACAAGTAGATGACATCACTATATGCCAACCTGCATAGACAGGATGAATGACTACCCAGAAGAGAGAAAAGAACCTTTAAACACATTTATTGAGAACCTGATTTTCCAGGTGCTTTTAGAGGTTTCATGGTTTCCCACCCTCTTTGCCCTCACTTTAAAAAAATTTATTAAATGGCTACAAATGGATTTTTAATGTACTATTTTTATGCAGAAATCCCAGCGAGTATTCTGAAATCACACAGTATAGAACTGACCAATGATACAAAATGAAACAAACAAATGAAACCAAACCAAGCCCAGGGGTGTGCATGTGCACAAGATGGAACCAAAGGTTGTGTCAACACTTGTGTCCTCTTGTTAGGGGCCAGTTACTGCTACCACACAGCTCACGCTGCACTGAATCCTACAGGCTGGTCCTAGTTGTTCCTGGTTGTGACACATCAAGGGGACACGTTTAGTGCCAGGCTGAAGCTTAAGAGCCCATGCCATGAGGCAGTACTTTTGTTAAGACCCTCCTAACACAGCTGGAGCAAGGAAGCATGTCTAATACCTTTAGAAAGGGTTGCCTTGTCATGGACTGCAATGACAATATCATGACCCAATATTACAACTGGAGGAAAGGTGCATTAGACCAAAGGTAGAAGGGGTGGGTTGAGGTTTACACTGCACATTTATTATCTATCACTGAGAGACATCAAGGTTGTGAAGGAACACTTCAGTAATGCTCTCTTAGGAAATTATGCTCTCTCATATACATTTCTAGAAGGGTGCTTTATGACTTTGCAGTCTAAAGTGCGCTTTGAAATTACTTAGCAGTTTTGGACAATATTCAAACTTTAGGTTGCCTGATAGGTATTGCACCTGTTATTACAAAGCAATTTAGAGGCATTTTAATACTCTGATACAGCACTGCAGCAAAACAGACAATATAACTCCAAGCACAGCCAGCCCAAAGGCCAGCTCAACTGAGTAAGAGGGCTGATCAGGTCGCCAGGGAGAAATCTACTTGCCATCTGACTGGTTATTAAATAAATAGCAGAGGAGAAAGAGATGATTTAACTCTCAAGCTCTCCTTCATATGTTATAGGGGATGCTCCTTATTGACAGGGGTTTGAGAAACTCCCTATCAGATTACCAAAACAAGGAAAAAGGGTGTTCTTTCTTATTTTGACAGTGATGGAATACATGTCACCATGCATTTATGCTCCAAAGCTAATGCCTGAGTATTCTAACTTTCCTGAATTCTTTTCTATTCATGGTAGGTGGGTAGTGAGAATATGCAAAGTGTATCACATCAAGCAAGTTACCTGGTCATTTTCTGGCTTAGCGAGAAATGAATAGAGATTACCTCTCCCACTCCACCTCAGAGCAAATCCATTACTACTGACTATCTCACACGTACCAGCAACATTTGACTATAAATTTCTTTCAAGGTTTTAACTCTTCCTTCTAAATTATTCAGGTAGGTAGCCATGTTGGTCCTACGAAGTTGGTCTCTAAGGTGCTACTGGACAATTTTTTTATTCTAAATTATTGTATTAAAAATCAAATTCACTGGAAACCAACCCCTCATATTTGCAAAATGTCAAGGCTTAATTCTATGCATTAAGAGTTACTAAACCAAACCCTCATACACTAGCATCCTTATATTCAACAATCAACAACCATAACAATCAATTCCCGTATGTGAGAGTCCACATCTGTTATATATCCTAAAGCAACGCTAGATTATCCAATCACTTAGAAGCCTATAAATTACTTAAAGCTTATTTTGGTATTAAGCGGAATATAAATTACTTACCTGAACCAAAAATATAATAAGAAAATAAAAGTTGGCTACCCTTCTGAACTGCTCAAATAAATTTTTGGGAACAAAATTCCATACAGTATACTGTAAGAGAAAGAAATATCAACAGTTACAAGCAGAGTCACAAGCCACACTGCAGAAGATAAAACAATTTCCAGCTTTAAATATTAGGGAGTTTCCCCAAGAAATTTATTAAGTGGATCTAAAATAAGATAACCGTCTTCCCAAAATCTCATGTCAAAAATTTTTTTACCATTAGTTTAACACCACACCAAGGGAAAGACTTGAGAGATAGCAATTAGTGACTGAAAAACTTATTTTCCAAGTTCACCTTTGACCACCTAAAATCTGGCAGAGGGATGGCAACCTCCAGTTCAGAGACCTAATTTGGCCTGGTTTGGATTCTACTTTGGACCATAAAATCATTTCCCCCAAATCACAGTCACCTTCCCCACACTTGACATCACATGTGGTGCGTCTTATACATGGAAAAATACGGTAGATTATATTATACCTAATAAGGGATTTACATGTTTCTGAACTTACACCAATGCATTATAAATGTACTTTCCCCCCACAAAATGGCCATAAAATTGTTTGACCTCTCTGACTTTGAATACATTAGTCACTTTGATTGTTTATACGTTTTACGAAGTCAAACTGGACTGGATAAAATGCCTTTTTTATTTTTTATACAATCCTCTATAGAATTGAACTTTTGGGGTTAGCTTTTCAGACATGGCCAGCAACCAGACTTTATCATACCAAGTTTACATCGTGGCTTTTCCCTATTATTTCCAAATGCATGTGATGGGCAGTCTTGCTGTAACCTGTAAATAACCAGTTAATTCCCCCCCCCCCCTTACAAAACACATATACACAATATAATACACAGAGTGGGAACTGGAGATACTACATCTCCAGTACCTCTGAGAAAATGATGGTGAGGTGGAAGGCAATTTAATAGGCATGAAGTGCCAACAGAAAATGTTTTTATGCATTGCTTGCTTTCCTTACATTGACACAGAATGCACTGACTTCTTACTCCATAATTTTGTCCATGCAGCGTTGCCTGTTGCAACTATTGCCTATTTTCGTATTGCAAAGCATAAGGTCCCATTCCCAACATTCTTTTAGCCTTTGCAGCGTTCTCATTTCTAAAAAGTTATCTAAAAGAATAAACTGACAGCGAGTTTTAGAAACCTACCCTGTAGAATCTACGGTTGCCGCCAGCACCATTCATTTAAATTCCACTCAGATTTATCACCAGCCAAGTTTCACCAAAATATTGTGCTAATAGCCATTCACACTCTGCTATTCTTTTTCAGCATCCGCTGTCATGACATCTGGCCAGCACTGGGGGGAGTTTAACTTCTTATTCTTTTATGGACACAGACACGGTCCCTAACAAATTCTCTTTTAAGCAGTGAGCAGAAAATCAGTGTACTGACCAAGAATAGGCAGTTTGGGGAATATACTGTACTTTGGTTTAATGGATTAATTGGAAAGGTCAATCATACATTAAGTATTAATTTTAAAGAAGCCCCGATCTCTATGCGGGATTGCTTTGTAAACATTTCCTACTTAATCATCCTCACACCCTAGATGTGCTGGTGTATGTCAAACCATGCCCCAAAACTCAGAATTAGGACCAACCCAATGATTTTCTTGTACATGATACTAATGGAGACGTCAACGCATATTCAGCAGGTGGATGAACGGTTTTGCATTATTTGATAATGCTGTAACAGCAGTTTTAGACTTTACAGGAAAACAAGGCATTCGGAAGTTAAGTGTGCTACAATCAATGCAGTCTGTGAAACAATGTGAAAATACACAAATATGCAGGTACATATTATTGCTGGTACGAAATCTGAGCTTTTGGACATATGTTTTTGAGTTGGGCTGCTGGTTGGTTATTTTTTGTATTCTAACACTACCTGGATAGACAAAGTCAAAACCTACCTTTATCCAGCATGCGGGACAAAGCAAAAATTCAGGTAGGTAAAGGTTTCCCTTACCTTAGAGGAGATTATTCTGTTTTCTGCAAACTTCTGAGGAACATAATGACCATGCTGAGGAAAACGATTGGCTATATAAATAGTTCGGTTATCACTCTGATGTGGTGGGTCAAAACCCTGAAAGAAGAAAAGTGATTCCACTTATATCCACAAATAATTTCTACAGCATTTACAATACTTGATATCAAGTAAGCCTGGATTTTATCCTCAGACGATAGTGGGTGGTACTCAGCTAAGTTTTACTCAGAGCAGATCCATTGAAATTAATGATCCTAACTATGTTATGGCACTATCTTCAATAGAGCTAATCTAATACCACCAAATGATTCCTTGCCCAAGGACAACCAGTTGACCTCAGTGATAAGCATGCACTGGAACTAGCATTCAACATCTAACCCAAAGATTATGTTTACTGCTATAGAAATCCCCAACAGTTTAAACAATTACTTTCCACAATTAAAAAACCTCTGCTGAATTCAACATATGGTAGAAAGAAGGAACATCTGCTATTCATTCCTGAAATGCTCTTTAATATAATTTAAATACATTGATTAATGGTATTATTTTAACCTTTGTAGTGTTTCCCAAGAGTTTTGGACAATAGCCATCAAAACAAGTATGAATTTAGGCAAGTGTCAAAAAGTATACAAGTGTCAGAAGAAATTAGCACCTGCAGGTAGTGCAAGTTAAGGGGAAATTACTGGTTTTCTGCCAGAGCACATAAAAAGAAGGAACTGGGGTGATGGTGCAGAATGAATACATCAAAGCGAAGTGGAAACAGATACCAAAAGGCAGAAGACATTTGTACAGGAAGTAGCAAGTGAGGTAGTAGATCCTAAAAGTAGCAAGTGAGGTGGCAAAGGTTTGATACAGAGCAAAACCCACAAGAGTTAGTCACCGAATAGGAGACCCACACATCCGTTGCCCGGATTTCACACTCTGAGAAGTGGGGGAGGGAAGGAGGGAGGGAGAGAGAGAAAGACAGCAGCAGAAGAGCACCCACCCCACCCTTTGCCTCTCCCAGCCATTGCTCATGAACGCAAAACTAAGCACATATCTCCTCACCCTACAGAGAGGAAGGAAATACAGGCACTTGGCCATGCAGCAGAACTAGCTACTGACCAGGGATGTGAAGACTACCTCCTCCTCTTCCCCATGTCCTCTGACTTGTACAGAGAAACCTGTGGGACTGGCATCTCACTTTGCTGGAACACACTCTCAAGTGGCAAGAGTCAGAGAATTTAGGGCAGGCACAGGCAAACTTGGCCCTCTAGATCAGTGTTCCCCAACCTTGGGCCTCCAGCTGTTTTTGGACTACAACTCCCATCATCCCTCGCTAGCAAGACCAGTGGTCAAGGATGATGGGAATTGTAGTCCAAAAACAGCTGGAGGCCCAGGATTGGGGAACACTGCTCTAGATGTTTTGGGACTACAACTCCCATCATCCCTGACCACTGGTCCTGTTAGCTAAGGATGATGGGAGTTGTAGTCCCAAAACATCTGGAGGGCCGAGTTTGCATATGCCTGATTTAGAGGAATGTGAGGACATTCTCTCACTTCCTGCTAAGCTTTGGAATCTCACTATTTCTGACTTTCCCTGAAGCATGGAGCCAGGACGACTCCTCCCACTGGACCTGCAAGTGAAGACCAGCCTACCTTTTAGAGCTGCACAGTCACAATCCGACAGTGGACCAAATACTTCCCTTATCCTGCCCAGCCTTTCCCACTGAGAGCTGGTGATGGTGCAGGGAGAGAGAAGACTGCATTTCACAACCTGTTTCACATCCTGTCTCACTCAATTTCCCTTCCTGAACCTCAGCTGCTAAGACCAGACTACTGCCAAGTGAGCAAGAAGAAGCTATACTTCTCCAGCCCTGTTCCAGAGTTCAGGATTCCACCTCAGGCCCCATTGCTACCATGCAATTTCCTTCCCAATTTCAGCCTTGGCTGCTTTGAAAAGGCACAAACTGGCAAAGGCGCTTTCTAAATTGAGGATCAAGCTGGACTACAACTCCCATTATCCTTGGCCATTGGCCATACTGGGTTGAGCTGATGGGAGCTGGAATCCAACTACATCTGGAAAACACGACTTCTCTTTCAAGGATGGAAACTGGGTCTGGAGCCCCAGCTGGTAGAAGAGTGGCAGGTGGGGCTGCAAAGTGGGGTTCAAAGCCTACAGCCCCTCTCCTGCAGTTTTCCACTGCAGATGCCACCACACATGACTTTCTCTGGCTGGGATGTGTCCTTGAACAGTGATAATGTCTCATGTTTGGGTGGATGAAGTGTGTATGGGGAAACCGCTGGCTTTTGTGTAGCCTACTGGACGAAGGTGAAGGTCACCCCTATTATCTTGCTCACTTTAGCCTGTAGCCCCCCACACCACCACCAATCTTCCCATCAGGGAAAGTGCCCCTTATGACTGAAAAAGGTTCCCCACCCCCAGCCTTTATCAAGACTGAGAGGCTGAAAAAGTAAGTGATTATGCACTGGCATCAACCTGCATGCATTACTATATAGAACTTCTGCACAAATTTGGGTTCAGTACTTCCAGGCTAGGGGATTCTCCTCAAATTAGCTTAAAGGGGTAGGACTTCCTTTCACTGATGGGCATTTCAGACTGGAAAGCAAACACACCAGCTATCCATCATTTCAAGAGGTATTATACCAAAGGCTATACCCCTTTCTAAAAAGTCTACAGAAGTATATTGGAAAATTTTGGAACAAGATGGAGATAGACTGAAATTGCAGAGCTTTGAAAAATTAAAAAACAAAGTGCGAGACTGGCTTCATTATTATCAAATAATGGAGGCATTTAAATTAGACAGGAAAATTGGCTTCCAGGTGGAAAAATCGAAATTAGAAACAGAATTGTTAGAACCCAATACTAAGAATCTGTCAAGAATGTATAACTTGCTGCTGAAATGGAATACTCAAGATGAAACGGTAAAATCGGCTATGATTAAATGGGCACAGGACGTAGGACACAACATTATGTTTGCTGACTGGGAACAGTTATGGACCACTGGTATGAAATTTACGGCATGTAATGCCTTAAGAGAGAATATTATGAAAATGATATACAGGTGGTACATAACCCCAGTCAAGCTTGCGAAAATTTATCACTTGCCCGATAATAAATGTTGGAAATGTAAAGAAACTGAAGGTACATTTTTTCACCTTTGGTGGACGTGCCCAAAGATTAAGGTTTTCTGGGAAATGATATATAATGAATTAAAAAAGGTATTTAAGTATACCTTTCCCAAGAAACCAGAGGCCTTTCTCCTGGGCATAGTGGGCCAAATGGTGTTAAAAAGGATAGAACTTTCTTTATGTATGCAACAACAGCAGCAAGAATACTCATCGCAAAGTATTGGAAGACACAAGAACTTCCCACGCTGGAGGAATGGCAGATGAAACTTATGGACTACATGGAATTGGCGGAAATGACTGGCAGAATCTGTGACCAGGGAGAAGAGTCGATGGAGGAAGACTGGAAGAAATTCAAAGACTATCTTCAGAAACACTGCAAAATTAAGGAATGTTAGAGTGATGTTGGATTGAAAATAAGTGGTTTCCAGCTGTATAGGTTAAAGATAAGGATAGATTAAGATTAAAGATTAAGATTAAAGATGTTCAAAGAAATGGAAATTTGATAATAAAAGGGAAAAATTTAAAGTTATATGACATTAAGAGTAAGGATTAGGTTTAAAAAAGTGAAGTTATATATTTTAATATTTTATTAAATTAAAGATTGGGATTAAAAAAGTGGAAAAGAAACTGCTGGATAAATAATGTGGATTGGAATACAAAAGAGGGAGGTATGAGGAAGTCCAGAAAATAAGTAATTTAAAATTGGAAATGGAAAAGAGAGTTTGTTTTTAATTGTTATGTTTTGTGTTTTTATTGTTATTGTTCTTTGTGTGTGTTGTTTTTCTTTTTTCTTTGTTTAAAACCTTAATAAAAATTATTTTAAAAAAAATAAAAATAAAAAGTCTACAGAAGTAGAGACAGAAAACATTTAGAACTCACTTGTAAATACAGGTTTAACTGTGGGCCAACATCACTAAGTCTGAAGCATCTGACCATTAAACAAAATTTCCTCTAATGGTTCATCCCATTCCCTAGTAAGCATTATAAAGCCAAAATAGAGCAAGAAAACTCATCAATACAGAGAACAGAAAAAAAACACTACTTGCAATCAAAATGACGTATAAAGGACAAGAAGTAGAGTAACATGTGCAACTGAAGGTCAACAGAGAATTAAAACCATCTGACCTGAAAGATAAATGTGTGTGGTGCCAAACTATGGTCTGGGTCCAAAAAGTGATTTTGTGCCATGACCAAGGAATTGACTGTGACCAGTGGCTTTCTTTTTAACAAAATTCTGAGATTTTTATATATTAAAAGCAGTTTAAAGCCTTTATAAACAATAAACTCTCTTTTAAAACTCCCCTGGGCTTCAAAGATGTTTGTTATGGGGCAAAATGAACTGAAGATCCCTTGGGCCTATGGTTTTATGAGCCAGATTTGGGAATTAGAAGATTTTATACCTTTTCTGAGTATCCTATACAACTCAGCAGTTATTAAACAAATTGTAGTTGCAACACTGGCAAGTTATTAGGCAGGGCGGACCTGAAAAAAGTTGGAAACTATCTTTTCAGTCAAAATTACTTAAGATGCAAAATTCTTTGCCAATGTTCCACACAGCACTGGCAAAATACCATGTTATTATCTTAACTGGATGGGGTAAGTCCATTACTAGCTGTTTTATTATGTAAGAATGAGTCAGTGGCAATGAGTTTGAGATTTTTAAAAAAACTGCCGGTGCACAAGAATTTTGCAAAGTTCTTTTTCCTGCTATATTTTCCTCTCCAAATACACTAATTCAATGGCTGGTATTTGGTCCTGTGTAGATAAAACGTTTGTTGTCAAATTTTTCAACTGAAGGCCATGGCCAACTGCTCCTAGTTAGAAAGACTTGGAACTGGACTTTCCTGATGTGGGAAATTGCTACGAAGAGGCTTCAACTGCTCAGTTTCAATCAGCCTTCTCCAGAGCATTTGGAGAGCACAATTTCCATCTTTCCTACCATGTGACTGAGGCTGATGGTTGCTGCAGTCTGAAATAATAGAGAACACCAAGTACATGAAGGCCAGTTTAGTGAGGTTCTTACACTCAGAAGCAATTATTGTCCCCTGAACTGTTCATTATTAAGATAATTTCTCCCATATCTTACATCAGCTCACACATGCTGTGACCTAGTAGACCAGGCATAGGCAAACTCGGCCCTCCAGATGTTTTGGGACTACAACTCCCATCATCCCTAGCTAACAGGACCAGTGGTCATGAATGGTGGGAATTGTAGTCCCAAAACATCTGGAGGGCCGAGTTTGCCTATGCTTGTAGTAGACGAAACTAGAACACATGATCAGCTAAGAGGAAGTAAGACAACCTCAAAGGTAAATCAAGTTATGAAGAAGCAATGCAAGTTGTCTCTGAAGAGGTTTGTTCAAGATCACGGAATGCCATTTTCTTCTCTCAGCTGCTGTATTTTCCAAAAACAAAAGCAAAACACCCCCTCTCTCTTGTTAATAAACAGTAGCAATAAATAAAAGGTATTATTAAAAGAAAACTGTTTACATCTCATTTACTAGTACAAAGACAAGGATGCTTGCCATCCATAGGTAGATCAGGTTATAGCCAAGTACGCTCCCCACTGAAATCAATGCACTTAAATTATTCACCCACTGATTTTAATAGGTCTACTCTAAGTAGCTCAATTGGCTACAACTAATCATAACCAAACCCTTTCCCTGATGTATTTTGCATGTTAATTACAAGACAGAGACTAATTGTTGGGAGCTTGTTCGCATTACGAACAGACTCCATGACAAAATGTTTCATGTAAACAAGCCATCAAGTGACAAAAATGTCCTCTGGCTCTTATCTAACAGAGGCATATTTTTGAACATTACTTATTAAATTCAGCTCCCTCATATCCTCTAAGGATCTCAAGGCAGTGTAGACGGTCTCCCCTCCTCAATTTATCCTCACAGCCACCCTGTGATGTAGGTGAGGCTGAGGCACAGTTACACTCTGCTATACCAACACTGGCTCCCAGAACGTAAGTTTTTCCATTCTTTTAAGCAGGGCAGTCAGTTCACTGCAGCCTGATGCTTACTCTACAGCAATGCTTCTGCATAAAAACTGCAGTGTTTAATATTTCAGTTTCCAAGCCATAAAGTAAACGAGAGCCGTTCCCAGTTTCCTAAGTTTCAGCATGAAAACGTTGCCACTGATGGCACATAAATCCTCCTCAGAGCCCCCGAATTCTGTAATATAGAAAGTTCTGTAATATAGTTCTATAATAAAGTTCTATAATCTAGAAAGCTCTCGCTGAATTGCTGCATTTCAAAAATCTGACAAGGCTGTGGGTTTTAATTAGGTTTAGACTGGGATTCATGCTTCCATTCCTTTTTCAAGCATAAACGCATTTCATTTACTAAATTGTTTCTCTCCAAAATCTTTTCACAGGGAAGGAGACATTTACATAAAATAGAGCTTAGCTGCAATCGTGCCACCTGCATTCTGCCAGGCAGAGATGACCTTGTGTTTCAGGAAGTGCTTTGTCAGATCAAATCCAGCTACTGATATTTGCTGGCTCTCAAAACTTTCATGCAAGCAATTAAATGGCTCTTGTGCTTTTTTTCCTAAAAGGCATGGCTATAGAAGGAGGGTTAGAAGGAGTTGTGAGTGCTGGGCCATAAGCTACAGGGGACCATTGAAAATCAGGTCAATGAAGTAACTACTGAACGCTACAGACAAGATGCTATGCTTTTAAATGAACTTTTTTTAAAAAAGCAATTCTATTCCTCCTCCAGGCTTGTGGGGTCAGCATCCTTCTCCCAGCCAAAACAGAGATAAAAGGTTAGCAAACACAATTTCTAACTGCAAGCACAATCAAGGAGTGGAACAAAGGATGTTTTATTGTTAACTTACTAGAAACCTTCCAAAGCATTTTTCAGCAACATTCAGTTTCTTGCTAAGAGCTCTCACACCCTCTGGTTTCATTTTAATTATAGTCCTAACCCTTATTGATTGAAGAGATGTGTTCGTAAACAGGATAGTAAAGCTGCAGAACTGCTAACAAGAATAGAACCAGGAGTGCTTCCACTACTTGAGAGAACTAGATAAAATCAATATTGTAGCATGTGAAAAGTGTGTAGTTTATGATTATTTATTGCATTTATATACTGCTTTTTTGCCAAAGCTCCCAAGGTGGTTTTCCAATTTAAATATTATTACAATCCCCTCAAAGAGATACGTAGTTCACGTTCAATAAAGATTTGGTACATAGAACTGTAGCGATGGAAGTGACCCCAAGTCCAATCCTCAGCAATGTAGCAATCACAGTTAAATAATCCCTGACGGATGTCTACATGGAAATCCATCAAGGAACAGTGTATGAGCTGCCCAGTGCACAAGGACAGTGTACCGTATTTTTCGCTCCATAGGACGCACTTTTTCCCCTCCAAAAATGAAGGGGAAATGTGTGTGCGTCCTATGGAGCGAATGCAGGCTTTCGCTGAAGCCTGGAGAGCGCGAGGCATCGGTGCGCCCCGACCCCACTCCCACTCCAGGCTTCACGAAGCTATCCGCCAGCCTTGCAAGCCCGGTGGGAGTTCCCGCGGGCTTACAAGGCTTGCAGGCAGCAGCCTGCAGCCCCGGCGAGTGTCCGCAAGCCTTGCGCGCCCGGCAGGAGGTCCCGCCCAGCGCGCAAGGCTTGGGGCTGCAGCTTGTCGCCCGAAGCACGGGGAGCCCTCCGGAGGGCTCCCCGTGCTTCGGGCGAGTGTCTGCAAGCCTTGCGCGCCCGACAGGAGGTCCCGCCCAGCGCGCGAGGCTTGGGGCTGCAGCTTGTCGCCCGAAGCACGGGAGCCCTCCGGAGGGCTCCCGTGCTCGGGCGAGTGTCTGCAAGCCTTGCGCGCCCGGCAGGAGGTCCCGCCCAGCGCGCAAGGCTTGGGGCTGCAGCTTGTCGCCCGAGCACGGGAGCCCTCCGGAGGGCTCCCCGTGCTCGGGCGAGTGTCTGCAAGCCTTGCGCGCCCGGCAGGAGGTCCCGCCCAGCGCGCGAGGCTTGGGGCTGCAGCTTGTCGCCCGAAGCACGGGAGCCCTCCGGAGGGCTCCCCGTGCTTCGGGCGAGTGTCTGCAAGCCTTGCGCGCCCGGCAGGAGGTCCCGCCCAGCGCGCGAGGCTTGGGGCTGCAGCTAGTCGCCCGAGCACGGGAGCCCTCCGGAGGGCTCCCGTGCTCGGGCGAGTGTCTGCAAGCCTTGCGCGCCCGGCAGGAGGTCCCGCCCAGCGCGCGAGGCTTGGGGCTGCAGCTTGTCGCCCGAGCACGGGGAGCCCTCCGGACGGCTCCCCGTGCTTCGGGCGAGTGTCTGCAAGCCTTGCGCGCCCGGCAGGAGGTCCCGCCCAGCGCGCAAGGCTTGGGGCGGCAGCTTGTCGCCCGAAGCACGGGAGCCCTCCGGAGGGCTCCCGTGCTTCGGGCGAGTGTCTGCAAGCCTCGCGCGCCCGGTGGGAGGTCCCGCCGAGCGCGCGAGGCTTGGGGCGGTAGCCTGCAGCCCGAAGCACGCGAGGCTTGGGGCGGCAGCCGCGGGGGGGGGGGGATAATTTTTTTTATTCATTTCCCCCCCCAAAAAACGAGGTGCGTCCTATGGGCCGGTGCGTCCTATAGAACGAAAAATACGGTATGTCCACTGAGAATAGTGTACAAGTAGAAGCACAACAGTGTTAGAAACTGGGATAGAAAAGCTAGGAGTTAAATGGCTTCTGGGACCTGGTAAAGGTAAAGGTAAAGGGACCCCTAACCATTAGGTCCAGTCGTAACCGACTCTGGGGTTGTGGCGCTCATCTCGCTTTATAGGCCGAGGGAGCTGGCGTTTGTCCGCAGACAGCTTCCGGATCATGTGGCCAGCATGACTAAGCCGCTTCTGGCGAACCAGAACAGCACACGGAAACGCCGTTTACCTTCCCGCCGGAGCAGTCCCCATTTATCTACTTGCACTTTGACGTGCTTTTGAATTGCTAGGTTGGCAGGAGCAGGGACTGAGCAACGGGAGCTCACCCCATCGCGGGGATTTGAACCGCCGACCTTCTGATTGGCAAGTCCTAGGCTCTGTGGTTTAACCCACAGCGCCACTCTGGGACCTGGTATCAGGCGCCAAAACAGAATGTCTAGTTGCCCTGGGGGGGGTGGACGCGTCAGCAACACTTTTTATTTCTTATTTTGATAAGCATGAATTAATACACAATTCGCATAAGTGACACATTGTTAATATCACATGTTTAGCAGAAATTGTTAATACATGTTTAATTTGGTGTTTACAATAAAAATATTGCTACCATACTTGCTTTCAAAACATTCTACTCTTTATTGTTAAACTCCTTAACATATTGTCTATCCTTAACATATACTTCAAGGCTTCAAAGTGCATGCATTTCAGTAATCTTTGAGTGTCAGCCAGGCACAAAAAATGGCACACAGACTTTTTGAGGTGCTCGCAAATGCGAGAATCTTTAGATGCAAAATGCGCCTGGTGCCCTGCTAATTTTGAACCCTGAGAAGCAGGTACATGTAGTTCCCCTAAAGTCAGTCAATATTGTCAGCTTTTATTACAAATTTTTATCTTGTGAAGAGGGGAAAGTAAAGCCCACCCACAGAGAACAAGTTTACTGAACTTATTATGTCCCGGGGCGGGGGGAGAGAAAGAGTTGGGATTTTGTTTTAGTATTCTTTTTTCTCTTTTTTGTAATTGTTATATATTGAAATCTGTCTATCTATCTGTCTGTCTGTCTGTCTGTCTGAACTTTGAATGCCTATAGCAAAATGCCAAGGAGTGTGGTGGAGTCTCCTTCTTTGGAGGTCTTTAAGCAGAGGCTTGACAACCATATGTAAGGAGTGCTCTGATGGTGTTTCCTGCTTGGCAGGGGGTTGGACTCGATGGCCCTTGTGGTCTCTTCCAACTCTATGATTCTAAAATGATCCACACCACGGGAGCCCCATTAGTGCAAACATCCCTGGATCAGAGCCACCACCAGTCCATAGTTAACTGTGATACAAAAGAAAACAATTCCGTAACTAACAAAGATAAGCACTGATCTTTAAGCTTTGCTCCACCTTAAACAGTTATGATTCCATAATATTCACTCACACCCTGAACTGACCTTACAAATGTGTTGGGCCATGTTTAAAAAGAAAGACACATTTTGGGGGGAAGTTTAAGCAGTAATTGTCTGCGGCCCACAAGACTCTTTGATTTCACACTGCTTGAGGTGAACACTTTGTCCTTCAATTGAATTGATAAAAAATGTAAACCGTGCACTTGGCAAGACGCGCTGGCATATCACCTCACACACAAGCATACAGATGGGGCAGGGTAGGCAGCACAGGATCTTGGAAATTACTCTTATGCAGATGTTCCCGAGAAATATTCCTACACTCCCAAGTGTGTAGCACTGGACAGCACTGGCTGACAAAATTCATATTGCAAGTGGAAGCTCTATGAATATGGAAGTTTCCAAAAGATTCAGGAGACACTTTCACAAATCCTAGATGGAATAGTTAAGTCCCATGGAGAGAACTGGGCCTACTCAATAGTTCATTTGCAAAGTTGCATTCATATAGTGAAAGATTCAAAATACCATTGTAAATAATCTAGGCTATAGAAGCTGGACAGGGATCAAATCAAATACCTTTATAGCGGTCCATAGACCCACAAAACAGTTTCCAAACAAGATACAGTTAAAACAACCAAACATCAGGCAAAAGAGACCAAGGTAGTCATTTTGTTATGTCTAGAGCATGATGATCTTTGTTTATTGCGACCTCCGAAAGAAACTTTGCCATGGTCAGTTTATTATCATTTGACCTAAAGGTATTTAATATGGGAGACTTCAGATTTTCCCAGCAAATTTGCTAGTAAAGGTATCTGAAAGCCTTCCTATTTGCCCAGACATTTCAGAACATAGATGATTTCAGAACATAGATGATTTCAGAACATAGATGATCTTTGGAATTGTTTTATATTGTTCCTAGCTTTTGATTTTTTTTTGTCTGGTTGCATTTTTATTTGTTAAGTTTTAAACTGTATATATATGCTGTGTTGAATCTTTTAATGAAAAACATCTAAGAATTTTTTTAAAATATACACGATAAATAAATCATCACCAATGGGGGAATTTTGCAGGTACCATACATAGACATTGTGAACATCCCTTTCAAATGTAGCACTCTCTCTCAGTCAAACTAATTTTCATGAAGATGTGGGATAAACAAGTTGATATCTATATTGAATTTTAAGTTATTTTCACATTGTGTGTGTGCACACTTAGTGTTTTTCATACTGGTTATATATGAACTGCATTTAAACATGCAGGTGTTTTAGCTGCTTTCATATATTTAAGTATTTTCTCTCTCTCTCTCTCTCTCTCTGTGTGTGTGTGTGTGTGTGTGTGTGTATAATGGTATATAAAGAAGTGTGCATGCATACGAAAGCTCATACCAAGAACAAACTTAGTTGGTCTCTAAGGTGCTACTGGACAATTTTTTATTTTTTTGTTGTTATTATTTTTATATATATTTCTACTGCGTCAGACCAACATGACTTCCCAACTGTATGTTTTTACTTCAGGATGCCTCATGGGAAACAATTTATTCATTAAATAATTAATAAAAGTAACTTTTTAAGGAACATTTGCGGTAATCTCTGCATATCCATATGCACTGCCAACTCACCCCTGCAAAGAGGATGCTGCGCAGTTGTTTGTGCCAGCATGGCGAAAGATACAAATAACAAGTTGGCTATATTGAAAATTGGCACACAAAAGAGGTTTGAGTGCAGAAAAGCAGCTGGCTGACAAATAATACTTGGAAAATTCTCAGCTGTATCTGTTCCCAGATGCAGCCTAAGTGATGCTTACTTTATAAATTTATTTTCCAAATGTATGCCTAGTATTGTGGAACAAGCAGAAATATCTGACCTGCACATTACTACTGTGTGGTGGGAAGGTAAACAGTGTTTCCATGTGCTCCGGCTTCCATCACAGTGTTCCATTGCGCCAGAAGCGGCATAGTCATGCTGGCCACATGACCCAGAAAGCTTTCTGTGGACAAATGCCGGCTCCCTTGGCCTGAAGCGAGATGAGCGCTGCAACCCCATAGTCAGCTTTGACTGGACTTAACCGTCCAGGGGTCCTTTACCTTTTACCTTACTGCTTTTTTAAAGGGGAGTTTTTACATTAAACAGGAAGCCAACGAAAGGCAAGCTAAATGTTTATAGAACAGAGTGTCCGCTTCAGGGAGAAAGACAACAGCAGTAGCTGGGACCAATAACAAAAGGACAAGTAAAATGAGAAGAGATTTATGAATGGAACATCTGTAAAATGACTACAGCAAAGGCAATGCTTGTGCGCAATATCAGAGGGGAAAAACAGCTTCTCCATCTTTCATGACACAAATGAAGACACTTGTTCTTATACACACAGAGTCAACTCAGTACAGGATGAGTGTGAAGCACGGCAATACGTTTCAGGTGTTGTTATAAACCAGACTGATTCTCAAATGACTCTAGCTTTATGTGATGCTCCAATTACATGTTATTGTGAAGCTCAAGGGACCACAGACCACTGAGAATTCATGGAGCCAAGCCAGGGATATCCTTTATTCAGCCACTGTCGCCGCCAGAACCCTCACCATCTGTTCCACATAAATGATGTAACAATGCCAGAATCCCCAGCAGAAAGGCTGACCTATTAGGATTACTGCACATTATCAGGAACTAGCTAGTTGTTTCAAAAGGAAGCTCAATAGCAGTTTAAAAATCCACCCTTCTTTCAGACTCAGAGATGCCTTCGGTTAGGTTAAGTTAAATCAAGCTTCAGGGGATGCTCAGACGTAAGTGCTTCTAAATGCTTTCCCTTGAAAGTGCAGCAAGTTTTGTCTCCTTCAGGCTACTTTTAACAGCTGCAACCTGTGATCTCCTGTGTTTAATTCAGTTCAACACCTGGCTCAGGGCTCATCTGCACTTACCTTTTGCCTTGTGCTTTCTAAGCCCAGATCTGCACTCTCCTGGTCAGTATCTGAGCACTTTCGGTTTTGATTTTTTTGTCCCACTGCTTACCACTTTCCACACGAAAACCCACTCTTTACTGCTGAATTGGAGCAAAAGTCAAATTCAGGTTTTCTGCAGATTGCTGTTTGCTCCAATTCAGTGGTAAAGAATGGGTTTTCGTGGGGAAAGAGCCAGTGCAAACCACCACCACCAGACCTGGAAAGCTCAGACATGTGCCTAGAAATGCAGAGCAAAGGGAAGTGTGGATGAGCCCCATTCTCCAGGCTGCATGGAGGCAGCTATTTTCCTAGCTTTGCCTTAAGCTTAAGGAAAGCTGGAGAACTAAAGCAGATGCCCAATCAACAGCCAGGGATGAGCCAGGCTCTCTCCACCCGGGGTGAAATAAAGTTCATTTTTAAAATAATAATAATAATAATAATAGTAATATGAGATTTCAATAAGACTAAGCCTTACTTAAACCACATTAAGACTAAATCCTTAGAACACGAAAACCCTCTCTTCCTCATACACATTTAAAATTAAAGGCTGCTTTTCTATGGAAACACCCATAAAGAAACAGACATGAAGTACTCTTGAATGACACAATGAATTGCAGGTTGTTTTTATACTGGGCTTCCTAATGAACTTGTTGAATAGCAAGTTAGCACAGGTGATTTCACCAGGATCATATAGAGCAGGTGTCATCAAGCTCTTCAGACCCAGGACAAACATTCCTTTGGGTACCAATACTTTAAACTTTTACCATATAATGGCATGGACCAGGCCACAACCCACTAGTGGGTCCTAAGCTCCTGGCCCACCAGCTGAAGACTAGTATTCTAGAGAACTTCTAGAGATGAAATTTTGTACTCATTCCATGTCCTTCCAAACACCTCTGCAATCTATTCAGTTCTCAAATTTGTGGATATTTACAACGCTTCCAAACACGCTCTTGGATTATACAAATGCTCAATTTAACTCCTAACCAATATGCTTTTTGTTATAGCAACTAGTTAGTATGCATGCCTGCTCAAGAAATATAAGAATTTCAAAATGGATAAAACTTGGTTGCCTTGAGGAATCCACCCTTTCTCCACCACTTTGCTTCCAACGTCCCGCACAACACTACAGGAGCTTATCCAGGGCTCATGCTTCAAAACCAATGTCTATTAACACAGTATTTATTACTGAATCAGTGCAGCTGGCTTGCTAACTGCTTCTTTCCAATTTGGCTGGGCTTTTCTGCACAAATAGCTGCACCTAGCATGTTATGCAACTTTCCACAAATTCACTCAGGCTAGAGAAGGTTACTGGCTCCTTCACTGCCGATAAGCAGCACTGAATTTCATTTACATAGCGCTCCTTATCTCTTCGTACTCCTCACAATAGTCCAGTTAAGTCACTATTATTCCTACTGGGAAAAGGTGAACTATGGCCGAGACTTTCTTATCTGCATTCACCGCAAAGGAAGCATGTGAAACCAAGAACCTGAAGCCCATGCCTAGCATTCCATTTACAGCATACATATCAGCTTTCGGAAAGGTTTCTCCCAGTGACAGCAACGTTTTTACAATATCTAAAATCTTTTTTACCACTAGGTCTGTTTGCAATACAAGAATAACCCAGTGGGCTCACTCCTAGCCATTCTACTAATACTTCAGTGCTAGAAATGGGACTTGAAATGACTCCAACAACTGCTGTAGGATCTTGAACTTCTGGAATTCATCTTATTTATTTCCTCCTTTCCTTATTCTAGTACCAGCTCTGTATCTCCATTACAATATTAGATTTTTAAAATTCCATTACGTTGCTCTTATGTACTGCGTTATTTTTTTTGTAAACTGTCACAGAATCAATTTAAATGAAAATACAAAAATATTTTGAAAAAGTAATGCCTACAGATACTTCTGCTTTTTGATGATTAGAATTATAGAACAAAGATTAATCCTGGCGAAAAGTAGATTTAGACTCATATAGTGACAAATTTGTATCCTGATGTTTTCTCTCAAATTTCTACACATAACATGAGGATGTGAAAAGTTTTCTCACTGTATAACTGAATAATGCCATTTTGGACCAGACAGATTTGGTGGTGGTGGTGACTTAATCCAAATGAGATGGAGGTACTGTTGACTGGGAAATTTGATGACCCCTGGAGTGGTGTTCAACTTGTCCTGATTGGGGTTATATTTCCTCTAAAGTAAGAGATTTGCCATTTCAGAGTACTCCTAGATACTCAGGTGTGGGGTAGAATTGTCTCTAATCAGGTTGATCTGGAAAGACAGCTGCATGCTTCTGAGCAGGAACCAAACTTAGTTTAGTCAGTCAGTCAGTCATTCATTCATTCATTCTCTAGTCTCCTCCAAGTTGGACTACTGTAACATGCTCCCCATGGGGTTCCCAGGGTTTGGGAAGGGACTATGAGATCAGAGCATATTACTCCAATCCTTTACTAACTGCGCTGACAGCCAATTTGTTCCTGGACTGGATTTAATGCACTGGCTTTGACCTTTAAATCAACTAACTGTCTGAGGCCAGGGCATCTCTGAATCACCTCCTTGCATATGAACAAGCTTGAGAACTCTGCCCCTCTATGGAGACTGTCCTCTGTGTGCCCTTGCCATCTGAGATGTTATGGATGGGCAGAAAGGAGGGGCCTTCCCAGTTGTGGCAGCCATGTACACTTGGCCCCTGTCACTGCATGCCACAGTGTTATATTATCATTTTGCTATACCAGTCCTTTTTTCTATGGTGAGATGCCTCATGTACACTTGGTGGAGAAAGGCAGGATATACAGTAAACATATGAAAGGAACACATAGAATAAAAAAAATCATAGACACAAGATTAAACTGTGTATATAGAAACTGTAGTGCTCATTGCCATACAGAAGTGCTAGATGTAGGCGTTTAACAGCTGTACAATAAATTGTGATTATCATTCTCCTTTATTATATAAATTAGGAGGAGTAAAAGAACACTGTAAAGAAAAACTCCTACTTCCTAACCGAACTCTATAGCAAAGCATTTGCAGATCTTGGTGCCTGTTTGCAAAGCTGTGCAATTGTTATTCTGTTTGGACATTCTGACAGCACAGTCGTACATGTTTATGCATTATAATGAAAGCAAACAACTCTTTCAATTATTAGAAACAGTGAGACACTAGAAGTGGCTTCTTTGCAAGACAGTAAATGCTAATAAGCCAGTGGTACATGATATAACACTCTGGCAAAAATCAGTGACCATTTTCCTTAGAAAATAAAATAATTTTGGGATTCTATATCCTTCCAAGTTGCTTGGGAAGGTGCTTTTGACCCCTGATTTTCCTCACCCCAATCATAAGTGTTCTGTAGCTGGAATCTCATTAATAATAATACAAGTGGGACCTGCAACAAATGTTAGGAGTTCCGTTGTTCAGAGTTCCAACCAACCTTGTTCTCCACTAGGAGATTCAATTCCACCCCACCTGCTTTTCAATTCCCCTCCTCCCCCCCAACAAACATACAATACGCTTATTACACAGTACTTTGCTGGGCATGCTCAGTCCTCATTGGGCTCTTAAGGTGGGTATGGGTTTTTTAATATATTTTTAATGTACTTTTTGTAACTATCAGGTTTCCCACAAGAATGCAGATTTTTCCCTTCTGGCTTCTCAGTGACCCCATTTTGGCTCCATTTTATGGTATTCACCATCAGAGTTCAGAATTAAAAGGGAGCAATAGGAAAGAACCACCATTCCATTTCTCAAGGAATGAAAATGCAAATAGGTAAATGGTATTATCTGGATGCTACAAAAACAATCCGGTTAAATAAATGAAATAATTAAGTTATCAAACCTTCCTCTTTGCTATGGTTGCTCAAAATTTTATTCATGCTGAATCTGACCTAACTTCTACACTCTTGGCAACTGCATTAAGCCTTGGATTTTAATCCAATTTCAGAACAATCGACTGTGCCGACTCTTCTACTTTGCACTGCAGATAGCCAATCTTTGGCAAGTGCACACACACAAGCTCCCTATATAGCCATTGCAAGTGCTATTGTGACAAGCTGGAGGAGTGGAACAGCTATTGGTTTCAACGGGGCACACTGATCTTACAATTCAAGACCCTATGCCAGATCTTACAATTCAAGACCCTATGCCATGAAGTATCCCATCCATCACATCAAATTGTTCACCATGGGGGGTCTAGTCTGGACCCCAGGGATGCCTGAAGTTCGATGAGGCTAAAGGAACTAATTGCCTTTAACTTTAAATTCCCTGCCTTATTGTACTGAAACACTAATTTTAATAAATTTTAATAAATCCTCCTTATGAACTGCTGCTTCCAACACACAAATTCAACTCTTGCTCAGCTTACACCTTTTTTTCAAATCCAAAGCAAGCAAGTAAACATTCTTCCCACTGTGTTTTCAACAAGTATGCTACCCACACCTTGTCTCTACTGACAGGTATCTCTTCCCTATTCAAGGAACATTCATCTCCACACCTTGATGAGTTATTCTTCTTCCCTGCTATTCAGGAAGTGTTATGTACCTTGCTGCTGCAGCAGCAGCAACCCACAACAACAACAAAAACAGAGGAAGAGAACAACCTGGCTTTGAAGGAATAGCCATGTGGGATATCACAGGTAATAAGCGCTGCAATTTGAAAGCTAAGAAAATTGACTATCCCAACAAAAGGAGCTCTCCCATGAGGGTAGAAGTCTGCAAAAAAACAAGTCTATCAAACATGCATTTATTACATGCAAAACCCCCAGCTTTTGAGCTTGCAGATAAAGCATTCTCTCAGCACCACATTTAGCTTATTATACAGTGGTACCTCGGGTTACAGACGCTTCATGTTACAGACTCTGCTAACCCAGAAATATTACCTCGGGTTAAGAACTTTGCTTCAGGATGAGATCAGAAATCGTGCTCCGGCAGCGCAGCGGCAGCTGGAGGCCCCATTAGCTAAAGTGGTGCTTCAGGTTAAGAACAGTTTCAGGTTAAGAACGGACCTCCAGAACGAATTAAGTACTTAACCCGAGGTACCACTGTAGTATCTGGTAATATCGTAATAATGAATGAATAAAGTTAGCCCCATGTAAAAATTACTCATTGTAATGTTAAAAGGAAAAGATATCTGGTTGTTCATATGCAAGTGGCCAAAATACACAACCAAAGATTTGTTCGTTTTTTTAAAAAGGCAAAAGTTAAAAACCAAGTTCCCTCCACCAAACACACATAAAACTTTTGGTCATAAAACTGACATAGTACAGTTAAATATAACGGCCAGGGGGCCAAAATGTGAACTATTAAATGCAACTAAAAATAATTATATTTCTCTGCTCCCTGTTTAGAGCAGGGTTCCCACTGCTGAGATGTACAACTTTATGCTTGCCTTTCCACAGAGAGTGCCCAGTGTAGCTAATATTATTTAAAACTCAGGGTTTGCTTTTCTGAATTAAAATGAGAGACACACTGCACTCAGATGCAGAAAAGCTTAAACTGAGTCACACTAGAGGAGTCTACCACATGTTTTTTCTAAGAGAGTCACTGTTCTGAGCATGACAGCTGACTTGGAAGAAGGCAAAAGCCAGAGGAGTGAACTGTACAGTACAGAGAAGCATCTGGTTGGGTGCCTTCGGCTCACGTGACTCTTTAAGCTATTTCTCACAGCCCATTGGCAGATCTATCATAGCATGCTAGTGCCACCCTACACACATACAATAGTTTCAAGATTGTTGTGTTAGGAAGCTATTAGTTAGATGAACCCATAAATAAAAACAGCTATATGTAAGTGAAATATAAGACCAAGTATCAGTCATATCTAAAATATTAAGGCAGCCAAGATAAACCAAAAAATCTGAAAAACCTTTCCCAACAGCTGTAGTATAATAAAAAAGAATCCATCCTAGACAACAGATTAGCAAACTGCACAGGGACAAAAATAACCCTTTCATAAAGAATTGTTCCTAGTATCATCCCAATGCGATAAAGTATCATTGGACTGACAACCAATATAAACTGAAGCTCCAACTGAAAATGCATCACTATATGGGCAGTTTGCAAAAAGCTGCCTCTCTCAAATTCTTTTAGAACAATTATAAAGATTCCTAGGATATTTATAAATAAACCACCACATGCTGCTTTAACCATGGTATAAAAGCTAAGCTATGCAGTAAATGCAAATATAATCAATTGCAAAATGAACAGGATCTAAGCAAATGTAAGATACTGTACTTGAAACGTTTTTATTCATTTAGTATAAAAAGGTAAAGGTACCCCTGCCCGTACGGGCCAGTCGTGTCCGACTCTGGGGTTGCGCGCCCATCTCGCTTAAGAGGCTGGGGGCCAGCGCTGTCCGAAGACACTTCCGGGTCACGTGGCCAGCGTGACAAGCTGCATCTGGCGAGCCAGCACAGCACACGGAAACGCCGTTTACCTTCCCGCTAGTAAGCGGTCCCTATTTATCTACTTGCACCCGGGGGTGCTTTCGAACTGCTAGGTTGGCAGGCGCTGGGACCGAGCAACGGTAGCGCACCCCGCCGCGGGGATTCGAACCGTCGACCTGACGATCGGCAAGTCCTGGGCGCTGAGGTTTTACCCACAGCGCCACCCGCATCCCTGTTCATTTAGTATAGCGTTCTATAAATTTAAGTACATTGTTGTGGTTTACTTCCTAGATGACTTATATGAGCAGACAGCTGATATCAATAGTTGTTTCTTCCCTTGTAAACAAGCTGCAGATTTACTGTCTGTTACCATATCACGTCACTGTTGTGTAGGCGTGTAACGCATTAGGACGCAACTCCCCTTAAGTCATTACTATCAATCCAACACTTTGTTCCAAAAAGCAGGAAGTTGTTGCATTTTGAATTACATTTATTACTTTACTTATTTTGTTGTAACAGTTTTCAAGAGCCTGAGTATTGAGAAATGAAGCTGTTAGAAGATAATCTTCTCTCTCTCTTGTTCTGAAGGCATCCCTGTCTAGGGAAGTTTTTAATGTTTGATGTTTTATTCTGTTTTTAATCTCTTGGGAGTCGCCCAGAGTGGTGGGGGAAAACCAGCCAGGTGGGCGGGGTATAAATAAAATTTTTATTCTTCTAAGAGGGAAATGGGCAAGAGACAACAGTCCTGACCCTCTGTACCAGAGCTTTCTAAAACTTTTTGAAGTTGGCTTGCAGCCTGTAGCAGCCAAAAGAATCTTATTCAAATACAGTATTTACAAACTTCCAATAGGCTTAAACTTTTGCCATTGTACAAAAGTGATCCTAATCCCTGGTCAAGCAATCAGGAAAGGCTCCAACAATGACTTCCCGGCAAATATCACTGCCATTTATCATAGTTGCATTCTTGGATCAGATACAAATTATTTTGAATCGTAATATCTTGGTTAAAAAGCCAGAACTTGCTGGCAATTGCAAGCTGTTATCATCTGCCCAAGAACTGCAGACCTCACCCCATGATTCATTCAAGAAACAACGGGATCCTAAGTGTCTACTCTCTAGAAGGAATAATGGAAAATAAAATATTACATTCAATATTAAATAAAGTTATAGGTCCCGTTGTAGAGTAAAAATCTTGCCCCCACAAACACCTTCAGGCTTGTGAGTACCCCCAGGCTACTTCCTTCTCCACCTGGCCCCCCATCTAACTTTCCTCATATCTGTTTCCCTCACCTACTGCTACTAAACTGACTCAACCAATATGCTTAAATTTGAAAGTAGGAAATTGCACCTGTGGGGAGCGAGCAGCGAGCAGAAAGAGCGAGCAGAAAGAGAAAAAAGCGAGCAGAAAGAGAAAAAAAGAAGATGCAGCCGTCACAAACCACAAGGAAGCGTTTTTAAACACACTAGGCTGGGCAAACTCAGATTTGTCACTGAGCAGGAAGCTAGCTACAAGATGTCCCACATCTCCCCAGAGAGCACACATGCATGTGCAAACTGGCGCACCCTTAAGAAAAACCATTTCAGGCTTAGTCCTAAAAACTTAAAGGGAACAGGGCGCAAAAAGATGGGTGAGGTGGGCAGAAAGAGGACCCACTTAGCAGGTGCTGAAGTTGAAAGCAGGCAGGATATTTTGGGGGGGGAAGGGAGTTAGCCCCCCCTTTCACCACTGGAAAAGTAACAAGTGGGGCGGGGAGAGAAAGAAAGCAAGAAACTAATGGAGGCAAGAATAAAGGAGGGAGGGGGAGAGAGAATACAGTATATTATTTGAGGGGAGGGAGTGAGGAGAGGACACCCCCCCCAAAAAAAGGACGGGAACAGGACCAAGTGTGACACCCGCCTCAGAAAAAGAGGGAGGGGGCGAAGTAAGAGAGAAGAGAAAGTTGCAGGGGAAACCCCCCCCAAAGGATGGGAACGGGACCAGGTGTGACACCCCCTCAGAAAAAGAGGGAGGGGGCGAAGAAAGAGAGAAGAGAAAGCTGAAGAGCCCCCCCCCCAAAAAGGATGGGAACGGGACCAAGTGTGACACCCGCCTCAGAAAAAGAGGGAGGGGGGCGAAGTAAGAGAGAAGAGAAAGTTGCAGGGAACCCCCCCCCCACAAAAAAGGATGGGAACGGGACCAGGTGTGACACCCCCTCAGAAAAAGAGGGAGGGGGCGAAGAAAGAGAGAAGAGAAAGCTGAAGAGCCCCCCCCCCAAAAAAGGATGGGAACGGGACCAGGTGTGACACCCGCCTCAGAAAAACGAGGGAGGGGGCGAATGAAGAGAGAAAAGAAAGTTGAAGAGGACCCCCCCATACACACACTTTCCTCAGTGAGGGGCAAAAGCGACCCCCCTTTTCCTAAGGAGAGACCCCTCCCCACCCCAACGCCCCACCTACCAGCTGCTGCCGGATCCACCGCCACATCCCCTCGACGGGCCTCTTCGGTGGCTCCCAGCCCCCGCTTCTCCGCGGGCGAGGCTTCCCCTCCCGAAACCCCCACCCCCACCCGCTTAAAATACAAAAACGGAAGCCGCCGCCCCTCAGTCCGGCACTAGCGGTGCTGCTGCTGCTGCTGCTCGTGCTGCTGCTGCGGTCGCCTCCTCCTCCGCCTCCTCCGCCGTCGTCGTCTTTTTCTTCGTCTTCTTTCGCAACCGCCGCTCCCGCTCCCCATCAGCGCAGGGGCCGGGCGCTTCCCTTCAGCGGCAAGGCGGAAGCCCGGCGGCCGCCGCCGGCAGCAGCGGGGGCCCGGAGGAGGTGCGCCAGGCGCAGGTGCCGCTGCCGACGCCGCGGCCCCATCCCGGCCGCCATCCCGGAGCACCCGCTCGACGCCGCCTTGCGCCCGTCACCAAAAGGGGTCTCCCCGCGCGCCGGGACCCGCCTCGCGGAAGTGACGGCGCGCCGGGGGAAACGGGGCGGGGCCCGGCCGAGCGCGCGGCGGGGGAAGAGGCCCAGTCGGGAGAGAAGCGGCTGAGGTAAATTCCAGCCCCTTCCAAGCGCCGCCTTTCAAACTCCTCGCAGGCGTGTTTTGAAAGTAAGGTTGTGGGCTTTCCTCACGCCCCGCCGTTTTGTTTTTCTGTAAAAATGGTAATGATGATGATAGTTGTTGTTGTTATTACTATTATTATTTTAAATATATAATATAAAAATAATAAGTTTTGTTTTTCTGTAAAAATAATAAAAATAATAATTGTTGTTGTTTTTTTAAAGATCTAATATAATAAGTTTTTCTGTAAAAATGGTAATGATAATAAGTGTTACTATTTTAAAAATCTAAAATAATAATGTCTTTTTCTGTAAAAATAATAATGATGATGATGAGCGTATAAGACGCCCCATGTAAAAGACGGCCCCTATTTTGAGGGACTCCAAATTAAGAAAACACACCTCAGCACTACCCGTGTATAAGACAAGCCCCAATTTCAAACCTAATTTTTGGGTAAAAAAACCCCTAGTCTTATGCATGGAAAATACGGTAAGTGGTGTTATTTTTAAAAATCTTGTGTGGTTATTATTATGTTTTATCTCCAAAAAGAGTTGGAAATGTTTTGTTGACTTTTTATTATTATTGAACAACACAATGATCAGTAGCCTCCAACCTTTCCTCTGATGAAAATAGGGACGTCCTACTCAATAATAATATTTTTACTATTTATACCCCACCCATCTGACTGGGTTGCCCCAGCCACTCTGGGCAGCTTCAAACACATATAAAAACATAATAAAATATCAAACATTAAAAAGTTCCCCAAATAATAATAATAATTGCAAACCACTTTGAGGTGTGTATTTGCTTTTTTAATAGTCAAGGGGTGCACAATTTTTAATGAAACAGAGCAATGAATGAGACAAACAAGGTTTTGCCACTGAGTGGAAAGTTGCCTGGCTCACAAATATGTGGTAGAATTATTAGTATTATTGCACACAGGGTCTGCTCTCTGGACACAGTGTGTTCCTAGGAAATTGTTTGCTGGGCGATTGTTTGCATAATGAGTCTAGGTTTCCCATTGATTTCTATGGGGAAATTTCTAATGCGTTCCCAACCATGGGATTTTGAGACATACACACACACAAACCCCAGAATGATGAGAAAACTCAGGAAAACCCTTTGAAACCTTGCAAAAGGAAAACAAGGGAAAAATTGCTCTCTTATTTGTCCAATCTCTTCCCTTCCTCCTACCATGGATCCTGGCAAAATGGCTATAGTGGACTAGGAAAAGCTTTTAATGTTTAATGGGTTATTGTATTTTAGTGTTTTGTTGGAAGCCGCCCAGAGTGACTGGGGAAACCCAGCCAGATGGGCAGGATATAAATAATAAATTATTATTATTATTATTGGGAAACACACAAAAAAGCAATGCTTTTTAAAGGTTGCTTACTTGTTTACAGTGCTACACTCAGGTCTGTGGAGTGTATAGTGAAGTTTGGGTACTAATTCATTGTGTTTGGATAAGTGAAATTTTCATTTAATGAGCTTTTGGATCATGGGATCTGCTTGTCTTATTCTTTATTGAGTTTGTTAGTCACTTTATCTTGCTCAGCGCAACACACAACAATTTACGACCAGACAAACAAACAGACAGTAGAACCCAACCCAAGACAGATACATTAAAACCAAGAGGAAAGAGAAATCCTGCCCACTTCTAAAGGTCTCAGATAGTTACGAGATTAAAGGCCTGGTTATAGAGGAATGTTTTTGCCAGGCACTTAAAGATATGCAATAATGGTGCCATCTGAGCCTTCCTGGGGTGAGCATTCCACAAAGGCCAGTGCTGGAGGATGATAGGATTTGTAGTCCAACAACATCTGGAGGGCCACTGGTTCCCTTTTCCTTCTGTATGTAGTATTTCAGGCAGCAGTTTAGGAGGTGGTTTTGTATTTGGATGCTCCTAACTGCCAATGTGTAAAAAACAATTTTAAAATAACACGCTCCAAGTAAAATATTAACATTTCAGAGCAAAAGCTCTACCTCACCCTGTTCTTTGCTAGTTTTCTGCCTATAGGGAGTTTTACTTTGGGGAGCACTCAGCAATTAAACACTGGGAAAGATTTCTGACAGTTGGTGAGTTAGGAATCAGTGCAGCTTTGAAAGGTTTATTCATTCATCTTGATTCAAAATGGCATTTAATTGCAGCCAAAGCAAAACCTGCACCCTATGTCAGGAACCACCATGCAAATTTTTGTGACAATATCTTAAGAAGCACCCATACCAGTTCAGTTTTGAAAGGTTCAGTCTGCTCTCTTGAGTCAACATGTCTTTCAATTATAGGGAAATATAAACTTACTTCTTGATCTCGGGAACCATAATGCAAAATTTGGTAAGAGGTGTCCAAATGCATGCAATTTGGAAAGACTTAGTCCACCATACTGATTCCAAATGACATCCAGTGGTGTTCAAACGTAGGAAAAAAAACCCTCAGTTTCAGGAACCATCATGTTTTATGAGGTGTCCGATGTATGGAGAACAGATGGAAAGCAAACAACTTTCCAAAATATAAATATAGTATACGTACTTGAAAATGTTTTCTTTATGCTACGGTTGCAGCAAGAATACTCATTGTGACAAATTGGAAAAGTGATAAAGTCCCTTCTAGATTAGAGTGGACTCAAAAAATGATTGAATATGCGGAATTATATAATTTATCAGAAAGAATAAAAAATAAATAAAAGGAAGTATTTATCTCAAAATGGGAAGTTTTAAAACTTTATTTGAAAAACAGTAATGACAGTTTAAAGTCTGTAGCAGCATTTGAATAACTTCAGTAGGAGTTTTAAGTTTGTTTTATATTTCTTTTTTGTGATGTATTAAAGTGAAACAATTATAATAAAAAAGAAAGAAAATGTTTCTGTGTCATGTCAATGAATCTATGCTTGTGAGACTTGGAGTGAGACAATCACTACGGACTTGGATTGAGTACATTTTCTATTTTTCAAAAATGTTGTTTTGAGCAGTATTTTGAACATTAGAGAAAAACACTTTATCTTTGTGTGACCTGGGTCATGCCTTAATCTCAGTTCAATTTATTTTATCATAGTCAAAGCATCAAACTGAGTAAACCCTAAATCCCTATGCAGATGACCTGTTCTAACAAATAGTAATTCCTGTTTAAAATCTACTTTCCAGGGACTTGTTTTGAAACTATGGGAGACCAGTGCCATTACAAACTTGAAGTTAGCATACTACTGTGATGAGTACCTTAATTTCAGAACAGAGGTGGTTGGTGGAGGAGAAAGTGTTTTAACTGCAGTGGGAGAAACATCTTAAAAACTATTGAGTTGTGTATGTAGAGAGGGGGGTAATTACAAGTTGTTCCTTTTTAAAATTTATATTCCAGTCCATTAAATTTATCTCTCCTGCTTAAGTTACATCCCTGAAGTACACTCCTAATGCCATAGCTGTAACGCTACACTGATTTGGGTCCATTATCCTAGGGATGTAGAGCATGACACAGCAGCCCACAAACCTGCACCAATTAGGCCTAGTTCACCCAACAGTACCTGGAAAATATTTAGAATATTTCTGGGCTGCACCACTTCATTCTTCAGGTGTGGAAAATCACATGACCTAAATGCTTTTTCCTATTAACACATACAAAAATGTAGAAAAGTAGACACTGGGGATGTGAATTTCTAGCCTGTACTTCTAAACTGATATATGAACATTTGGGATTTAGCCATGCATTTCCAGAATTTACCACCTTTAAACAGGATCTTAGTTCCTTCAGAGTCCCATTACAGGTAATGGAATTGGAGGATATTGGTGCTATGACTAACTTGAGACCCGCTGATTTGATTTTAGAGGGAGGGGCACTGTCCAATTGGACTTGGGCTGCAATCCCTTAGTGGGACTTAAAGGTAAAGGTAAAGGGACCCCTGACCATTAGGTCCAGTCGCGGACGACTCTGGGGTTGCAGCGCTCATCTTGCTCTATTGGCCGAGGGAGCCGGCGTACAGCTTCCAGGTCATGTGGCCAGCATGACTAAGCCACTTCTGGCGAACCAGAGTAGCGCACAGAAACACTGTTTACCTTCCCACCTATTTATCTACTTGCACTTTGACGTGCTTTCAAACTGCTAGTTTGGCTGCTGAGTAAATCATATCATAGGATCAGGCTGCACAGTTTCCAGACTAAGCAGACTTGCTAGTAGTAAATACAGGATGCTTCTAGACAGTGTTTATTGAGCATTCATCCTGCAGCAACTGATGTGAGGCAATAGTTGAGGAATCTGACACAATAAATAGCAAACTGCTCTGACTCAGTGTAAAGTGGAGATATAAAATTAGAAAGGGCACACAACATAAGCATGTGTGTGTGCTGTCCAGCACTGGATATCATTTTTAAATCAGCATAAAATAAGGGCTACCCAAACCTCAGTGTGATACCTTTCTTAGAATATATCAGTAACCAATAAGTAAGCATCCTTATATGGGTATTACTGTGTGAAAGCAAGCCTGTGGTTGCAATGTGTTTATCATAAAACATTGGACAACGAACCTGAAATAAAATGCACAAATTAAAATGCTCTATTTGGCAATTAAATAAGCTGCACTGAGCCATTGTGGAATTTACTTGGAAGTTTACGCAGAAAGGTGGCCGGGTTGCTGTCAAAAAAGAAACACATGCCACACCCCTGGCCAGACCATCCATGTAGCCCAGTCTTATATACGCTCGACAGGCAGAGGCCATCCTGAGTCTCAGGTAGAGGGTCTTTCCCCATCCTTTTTAATTGGAAGTGACCTTCTTTGAACTTTAGATCTATTGTGCCTAGGATATGAAGTGGGTTTGGGGGAGAAATTTGGTTTCGTTCACATTTTAATACAAACCTGCCTAATTTGCACTTCCCAAAGCAATATGTGAACTGAAATGCAGCAGTCCTTCAAAATCCACGCTTCTCCCTATTTTGTGATGTAGTTCTGTAGCCAAAGAATGTGTCTGCTAAGGGGAAAGTATGCATGTATTTGTAGAAAGAACATAGTATCATTTTAGTAGGGGAAATTACTTGTGCAAATGTGCACTGAAATCGTGGGACATTTTCATAAGTGCATCCCCCACCCCACCCCACCCCCCAGTGCAAACTGATGTGGAAAGGTGGCTAACTGAACTTAAGACTGGAAAAATGAGGGGGAAAAAAAAAGACATTTGTCCATCCCTAATGGAGAGTAGTAGTGGTAGTAGTGGTGGGTTTGGGGAGATGGGACGTATGACTTATGAGAAACCATCCAGTTTTGTGATTCAATGGCATAAATATGAAAAAAGGCTTTGATTGAGATTTTATTTATTTAAGAATGTGGATCCTTTGTCCTAATAAATATTTACTGATATTTTAAATTAATTTTTAAAGGATGCTTTTATTGCTTCTATTGTGTATATACCACCTGGATGTACACTGCTTCAATATATTTTATGAAAATGTGGATTGTGGATATTTCAATACATAAATAAATAATGAAACATTCAAGTAGGCCAACTCTAAACTAAAAACAAACATTAACAGACTCATTATTATTAAAAAACCAACACTATAGCAATTCATGGTTGGGTGGTAAACCAAATAAAGAGCACCTAAAAACTGCAAAGCAATTTCTGGAGAGAGCAAAATTCAAAGTTACGACTGGTTAAGACAGAAGAGTGTACAAAAGGTGGCAGTACATTAACAAACAAGGGGCAAGCAAGTCTGATTTCTAGGGCAATGAATCCCACATCCATGATCAGTTATGCTCTTTCCTTTGTTCCCACATGATGCTACTTCTGACAGTGATGGGAAATGCGGCCGTGGCTTTCTGATCACAGTGGACAAGAAGGTTCATATGGGAGCGATGGTCCTTTAGGTATTCTGGACCTTAGCCATGTAGAGCAGTTCAGTGCAATTGATGTAAGAGAGGAGTCACATACTGGCATCCAGCACAGACTAAGATTATTGCTGCAATACTAACAAAACACACCCACACAAAATCCTGTCCCCCTCCAACCCCATATTTCACTATATGACGATGTGATGTGCCTTTTATCTTTACGTTGCCTCACTACCAGGATGTGATTTACGGTTGGGAGGGGGCAGCAAAGAAATTTCGGCAGTCATGGCAAGGATTTTGCTTTAATACAGCAAAGGCTATATTAATAGAGTTAAATAAAAATTCAGTATTCTGTTCTAAGAGCATTTGCTGTGATAACTTTTTATTCCTACCAGATTGCCTTATCTGGCAACTGTTTGAAATCTTCAGGATATGACCATTGATGGCCTAAGAGTGGGTCATGTGTGGGGCTGCAGCAGAGTTTGTAGCAACTGCTGCAGAACATCCTTCTGGATCAACCACGGCAAACGCCACTAGAGCTGACAATCTAAAGCTATAAGGAAGAGGGTGAACCATACAGAACCGTTGGTAGGCATGTTTGGTGTTTGCGCTTTGGGGAGCAGCAACTTCTCCTAGCACATTGCAAGATTTAATATGCTATTTGCCCAGGATTTCCGGCATGTTTTATGCCTGGCTTTAGTATTGCTTTATAGCTCTGCTGGATTTTATAGTTGATTTTTGGCTCCTCCCCCTCCTCCTTTTGATGTTTTATATGGCATTTCTATTCTATTTCTCATTTTTTAATTTGATAGTGCCCTATAAATTTGTCAGGGAATGAAAGGTCTTAGGCAAGCTGAACTGAAAAATAAAATTTAAGGAATATTACAAGACAAACCATAAAGGTTTGTGGTTGCAAACTGGAAAGTTAATAGATGCACATTTAATAAAATCATCATCATAACTACTACTTAATATTTATTAAGGGCCTGTATGTAGAACAATGATGATATTGTTCCTGCCTTTACACTGGGATGGGAAACCTGTGACCGTTCACCTTCTGTTGGGCTCTCATCATGCCTGACATTTCGCCATTCTGGCCAGGCCTGATGGGAGCTATAGTCTAAACAGAGATTGGGAACCTATGAGCTTCTGGGTGTTGCTGGAATAAAACTACCATCATCTTTGGCCATTGGCAACACTAGCTGGAGCAGATGGGGGCTGGAGTCTAAACAACATTTGGATGGCTGTGGGTTCCCCACCCCTGGTCTGCATGCATGAACCCCGAGGACAGTAAAGAAGATAAGGAGATGGAAATAGGAGATGGGAGATGGGAGGCTAAGCTAAAGTAGGGAGGCGGGTGGGGAAACCCAGCCAGATGGGCGGGGTATAAATAATAAATTATTATTATTAAAGAAAAGTCAAGTTTTATAGATTTTGAATATTGTAAGCTGAAGTGCCCTTAGGAGCAATGGTTGAATTCTAATTTGGTTTGCAGTAATGGCACTGCATTGTCTTGTTTGTGCTTCTAGTATGGCTTTTTCACACACAATACAGGATAAATCTGGCTATCCCACTGAGAATGCAGTAGACACAGAGCTGCAGCCAGTGTTGGCTTCATGATGATGTTTTTGTTCGTGAATATGAATTGAAGACTATACTAGGTACATACAGTGCATAACCCATCTGTTATTTATCTCAATAGCAAAGTCCTCCAGTCCAGTGCATCAGAATTACATCCACGGTGTACATGTCTAGCAAAATGAAATAAAGTTTAAACATGCACATTTTATTTTTTTTAAAAGAACTTTTACCTAAGCAAACAGTAATTGCCATCTTTGGGACACATTTATGTTTGTAGAAGGCAACATTTCATTTTGCTCACAACATGCTGCAGAGTTGAATTTCAGATGGTATTACAATCAGAACTATTGATCCTGGGAGATCAGTCAACTTCTAAAACATCAGAATGACTTCATAGTAGTGGCACTTTGCCCAGACACGCAACCTTTGGAAAAATTCCTGGCCAAAGATTTTAACCGATCCGATCAGCATTCTTATGCTTGCCTTTCAGATACGATGGAATCTGAGGCAGAAGTCAGGCTCTCTCCCAATAGGACAACCATTGTTTCTTATACTTTGGCTGTAAAAGCTGCATTCTGTCAGCCTGGCTAAAGAAATCTCCCTGCCACACCCATCTGCAGATGTTCATTGTAATGTATTGTGAACGAAAGCACCTTATAAACATTAAAAATAAGATTTGCAAAACCATTTTTAAAGGTTTTATTTGGTAAGCAGTGCTAGGATCAAATAAAGTTAATGGCTTCATTGCAGGTTGAGGGCAGTGGCCAGGATAGTCCAGGCGTGCCCAAGGGCATGGACATGCTTAGTGGTTTTCCTGACTTTTTATCTAAACACCAATTCCATATGACAAACTGCTTAACTTGAAGGTTCCCTCAAGTCACTTCCAGGACACCTGGACGGTTAAGTCCAGTCAAAGGCGACTGTGGGGTGCGGCACTCGATCTCACTTTTCAGGCCGAAGGAGCCTGCGTTTGTCCACAGACAGCTTTTCTGGGTGATGTGTCCGCATGACTAAACCGCTTCTGGCACAATATAACATTGTGATGAATGCCAGAGTGCACAGATATGCCATTTACCTTCCTCACCACAGCGGTACCCATTTATCTACTTGCACTGGTGTGCATTTGAACAGCTAGGTTGGCAGAAGCTGGGACAGAGCAAAGGGAGCTCACTCAATTGTGTGAATTCGAACCTCCAACCTTCTGATCGGCAAACCCAAGAGGCTCAGTGGTTTAGACCACAGCGCCACCTGTGTCCCTTCTGGAGGAATATGCTTTGCATGAGAGGATAACTGCTCATCACCCAAGGAATGGGCCCCTTCTAAGGGATCACTTCCCCCTTCCTCAGAGTGACCACCTCATTCCCTATTTTAACCCCCATTCACCATGACAGCAAGGAGTGGAACACACAGCTATAACATCCCTGAAGTCCTCATCCACCATCCACTCTGCCTCTCTCAGCTTCTTCAGGTTGACCACCATGACTTCAATGGACGAGCATCTCTGCTCAGGGCCAGAAGCTCATTGTATCCAAGTGTCACGGTCCGGTTCACGGGTGATCGAAGTCCCGGCAAGGGACGTCGGGACCGGGGGTAAGATGGCAGGGTGGGAGCAGGAACGGGGGTTCAGAAGCAAGGAGCCAAGAGTCTGAAGGTCAGAGAGCCAGGAGTCAAGAAGCCGAGGGTCCGAGGGTCAGGAAGCAAGGAGTCACGAAGTCAGGGGTCCGAGGATCAAGAAGGAAGGTGTCAAGAAGCTGAGGGTCAAGGATCAGGAAGCAAGAAGCCAAATGCAGCAAGGCAGGAAGTGTGTTGCTGTGGCAAAGAGCCGAAGGGAAATGCTGACCTTATATCCCTTCCCAGCTCTTGCCACCAGGTGCTGTGAGTTACCAATCGGCCTCACCTGTGAGGCTGCACCTTGCCTCTTCAGAACAAACTTAGGAAGGCCCCAGTCCTGCAAAGTCCTATTGGTCACAGGGCCTGGCTCCTGCACACACACCTAACACCAAGATACACCCACAACTTTTGTCCAGAAAGCAGATAGTTGTACGTGTGACAGACAGTGCAAAATACTGGAAAGCACTTTCTACCTTCATAACTTTTTTTCTTTTCTTTATTGAGTTTCATTATCTAGGAACTTAGGTTGTGTTTAGGCCAAAGAGCAAAGAGGCTTCCTCACCCTGCTGCTTAACTTGCCTTGACTCTTTTAGCTGGAGTAGAGAGACACTTCATCAGCTGGGGCTCCCTGTAGCTCATGGAGCTGATTGCTGATGGGTCCCTGCTCCTTCTCAGGACTAGTGTGACATATAGCTACTTGAGACTACACAGGGTCTCAAATATCTGATTGGGACAATGCATCTTAACTCTGGTAGTGTCCCTGTAGATAAATCCATTTTCATCAACACCTTAGTGTGTGGGTGTGTCTGTGTATGCCTTTAAAATGGCTTTTTAATGAATGGAGACTCAGATGTATTTAGAGAAAATGCAGCAGCTGAAAAAGAGGCTCCAAGTACTGGTGGCTGAAAAACTCACAAATTTTTGTTGCAGGAAGAGAGACATCAGAAGCATGGTCTTCTCTTCCCCCATAAAATGATTGGTGTGCGTGTTTTCTATATGTCATATGATTTCAGAAAAAAGAAGAACTTGGTTGTCTTTGTAATAATCCAGAATATGATGCTCATGCGACCAGAGGAGAGATGTATGCAGTTATTGTCTTGCTGCAGTGGAAACGTTTGTTGAATAGACATGCTTTTGTAAGGAATTAACAGAGAAAAAGGGACGCGGGTGGCGCTGTGGGTTAAACCACAGAGCCTAGGGCTTGCCGATCAGAAGGTCAGCGGTTCGAATCCCCGCGACGGGGTGAGCTCCCGTTGTTCGGTCCCAGCTCCTGCCCACCTAGCAGTTCGAAAGCACGCCAGTGCAAGTAGATAAATAGGTACCGCTCTGGCGGGAAGGTAAACGGCGTTTCCGTGCGCTGCTCTGGTTCGCCAGAAGCGGCTTAGTCTTGCTGGCCACATGACCTGGAAGCTGTACGTCGGCTCCCTCGGCCAATAAAGCGAGATGACCGCTGCAGCCCCAGAGTCGGTCACGACTGGACCTAATGGTCAGGGGTCCCTTTACCTAACTGAGAAAAAGTTGAAAGATGGGTCTTATTTTTGAGGTTACTTTAAACTGCCTGTAGGTAGGTAAAATAGGAACAGAGGAAGCTGCCTTATACTGAGTCCAAATAGCTGAGTAATGTCTACACTGACTGGCAGCAGCTCCTCAGGGAGTTTTCTCAGCCCTTTTTGGAGACACCAGGGATTGGACCTCTGCACTATTTGCATGTAAAGTTTGTGCCCCTCCAGTGAATTATGACCCTCTCCAAAGGACCAAATGTCTCTTTGACTCATCCAGCCTTCTGTACACAAGAAGTTGCTTTTTTTTCAAAAAATGAAATTCAAAGTGACTTACACAAAATTAGTAGTCTGTAGATTTTCCATACATAACGTAAGTTAGCCTTCGTAATTGCAACCTGCATTAGACGACATGGATGATATAAGTGTAACTTTATTCGTAATCATAATGAAAACTGTTGCTTTTTTTAAAAAAGTCTGATATAAACCATTGTCTGTAGCAGATCTGTAAGCGTATGACCTACGATGAGTATATTGTATAATTATTATTATTAATAATAATAATATTTTTTTAATTTATATCCCGCCCTCCCCAGCCGAAGCCGGGCTCAGAGCGGCTAACAACAGATTATTATTATTATTATTATTATTATTATTATTATTTATACCCCGCCCATCTGGCTGGGTTTCCCCAGCCACTCTGGGCAGCTTCCAACAGAACACTAAAATACAATAACCTATTAAACATCAAAAGCTTCCCTAAACAGGGCTGCCTTTAGATGTCTTCCAAAAGTTTGGTAGTTGTTTTTCTCTTTGACATCTAGTGGGAGGGCGTTCCACAGGGCGGCCGCCACTATCGAGAAGGCCCTCTGTCTGGTTCCCTGTAACTTGGCTTCTTGCAGCGAGGGAACTGCCAGAAGGCCCTCGGCGCTGGACCTCAGTGTCCAGGTAGAACGATGGAGGTGGAGACGCTCCTTCAGGTGTACTGGACTGAGGCCATTTAGGGCTTTAAAGGTCAGCACCAACACTTTGAATTGTTCTCGGAAACGTACTGGGAGCCAATGTAGGTCTTTCAAGATCAGTGTAATGTGGTCTTGGCGGCCTCTCCCAGTCACCAGTCTAGCTTCATTCTGGATTAGTTGTAGTTTCCGGGTCACCTTCAAAGGTAGCCCCACATAGAGCGCATTGCAGTAGTCCAAGCGGGAGATAACCAGAGCATGCACCACTCTGGCAAGACAGTTCGCAGGCAGGTAGGGTCTCAGCCTGCGTACCAGATGGAGCTGATATATAAGAGATGCAGGCAATGACTGTTTTGCGCGTGTTCAATATGTACAAAACTGCGCATACGCACATTGCCACAACCTAGAAGTGGCTGGAAAAGGGGGGAGAGCAGGCTTATGTGCACTCTTCCAACGGGCCTGGGGGTCAGGAACGTAACCCCCACGCAAAACAGTTGTTGCCTATACAGAAAAATAGTGATGGCATTATGAGATATGTGTGAAAAAGTTCACCCAAGAGATACAGACTTAATGCATTCTTGTTCCCCAGGCATCCAATTACTGAACAGGAGCATCAATTACATGGAAAATAAGCAGCTGGTTTCCCATCACAAGACCCAGTGTTTACACAGGCCAGACCTGTCTAACTTGTGATCCACCAGTGCTTGCTCAACCCTCTAGCCATACATTCTGACTTTCCTAGGACTGAATGAACCTCCTGTTTGTACCATCTACCAGGAACTGTTCAAGAGGATCAGAATTGTACAGGTCTATTTATCTCTCATTTGGACAAAGGCGTGCTTGCAAGATTCTATGACCTTTGGCTAAACTTGGATCAGAACCAGAATACATATATGAGAAAATGGGTGCGAGAAGTGGGTGGCGGAAGCATATCTCCTACTATATTTGAATGGATCGAGATAATTAGGTCCAGGGCTTTTTTTAAAGCATTGCCATTATAAGAGAACAAGGTAGGTGATCAGGGTGAATTCTGGCACATCTTTATCTAGAAAAAGAGCACTGATCGTAACTACGATTAAGCTTACTTATTATAAAGTAATATATATATAAACCAGCTTAACAGGTTTATGGAAAAATATGTATGTCTTATAACATTTTAGAACAGCATGTTCAGTGATAATGGACAGCCTTACACTGCTTTCAACCTGCTGTAACGGTATTTATGCTCTTTTCCTTTCGTTTCTTTTGTTTATCAATAAAATAAAATTATTTGGGTTTTTAAAAAAATAGTACAGGTCTGAGTCAGATCGCCCAATTTCATTCTGTTTTGACAATCCTAGAACATCTTGTGGATGTTCAAAAATTCAGAGGTACTGGGAAGTATGACAGTCACAAAAGATAGGTCTGTCAATCCATCCTTCCATCCATCCAGATATTCATAAAAAGTTAACTAGACAACCATTCTGGTGTAAATATCAACATTCATGAAACTTTGGATATTCGCTATAGCAGTAACTCAGTGCCAGACTTTTAGTGTGTTTGACCCTGCTCTGTGGAACAGTATTTCTGTTGAGATTCAACAAGTGCCCACTATCTACACTTTCCAGAAACAACTGAAAACATTTTTGTTCCAACAAGCTTTCCCAGTTGGAAGGTCTTTGCTGTGGGCGTCTACCTTGCAGTGTTTTAAAATTCATCTGCTGTTGATGGTTGTGTTGTTGTCAACTGTTTCTTTTAGCTTTATTGTACATGCTAAAGGTAAAGGTAAAGGGACCCCTGACCGTTAGGTCCAGTCGCGGACGACTCTGGGGTTGCGCGCTCATCTCGCTCTATAGGCCGAGGGAGCCTTCATTTGTCTGCAGACAGCTTCCAGGTCATGTGGCCAGCATGACTAAGCTGCTTCTGGCGAACCAGAGCAGCGCATGGAAACGCCGTTTACCTTCCCGCCGGAGCGGTACCTATTTATCTATTTGCACTTTGATGTGCTTTCGAACTGCTAGGTTGGCAGGAGCTGGGACCAAGCAACGGGAGCTCACCCTTCTGATCATCAAGTCCTAGGCTCTGTGGTTTAACCCACAGTGCCACCCGCATCCCTATTGTACATGGTACATCACCATATAACAACAACTTCAGGCACCTCTACCTGAATAGAAGCTGTGTCACCAATACATAGCCACATAATGTACCTGAAGTTTTTATTTTAAAAAATAAGAAGAAAGGTTGTTACAGAAATTTTACAATATACACATAAGTATATGGAACAGAAGTTCAGTCATGTTCCATAAACATCTGCAGTAGCTTTTCCCCTAAGTAATCAATAGTAGACCTAATCCCCCCCCCCCAAATGATACTGTTACAGGTTTTGAGTACCAGTCTGTCGGTGCAAGTCACCCATAAATAATAAAAAATTATTATTAACACCAAACCCTGGTTAAGTGCTAAGAACACTTAATAATAATAATAATAATAATAATAATAATAATAATAATGAACCCTTGACTCTTCTGCAGCACTTGGCAGAGACTAGGGTGGCCAGTAACATTGCATATACTGGTTGGCACTTTCCTCCCCATGTGTACAGCAAGTTGTGAGACTCCTGGACCAGACTTGAGTCTACAGTGGGGACAGAGACTTAATTCCCCACACCCTCCCCATTGTCTTGATTCAGATGCACTCTGGTGCTTGCTTTTTACTATCTCAAAATGTTCAGAGGAATGCTGATTGCATTAATGATGTTACATGAAAATTGGCGCACACAGCGAAGACTGGTATGCACTGTGTACCTATTTAAAACATAGCACGGGAAGTATCCCCCGCAGCCACTCAAGCTAGCCCCATTCTGCTTTCATGGCTTCAGATCCCAGATAACAGAGTCCTAACGTTTAGTCCTCTTAAATCATTTTTGTTTATTGCAGACAACATTGAACTAGACAAACTATTCTTCTTTTTAAGCACTCCACTCATTATCCCAGTTTACTTTTGCTTTTCCTCTGAAGACTGAAAGCTCTGAGTCATAATCAGCATGTATATTTAGATACTGGGCCTTCTGATGGGAAATCAGCTGTTGACTCTGTATAACCGGTGTTCCCGCCTAGTAATTGAATATCTGGGGAATAAGAATGCCTTAAGTTAACTATTTATATCTTAAGCAAACATTCATTTATGGGTCTTGGCAGGCCAATCATTAGTTTCCTATAGATGAACAAACACAGAAAATATATTATCATTTCCTTCTTTGGCGATCACACATAGCCAAGATTGTCTTCCATGACTATGGTCTTAACAGTTGTGTCTGTAAGTGACTATGGAGGCCAATTTTGGATCCGCACATACTTCCACAATGGGGACATAGGTTTCTGGGCAGGAGTTGATCATGGTGAGGATTTGCCAAACGTGCCTTCCTCTTAGCTTGTTTCTCCCTTTCGTCCTGAGTTTGAGCGTCTTCAAAGTCCATGATGCCTTTGGTAAGACTGTTCTCCAGTTGGAGCGCTCACAGGCCAATCAGTTGGAGCGCTCGTCTTGGCAGGCCAATCATTAGTTTCCTGTGGATGAACACAGCCACATGGAACCCTGGTAATCAGTAAAAAAATTCCCAAGGGATGAGTTGAACCATACCTCTGCCAAAAATTACCATGCTTTTCGCTCTATAAGACGCACCAGACCACAAGACGCACCTAGTTTTTGGAGGAGGAAAACAAGAAAAAAAAATTCTGAATCTCAGAAGCCTGAACAGCAAGAGGGATCGCTGCGCAGTGAAAGCAGCAATCGCTCTTGCTGTTCTGGCTTCTGGGATAGCTGCGCAGCCTGCATTCACTCCATAAGATGCACACACATTTCCCCTTACTTTTTAGGAGGGAAAAAGTGAGTCTTATAGAGCAAAAAATACGGTATTTTTAAAAAATTGAGGGAACCAAAGAAGGGGGAGTGCTTGAGGGAATGTGGTGCCCACAGGTGCCACTTTGAGGATCCCAGCTTTGGACCATGTTCTGGGATCAAATCTTATATGGGGTATCCATCGACTGACACCACCAATTCTATACAGTTGAAAAATTCAATCTGTTTAAAGGTAAAGGTAAAGGTACCCCTGCCCGTACGGGCCAGTCTTGCCGGACTCTAGGGTTGTGCGCTCATCTCACTCTATAGGCCGGGAGCCAGCGCTGTCCGCAGACACTTCCGGGTCACGTGGCCAGCGTGACAAGCTGCATCTGGCGAGCCAGCGCAGCACACAGAAACGCCGTTTACCTTCCTGCTGGTAAGCGGTCCCTATTTATCTACTTGCACCCGGGGGTGCTTTGGGACTGCTAGGTTGGCAGGCGCTGGGACCGAACGACGGGAGCGCACCCTGCCGCGGGGATTCGAACCGCCGACCATGCGATCGGCAAGTCCTAGGCGCTGAGGTTTTACCCACAGCGCCACCCGTGTCCCATTCAATCTGTTTGCCTACACACAAAGGAATAGTCGCTTGAGTGGAACAGACAAGGTAATGAAATATATGCTTCGCAGGAAGAGAGGCCATTCCTAGACGAGAGGGTAGTAAGCCTTACACCGCTTCATTTGCTTCATTGCATGATGATCGCTTTGTGCGGCGCTTAATTAAAATACGTGCCATTTGTAGCTATTAAGATCGATTTTCCTCCTCTGTGATTGCAGCTGCATTGTGCTCGTTGACCTGTTCGCTGAGTGGGTTGTTTGTGTTGTTTTTGTGAGCCAACCCGATGCCAATGCATTGCTGCTAATGTGCTGTTTAATTTCATCCTGCATCAATCATGCACATTGTCTCTTTTGTTTTTGACGTTTCAAAGCCAATAAAGAAAGCCAATTCTGATTAATGGGGCCCAGAAATCTTGACAGTGGTTGTTTATTTGTTGAGGAGAAAGCATAGGCAAAAGATTTTCATGTAGAGGAAGTGGGATAGAGAACAGTTTTCTCCCTCTTTCTAGAACTCGAACTCAGGAGTATCCGATGAACCTGGATGTTGGAAAATTCAGTACAGACATAAACACACACACACACCCCTTCTCCACTACTCTGCGCTACAAAGATATCTGCAAATGTGACATGAAGGCTGGCAATGTCGAACACCCATCCTTGCAGACGACTGCAGTGCCTGGAGACAGACAGTCAGGCCCTGCATGTATAACAGAGACCAGAGGAGGAATGACTGCTTGGGACGCCAAAATTCAGCACCCCTCCACTTCTCATGCTCCTTTCTATTATGTAATCATTTTTATTGGTTTTACAAATTTGTTGTTGTTGTTTAGTCGTGTCCGACTCTTCGTGACCCCATGGACCAGAGAACGCCAGGCACTCCTGTCTTCCACTGCCTCCCGCAGTTTGGTCAAACTCATGTTCGTAGGTTCGAGCACACTGTCCAACCATCTCGTCCTCTGTGGTCCCCTTCTCCTTGTGCCCTCCATCTTTCCCAACATCAGGGGCTTTTCCAGGGAGTCTTCTCTTCTCATGAGATGGCCAAAGTATTGGAGCCTCAGCTTCCGGATCTGTCCTTGCAATGAGCACTCAGGGCTGATTTCCTGCAGAATGGAGAGGTTTGTTCTTCTTGCAGTCCATGGGACTCTCAAGAGTTTCCTCCAGCACCAGAATTCAAAAGCATCAATTCTTCAGTTTTATAAATACAAAGTACAAATAAACACAAGCTAGTAAAAACATATTGACAACATTTTGGAGATCCCAAGTCACAAGGTGGTTAGGTTGGTCTTAACTAGGGCCAGGGCCTTTTCAGTTCTGGCTCCAACTTGGTGGAACACTCTGTCACAAGAGACTAGGACCCTACGGGACTTGACATCTTTCCGCAGGGCCTGCAAGACAGAGCTGTGCTGCCTGGACTCAGTCTGACCCTTATGTTTCCCTCCCCTTTATGATTTTGACTTTTAAAATGAGGCTGCATTTTAAATTACATTTTAACCTGTATTTTAAATTGTTCTTTTTCTTTTTTCTTATTATGTTTTTACTGAAATTTTATTGGTGTTAGCTGCACTGAGCCCGGCTCTGGCCGGGGAGGGCGAGGTATAAATAAATTTATTATTATTATTAATTATTATTATTATTATTATTATTATTATTTCTGTATATGAAGATTCTCCAAATCTCAAAACATTCCCTCCACGGGGTCTCATTTTAAACATCTACAGCTGCATATTCATCCATACTCCTTTTTTTATATCAAACCATATTGTCCATAATAATTTTTACACTACAAGTGAGTCAAAATCCTGCTCGTTTCCATCTGCTTAGCTTACATTTTTTTCCCATTCTTTTATAAAGTTTTTATCCTCTTGGTTTTTGAGTCCTTTCTAAATCATAGTTGGGGCTTCCCTGAGGCTCCCTGCTCAGTGTAGCCGAAGCAGACTCACTCCTATAAATCCGCCTCTACGGGGTGGAGAGCAGTGAGAAGAAACACCATGGCGCTGCTGCAGCAGCACAACCAGATGCCTTTGTCTGCCCCAGCTGCAACAAAACATGTCTCTCCCATATCGCTCTCTACAGCCACAGCAGGCGCTTCCAACAGTTTGACTTCATCCCCCAAAGGTGCAGTCCTCCATTGTCTCCCGAGACAGACGGATGTCAGCCAACCAACCACACCACTTTAACAGTTGTGGCTTCCCCCCTCCCCCACCAAAATCCTGGGAACTGTAGGTCATTAAGGGTTCTGAGAGTTGTCAGGAGACGCCCCACACAGAACTACAATTCCCAACATCCTTTGAAAACAACAGTTCCCAAGATTCTTGGGGGGGGGGGAGAGAGCCATGACTGTTAAAGTGATATAAAAAGGTAAAGGGACCCCTGACCATTGGGTCCAGTCGTGACCGACTCTGGGGTTGTAGCACTCATCTCGCTTTATCCGCAAAGGGAGTCGGCGTACAGCTTCCGGGTCATGTGGCCAGCACGACTAAGCCGCTTCTGGCGAACCAGAGCAGCGCACAGAAACGCCGTTTACCTTCCCGCCAGAGCGGTACCTATTTATCTACTTGCACTTTGACATGCTTTCGAACTGCTAGGTTGGCAGGAGCTGGGTCCGAGCAACGGGAGCTCACCCCGTCTTTAAATATGTGGTGTGACTCTTGTTATTCGTGGCATCGTACGCTGCAGAGTTTCACACACAGCAGTTGAAGTGCTAGCTGAAAGGTATGATGTGGAGAAGTACATTTGAGCATCACTGAATTGTGGGTTGAACATTAAGTTTTCTGCAACAGGTTCACCCATAAGGAAGAGGTCTGCGTCTCGTGTCATGCAGCAGAACAGCTCCAAGTGAAAGTGCCCTGCTCTCTTCCTTCCAACCCACCCCCACCTCCGCGTGACATCTGTACAAGCTTTAAATGAACAAAGAGAGCATTAGCAGCAGTTACAAAAGCCAATTCTAGGCTAATTTTTAGCACTGACATAACTACGTTCCTCCCAGAAACACAAACGGACCTCTTGAGGGCGGAGCGGCGGAAGTATCCGATTTCTGCAAATATTGCCCTGCAGCAATTGCTGTGGCCGCACATGCTGGATAATGAATTGGTGTTGCTCGGAAGTCAAATTTAGGCCAAATATTACATAAGTGCATAAGCAATGCTAATCTTAATCCCTTTCCAGGCATCTCCCTTGCTCCATCTAGGCCTGCTGCTGCTCTTAAGCTAAAAAGCTCTTCTCCCATTTGTGAATTGCCCAGGGCACTTTCATTTCCATGGCCAGATTTGTTTCTTGGGAGCTGAGGGGGTGGGGGATTTGTGGGTGTTAGAGGGAGAAGCCACCAGGGTTGTTGCTAAAGACAGATAATTGCTAGGTAAATGTCTGCAGTCGGGATGCGTGAGGCATGTGCAGAATGCAGAGGAGAAGGATCTGTATATTGCAGAGACCCTTGCAATGGCACCGTGGGCAATTCTGGAGTGTAGGCACTCTTAATCTATTCATTATTAAATTTATATCCTGCCTTTCCTCCCAAAGGAGCCCAAGACAGCAAGACAGCAGCCCATCCATCCTACCATGTACCCCACTACTGCCACCACATATTGTTTGGCTGAACTGCAATAATAATAATAATAATAATAATTTATTATTTGTACCCTGCCCACTGGCTGGGTTTCCCCAGCCACTCTGGGTGGCTTCCACAGAGACCAAAAATACATTAAAATGTCACACATTAAAAACTTCCCTGAACAGGGCTGCCTTAAGATGTCTTCTGAATGTCAGGTAGTTGTTTATCGCTTTGACATCTGATGGGAGGGAGTTCCACAGGGCGGGCACCACTACTGTACTTCTTGAGACAATAAATTATTATTTTTTAAAATGCCAAGAAACAAACAAACCAGCCATATTCCTTCTCAGGCTATACAGCAAAATGATTTATTATTATTTTTTGACCCACACAGACCTGACGGCTTCAACACATTGCTTAAAATTGCTTTAATATTCAGTCTAAACCAGCCTGCTTGCTATTTGGTGACATTTTACTTGGTCATAATAGAGGATCCACCTGTGCTGGGCCCGGGGGTAACCCGTGAAACACGGTCCCGGTCCGGTCCAAAATCCAAAGGTTCTGCTGGGAGTCAGTCCGACGGGGCCAAGGCAGGACACGAGGCAGGAAACCAGGCAAAGACAGGTACAGGATCTCAGGCAGGATCTAGCATACAACAATGTTCCCGCAACCTGGGGCGCTGTCCGACAGCCTTTTATCTTTGTTGGGGTAGTGGCCGGTCCTGATCCCCCAGAGACTCACCTCCCTGTTTCGCCCAAAGGCGAGCACTCCTCCTGCGAGTACTCAGGTCTCTCCTTCTCTCAGGCCTTAGTCTGCAGCTCAGGAGACGTCGGTGGGTTACTAGACCCAGGGGCCGCCTCAGCCTCCCCTGACCCAACCGGTAGTGGAGCAGCTGTAAGTGATGGCCCAGCTGAAAGCAACAAGGTTATCCCCATATCTGGAGCCAGGGCAGGCTCCGGCCCCTGACTCGGCCCAGCTGGTGTTTGTTGCAGGGGAACCTGTGCAGACTGGGACTCTTCAGAATCAGGCCTCAGACTTGGTTCAGATGATGCCTGAGGCAAAGGATCCAGTGCAGACTGAGTCTCCTCTGGTTCCGAGTCCGAGTCCCAGACCATCACCCCCCCCAAAAAAAAATAATGGCAGCCATGCATACGACCCATTCCTTTGCTTAGCATATACAGCACCTCCACATGATTGACACACTGCATCCCAAGAAATGACATCATTCGTCTTTCTGTGATCAGGGCTGTCTTTACCTTGGGGGTGCAAGGGGTGCGGGCACCTGGGGGCCGAATTCTGGGGGGCGCCAAATGTATACCTACTGTATACCGGTCCCTCTCGATTGGTGGCAGTGAAAAGCAATGGATCAAAAGTCCCCCTCCCCACCTCTGTTACTCTGTAGCGTCAAATATTCCTACCGAGTCAGGAAACAAAAGCAGTTTTTTCAGCTGTGTCGTTGTTACAGGTGAGTGATCCCCCCCCCCAAACAACTTTGGCTTCGCCCCTCCCCCCCAAAATCTCAATAAAAGTTAATTTTGGGGTGGCTAAACTAAATTTGGGGGCGCCGGACAGATCTTTGCACCCCAGCAGCACATATGCTAAAGACGGCCCTGTCTGTGATACAGTGGTGCCCCGCAAGACGAATGCCTCGCAAGACGGAAAACTCGCTAGACGACAGAGTTTTCCGTTTTGGAGGTGCTTCGCAAAACGAAGCTCCTATGGGCTTGCTTCGCAAGACGAAAATGTCTTGCGAGTTCCTGCGGTTTTTTTTCCCTTCCCCCCCCCTTTTTCTAAGCCATTAAGCCACTTATCTGCTTATCCGATAAACTGATAAGCCGCTAAAAGCCACTAATAGCGCTAATAGCGCTAATCCGCTAATCCGTCAATGGGCTTGCTTCGCAAGACGAAAAAACCGCTAGACGAAGAGACTCACAGAACGGATTCTTTTCGTCTTGCGAGGCACCACTGTATAAGCATTCGTGCTTTGTCCCTGGAGTGCTTCTGCTCCACTACACCACTGGAAGCGATGTGGTCATCCACTATGTTTCTGTGCAGAGTAGGAATGTGCCCATTTTGGTTCTCTCCATTTCCCAGTTCTCCGTATTTTGCAGCAACTTATGGTGGTGGTGTTGTTTTTTTAAAAAAAATCCTCATGAAAACTCATCAGCATGTTAGCGTGAACTTTTCCCAATGAACACTTTTATACACAGCTTTGACTAATGCACACATTCTCGCAAATGGCTTCCCCTTTTTACAATGCATTCTTATATGCCGTTTTCACTAACATCTTCACTCCTGTGCACCCTTTCCCCCCAACATTTGCATTTTTGTAAACATTGGTTGGAGAACTGCATTGCAAAATTTGGATAGATATGGATAGCTGTGTTTTGGTTTGCATAGTGTTTTGGAGCGTGCAAATTTGGCAAGATTCAGCTTTAAATGAATAGAGTTTCTCCTGCATCCCTATTGCAGAGACATGGTGCTGTTAGACACCTCTTGCGTTGGAGGCTGGGTCACCAAGGGATCTCAGGAAGATCAAAGCTCACCTGGATGACTTGTGTTCACTTCTGGATGCGGCAGTTTAAGGAGGATCTCAAGAAACGAATGCTTCCAGAGAAGTGTGATAATGATGACGAGGGGCCTGGAGTCAAAATCCTATGGGGGGAAAGTTGAAGAAGTTGAGTATGTTTACTGTGGGGACAAGAGACAATTCAGATGCCATATGAGAGCTAACTTTGAATATCTGAAGGGTCGTCATACAGAGGGTAGGACCTGAACCAGCAAGTTCAAATTACAAGGGTGTAGAGCATGGGTAGGCAAACTAAGGCCCGGGGGCCGGATCCGGCCCAGTCGCCTTCTAAATCTGGCCCGCGGGCGGTCCAGGAATCAGCATGTTTTTACATGAGTAGAATGTGTGCTTTTATTTAAAATGCATCTCTGGGTTATTGGGGAGAGCATAGGAATTCGTTCATTCCCCCCCCAAAAAAAATATTATCCGGCCCCCCACAAGGACTGAGGGACAGTGGACCAGCCCCCTGCTGAAAAAGTTTGCAGACTAAACACGACTAAACAAGAGGAAGAACTTCTTGGTGGTGTGAGCTGTGGAACAGGCAAGCTCTGACATAGCCTCCAAGTCAAAGCTTGCATTGCTCCGGGAGGAGATCAACTGATGTGGTCAAATCCAGTTCCAACCCAAAGACCACTCCTGAAATTGGCCCACTCTGACCTGAACCAACTAGAAAGCAATGACCAATAGCTCCATATTTCCTTCCTCCAGTGTTGAGCTCTATTAAGTTCTTACTGTTAGCACTGGGCTGTTAGCTTAAATTTTGTAGCTTCTGGCTGTCCACAAATTGAATTCTCAGGGTAAAGGAAGAATCTTAGGCAGAAGATACAAACAGCTGCTTTTATCACTGAACTGTGTCAGCCCTTTGGAGCACGGCTGGAAGTGTTCCATCTGAAACTAATGGCACCTGAAACTGATACAGTCAAAATGCATTCTTTGACTTCCATATATTTTTAATGAGGTGCTTTCAGCTTTCAATTAGGTGGTGCCAGCAGAGGTAGCCCTTATTCAAATATCCCCCAACCCCAGTACCTTGGGGTGACCTATGGTGTACATAAACTGCTGCCCAAAACTTTTAGGTTGCATATACCATGGCAGAGATTTGAATCAATGTAATTAAAAGGTTTCTCTCTAAATAGATCTGGGTTTTCCCTCTTTTCTGCCTCATTGTTTTATTTCAGCGAGAACCACAAAGCTCAACAGCATATGTGACGTCTCCTTAGATATGGTTTTGATGTGCTGTTTGATTAACTTGTTTCCTAAGAATGTAAGAAAAGTCCTGTTGGATCAGATCGTTGGCCCATTTCATTCAGCAACCTGCCATAGCTGTCAAGTGTCCCTTATTTGAAGGGACAGTCCCTTATTCCAGTGCCATGTCCCGCTGCTGTCCCTTATTGATAGATGTCCCTTGAATGTCCCTTAAATGATGTCCCTTAAATTTCAAAGGAAGCAGCTCCTCTCCCTCCCTCCCTGCCGGCCAGGGAGGTGGGAGGCTCCAACTGTGTTGCTTGGCTGTGTTGCTCACCCAATAAGAAGTCTAAGAACAACTGGGGGGTGGAGCTTGTATGCCTTGTGTGTGGCTAGTTAATGCAAGCTGAGAGAGTTTTTGAATGCTGGACGCCATTTTGTTGCACGTGCTGCTGCAAACTTTGCAGTGCAAAGCCAGGCCGGGGAGCCATCTTAAGTTGAGGCTGCATAGGCCTTGTGGTGCATGTGATTCAGATTCTATTCAGTTGAACCTCTGGTTACAAAGTTGGTTGGACAGTGTTCTCGAAGCTACCAGCATGAGTTTGACCAGACTGTAGGAGGACAGGAAGACTGGAGTGCCTGGAACAGGTGAGGCTGCAGGTCCCTTATTTTGGCTGCTGGTCCCTTATTTTCAAGGCTGCTGGTCCCTTATTTTCAAATCTGTAAGTTGACAGCTATGCAACCTGCCCCTGGGAAGCCCACAAACAACACCCAGGTCTCTGCTGGCGTTCTCTTACCAAAGAGTACCTACCCCAAACCTGGCTCTTAGCATCTAGGAATTCTCCTTTCTGTGGGGGATTTTTTCCCCACTAACACAAAGCAGGTGGGAGGAGGCAGGCTGAGGGTAAGTGTGCTATTGTGTTAATTCACAAAAGCTGGGTCTGAATTACCTTAAAGGCCACCTGATTCATATGTTTCTCCTTGGCCACTGAGGTCTTCTGATGGAGAATGGTGGCCTCACATGCCCCTGAGGTTTACCAGGGACCAAGGCTTTAGTGTGACAGGCCACCTGTCCTTTGGAACTCCTTGCCAGTGGAAGTTCAGCAGGAGCCATCCCTGCTCGCTTTTAAAACTTGTAAATCCTGAAGCTGAGGCTCCAATACTTTGGCCACCTCATGAGAAGAGAAGACTCCCTGGAAAAGACCCTGATGCTGGGAAAGATTGAGGGCTCAAGGAGAAGGGGACGACAGAAGACGAGATGGTTGGACAGTGTTCTCGAAGCTACCAGCATGAGTTTGACCAAGTTGCGGGAGGCAGTGGAAACAGGAGTGCCCGGTGTGCCTGTGTCCATGGGATCACGAAGAGTCGGACACGACTAAACAACGACAGTTATTCAGACAGGTCTTTCAAACCTGATAGGCTTTGCCACCTAGCCTTGACTGATGTGTTTGACATTTTTAATTCTTTTTACTGTATTACTGTGTTTTTGTTTGTTTGTACACCACCTTGTGATATTTTTACATGAAAGTACAGTTTATAAATGCCTAAACAAATAAAACATACTGCATTTTGATTTAATGTAATTACTACTAACACTGAATCTATACATATAAATTAAAAAGGTAAAGGTAAAGAACCCCTGACAGTTAAGTCCAGTCGCGAACGACTCTGGGGTTGCGGTGCTCATCTCACTTTACTGGCCGAGAGAGCCAGCGTTTGTCCGCAGTTTTCCCGGATCATGTGGCCAGCATGACTAAGCCGCTTCTGGCAAAACCAGAGCAGCGCACGGAAACACCATTTACCTTCCCACCAGAGCGGTACCTATTTATCTACTTGCACTTTGATATGCTTTTGAACAGCTAGGTTGGCAGGAGCTGGGACCGAGCAATGGGAGCTCACCCCGTTGCGGGGATTCGAACCACTGAACTTCTGATCAGCAAGCCCAAGAGGCTCAGTGGTTTCGACCACAGCGCCACTCGCGTCACACATATAAAATAGGACCTGCAAATTTCATGTATAGTTGTGCCCTTTTCAGTGGGGATGCATTTATGTGTCTTCCTTTTGGTGATAGTCACCTTCTTTTATAATAAGCTCAATAGCCCCTACTGTTCAGCATAAGACGGGTTGTGGGAGGCAAGTTGCCTTCCAGAAAACTTGCCTGCGATGACTCATCTCCTTACTGATGAACCTTTTCTAAGCTTGGGGGGAAGCTTAAGGGTCCTTCGAACATTGTTTGAAAATGTCTGTCTTTGATATAACACCCATCCTTCAAGCTGATGAAGTTGCATTGGAAGTGAAGCTTCGGAATTTGCCTGCATTGTAACACATGATTGACGTTTATTGCCATAGAAGATGCATTTTTTAAAAGTTGTTAGTGGCTGTTTTTAAAAAAAATGTTGCTGAGATTGGGAAAGGTAAAACTGCTGCTTAGACTTTAATTTGGCTCTCAGGTTTACTGCCTCTCTCTCAATGCCAAAATATATTATATTTCAGCGTTCTAGTGTTGACTACCAACCTATTTAAATATTCACCAGGAGCCCATTGCCAAGATAGATTAATTCATGGCATCGTGTCCTAGGCAAGCTGTCAAATTGTCAGAATTATTTGAATTGTCAGTGCCCTTTGTGACAATGTCGTAGGGGAAGAAGCAAAGACTCCCTTGCAGTTGGATGCATCTCCAGGAATATATTTGCCCCTTGTTTATTTAGCATCCCCAACCCCTGACTCAAAAGAAAACTGGATGTGTTAACTGATGCCACAAAAAGGTCAAAGCATACTCCGAGTTGAAGCCTATTTACAAACATCCCTACAAGTAGAGGTGTTGATGGATACTTAAAATCCACAGGGCACGGGTCCATGGCATAAGTTTGCATAAAATCAGCCTTCTGAGCAGATTAAGACAGTGAGGCTGAGGTCTCACCTGCACTGCGCTCTGCAGTCTTGTGTTAAGTCAGCAGGTCGCGAGACTGTTCTTAGCTATGGCCCCACTGATCAATTTGAAATACTGTATTTTTTGCTCTATAAGACTCACTTTTTCCCTCCCAAAAATAAGGGAAAATGTGTGTGTATCTTATGGAGCGAATGCAGGCTGCGCAGCTATCCCAGAAGCCAGAACAGCAAGAGGGATTACTGCTTTCACTGTGCAGTGATCCCTCTTGCTGTTCTGGCTTCTGAGATTCAGAATAATTTTTTTCTTGTTTTCCTCCTCCAAAAACTAGGTGTGTCTTGTGGTCTGGTGCGTCTTATAGAGCAAAAAATACAGTATGTCCCTAGTGAAAAATGAGTTCGAAGGGACGCGTTCCCCACTCCCCTTTTAGTGTTATTCTTAAAGGCGGCATGCTCAGATTTCTAGCATTTGTAGAAATGAATTGTAAACAGGCGAGTTGGTGACTGGGGAAACATGAGGCCACCTTTGGAAGGTAGATTATATTTCAACACAGGCTTGCACTTTCAGTAAACAAACAGTAGCATTTTGCATCTTATTTCTTCTGTTGAGAAGTATTTCCCCTGATGAGCCCCATTTTTGCATTCATCTTAAGCAGGCTTCTCAATAAAAGATCATTATCCCTCTTTCTTTCTTTCTTTCTTTCTTTCTTTCTTTCTTTCTTTCTTTCTCCTTCCCACTTCTCTCTCTCTCTCCCTCCACCAACCTCACAATGCATATGGCAGCAAAGTCTCACATTGAATGTACTGACATGTAGAAAGGACTCTATGAACTGAAAACGTTGATACCCTCCAACATTTCTCCAATGAAATAGCGGCATCCTAAGGAAAAGCGGGACATTCCAAGATCAAATCAGAAACCAGGACGGCTTCTGTAAATATGGGACTCTCCCTGGAAAATATGGACATTTGGAGGGTCTGGACTTTATATGTACCTTTGTCATCCATTAAAATCTTTTTTTTTAAAGAAAGAAAAACAACAACACAAACCTTAGGAGTGCAAAGACACCATTTGAACTTCCTACAAATGAAGTTCCTTGCCACCTCCTCACATTTCTCCCATTAGAGTTAATTGCTTAACATCTTCAGGTGATTAGCACCTCCTCAAGGGGGTTACATGAAAGAGACCATGGAGACAAGAGTGGGATGGATGTCTTAGGGAAGCAGGATAGCTAGAGATGGTTAGGCCAGGTCAAACGCTGAGTGTTGAATCATTTCCTGGGGTATCAGGTGGTGGTTGACTTGCCCACATCTCCAGAGGCATTCTATGTTGCTGTGTTGAAAGCAACCATCTTACTTGGTACTGGAGCTTGAAGTGAAAAGAAGTTTAGCAATAAAATAAAATCAGAATTTACCTGTCAGGGATCAGGAGTCAGATGTCTCTTCAGCGGGTGATGGAGGTGAGGGCTCCACACCTGAGGGGGAAAGGGCACTATCCTCTGGCTCGCAGGTCTCTGCTTGCAATGTTCTCTGTTTAACGATGGTTCTAGTTAGAGGTAGGTAGCCGTGTTGGTCTGCCGTAGTCGAAACAAAATAAAATTAAAATAAAAACATAAAAAAATTCCTTCCAGTAGCACCTCAGAGACCAACTAAGTTAGTTATTGGTATGAGCTTTCGTGTGCATGTACACTTAAGTATCTGAAGAAGTGTGCATGCACACGAAAGCTCATATCAATAACTAACTTAAGGTAAAGGTAAAGGTAAAGGGACCCCTGACCATTAGGTCCAGTCGTGACCGACTCTGAGGTTGCGGCGCTCATCTCGCTTTATTGGCCGAGGGAGCCAGCATACAGCTTCCAGGTCATGTGACTAGCATGACTAAACCGCTTCTGGCGAACCAGATTAGCGCACAGAAACGCCGTTTACCTTCCCGCCAGAGCGGTACCTATTCATCTACTTGCACTTTGATGTGCTTTCAAACTGCTAGGTTGGCAGGAGCAGGGACCGAGCAACGGGAGCTCACCCCGGCGTGGGGATTCAAACCGCCGACCTTCTAATCGGCAAGTCCTAGGCTCTGTGGTTTAACCCACAGCACCACCCGCATCCCTTAGTTGGTCTCTAAGGTGCTACTGGAAGGAATTTTTAATATATTTTTTAATGATGGTCAGGTCAGAGAAGTTGAACAATAAAGAGTTTTATTAAATAACTATGTACACCTTGCCTTTTCTCCCTCGGCTACTTTCTCCTCTGCTTCCCACCCTTGCTTGGTCCTTATCTCCTGAAGTAACTCATACCCTCCCACACCTTGAAGCCAAATTCCACTACGCCATCTTTCCAGTTGCCATCTTCCACGTCACGGTCCCACTGCCCAAAAAGCGTTTTCTTTAGGTATGGTGCACAAAACGTGTGTTTTGTGGCACCGCATGAGACTGCAGCCCTGAAAAAGCGCTTTTTCCATGGGGAAATTGCACAAGATCACAGCAACAAAAATGGCTGCCATTCTCTCACAAAAAAGGGATGTCCTGGGAAAAAAACCTTGCAGGATATGCTAACTGTGTGAGATGCCCCTAAAGGTATAGACTGCTGCAGAAGACCTGAGGGTTCTCAGAAAAAACATAATAAAGCCTTTTCTCAAGAAAAAACATAATAAAGCCTTAAAAAATATTTTTGTGTCATGCACCGTTAACGAAATACACCTGTTTGTGTATTAAATTTGCTTACTATTTAAATACAGTGGTGCCTCGCAAGACGAAAAGAATCCGTTCCGCGAGTCTCTTCGTCTTGCGGTTTTTTCATCTTGCGAAGCAAGCCCATTAGCGGTTTAGCGGATTAGCGCTATTAGCGGCTTAGCGGGCTTAGCGGATCAGCTGATAAGCGGCTTAGCGGCTTAGCGGATCAGCTGATAAGCCGCTTACTGGCCGAGGGATCAGCTGTTAGCGGCTAGCGGATCCGCTGATAAGCGGCGTAGCGATCAGCTGTTAAGCGGCTTAGCGGCTTAGCGGATCAGCTGATACGCGGCTTAGCGGCTTGGGGAAAAGGGGGGGGGGAGGAAAAAACCCCCGCAGGAACTCGCAAGACATTTTCGTCTTGCGAAGCAAGCCCATAGGAAATTCGTTTTGCGAAGCACCTCCAAAACGGAAAACCCTTTCGTCTAGCGGGTTTTCCGTCTTGCGAGGCATTCATCTTGCGGGGCACCACTGTATATTAAATCTATGTTTAAAGTTATATTCTATTAAGTTTCAATCTTTTTAACATATACAATCAAAACATTATAACCAAAACATTATAATCAAAACATATAAATACATTAAATCTCTTAATTGTGCAGTTAACAATATATATTAAATATATCAATTGTATATGAAATAATAGTAAATATATTGCGAACACTTTACAATATGGAAATTCAGTTCAGTGTGTGGCCTGCAGGTTCTGTGGTGAAGTACTCTTGCAGCCCACTTGGCATGAAAAACGTTGGACTGCCCTGTAACATCTTATAGCTCAGGTGATGTTAACCATCAGCCTGCACCTGGTGCTATTACTATGTAAGGTCTCAGTTTCAGCTTCTTGCTAGAGCAGCTTGTGATTCCTACAGGACAGCCTTAACTTCACCTGACCCTGTGCCTCAGTTGAGGCTTGCCACAGAACAGCACATTAGCCCGATTCAGAATTTCATCCTTCTGACTTTTGACTATGAAATCCTGAATTTGAAATTCAAGGTGGCTGGGGCTGGTGGGAATTATTGTGTGGAACATCTGGAGAATGCCAGGTTGACTGACTTAGACCAGGTGTCCTCAATCTCGACCCTCCAGATGTTTTGAGACTACAATTCCCATGATCCCTAGCTAGCTAAGGATCATGGGAGTTGTAGGCCAAGTGTAACAGAAGGTCCAAGGCCTGCCTTGGACCTTCTGTTACACTTGGTTTTTAGTATGGTTATTTTGCACTGGTTTTAGGACAGTTTGTTATGTTCGAAATGCAATGAAATAGCTAGTTTTATTGGGTTTTACACCAGCGTTATGATTGATTTGTTGATATTGTATATATTGTTGTAAAGTGCTGTGGGAAATATGCACTGGAAAGCAGTCTATATAAATTACTTAATTTTTATTTATTTTGAAGAATGTGAAATTTTGTCCCAAAAGATCAGTGCTGGCATCTCTTTGTTGTTTTGCATTTGGCAGGGAATCTCACGAACTGTCACTTGTCAGATACTGTCAAATATTGAAATCAACTGTCTACCACAGATTCCAGACTGTTGCTATATTTTGGGGTGGGATTTGATCACATACCAGGAAATTCAGGTTGTGTGCAATTGAAGTTGCTTTGACACTCTTGTACAACAAACTGACACACACACACACACACACAGAGAGAGAGAGAGAGAGAGAGAGAGAGATACTTGCCTTGGCCCAACATCATCTAACCTCCCTGCAGACAAATCAGAATGAATACTGAATAAATAGCTGTCGTCATCTAAGCTCCCTGCAAACTTTGTGCAAGTGAATAAGGGTGAATGCTTAATAAGCAGGTTGTCTGGAAGTGACCTAAATTACCAGTTTATTTTCTTCCTTACCAAGGGGATGGGTAAAGATATAGCTGGGGAATGAAGCAAGGAGGGGAAAAATTACAGAAGTGCAGTGAAAACCCTCTGGCTGCATGAATCTCTGCCCTGTTTATGTCAGAAGCTGCACCAAATTAAGGCTATAATCATTCATTCCTGTTATATTGCCCCAGTTTCATCATCTGGCATTTTCTTCTTAGGTAACCCTACTAAACCTAGCAGGTTAACCCTGTTTTGCATTAAAACTCTGCTTCTTTGTGATAACTTCCATCTCTATAAGGCTCTCTAGCAACAAAATCTAAACCTGAACGATGTTATTGACCATCCTAAAGAAAGCATTTTATTTATTTGTTTCACTTATACTTCACTTTTCCTCTAAGAAACTCAGACCATGAGGCAAATCTCCAAGTAAGTTGTTCTCAGAGTAAACCCACTGATTTTAGTGGTTCTACTCTGAATATGGCTAACATTGAATCTCACCCAAGGTGGTCTCTGCTCTAAGTGGATTATAGAGCCAGATCTCCTGAGCACATTTTGGGGATGGGATTCACAGGTCAGCAGAGGCAAATTAGGCCCCTCACTTTTAAAGAACTGGGGTTTGGATAAGGGCTAGCAAGCTAAATGGACCAGTGGCCTGGCTCCAATATTCGGGCCTGGCAACCTTGGCAGTGATTTTCTAAATTATAAAAGCTATTGCCTTCCTTTGTCCCTCACCCTTCTTCCCTCAAGACCCTTGTTATTCTAACAACAGCTATTTAAAATGGTTGTTTTTGCGATCGCTATTAGCACTTCAGACTTGCAGGTCTTGAGTCCTTGTATTTGTTTCTGAACCGGTTACTGGTTTGGAAGCTGAATCAGGACTCAGATCTTGGATTGTTCCTCTTTTGTGATGGAATAACGCTGCCCACGAAAGCCCACTTTGCTGAGTTCCTGAGGTGGTCTGCATCTCTCCCTCCTGGAACTAGATTGCTTCTGCAACGACTGAAATGGCAAACTTGCATTTGTCAGCAATGGCGAGAAGCTAGGGCACTTGGAGATCAGATCTCTTTGCTAAGGAGGAACGATTTTTGAACAGGCACTTTTCCCATCTGGCAGGAGCATCCTCCCTTCTTCTTCCTGCCACCCTCCCAGATCGCAATTCTCCCCTGCCCTGTTTTGCATCTCAAGCGCCATAATGCAGAAGAATGCATCTGAAAGTGACAAGGGAGCCTGTATGCTGGAACGCCGCCTTCCACGCAAGGAATATATTATAAATGGCCTGCAGTGACTCTAAATGGATTACGGAGCCCACTTCCAAAGCGCCGAGCTGTCCCGCAAGCTGCTCTTGCGCTATTGCATATGATGTTACTTTTATGGATTACACTGTGTAATTGCTCATCTGATTGAATTACTTTTATCAAAGCACTCTGTGCCGAACAATGCGGCTAGGTCAGGGGAGGCTAAAAATAGATTGGGAGAGCAGAGAGTTAATTAGATTCTATGAATGCGAGAAGAAGGGAGTCAATCCTACAGCCTTTAAGGCAGGGGTAGGCAACCTAAGGCCCGTGGGCTGGATGCGGCCCAATCGCCTTCTCAGTCCGGCCCACGGACGGTCCAGGAATCAGTGTGTTTTTACATGAGTAGAATGTGTGCTTTTATTTAAAATGCATCTCTGGGTTATTTGTGGGGCATAGGATTTCGTTCATCCCCCCCCCCCCAAATATAGTCTGGCCCACCACATGTTCTGAGGGACAGTGGCCCACGGCTGAAAAAGGTTGCTGACCCCTGCTTTAAGGGGAAGCCCATGGCTCAGTGGCAGAGCAGAAGACCCTAGGTTCAATCCCTGCCATTTCCAGTTAAAAAGGGACCCCTGACCATTAGGTCCAGTCATGACCGACTCTGGGGTTGCGGCGCTCATCTCGCTTTATTGGCCGAGGGAGCCGGAGTACAGCTTCCGGGTCATGTGGCCAGCATGACTAAGCCGCTTCTGGCAAACCAGAGCAGCACACGGAAACGCCGTTTACCTTCCCGCCAGAGTGGTACCTATTTATCTACTTGCACTTTGACGTGCTTTCGAACTGCTAGGTGGGCAGGAGCAGGGACCGAGCAACGGGAGCTCACCCCGGCACGGGGATTCGAACTGCTGACCTTCTGATCGGCAAGTCCTAGGCTCTGTGGTTTAACCCACAGCGCCACCCGCGTCATTTCCAGTTAGGGTTGGGAAAAACTTCTGCCTGAAACCCTGGATAGTTGCTATATTGAACTATCACTTTAAGCTATAATGAGCTTGATGAATCAATGGTCCATCTCAGCAGAAGGCAGCTTCCTATATTCCTTTGTTAGTACAGTGGTACCTCAGGTCACATATGCTTCAGGTTACAGACGCTTCAGGTTACAGACTCCGCTAACCCAGAAATAGTACCTTGGGTTAAGAACTTTGCTTCAGGATGAGAACAGAAATCGTGCAGCAGCGGTGCAGCGGCAGCAGGAGGCCCCATTAGCTGAAGTGGTGCTTCAGGTTAAGAACAGTTTCAAGTTAAGAACGGATCTCTGGAATGAATTAAGTAGTTAACCCGAGGTACCACTGAACCTCATGAAGATGCCATAGAAATAGCCACAGAGCAGATGGGAGCCTGTACTCTGAATGATGTGGTGGTTACACTACGGTTGTCACCTCATGAAAGAAATGTTGGTCTCTTCATCAATTTTGCTTTAATCAAAATCCACACACATTCAAATGTCTCAGCCTACAGTTTTGAAGGGAAACCGAATCTTTCTTGTAAATGGTTAAAGTTGTTGGGTATTCTCTCTGTGTGAGAGAGAATCATTTGTTTCAGAAACGGAGAAGAACAGAGAAGAAGTTCGAAGAAGCAGCAGAAGGCGGAGATTGTTTTGTCTATGCAAGGACGTTTTCTGTGGGAACTGTTCTTTGGATATGGTCAGTGTGACAGGAAGTACTGATAACAATGTGATAACTTGTGAGTCTCTTGCTTGTGCCTTGCGGTGAGAGAAGCAGAGTCTTGGACTCTAAGCAATGCTTTGACCACGGCAGTGGTGAATGTCGGCATATATTTGGTACCAATATGCTTTTATGCCTGTCAAGTCAGCTTCTACGCTTGACTGAATCGTTATGGCGTCCAGGAGTGTTTATTGCATACTGTGTGTACCTACAACCTTGAAGACACTCCCAAGGAAGGAGCTGCGTTGAGATGTAACTCTGCTGAGTATGGATACTGGCACACACACACATAGCAAAAGTGATGCTGGACCCAATCCTTCTAAATCATCCATCAGAGGCTGATGGATTGATCCAGCACAGGTTTGTGGCAGCGGATGCCATCTTAGACGAGCCCGTTCTTCCTGTGTGAGAGAATGAAGGCGAGGCAGCAGGTGGGGATGCCTCTTCTAAAATGGAGGCTGTCACCGGCAGTTTCTAGAAGTGCTTTTATGAGGGTGGTTTCTTTCTTCTTTCTTTTACAAACCAGGTTGCCCTATACAGTGGTACCTTGGGTTAAGAACTTAATTCGTTCCGGAGATCCGTTCTTAACCTGAAACTGTTCTTAACCTGAGGTACCACTTTGGCTAATAGGGCCTCCCGCTGCTGCCGCGCCGCTGCCACACGATTTCTGTTCTCATCCTGAAGCAAAATTATTAACCTGAGGTACTATTTCTGGGTTAGCGGAGTCTGTAACCTGAAGCGTCTGTAACCTGAAGCATCTGTAACCCGAGGTGCCACTGTATATGCATTCCTTTTCTGTGCTGTTAAATTTACACACATTACAGTCATACCTCGTGTTACGTTTGCTTCATGTTGCAGCTTTTCAGGTTACGAATGCGGCAAACCTGGAAGTGTTTACTTCTGGGTTCGCCGCACACGCAGAAGTGCTCTATCGCGCTTCACGCATGCGCAGTAGCGGCACTCTACTTACGGACTTTTCGGGGTGCAAACGGCACCCCGAAATGGATTACGTTCGTAAGTAGAGGCACCACATAAACAGAACCAGGAGATGGAAATGTGCACAATCCTAATTGTCATCATTACGTAATTCTCATTATTATAATTGCATTTATATAATTGCTTTGATTTTTCTGTTGTATAGATATTATGCTATGGAGTAGCATTTGTGTTCTGAGTTGCAAACTACCCTTTGATCTTTTGACAAAGGAGTGCTGAGCCAATTCTGATGTGGTTGTGGCATCTATCCAGCTGTCAGCACAATAAGGATGGTGTCAGCCTTTGCACTGAGCTTCCTTTGCCACTTTGGTTCATGACCTGAGTGTTACTTAAACTTGAGAAGTGAAGCTATTACCAGGCTCTGTAAGGTAAGCCAAGGAGACAGTGTGCATTACCCCCTAATATTTAATGAAGTCTCAGTCCGTTTACATCCCACACCTGCTATGTTCTTCTTTGTCGGTTTAACCATTATGGCCTCCATGTCGGCAGGTACCCCATAGCCCCTCATTAGGCACATACATTTCCACACCTCCTCTCCTGACTTGTATTGGTCCTCCCCACCCAACTCTCCTGATAAGCCAGTGTATCAACCTGCCTGTTAATTACTATCAACAGACGAGGCTCTCTTGATGGTACCTGCTCTGAGTGAGGTGTGCAGTGTGAGGGACCTATAGAAGAGTCTTTTCAGTGTTGGCCCCACAGCTGTGGAACAATCTCCCCACTGACATGGACCTTGTTTCTGTAGTGTATTTGTTTTGGCACCTCGAAGCAATAAGATGAATTAAAACTGACTCCTCTTGGAATAAAAATGGTCCAGGCCCATAAATATGATTCAAAAGCTTTACTAACACAACTGGTTCCAAAAACAGATACAAAAAGAAATCATGATACATCCACCTAATTATATAATGTCATGTGCATGTCCAGCACAGTTTCATCCTCTTACAAATTTGAAGTAACTCCTAGCAGACCTAAAATTAGAGGCCTGTCTCTCCCCACAGCCTCCATTAGCCTGGAGCTATTTTCTCTCCAGGAGAGACCTCATTATCACATCCTTTGTTCCCTGTGGCTTCCAGAGGAAAAAAAGACAACTCCCTTCAAAATGGTGATTTGAAACTGAATAACCCTCTCACATGATCTAAAGTTAAACACCATGTGAAAGAGCAGAGAACATCAACCGTTAATTGTCAACCAGTCAGGTGCCCAGAGAGCTCTTGTTAGTTTTAGTATAGCCCAATTGAATTTACCATGGCAAACCTTCAGCAACACTTATTCAAACACACACAGGGTTATTTGCCGTTTCATTGTCAATTAAACAATTATACTTAACAGTGAAGACACACCTCTCTCACCAATCTTTTAGCAGTGGAAAGGTGTGATGGGTGAAGTCAGTTTTAGTATGACGCTGCTACTTTAATAGTTATGGAGGTATTTTACGTGACTCTGTTCTAACAATTGTATTATGCATTGTGTTTTGTTGCATTTACTTTACAGTGCTTTGCGGCTCCTGTTGTGAAAAGCAATGTAAAATATATGAATAAATAAATGTTGTACTTTCCATCCGCCACAAATATCTACAATTCACTGTCATAACACATGTTGTAAATAAAAATATGCCCTTTTCCCTTATGGGGTATCCAAGAGCCCATATAGAGTCCTTACATAGGTTCCCTATTGGTAGGAGAAAATAACAGAGGCCAACCAGAGAATATTGAGAAGCAAAGCAGCTAGTAAGCCTGATCTTTATTGATCTGTTGCAACAGGGTGCTCCCCTCACTCGAAGGAAAGGAGGAGGACCCACAAAAATGCTGTGCAAGGGCTTATAAAGACTTTTGAAATTCCCATCCTGTAGATCAAGACCACCCCCAGAAACATTATACATACATCACAGAAGGGGTGTAACCTAAGACCACCCCTCAGATACATCACAGAAAAGGCGGTCTGAAACAGAATATTTGCATGTTGTTTTTCTCCTGTCGCTTTTTTATTTCCTGTCTGGCAGGTTACTTGATTGGATTGCCTGAGGAGCCTGGCCAGTCTTTTGTAATGATAAGGCTCACACCCTTATTCAAACACAGACATACCCTTAAGACAGGATATGTGAAGGAAAAGACAATGGGGAGGTTTTTCCACTTTGACCATGCAGAGAAACATTTGCTCAGTTTAGGAATCAAAAATGGCTTCAGGTCAGTCTTCCTGTGCTTGATCTATGTACGTGCAGTTATGAACATTACCATATATCTAAGACCATAAAATTCCTATCACACACATCAGTTGAAGTCATTTGGGTCAGTTTTCCATATGAAGATCACCACCATCCTTCTTGGACTTATTAAATTACAGTAATTATTACTGTTTTTGAATTGGCATAGGCAAATTTTATGCAAATCTCTGCCAACTTTTTTTCTGCTGACCTGTTAAGTGGGCACCCTGTATGCAATCATACCCATGTCTACTCAGAAGTAAGATAGAGTAGATCAGGCCTCGCTCCCCTGGTACTGGTCCATGTGCATAGTAATGCAGCTGGAATAACACTGCAAAGAAATGCTCTGATGTCAATTTTTGTTAAATGTATGCTTTTTTAAAAAAAGTTAGCTTGTAAGATATATCTTTTCTTCTATTTCTTAGGCATATAATCAACTCCCTCTCTATTTAGAGCATCCAGTTATAAAATGCTCTTATTTTAGTATTTTAGATCTCTTTTCCAGATGTTCTGTTTTATTGACGCAACTTTCAGCCATAGAACAGGGCCTTGGATCCAGAGAAGCTTGTGTACATGTCAGGGGCTGGTCAGAGGAGAATACCTCCCCAGCCTGACCCTTCTGGAGAAGAAGAAGACAGCAGTTCAGAATTACAACAGGGGTTTGAGGGAGGTCACAGCTCAGAGGCAGAAGAGGGAAAAGCTGGGAAATAATGGGAGAAGAGGAATCACTAGGAGTGCAACAGCCGACAGACACAGTGCCTTTAGAAAGAATTCCAGACTCCCCCTCCCAGAACCTGGAGAGCCTTGAAAATACAGTGGTACCTCGGGTTAAGTACTTAATTCGTTCTGGAGGTCCGTTCTTCACCTGAAACTGTTCTTAACCTGAGGTACCACTTTAGCTAATGGGGCCTCCCACTGCCGCCGCCGCCGTGCGATTTCTGTTCTCATCCTGAAGCAAAGTTCTTAACCCAAAGTACTATTTCTGAGTTAGCGTAAGGTTACCAGATTTTTTCAATGAATCCGGGGACTCTTTTCAGCTTCAATGGATTTTGTATGGGGACTGATTTGTAAATCCGGGGACTGTCCCCGGGAAATGGGGACATCTGGTAACTTTAGGTTAGCGGAGTCTGTAACCTGAAGCATCTGTAACCTGAAGTGTCTGTAACCCAAGGTACCACTGTACATGAAATGTGCAACAAACACAATCCTTAAAACCGCAAGAGCCCTTCGGAGTCTGAAAGCGCTGCTACACTTCCCTGCATGTGCACTGCTTTTCATCTTAAGAGTTTTAGAGTTGAAAGGGATCTCTAGCCCAGGCTTCCTCAACCATGGCCCTCCAGATGTTTTTGCCAACTGAGAGTCACAGTGAGCTGTCCTGAAGTCCATTTGCAGGTGCAGTTTGGATTCCAACCATACCTGTAAATGGACAAAGGAAGGCTTGGTGACAGCACCAATCAGCAGATCAGCACTGACAGGCAACTCTTTCAGCTGCAACAGGGAGTTTCCCATGGGGAATTCCTTAGTGCAGCCAGTCCCAGTGGGGTTCGCTGATCGGAACAACTTGGGGCTCACTTTAAGCTCCCAGTTGGTCCTTTGTAGCCAATATGATGTCAAGTATGATACAGGTGGGTGGGTGGGAGGTTTGGGGGGGTGGAACAGCCTTGTGGGCCCAAATGAGGGCCATGCTGGCTTGATCTTCAGTTTTTAATTTGGCCAGTGAATTTCGCCTAGGGGTCTCAAAAGAGGACAAATCCCATTTACACTTTGGTTTCCTTGAAAGGCAAGCAGTCTAGTTTTTGACGGGAACACTGTGCCCATTCGGTTGAGGACTGGATTTGGAGGTTGAAGCCACTGTAATGATCTGACCAATGACTGGATTGTGCCCAGAACGAAGTTCTTGAGGAGTCAGCTCATACACCGGAAAAAGCGCTGTACGAAGGAGATGACACAAACATATCACTGTTTCAACCTTGAAAGGGATATATATACAAACCACTTTACTTACATAGCCTTTCCATAGCAGAAAGCTTGTTACTTTATATGGGAATTTCACCTTCTCCAGTGCATGGTTTCTATGTTATATAGATATGATGCTATATAGTGGCATTTGTGTTCTGTGTTGCAAACCACCCTGAGGTCTTTTGAGAAAGGGTAGGATATAAATTTAAAAATAAATAAGCAAACTGAGTTGGCACTGAAAATTTGCACAATGACACCATATGCAGGGGGAAAGTGCCCTATTTTCTGGCAGCCTAGTGGGGTGGATTTGCAATTTGCCCTAACAAAAGCAAACTAAGCAAAGGCAATTGTGCTTTCTGAGGATGGCAGTGAGAAAATATCGGAACTAGTCATTGTCCTGCGGCAAGGTCACTGCCAAGACTATTAAATGTGCATCTTAGAACAGAATGCGGCTTAGCAGCTTTACGGCTCAGATGCAAGGTCCTCATCTGATGTAGGTCAGCTCTTCCCAAAGGTAGCATATATGTCGCTGTATGCCTCTCTGCTTCGTAGCTGTTGTTTTTTAAAAAAATCTCAGAGCTGGAATAGCTGGAGATGCTGATTTAGTTCCAGAAAAACGCAAGGTTACTTCTGGTGGTATATGGAGGCTTTTCAGATTTTAACTTCTAGCGGCAGCCCCGTGGAAAGTCTTCCCCCAAAGATTCAAGGCCTTCTGGAACAGGACCTCATGTGGTAAAACTGGCCAACAGCACTTCGCACATGCATTGTCAGGCGACAGTAAGCAACTCCCACGGCCGGGTGCCGGGAACGTACAATACAAGGAAAAGTTCTTTCCATCTGCTCTTCATTCAATATTTACAGAGAGAGGCTTGGAACTCAGCCTCTTGGGATAACGGCGTTGTCCTGGGTGACTCTCCAGCCTCCTTTTCTCCCACTGCTTCATTTGTCCTTTGTCATCATCTCCCCTACAGGTGACACTGAGGGCCCTCGGCTTCTGAGCTCCATGCTCTACTACAGTGGTACCTCGGGTTACATATGCTTCAGGTTACAGACTCCGCTAACCCAGAAATGGTACCTCATGTTAAGAACTTTGCTTCAGGATGAGAACAGAAATTGTGCTCTGGCGGCGCGGCAGCAGCGGGAGGCCCCATTAGCTAAAGTGGTGCTTCAGGTGAAGAATAGACCTCCAGAACGAATTAAATTCTTAACCTGAGGTACCACTGTATAATTATAACCTGTTTCCCATTTCTGACCTGCTAACGGCATGCTTGGAGATCTCCTTTTGGATTTCTCTTCAGAGCTTTTAAAATGAAGATTGAAATTGCAGTGCCACCTTGTGGAAAGCAGTGCAAGGCAAGTGGTCCTCGCTGCAGCGAAATTGCTTTGCTTCCTTGGTCCTTGTGTTAACTCCTAAACTTTGCCCCCCCTCCCCAATCCCTGGCCATTAGCTATGCTGGCCAGGGTTGATGGGAGCTGGAGTCCAGCAACTACCAGCTAGGGAACTACAGGTTTCCATTTCTGCTCTAAACACTTGTAAAGATGGTGCAGTTTTTGGAGACTTGATAACACAAAGGTAATTATTTTGCTCGAAGTGGAGAATATAGACATTTGCTTTCCAAGTTACACTACTGGGAAAACCCCATTTTCTGTTACTTGCCCTAGATCGGTGGTTCTCAAACTGTTTTCTCTGGGCCACACTTTCAGAATAACAATTTGCTCACACCATTTCTTGTTTTGTTTTATTGGTGAGAAATACATTGGAAAACAAAAAGAAACAACTTTTGCTAGTGCCTGAATTGTAACACAGAACATAGAATATGATCATGGGTCATGAAGGCAGTATAAAACAATGTCGCTATATAAGAACACGAATCATTACCCAAATATAATTATAAACGAGTCTCTTACATATGTACCTTAAGTATGCATGCAGACTCAGTGAGAGGTGTGAGCTTGCTTTTGCTGGGTAATCTCATTTATATGGGGTCTAATTTGAGACAGACAAACTCTCATCTCCTCATCAACAGAATCTTTTCTGAGAAATTCATTTTTGTCAGACTTGACAATCCTTGATCACAACAATACAATGGTACCTCAGGTTACAGATGCTTCAGGTTACAGACACTTCAGGTTACAGACACTGCTAACCTAAGGTTACCAGATGTCCCCGTTTCCCGGGGACAGTCCCTGGATTTACAAATCAGTCCCCATACAAAATCCATTTAAGTTGAAAAGTGTCCCCGGATTCATTGGGAAAAAATCTGGTAACCTTATGTTAACCCAGAAATAGTACCTCAGGTTAAGAACTTTGCTTCAGGATGAGAACAGAAATTGTGTGACGGCTGCAGTGGGAGGCCCCATTAGCTAAGTGGTACCTCAGGTTAAGAACAGTTGCAGGTTAAGAACGGACCTCCAGAACGAATTAAGTTCCTAAACCGAGGTACCACTGTATGTCATAGAGAACTTCAGAAGAACAGTAAATGCTCTTGAATATCTATCCATATTCAGCAGGTACCGTATTTTTCGCTCTATAAGACGCACCAGACCACAATACGCACCTAGTTTTTGGAGGAGGAAAACAAGAAAAAAAATAATCTGAATCTCAGAAGCCAGAACAGCAAGAGGGATCGCTGCGCAGTGAAAGCAACAATCCCTCTTGCTGTTCTGGCTTCTGGGATAGCTGTGCAGCCTGCATTCGCTCCATAAGACGCGCACACATCTCCCCTTACTTTTTAGGAGGGAAAAAGTGAGTCTTATAGAGCAAAAAATACGGTATATAAATGAAATAATTTGATACTATACCTGGGGTCAGCAACCTTTTTCAGCCGTGGGCCGGTCCACCGTCCCTCAGACCTTGTGGTGGGCCGGACTATATTTTTTGGGGGGTGAAATGAACAAATCCCTATGCCCCACAAATAACTAAGAGATGCACTTTAAATAAAAGCACATATTCTACGCATGTAAAAATACCAGGCAGGCCCCCCAAAATAACCCAGAGATGCATTTTAAATAAAAGGACACATTCTACTCATGTAAAAACACGCTGATTCCCGGACCGTCTGCGGGCTGGATTTAGAAGGCGATTGGGCCGGATCTGGCCCCCAGGCCTTAGGTTGCCTACCCCTGTACTATACTATACCATACCATACAATACAATACTGAAATGTTTAAATGTTGCTTTGATTGTCCTTGAATTTTCCTGCCACACCAATGTGGCATGCCTGTTCAAAAATTGTTTTGATGTTAGGGGTGGGGGAGAAATTTGATTCATTTTGCATCTAAAAGCAAACCTATCTAATTCACATTTTCTGAAACAATACTAGAACTGAAACAAAGCCATGCTGGGCAGTCCTCTGAATTTTGCAGTGCAGTTCTCCAGGCAAGTAATGTGTGCAAAAATGCACACAGGAAGGAGGGTAAAGTGTGAGGTGGGGGCGGGGGAGCATACAAACACGGATTATATTAAGGTAAATTGGATTTCAAAAACATTTGTGTTAGGCAATTTGCATACAAATGTGTTTATATTACGAGAAATTTGCACTCAAATGCTGATGAGTTTCCAATAATAACAACCTGAAAACTGGTGTGGGAATGACGTGAAGCTAAGATTGGAAAAAAAGAGAAACTGAGAAAAACTGAAACGAACAGGTTTCCCTATCCCTAGTTGATAGTAAATTTTGTGTAAAAAGGAAAAGGAATTAATCTATTTGGGTCGGAATATTGGGGAAATATCGCTTAACGGAAAGTAGATCAGTTGGGTGTCGTTCCAGAGTGAGTATTTTGAATAATTTCTTTTGTGTAACTGACAGAAAATCAGAAGTCCTTTTTATTTTTCTTCTCTTTTCTTCTACTTTTCTGATTTGCCTTTGGTGCTTTCTCTTTCTCTCTTTCTGTATATCAGGCTTCTGTTAAAAGCACAGGAGCAGAGGCAGCTAAAGAAGAAAGAAAGGTGGCAATGGCAGGCTAATCAGAGTGCAGCCATGTGCCACCAAGCGCATAGCCTGGTGCCATGGAAGAGTTAGCACCCGTGCTTTATTGAGGAACATCTACATCTCTTATGCCTTTGCTTTTCCATCACCTATAATTCTCTAAAGAGAACCGCAGGCTGGTGCATGGCCTGTGGTTTGAGCGAAGGTGAATAGAGAGAAATCAAGCATTTCATAGATTAGGTGGTACAGTTTCAAAGCTGTTTAGGGAGCTGCTGTGGATTTTACAAGGAGGTTGCCCCTGTTCCTCTGGAACTTTCTGATTTTTTGACAACTTCCCTATAGCAACAAAGGGCTCACCCACACTTCCACTTGTCCCACGCTTTCTAGTTTTTCTTTTGTCCCACCACTTACCCCTGGAAAACCCTCCGTTCACCTCTGAATCATAACAAACGTCAGTCGGGTTTTCCGTGGATTGATGTTTGTTCTGATTCAGCAGCAAAAGGCGTGTTTCCCCACAGAAAGCAGCAGGGCAGGAGAAAAACCTCACCGACCCACGCCTAGAAAACACAGGACACGTGGAAGAAAACATGGGACAAACAGAATTGTGGATGAGTCTAAGGCAGGGGTCGGCAAGGTTTACCTCGCCTGGGCCAGTTCACTCCAGCAGAGATCCCTCTGTGGGCCAGAGTGCACGCATGTGTGAATGCGCATGACTGTGATATGTGGCATCTGTGTCTGCGCAGACACAATTTCCAGAGCCGCGGAAGCGAGTCCCCATGCTGCACCGGCTTAGCGCAGCGCGCAGGGACTCACAAGCGGGCAGCTCAGTTGGGGGGGGCGGCTCGTGGGCCGGTTAAATGACCCCTGTGGGCTGCTTGTGGCCCATGGGCCTTAGGTTGCTGACCCCTGGTCTGAGGTAAGGTTACCAGACGTCCCTGTTTCCAGGGGAGAGTCCCCAGATTTACAAATCAGTCCCCTGACAAAATCCAGTGAATTTGACTGAAGTTGAAAAGTATCCCCAGATTCATTGAAAAAAAATCTGGTAACCTTAGTCTAAGGAATATCCTGCTTTACAGCAAAGCGATATGAAAACTGGCAGGAAGGTTGCCACATCTTATATGCCCAGAAGTGCAAAACACAAACCCCAAACACAAAGTGCTGTGAATCAGATTTCCTAAAGTTATTCATGTGTTAACGCTCCACTTGGAGGGCTAATGTACGGTGGGGAGAGTGGGACTGTGTTTCCTGGCCCCACCCCTGATGCCAAGTGTCCCTCTACCCACACCCCAATTTCCATACGCCCTCCCTGCTCCACCGTGTGACCGCCATGATTGGCAAAAGCACGTAGGGCAGGTTGGCTCTATTCATTAAGTTTCCTCCACATGCTCTGGAGACCCTGCCATGCCTCAGCCGAAGGATTGCTCATCAGGGGACAACCTGTAGCCCCTGCTACATAGTGAAGCCACAGACACAAGTTGATCTGGCGATAAGGATGAGTTGGGACTCTCGGACAAGCTTGCCAGGCAGTTGTTGGTGCAGCAGGAGAGTTCAACATGGGCCCTGAGCCAGTGTGAGCAACAGCACCTTAAATGGCAGGTGGAAACCTGCCCCATGAGGAGAAGGTCAAGACTTTAAGGAATGACTCATAGTTGAAAGGAATCCTAAGGGAATCTCAACTAAAGCATCCAAGGCAGATGGCCATCCAACCTCTGCTTAAATTCCTTGAGAGTCAAGGTCCTCCTCGTGGGTAAGGTCCTCCTTTTTGACAATTTTGTTGTTGTTGTTTAGTCATTTAGTCGTGTCTGACTCTTCGTGACCCCATGGACCAGAGCATGCCAGGCACTCCTGTCTTCCACTGTCTCCCACAGTTTGGTCAAACTCATGCTGGTAGCTTCGTGAACACTGTCCAACCATCTCGTCCTCTGTTGTCCCCTTCTCCTTGTGCCCTCCATCTTTCCCAACATCAGAGTCTTTTCCAGGGAGTCTTCTCTTCTCATGAGGTGGCCAAAGTCTTGGAGCCTCAGCTTCAGGACCTGTCCTTCCAGTGAGCACTCAGGACTGATTTCCTTAAGAATGGATCCGTTTGATCTTCTTGCAGTCCATAGCTGATGGAATTCAGGTGGACCCTGGGTGGGGTTCCAAACTTTTTTTTTTTAGCTCTGTCAAGCACACATTTTCACAGCTGAGGCCAATTTCTAATGAGCAGGCTCTGACTCTGACCTTGAGCACCCAAGAGAACACAGGTATTGGTTCTTGTGATCTCATCCCTGCTTGAAGAGAAAGAATATTTTCTCAGAGGCCTAACTTTTGTGCCTGAGTTGGGAAACTATTTTCTAGCACACACAAAAACCACTTTTCTTTCAAATAAGATTTTGTTAAAGCTTTTTCATAATACAGTAAGATAAAAGAAACTAATATAAACAAAAATAAAAACGGAGAGAGAGAGAGAGAGATAAAAGAAAAAACAGGGTCCTCTCTCAACATAACTTGTCTCACACAGGAAGTGGTGGATCCAACTCTCACCTGTGAATTTTCCTTTCTTTTCCCAGTCTCTCACCTTGGGAGGTCTTTCCTTTGTGTGTGTGTGTGTGTGTGTGTGTGTGTGTGTAATACTTGCACCCCTAAAACGGCCCAGAGCAGAGGACACCAAAAGAAAAAAAGGGGGGCAGAAATTAAAGAGAAAAGAAGAAAAATAAAAAGGATTTTCTGTCTGTCAGTTACTTAAAAGAAATTGCTCCAAATATTCACTCTAGAATTACATCCAACAGATCTACTTTTTGTTAGGCAATATTTTCCCAGTCTTCTGACCCAAATGTCTCAGATGAAATCATTTTTCTTTTCACGCAAAAAGTCCAAAAGGGTTTCTCTAATTCTTGTCATTAATAAATGCCACCAATGGTTTCTCTCTAGCTTTCTTGACAAGTGTCAGGCTGAAAGAGTTTCTGGAACAATGCATTAAAAAAATTATAATATGCCTTCTGCCTCATCCTCTGCTTGCCTGGAATTTATGTGCCTTTTTATCGGGGTCCATAGCTTCCCATTAGATTCTCCAAGGTGTTTGCGACCCAAAAAAGGTTGAAACACCCACTTGTCCTAATCCAACAGGGACAGCTTTTCTACCCTGACTTTTCTTCATGGTTTTTCAGAGCTGAAGTGTCAAGATTTCAGCTTACTATTCCAAGTATCTATCGGCTGAAAATTCAAAATGTTTGCCATTTTTGGTGAGGTATTTACATTTCCGTGTGCTTTGACAGGAACCTCTTTCAACAAAGAAATAAAAGTTCACACTTCATTGCGGATTCCAAGAACTGGCAGAATACTGATGGTTGCGGGTTGGGGTTTGTGTCAGGTGTCAAGTGCTGTGAGGTTGGCGACGTGTTTCAGTCCATAATAATAAGGTTCTGAAAAAGAGCAGGGGAACTGCAAAAACTGTGTGAAAAGAGCGGGAAAATGACTAGCAATCCCAGGATCCTTTGCAACTACAGTCCCACAGCCTAGAACTTTGGAGTACCAGCATGCCGGTCTGGTAAGTGCTGCTGGTTTTTAAAAAGGGTTTTCCTGGATTTTCCAGAGGGTATTTGCAGGCTTTTTATATGGTTTTCCCCATTATGCATGACTTCCCATGTATGCACGGTAACCTCCAAATATGCGGGGAGATGCCTGTATTGATAATAATAATAATAATAATAATAATAATAATAATAATAATTTATTTATACCCCACCCATCTGGCTGGGCGTTCCCAGCCACTCTGGGCGGCTTCCAACAAAATATTAAATACAGTAATGCATCAAACATTAAAAGCTTCCCTAAACAGGGCTGCCTTCAGATGTCTTCTAAACGTCAGGTAGTTGTTTTTCTCTTTGACATCTGGTGGGAGGGCGTTCCACAGGGCAGGTGCCACTACCAAGAAGGCCCTCTGCTTGGTTCCCTGTAACCTGGCTTCCCGCAGTGAGGGAACTGCCAGATGGCCCTCGGCACTGGACCTCAGTGTCTGGGCAGAATGATGGGGGTGGAGACGCTCCTTCAGGTATACTGGACCGAGGCAGAGGCAAAACAAGGCAGAGACCCAGTTATCCAACTAGAAAAGCCTATTGGAACAAAAATGTCTTCAGTTGGTTCTGGGGAAAATGTGGATATTGTAGAGGGGCTTGGAAGGGTAGAATTGATCCCTGGACCTGGGGTTCTGTGTCCCTGCCTTAACAGGGTTGCTGTAGGGGTACAGCTGCAATAATATATGTGAAGTTTTCGAAAGCACAATATAAATGTCAAATATTATTTCACCCTGAAGAGCGGCTTTCCCCCTCCCCTCGATGCACCAAGCAACCACCATCTAAACTTTAGGAAGGCCAATCGGTATTCGGAATTGTGGGATCAGCTGGCAACTCATTTCTCCACCTAGGCTATTTGCATGGCAATGAGATACTCGACAAACAGACAAAAGTATGTATAACTCAACGGTAGCTATGAACGAGGGGCTACCTTTAAAGGAGGAGTGAGAGGAGGAGGAGGAGGGAGGGAGGAAAGATACCATCTCAGCAATATTGGTACTTTTGATAAACTTGTTTTATTTAATTCCACAGTCTGAACATATGTTCTATCAGCCCTGTGCGAGCGTCGAAATTGCATTTTTCATAGCGATGCTAAGGGGTGCGTGATTAATGCAGGATGTGGGAGGTGTGCTCACAAATCCTGTTATCAGATAATGGGATTAGCACGCATACCTCCCGAGCGCTGCTGCCGCTTTGAAAAATTTATTTCCGAATCTACATATTCAGCTACACAGAACCAGCCACATTATGGGCATAACAAATAAAAGTGCTGGGGATGCAGTTTGAAGAGCCTCTATCGTGATTACGTTTGCCGCCGCGGCAGCAGCAGCAATGAAAGACTAAAATCGGAGGCTAGACACAGCACTGTCTCTCTTTCTCTCTCTTTTAGGGCTGCTTCACGTTATTGCTAACGCAGAAGACAAGTTTGCCAATTGCCTGCGATACCTTGGCCTGCGAATACCATAGGGTTGGAAGGGGCGGGTGGGGCGGAATGTGCATCCGAACTCCAAAAACAAACAGCAGACGCACACCAGAGAATTCAGAGCAGGGCATCGCTGCCTGTTTTGGTCATGGCTCAGTAGCACAGAGTTCTCAGCCTCCTTCATATTCCTCCAAGAAGCTTGGGGGGTTTGTGCATCATTCTCCTCCTCGCCACTTTGTGCTCAAAATAAAGTAGGATAGGCACAGTGACAGACACAAAGTCACCCAGGCCACGTTCGCACCGTACATTTGAAGTTCTGTGATACCACTTTAAACAGTTGCGGCTTCCCTCAAAGAATTCTGGGAGCTGTAGTTTTTTAAGGGTGCGGAGCTACAGTTTGCAGTGTGGTTTAAGTAGGAAGGCAGGGTGTGGAAGGGTTGCCAGAAAGTAAGGTGAAGCAGCACCATCCAAAGGTTGAGGCTGCAATCCTATATACCAGTGGTTCCCAATTAGCTAAGTGCTGTAAAGGTAAAGGGACCCCTGACCATTAGGTCCAGTCATGGCCGACTCTGGGATTGCAGTGCTCATCTTGCTTTACTGGCCAAGGGAGCTGGCGTACAGCTTCCGGGTCATGTGGCCAGCATGACTAAGCCGCTTCTGGCGAACCAGAGCAGCGCATGGAAACGCCGTTTACCTTCCCGCCGGAACGGTACCTATTTATCTACTTGCACTTTGACGTGCTTTCGAACTGCTAGGTTGGCAGGAGCAGGGACCGAGCAACGGGAGCTCACCCTGTCTCAGGGATTCGAACTGTGACCTTCTGATCGGCAAGTCCTAGGCTCTGTGGTTTAACCCACAGCGCCACCCGCGTCCCACCTAAGTGCTGTAGACCCCTGTTTTTCAAAAGCCAAGCCAGAGACCCTCTACTTTCGAAACAAGAGGAAGATATATTTGTGGTAGTTTTTGCTGTGTGCCACGGACCCCTGGGTGGACTCCCCAAGGGGTCCATGGACCACCAATTGTGGGCCATAGCTATATTCTTTTGCAAGCCACCTCGATTTCCGAGCTGTATGAGCTTCCAGGGGTTTCAGGTGCTTATGCAGGGTTCAGTTTCCTTGCAAGTAGGGACAGCAGTGACCGTGATGCCTTTATGATACAGCATACAGGTGGTGACCATTTTAGGCGTGTCAAATTGTGTAATGCTGCAGTGTGATAACTGCCAAGAAAACTTTTTTGTTTTGTTTGAATCTGTATAGCTAAGGGAGCTTCCAGGCTATTGCATACCCCACAACTGTCCTGTTTTAAGCGGGACACTCCCAATCACAGAAGTCCATCCCAGCTTCTGTTTGGATCCCAGAATGTCGCATTTAAGACAGGCACCCTGGTGTGATCCAGGTGATGAGCGCCAGGGTGCCTTCCAGGATCGCTTTGGCAACTGTGAAAGGGTCACGCCAAAGCACCTCTGGGAGGCTGCAGCCTCGGTGGGGGGAAAGGTGTAGGGAGGGCAGTGAGAGAGAGAGCAGGCAAGGGAGGAGATGGGTGGGTAGGGGGCAGTGGTGAGTGTGAGCAGGCGAATGGCAGTAGGATGGTGTGTGTGTGTCCCGATTTGCCCCCACTAAATGTTGGGATTTTGGGGGTGGGATTCAATCACATCCTGGAAAATTCAGGCTGCACAATTAAACCTGATGTGGAGCTCTTGTGCAACAAACCAAAATACTGGTCTGTTTGCAGGGAAAATGCACCAGAAAGTGCAGGATAAATTGATGCTATGTTGTCTAAGCTCTCCAGAATTAAATCAGATTGTAAATAGCCAGTGTCACCATTTCTCTCTGCAGACAAGCCAGAATGAGTGCTTCATATAGAGCAGGGGTCAGCAAACTTTTTCAGCAGGGGGCCGGTCCACTGTTCCTCAGACCTTGTGGGGGGGCCGGACTATATTTTGAAAAAGAAATATGAACGAATTCCTATGCCCCACAAATAACCCGGAGGATGCATTTTAAATAAAAGCACACATTCTACTCATGCAAAAACACGCTGATTCCCAGATCGTCCGTGGGCTGGATTTAGAAGGTGATTGGGCCGGATCCAGCCCCCAGGCCTTAATTTGCCTACCCATAATATAGAGGCTGTATGGAAGTCACCTCACCAACTGGGCCTTGAGAAGGAGATGGCCTCTATAATTTTTGCTACCGTAGCTTTTCTTTTTGGCCAACTTCCATAGGCTAAAGATGTACTGAATATCCACCTCCACTAAGAGGAGCCCTAGGCCTGGAACTCAACCTTCTCTTCGTCCTTTTAAATAGAAGACAGTAGGGCAGATGGAAGTGGAGGAAGCACTTTTTTAATTTTCTGACTGCAGCATAAATAGAATTAATGAGTTGCTTGTGAGTGCAAGTGATTTTGCATGCTTTTTTTTTTTTTTTTTTACAGGGGCTTGCGGTGTGGCAACGAAGAGTGCCTGGGTGCTTAAAGGCAGAGGAAAGATATAGAAGCAAATGCAATTTTGAATCTTACTAGCAAATGTAATTGGACATCTTCCTAGCTTTGGTACTCAGCAAAGCCTGATTTCAGAAAGGTTCTACTGTACTCAGTCTTAGATGAAAGGAAAGGCAGACAGGCCTGAACTATCGAAAATATTATCTGCAAACGGAATGTAGACTTCCAGACAATAGATTTCACCAAGAACTTGTTGACATGAGAAAATATTTGGTCTGCAATTTATTTTGAAAGTTGTTCTTAGTAACAGGGTAGAAATAGCTAATGGAAAGTACAAACGAGCCTGAGCTTATAAACTTTGGTATACCTCCGCATTGTAATTAGTTGTCTGATAAAACTGAATAATGTGCGCCTTAGAGCAGGTGGAAAAGCACTCTAGCCAGTTCTGGGATTCCAAACATTTTGTCTCTCCCCGTATAACTGAAATGTCCCACCCATTGAGACTGAGATCAGGATGACAGAAGCTCTGCAAAGGGAAATGGGAGGGATTCACCAGCAAAATTTTCTGCTCTGTTACCATCCTTTTCTGCCTTTCCTCCCCAAACTTCACCCCTGTTGCCGTCTTCCTGATTGCTCCCAAGTTCAGACCTCATGCCTATTGTAGATATTAATATTGTGCAGTTTCAAGCAACTGGAATCAAAAGAACTGACTCCTCCTTCTGGAATAAATCATTGTCCAGTCCCATAAAAATTATTCAAACTTTTACTTGCAGAACTCTTCAAAAACATAACATAAGCATCATAGATGCATCCAAAATATCCCTACAATGTCTTCTGCTGTCCAGCAGAGGCTCCGCATCTTAGAAAATATGAAATAATTCAAACAGACCTAAAGAAGCAGAGGCCTGTCTCTCCCCACAGCATCCATTTTCCCTTGATCTGTTTTCTCTCACACTCATAGAGGGTCATTTACATGTCCTTACTTCCACAGAGTTTGGGACAAAATACTTAAAGGCAACTCCCTGCAAAATGGATACTTGCAACTCAATACCTTTGTCACTTGATCTAAGGTCACAACACTCACCTGTTAGCCAGCAGAAAACAACAGTTAATTATCAACTCAGCAAGAGCTCAGAGTCCACTTAGAAAGCTACTGTGGAAAAACCAACACACATTTAGCCATTTTCCATTTTAAACCTTCATTAATATACAGGCATTATTATTTCAGTGTCAATTAAATCAACTAATACTTAACAATGCCCAGCACAGATTTATTTAAGAGCCAGTTTACAAAGTCATAGGTCCAAGTACATTGATAAACAAGTAACTTGGACCAGTCACTGCCTCTCAACCTAGCCTACTTCCCAGGGTTATTGTCCATATAAATTGGAGGGGTGGGGAACAAAGTACACCTCCTTGTGCTCCTTGGAGGAAAGGCAGGATAACTTAACTGTTAAGTTAGCGAAAATGTATAAAGTCAGTAATAAATGTTGGAAATGTAAAGAAAAAGAGGGAACATTTTATCACATGTGGTGGGAATGTAAAAGGTGAAATGCTTCTGGGAGATGATATATAATGAGTTGAAAAAAATGTTGAAATATACATTTATAAAGAAACCAGAAGCATTTCTATTGGGCATTGTGGGGAGTGATATAAATAGAAAGGAATGTAAGCTCTTTTTATATGCAATAACAGCAGCAAGAATATTATAGGCCCCAAAATAAAGTTAATGGACTATGCAGAATTAGATAAACTAACAGGAAGGATTCAAAACCGGCGAGACCAGAAATTCACGGAAGACTGGAGTAAATTTACGGACTATTTGAAAAGTAATTGTGAAGAACAGATGATGTTTGTAGGTTTGCAAGAAGTTTTGTGAGGAGTATTATTAGAAATATTGTAAAAATGGACAAGGGGGAGGATGATTTGTTAAGAGATGTAAAGGCATTATAAAGTTAAGAAATGCATAAGAAGTGGTTAAAATGGTGGATCATCAGAGGTGCTGATGGAAGTCCAAAAAGATTGTATAAGTGATAAGTTTTGTGGTACATTTTATAATTTATATGTTAACATTAATAAAAAATATTATTTAAAAAAAGGAGGAAAGGCGGGATAAAAAATGATGAATAACGTTCAGATTCAAACTGAGTCATTGTGTGACCGCCATTTTCCCATCCCCAAAACCAGGAATTAAGTCATGTATATAGAAGACATTTCTCTAAGCTGCGCACTGCATATCCTTTGTGATAGCTTTCCCACTAGCTCAGATTATCTGTACATTATTGAAGGCCCTCTGTGTCGCTAGATGGCCACTAGAGGGCAGGGTTGAATTTGGATAAGGAAAGAAAGAAATAAGACTGTAGAAAGAACGAGTATTGAGTACTGTATTAGAGAATCCCGCTTGACCAGGAAGATAGAAGGAAAAGCTCTAATTGATTTTCAACAGGTAAAATCTCTAGGAAGTAGCTGTCTGTGATAAAAGGCAGGTAGAACCTGTGGCTCTCTGTGTTTTTGGCATATCCAGTGAAGTTCTGGATCGCAGATCTATTGCTGGGTGAGCCATCAATTATGATCTGGGCTATAGCACCATTAGATATAACAGAGGCAGAGCTTCATTCTGGTTTACAATGTGGTGCATGTTGTGAACAAAGAGGAGGCAGTCTTGATTCCAGCTGAAATTAACTTTATGGGCAAATTTCTATTTTTCCACATAGAAATCCAGTTTTTAAAATTCAGAATCTCAACTGCTCAGATACTGAAATTTAAATTCGGAATTCTGAGTACATTAATGGATGTATTTGTGTGGATGCATAGATGGCCATATTTCAGTGGCAAATGGCATATGCTTTCAGGTGCTCAATTTTGATTCGTCTGACCATGTGAAACCACAATTTCAAAAGGGGGGGGGCAAGGGAGCCTAGGCTGCAATCCTAAACACATTTTCCCAGGATTAAAACCCAGCAAATTCAATGGGTCTTGTTTCCAAGTAAACATGAAATTGTGTCCATTGATGTCAATAGCTCTACTCTGAGTATGGCTGCTACCACCCATAATTTATGAAACAAAAAATAATATGATAAATATTAGTTCCCCTAATAATTGCTTTTCCATTGTAATTAATTATTAATTACATTGTAATTAATTAATTAATTATTAATTCCCCTAATAATTGCTCTTCCATTGTAAACTTTATATTTGACTCATTTAGTAATGTTTTATGTTGATATCTTTAATATAATATTTTATTTCCCTGTTAATTATGTTGCTTTCTATTTGACCTCCTTCTACAATGTTTTATTTTGGATCATTTTATTTGATGTTTTAATGCAGGCTGTAAAGCGTTTTGAGAGTCCCCCCTCCCCTTAAAAATATGAAGCAGTATAAAAATGAAATGAATAAATGAAAAATGAATGCAATGTGCTCAAAACATACTAACTGTATTTACACAAATAAGTAAATAGTAATTCAGTAATTAGGATGGGGATTCTTAAAGGGTGCATCCATATCACAGTTTATTGTGAATTCAGTTCTGCTCATGCCTGCATGAATGCTGGTGGTTTGATCCCACCCAGGGACAGCTGTGGGCAAGATTTCTGAATTGCAGGGGGTTGGACTGGATGACCTTTGGGTTGCTTCCATCTCTACAATTCTATGAGTCTGTGTTTTTCCTCAGACTCTATGCAACATCCTCATCAAAATTCCATTCCGTATCGCTCCTCCCTAGTTTAACTCAGATTTACTGCTTCGACTTTTTCTTTTCTTTTTTTACTTACTGGATTTTCCGCAGAAGCTCTAAATCCAGATTAAAATGGGGAAATGATACGGGCATTTGGTTGAGGACAACAATGTGTGGATGCTCCATAAACCTTGAATGCAGGCAGCACCAAGTCTGTAATAAACTGCCTTCCGGAAGTGCCCCAAAACTGCAGGGCGGAAGGACTATTTTCTACCCTACCCAGAAAAATACTCTAATCATAGCCCCAAAAGTCTAGACGAACGAGTCTTTGCTTGGTGCTGAAATGACAAAAAGTGTCATTGTGGCTTCTGTAATTTCCACGGCGGAATTTCTTCCTCGGTGAAAGCTGTTAAATTTCACCACCCATTTTTCCCCCAGCCGCGGAAGGAGCTTCAGGGACCACATACAACAGTGTGGCCTTGCTGTGTGTAATTGCCTATAATTGCACCAAAGGCACTGAACATTACAGTCTCGGAAACTCTGGCGTATCTGTTGTTATTGACACATATTGATCGCATGGGCAGGAGCCCCGCAGGCTGCTGGGAGGGGGGACGGTCTCTTAACTCTGCTCTGTTGCCTACACACCTCACACACCTCAGGCCTACTTTGACAATTTGCAGAGACCGCGGCAAGCCACATACGCTGCTCCCCGGGGATTTTCGTCTTTTGCGCAGCAGTTGCAAATACTTTACAGTGTTGCACAGTCTCCATTTTCCCCAAACAGTGAGAAATTTTCAGCGGCAGGGTTACTCAGGTTTCCTTTCCTGTGAATATAAGAGAGAGAAAGAGTGCACAAGGGACATGGAGTTTTTGTAGAATTTATTTATTCACAACTATAAACAAGCTGGACCATAAAGAAGGCTGATCACCGAAGAATTGATGCTTTTGAATTATGGTGCTGGAGGAGACTCTTGAGAGTCCCATGGACTGCAAGAAGATCAAACCTCTCCATTCTGAAGGAAATCAGCCCTGAGTGCTCACTGGAAGGACAGATCCTGAAGCCGAGGCTCCAATACTTTGACCACCTCATGAGAAGAGAAGACTCCCTGGAAAAGACCCTGATGTTGGGAAAGATGGAGGGCACAAGGAGAAGGGGACGACAGAGGATGAGATGGTTGGATAGTGTTCTCGAAGCTACCAACATGAGTTTGACCAAACTGCGGGAGGCAGTGGAAGACAGGAGTGCCTGGCGTGCTCTGGTCCATGGGGTCACGAAGAGTCGGACACTACTAAACGACTAAACAAATAAACGAGAATAAAGATGTTTGGTGAGCATTCATACTGATTTGTTTTCAGCGAGGTTAGACGACACTTGCTGCTCACTTGAGTGTTCATCCAGATTTAAAAGCAGGGAGGTTATATCACATTGGGTCAAGCAATTGTTACCTCTCGCTTTCTAGTGCATTTTCACATGACTTTCCTGAACTGCAAAAAGTCTTATCTTTGGGGGGAGGCGGGTTTGCTGCCCAAGACGTACCCATAAACTGTAATGGCACAACCTGAACTTGCCAGTATGTGACTGAATGCCACCTGAAAACAGTGGCAGTCTGTTGTTGTTGTTGTTAAAATTTGTATACCACTGTTCATCTGAAGATCATAGGGTGCTTCACAACATAAAAATACAAAATGAGAACACAAAAAACATAAAAACAAAACAAAAGCATAACACCCCCTCCCACAATTAGCATATGCAGATGTGACACAAATCTTATCCTCTTTATTGAGGGACACAGTTCCTCTTTTTCTTGCAGCTGTTTCAAGTGGCTATCCTTCTGCAATCCACTGAGCATTTTCATAACACTGTAGTCGTAAATTCCCTGCTAAGAATTTTTTTTGCCACATTTTGCATCTTTCAGCGAGTCATCAAGGGGAGCATTTGTTGTTGTTGTTTAGTCGTTTAGTCCTGTCCGACTCTTCGTGACCCCATGGACCAGAGCACGCCAGGCACTCCTGTCTTCCAGTGCCTCCTGCAGTTTGGTCAAACTCATGCTGGTAGCTTCGAGAACACTGTCCCACCATCTTGTCCTCTGTCGTCCCCTTCTCCTTGTGCCCTCAATCTTTCCCAACATCAGGGTCTTTTCCAGGGAGTCTTCTCTTCTCATGAGGTGGCCAAAGTATTGGAGCCTCAGCTTCAGGATCTGTCCTTCCAGTGAGCACTCAGGCCTGATTTCCTTCAAAATGGAGAGGTTTGATCTTCTTGCAGTCCATGGGACTCTCAAGAGTCTCCTCCAGCACCATAATTCAAAAGCATCAATTCTTCGACGATCAGCCTTTATGGTCCAGCTCTCACTTCCATACATCACTACTGGGAAAACCATAGCTTTAACTATACGGACCTTTGTTGGCAAGGTGATGTCTCTGCTTTTAAAGATGCTGTCTAGGTTTGTCATTGAGGGGAGCATTAGGGAAGTACATATTGCAGAGCTGTAGGCATCATGACCCTGGAGTCAGATTCTTCATCTTCAGGGGATGGGAGCAAGGACTCTGAAGCAGAAACATGCCCACCGGAGGAGCCATCAGTGCTTGTGTCCTGAGCCTGATGGTACAGCATTTTTTAATCCTCAGATTTTGGACTCAGCTATATTAGTCAGTCAGTTATAAGTGTGTTATAATACCGTGGCACCAGATTGCGCTGTAGAGCTGAAATTGCAACTCAATGATTTTCCATTGTGAGCTTTACAACGGTTTTTTCTCAGAACGTTTTTAAAGCGTCTTTTTTCTAGCTGTGTAGATCTAGCCTTAGAAGACTCCAGTGCCAAAGGCCCAGTCAGACCAGAGTTTCTCCTGCCCTGTCACAGTAGGTGATAGAACCCTAAGTTGGGGACAAACAGCAGACGTTCTTACACAGCAGCAGGAATACATATGATGGCTCCTGACAGAGGATGTAGCTCAGTGGTGGAGCATCTGAAAACAGGTGTGGTGAAATTGAGAATGTGCCCATCAGCTTTCATTGCCATATTTCCATCTCTAGGTCACTGTGGTCCTGGGGAAAGATATCTGCTTGGATTCAAACATGAAACATAGAATTGCGTGTTAAATATACACACAAACACACCATATTCCATGTTTCTTTTTAAAAAATAAAATAATTTATCAAATTTCAGAAACGTAGAAACACAGGAAAACCTCTATGAAGGCAAAACACAAAATGTATAAAAGGGCACCCATGTAGAGAGAAGCGATGGGGACAAAGGGAACACCAGACACATATATTTTATGGTCTGCATGGACTTATTAACATCTACCTTTCCTTTTCCTTTTTTAAACTTAGTGGAACTACCATATCCCATGCTTCTGATACCTCACTGCAAAAGAGAAATTTCAAACAAACAAATTTGCAAATCGAGAATGCCAAACCGTTGAGTTAAACCAAAGGCCTTGTTTAGCTTGGCCAAAATATCTCCAGGTATGTTCACAACACATAAAAGTAACTTGATTGGGGAAGGGATAGTCAAGGATCTCTAGACAAACTAGCCTGTCAACAACTCCTCCTGCTTCTTCCTTTCCTACTTCCAGCACCATCCTGGCATTCGTGGCACAAACTACAGATTCCTGCAGGACGTTGCACAGAACCCTGAAATCCATCCAGAGACTTCTGCTGATACAGAGCAGGGTCAGGCAAGAAATGGCACCCCTGATTTGCACTGAGCTTCCACACACCCAAAATTCTGCTGAGCATCACATAGGGAGTTGCTTCTGCCCTTGCAAAACCTTCTATACTTTTACTTCTGGTTCTGCATATAAACTTCATCCAGGCCTCAACTCCCAAAGTTCATAAAAAAATGGCATCTTCTTAGCAGGTGAACAAATACAGTCAGTAATGCAGGTAAGGAGTGTCAGTAAGAAACCCTTTAGATAAGCAAAAGAGACGTTTTCTAAATACTTAAATCTGCTGCCTTGGGTATTCCAGAAACCTTTGATAAATATTGTTGTTCATGGGGGCAAAAAAAAAAAAAGAAAAAAGAGAGAAAGAAGAGCAAAATCATTTTTTTCATTTTGTAGCTGAGACATCCGTGCTGAGTGCTACATAATCTTTGGATTCATGTGTCGGACAATTACTGTCTAATTAATTAATCATCTGATAATTAAAATGACCTCCTTTGGGCTGATACCCGATCTGCGCGAGGTTCAAAGGAAACTTGACACATCGTGTTGTGTCCTGTTCCAGCATGACCTACAGGCATGTTATCGTGTTATGTCAAATCTGGTTTTCCACAAGGAAAGCAAGCCAAGGTACAAATTAAAGGAGGCAGGGGAGGAAGGGCACAGCTGCACGGGATTAGAAACAGTGTAACTGGTCCTTCTACCTGGCAGAACGCATACATCAGGAAACTCCCAAGAGCATCCGTGCACAAAGCGTGGGATGGTAACGGCTGAGAGTGTTTGTTATGCTACGGCTATTGTACCATTGTAGGTAAAGTAGATTTTGCATGCCAGTTAAATTAGCTAAGCCACTGTTATGGACTACAGCCACCATAGGTGGTGTTTCAATGGGGCAAGTGGAAGTTGCAGATTGTTGGCCCTTGCAAAGGTGGAGAGGGAGCATCACACAGGTGTTTGCGAGAGCCACAGGTGATGCCCAGCCACATGTTTACCTGCCCTGAGCCTGACGTCAAATATGATATCAGAGGTGGGTTGTGGGCCAAATGGAAAGGCAACCCCAGGCTTATTAGGCTCACAGGCTAGCATTTCTCCTGTTGACTTAGGCCAATAGTCTTCAGCCTTCCCAGATCCACCTTCGACTTTGACCGATAAGGGGCTAACTTCTAATTCACATCACCTACACATTTTAACCCTTTATCTGGGCTCCTTCCATATGGTTCTAATTCAACCTGCTTGAGGTTGGTTCAGACCAGGCATAAGCAATCTCAGCCCTCCAGATGTTTTGGGACTACAACTCCCATCATCCCTGACCACTGGTCCTGTTAGCTAGGGATGATGGGAGTTGTAGTCCCAAAACATCTGGAGGGCCGAGTTTGCCTATGCTTGGTTCAGAGCATTGTAAATCTCAGCTCCCCAGGTGATATGTGCTTAGGGTTGCCATATTTCAAAGAGTAAAAACCAGGACACCCCTAAAGTTGTTGGGTGGTTTGTTTGTTTTTGAAAAACCGAAAGTTGATGAGCTTTCTTTTAGACAAACCCCAAAGCACCGCCTTTTGGAAATGCCCCCCCCGGCATCAATTCCGTCTTTGAAATCCCGGTAATGTGCTGTCATGTGTTGATAGAATACAACAGTCTTCCCCAAGCAGGTGCCCTGAAGATATTTTTTGGCTTAATAATAACAATAATAATTTATTTTTTTTATATCCCGCCCTCCCCAGCCGAAGCCGGGCTCAGGGCGGCTAACAACATTAAAATGATACAACATTCTAAAATCATTTCATTATAGAATCAATTCAAATCAGATTAATGGCAACCATTGGACTAGAGTTCTGTGAGAATTGCCAAAGGAGGGGGTCAGGCTGTGCCCTGGCCAAAGGCCTGGTGGAACAGCTCTGTCTTGCAGGCCCTGTGAAGACCCGCAGGGCCCTATTCTCTTGTGTTCCACCAGATCGGAGCCACAACCGAAAAAGCCCTAGCTCTGGTTGAGGCCAGCCTAACCTCCCTGTGGCCCGGGACCTCCAAGATGTTTTTGTTTGAAGACCGTAAGGTCCTCTGTGGGACATACCAGGAGAGGCGGTCCCGTGGGTACGAGGGTCCTAGACCGTATAGGGCTTTAAAGGTTAAAACCAGCACCTTAAACCTGATCCTGTACTCCACTGGGAGCCAGTGCAGCTGGTATAGCACCGGGTGAATGTGATCTCGCAGCGAGGACCCCGTAAGGAGTCTCCCTGCGGCATTCTGCACCCGCCGGAGTTTCTGGGTCAGTCTCAAGGGCAGCCCCATGTAGAGTGAGTTACAATAATCCAGTTTGGAGGTGACCGTCGCGTGGATCACAGTGGCTAGGTCAGGGCGAGAGAGGTAAGGAGTCAACTGCTTAGCTTGCAGCTCCCATCACTCTTGACCATTGGCCATGGGGCTGAGAGGATTAGCAGTGCAAAACATCTGAAGTGCACCACATGGGAAACATTTGCTCCAGGAAGCCAACCAATCAACGTTTACAGAGTGGCATGGTTAGAGTGGAACTACAGATGGGATGGACATTTGCACTTCCAGCCCATATCAGCTGAATATAGGTGGAGACCACAAACCTCAACTCACCGTGTCAGCACTGAGGTTTTGTTCTGTGCAGCCAAGGTTTTTGTTCGGCTTTTTGATTTTTGCAAGGCAAAATTGAATCTTTTTGGAGCTAAGGTGCTAAAAAGACACATCAAACTCTGCTCTCCTGCTGGCAAGATAGTAGCTAAGAGACTGAGCTGTGAATCCGGGAGACTCCAGTTTAAAAAATCTCAAGTCTTGTCACTAACTCGTTTGGCAGTCATGGGGACCTTCAGAATCTTTTGAACCTTTCTGCTGACTGTATTGCAGATATCAATATGGTATTTTTGCTTTGGCTAAGAGAGTCAGTTCCAGGGAAGGCAATTGCTGTGAAGACAACTAAGACAAAGAATTTTAGGCATTTCACAAATTTTAGAAGTGTCATATAAATTATTGATAATCATAGGTGATAATCTTTCTTAGAGTTATGCAGACATGGGGAGAGAAAAAAAAGAATTCTTTTAAAATGTAATTGCAAAACCAGAATAGCTGCTCTACAAGTAGAGAGACTCATTTACAATCCTTGTATTTGGAGCCATCAGTTTTTTGGACTATTTTCAAACTATTTGGGAAAAATTCTGTTTGAGACTATTTGTATATTTTCTACAGATCCCATTTTGAATATTAGTGTGCCTTGAGCTTACATGCCATTTCCCTAGAACAGGGTTTACCTTATTATACAGCTCCTGTTTCATTTTCTCTTTCATTGTTTTGTACTTTAAATATATAGATTCCGAGATAGGCTTCCGTACAAAATGTGCACATGTTTTGGGTGGTTGTATTGAATTCTTGTGACCAGCGTAGATGATCTGACCTTTGAAACCCTGGAAACGAAACCGAGAAATGGATTTGCAAGAAAGCCGAGCTGTTCCAGTTTAGCGGCAACGGATTTGCCCAACTACATCAGATATTCTGACTCTTTCAGAAGTTGTGGGTGATGCTGGCCTCATCTCCAGGGGATATTAGTTTTCTGTATATAATTAATAACAAGAAAACTGTATCCTGACTTGAGGGCCTGCATGAGCATACTGGAACAAAAAGGGCCATAAATTAACATCAATTATGTATTAAAGTTCCAATTAACCTGGCTGATACTGATATACTTTAACAAGGTACACTTAGATAAAAGAAGCCAACTCTCTAATTACTTGGAATGGGACCTTCTGACCCCCTCCTCCCTTTTATGCCAACACCACCCTAATGAGGAAGGAAGTGAGAGGTAGGGGACCCTTACAGAAGGTGAGGTTCTGAGCACCACCAGATGCCCCCCTGGGACATGCCTCTACCTTCTTCTTAAAACTGTCAATGATGAATATTTCATTGCTCTTGAAGCCTTTTAACCCTTGGAGGAGGCAGATGGTTCAAGCTCAAAGGGGCTAGGAGCATCCTTCAAGCGCTTGAACGTTGAGCTCTCCATCTACTTTACATATTCACTTCCCCAACCTTTTATGAGCTTCCTCGTTCTCTACTCATAAGACGTACGTGTTGGATTTGTTTCTAAACTTCACCGCTGTTTTGCTATTTAGATATCTTTTCTGCCTTAACCCAAGAACGGGTCAGTGTGACCCGTTCCAGCAAGTATCATCTACTTACTTAGCTCCTGTCTCTTCCTCTCCTTTCTCTTTGTCCCTACCTCCCCTCTCTTTTCATCATCATCATCATCATCAATCATCATCTTTATTATGGTCCAGAGACCCAACAAATCGTTACAAAGCAATACACAATTCATACAGCCTACCTCCAGGTTAAACAAGAATTTTGTTCAGAATATAGGGATCATTGGTTCTTACAACCACCGATAAAAACTTTGCCACTGCTAATGTTCTAGCGTTTGTCTGATCTTCCAATAGGAACCTGACATAGTGAGCCTCTGATTTTCCTGGGAAAGGTACCAGCAAGGTTAATATCAGTTCAGCCCTGACTGGCTCATATTTTGCACAGTGCAACAAAATATGTTTTATGGAATCGATGTTTTGAGCGCATGAGCAAAGTCTGTCCGGGTAGGGAACTCCTCTCAACCTGCCATCCAACACTGCAGAAGGAAAGACGTTTAGTCTGGCTTTGGTGACTCTTTTTAAAAGATGGTCCTAGTGCCACTGATATAACCTACCTTAGCTAACATGGTCTACTGGAAGACCAGGGAGTCGCAGCCAGTTTTTAACCTCTTGGGATCCTTGTGAAGATGATTTAAGGGTGCTTTCAAATGGCAACAGGTCATTGAGATGTTGCAAAATGGGTCATTGGTAGCAGCTATATTTTTATTTTATCAGATCTCCACAGAATTAAATGGGGGAAAATACTGGCTGGCATTTTCATGCTAGTGATGTCATGTGGACACTGAAAAGAAGAACACAACTTGCATGCGTGAGCAGCGCCTTTGGAAGTATCCAAATTCCTCAATCCTACACGCACTTTCGCAATCCTATTTACATTGGCGTAAACCCCACTGAAAACAGTAGGATTTACCTCTGAGTAAAAAGGCAGCTTGAGAGAGGTGGTAGCATGAATTTCTTTGGACCGCTCATGAATCCCACCCCCTTGAATAACAGGACTCCCTGCAAATAGAAAACTAGCTCAGTGGAACAAAGTTTCAGCACGGTCTTTTTTCTTTTTTTTTTACTGATGCACAAGTTTTATATTTGCAAATGTTGTTGTTTACATAGGGGAGCATCCAAACATCTCTGTGTGCATAGGGTTCCTCTACGCAAGTCCCCCCTCCTCCATGCTTAGAGAAGTTCCACCTCCTAACTCTCCAAGTGTCTCTCAGAAAGATGGCTATAAAAACTCCCTACATCTTTGTGTGAGAAGAGAGCGTGGTGTAGCGTAGTGGTTAAGAGCGGTAGACTCGTAATCTGGTGAACCAGGTTCGTGTCTCCGCTCCTCCACATGCAGATGCTGGGTGACCTTGGGCCAGTCACACTTCTTTGACGTCTCTCAGCCCCACTCACCTCACAGCGTGTTTGTTGCGGGGGAGGAAGGGAAAGGAGAATGTTAGCTGCTTTGAGACTCCTTTGGGTAGTGATAAAGCAGGATATCAAATCCAAACTCTTCTTCTTCTCCTCTTCTACTTGCTGTTTGGTAGGTGGACCATTATAGGGGCAGAAAGAAAGACCTGTAAAGTTGATGGGGTCGCAGGCAGAGAGGCAGGACCATTGAATTAGCTGCCCTGATCCCCACTTCTTACCTGAAATGCTCTTGGTAGGTATTCTGTCCCGCCCCAGTTTCAAAGCTCTGCTTTCAAAGTGGTATTGCAGAGTTTGCGTGTTTTTTTAAATAACTCTGACCCAGTCTTCAAAGTAATATTTTTAACTACTTAGAGTTGTGGGTGCGGGGGGGGGGGGGAGAGAAGAAAGATAAAATATAAGCACTTTGACACAGAATTTCCTGTTATCTGGCTACATGGGGGCCTTTCCAGATCTATGATGCGTTGCCCACATACTTCTCTTTTTCACCAGGAATAAATTTATAAATAATCTTGCCCACTCAGGAAGCCCCATTCTCTTTAGAAAGACCAGGGATTTGGCCAGAAAGAGGATTATTGATAACACGGAATATCTTTATTATAGTGGTGTCCGCAAGCACGGCTGTACTTAAAGGTCTGTCAGCATTTTGATTTTATATATATTTCTTCAGAGGTTTATAAACTCACACGCAGGGGAGAAAAATTAAATGCAAAAAAAGTACTCAACCCTAAAACTTGGCATGCAAAGGATTTAGCTGCCAGAAAGTTGGGTTTTATCAGTGTTATTTTTATTTTCAATTAAAACGAAATTGGGTTTGCCATGACTTATCGCAGATTAAATAACTAGCTCTGCCTATTGAGCTGCATAGCTTAACCCCTTTGCTCCTGCTGAGTCTGGACTGAAGAAGTGGCAGAAGTGTGTGCACAACGTCTCCTGACCGTGCTGGGACCTCTCACAACAGCCCTGTAAGGAAGACCAGGTGATGTGCCTCAGACGGACAATGGCTAGGACACCATTTAGGGAAGGAAGGAGAAAGGGTGCCCTTGATTCCCTAATGTTTCATGTGAGAAGCAATGCAGTACAGTGGTGTGAAAAAATATATCAGCTTCCTTCCTCTCTTTGGGCTTCTGCAACCTATTTGATTTGCTTCCACAAAGCTTCCACCAAGGTTAGATTAGCTTTATTGAGAATTTGTTCTGTTGTTGCTATTTTTGTGGGAATGTTATATGACAACAAGCATCCACACTGCATCTGGATGTGGGTGTGGGGTGTTTATGCATCCTCCCATCAATCATTTGTCCATTCCACGCATATTACTTTCTTAGCTCCCAACTATTCCATTTAAAAAATAAAAAAATAAAAAGGTGGCTTCGTTGTGCTACTGCTTTATCTATTTGAACTGTGCAAATGCAAATTGCCTAGTGCGTTGCTTGAATTCATTCTGCAAAATGCTGACTGCATGGGGGTGCCCTTTGATAACACCTTCCGTGAGACCTCTCTGGACAAAGTCTTGCCCAGCTATCTGTAGGCACTAAAATCTGCATTGTTCCACATCTAAAGATAATTTCCCTGCTTCATCCTGCCCTCCCAACTGCATGGCTCACCAAAATGCTAACTGAGGTACTTGCAGGAAACTCCTGAAAGATGCACATTTGCTTTCTGCTACCCTATTGGAGCCCTTGTGAAGGAATGGAGAGTTTTCTGTCCTCCATAAACAAGCATTTTTGCCTGATTTTCTTTGTTCTTCACTCTCATGGCTAGGAGTCAAGTTCCTGACTCCTCAGCCCCAGGAGCTCAGGTGAGTTTCTTTGCCTCCTGCCTCTAAGCTGGTTTAGAAACACGAGTTGCTCCATTTAAAGTTTGCTGTTATTGCAAGTGTAGAATATCCCCGAGTTAAGAATCAGGAAGATGTTCCTGGCTTGAATTTTGCACCTGCTATCAATTTATTATGTGCTTGCTTGCTTGTTTTTTTTTACTTTTATGCTGCCTTTCCTCAATGAGCTGGGCCCAAAGCAAATTACAACAAACATTCAAAACATCAAAACAGAGAACACTGGAAGTAAAAATGTACAAAATGCAGAACGTGTAAGCAAGTTCAAAATAACAAAAGCTAACAATTTAGCAAACACAGAATGAGCTCAATCATAGAATTGGAAGGGACTCTGGGGGTCATCTAGTCCAACCCCCTGCAATGCAGGGATCTCAACTAAAGCATCAATGACAAATGACCACCCAACCTCTGCTTAAAAACCTCCAAGGAATCTTGTAACTTGAATCCATTGGTTCGCATCCTAGTCTAGCAGGAGAAAACAAGCTTGCTCCATCTTCCATGTATCAGCACTTTAGATGTTTGAAGATGGCTGTCATATCTCCTCTTGGTCTCCTCTTTTCCAGGATAAACATACCCAACTCTCTCAACCATTCCTTATAAGGCTTGGTTTCCAGACCCTTTATCATCATGTTAACCAACCAACAAACAAATCTAGGATCTAGAAGCCTGGCTTAGATACATTTCAGATGATGTTCAGCTGGTGCTCACATCTCTCCTCCAGAGAAGACGGACAGTGGCAAAATGCAAATGTCAGGGAAAGCGATGATGGCAAGACTCTTCCACAGCCTCCTGGAAGTACCAGCTGCTGGTGCAGGTCTTATTGGCCTAATCCAAGTCACTCTACTCCATTCTCCCCATCTGTAGACTGAAGGTAAAAATACTATTCCATACCTCGCAAGTGTCCTAGAAAAAATGGGGCATTCTGTTTTTTCTCGTCAGAGAACAGCGGTTCTTTTGGACACTGTGATCTTGCACAATTTTGCACTGAGATCCCCCCCCAATGCTTTTTCTGGGGCCACAATCTCACTCAAAATGCACAGAGGGTAGGAATTATGGCTGCTGAGGTGGGTCCCAAAGGGCTGCATTTGACTCCTGGAACTGAGTCTACATAGCCCAGCTATATTGGGACAAAATAGCATTTCTTCTTGGGTGGTGAGATGCTGCTCTTATACAACAGAGATTATATGCATACACACCATGATAGGGTGGCACAGTTAAAAAACTCCATTGCCATCCTGCTTTCCTCTTGACGGCTAGAGCAAAGACCCATATCATGTTCGCCAAACATACACAGTTTTTTTTTATGTGCTTTAAGCACAGTTAAGTTATTTAAAGCCCTTTCTTCTCACTGTACAATTTATTCTTTCCTTCATGTCTCTCAGCATTTCCTATTTGTGGTCAGCGGAATTGTATCTTTCCTGTACTGAATCGTACACAAAGGATAATACTGTTCTGTTTTGTCTGTTGACAAGATCTTCAAATCCTACTGCCCCACGGACGCATAATCGAAATTTAAAGGAAAATGTTTCCATCTATTTCCTCACCACCACCACCCCAATATATACACATATATATGTAGGGATTTAGCTAAGACTTTGACACCATGGAAACTAGGCCCTAGGCGATGATCCTGTTCCTTCGAAATATTATCCCCTGACTTTCAATTTTGCTTGAGGTGTGTGTGTGTGTGTGTGTGTGTGTGTGATGAAAGAGCTCTTTCACAGAAACTTACTTTGCCCTTTAGCTCACATGCTCCCCAAACATCTAACTGCAGCGGATGTGTTGGTGCCTATGTACAAACGTTGGTATTCATTTAAAGCACAAGCCATAAGGGCATCATTTTGACATGTGAGATGTTTGCAGAGGGAAGGCGTTCACTGCAAGGACTCCCATGGTGCATGTATGCACACTCACGTGTACACACATACTTGGGATCCTGTCAAAGATGGCTGGGGCGCCTAGCGTCAGAGGTGATAGGTAGCATCTGCTCTTGTCTTGTGCCCCGATGGCCCTGCAGTGTATGGGGAGTTCAGCATTAGAAATAAACTTCCCCTTAGCTCCAACGATAGTCTCCACCAGTAACATACCCTCCAACATCTCTCCAATGAAAATAGGGACGCCCTGTTCCATAACGATAATTTTACTGTTTATACCCCACACATCTTACTGGGTTGCCCCAGCCACTCTGGGCAGCTTCCAACACATATAAAAACATAACAAAACATTAAACATTAAAAAAACCAACCCTTCCTTATACAGGATTGCTTTCAGATGGAGCGGATAACTCCATATCCTCCAACATTTCTCCACTGGAAATAGGGGCATTCTAAGGGAAAGTGGGACATTCCAGGATCAAATCAGAAACAGGGATGGCTTCCCTGGAACATCCCTGGAATAAGGGACATCCCTGGAAAATAGGAACACTTGGAGGGTGTTGCTGGAGTGTATTTTTACTGAGTTTGCAGCTGTGGAAGGCGTACATCTCCTCACCCTGTGAAGCCCTCTTCCCTCTCTCTCTCTCACACACACCTTGTGACTTTAATTTTTTTAAAAACCTACATGATCAGTCCTTAAGAGGAGATTTGTTATGTCTGAACAAAACGTGAAGCATTTGTTTCCATTGCTCACATCTCACATAATGTATATTGGTGGAACGTCTGCACCCTTAGTGGGTAAGATGAACAATGATTGCCATTCTTCTTTCTTTCGGATATCGTCGTCAGTATTTTGAATTATTTTTGGGGGGAATGCTTGGCATTTTAACCTTCTCTTATCCCAATCACATTATTTCTCTCTCTTTCTCCCAAGTGTTCTCTGATCTTTCTTCTCCTTCTGCAAACCTGTTTTCTGGCAGCAACCTTATCAGACCCAAGGCCTACCTTTAATCCAAGGTGGCAGCATGGGAACCCAATTTAAATTGTCCATCTTTCTCCGTTTCCCTCTTTAGGATGGCCAGATGTGACAGATGATGGCAAGGCTCTTGCACCATTAATACTTGCACAGAAGAAGGAATTTTAGCAGGTGCAGTTTCACATGGAGAGTTGAGAAAAGGGACACATCCTGGAATCACCTATGCTACACAATTATTGGAGTCACAGGAATCCACATCCTCCTTTGTTTAAATCTGGCAAGTTTCTTTCTCTTTCTCTTGTTTTTATTTTTTTTAAGCTAAGTTGCATTGAAAATAAAAAAGATGCTGATTCTACTAGTAAGACCCATGAGGTTAGGTTGTGACCCACTTGTGCCCCCAGCTGTAGACCAATGCTATATAGAATGAAAGTGATGCATATTTTCACTGGATCAGTGTGTGAACATGATATTTGAGAGGGTGGAACCTTAAAAGGTTGTCTTGAAAATGACTGTCCATGTTACATGCCATTCCATTTAATGTTGCATTATTCTGTTCAATTATTGATTGAATGGAACTGGAGAAGGGAAGGGTTGACTCATACCAGTGTAGGGATGACATGTGAATATTCACAAAGTTTTTACATTTTGTCCACATTCTGAAGAAAAATAAAGCCCTTTCTTCCATCTCCTCCTGCCTCACATCTGATGGGGGGCAGCCTGAGAAGAGCTCTAGACCCTCTAGAAGGACTCTAGAGGGTCTGCTCTGGAGAGCCCCATACCATCTGATTGTGGGAGCTGGAGCGGACAGGAGTGGAAGAGGAAGCTCTGTTGCACACACTGTAGTTGGCTGCACCAGCGCAGCTGCAACCTTGGAGACAACCCATATTTCTGAACGTCTTTTCTTTCAAAATACGCATTTCTAAACATACTGGGTGATATTCAGCTGGGTCGTATTAGAGGCCCATTAGAAGTCTTGGATTTAAGTCACTTAAGTCCATTGGTTTCAATGGGTCTGCTCTATGACTGTTGGATAGCTCTCACTTTCTCTCGAAATAGCATTTGCCACTTATCTTGAGCTGGAAACTCAACGTTCAATAGGTGGCTACATTTCAACCCACACGTTAATCTTGGAGGTGCGGATCAGGTCAGTCAGCACTGGAACCCACAAAGATGGATTTCCCCAAACATAAACCCTGGAGGCTCAAATGAAGAAGGAAGGAAAGACGACCTCAGGACACTTATATTTCTCTCCCTTCATACATTATTCTCTCTCCTAGACACAGGAGGAGAACAAGAGACTCACCTTCCTCCGCATGGGTCAGCTTGCTAATTCTAACCAGCTTGTTTTTATTTTTAAGTGCCAATCAACTAGAGTTATTTCTTGCCTGCTCAAGACAACAGAGTTTAAAGCTTAACGAAGAAAAGAGGAGACACACCGGAGGGTCTGGTGCTAATGTCCTCTGTTCTCTGAACCTGTCTGTTCTACCAGTGACCCATAGAGGAGCTGTGTCAGCTTATCAGTTAACCAGCCATCGCTGACAGACAAATACCTTAAGACCGAGGTTGGGCAAAACTGCTACAAATGTGCCAACCATTTCAGAGCCGGCAAAAATCCCTTCATTCAGGCTTTTCAACCATGGCTAGAGATAACCACATCTGCAATAATAGGCTACATGCTTTCAGGAGTATTAGACTCAATTTTTTAAACCATGAGATGGGCTTTGTATTATTTTTATTTTTTTGTTTTGTTGTGGTATTGATGGCACTGAAATCACAATGGGAGGTTTCCATTTCATGGTTTCAATTAAAATGATGAATAGTGATATGCCTTTCCAAGCCTGAGAGTCGTATGGGTTTAAGCAGGCCTCAATTCAGTTTGCCTACCTAGTCTGAGCATTCCAAAACTACTTCAACCAAGACACAGCCATCCTTCCAAATGCACACTTTTCCAGATTTTGTGAGGGAGTCCTCCAGCCCAAGCAATGTGCACAGAAATGCATTCACTAGGTTAAAGTGTAAAATATTACTGAAAATACAATACAAAAATGCATTGCATTAGGGGAAATTGCTTTTCGAACAAGAAGCTTGCATTAGATGAATTTTCAGGAGGACTTAAATTGCAAACGTGTGGGAATGTGGAGAACTGAACTTAATATTGGGAAAACGGCCTAGAGAAACAAAAAGTGACAGATGAGCCTCTGTTTGGATCTGCCCCCATAATCTGCTGGTGTCTGGTTGATCATGGGGGCAGGGCTGGGTTGCAGGGTCCTGGACTTTGGATTTTGGGGTCCAGCCATCTCTGCATTGTATGTGCAATTCAGCTCCTTCACTGCACAAAAGATGCCTTTTTAAAATTAGGCCAATCATCCCTTCATTATCTAGCTATCTAGGTGCCAGATTTTTTTTTTCTGAGCCAAATGTCTTGTCTTGTTTTTTTAAAAATTATTCGGCAACCCAGGGGGTACAGTTTTTAGGCTCTAGGCATTACTGAGCACCTGGATTTCTGTACCCCAGAATATATTTAGACTGAGCCATCTTTTAAATATATAGAGCAGACATCACTTGGACAGGAGTTCCATACATGGGTGCCAACACTGAAAAAGCCCTGCTTTGCATTCCAAATGTCATTCATAGGAATGATCCATGTTTTTTCATGCGTGTCTGCCTTTCCTTACATAATTTTTACAATGACCCTCATTTCAGATGACGTCCACACTTAAAACTACCGTGTTAAAAAATAAAAATCATTTGCACTAATAATATCTCAGTCCCCACTCCACAGATGCTTTATAGTTTTAAGAGAAAAATGCAAGGGCACTGCGAAGAAAGGAAGGAGGAGGGAGAAAGGTTGTACGGCTGAAGTGTGCTCAGAGAAAGCTGATCTCATAGTTGGAAATGCCAGCGGGTTCCTAGTCCTGAAACCCAAATGCTTGTTGATTTTGGCTGAATGCATCTGTTGAGTACCGAGTGACATTTACCTGTGCAGGCAGCATCTTGGATTTCAACACAAACTAATCTAGCCATCCTTTTGGCATCCATCATTCCCAGTGACCCAAGCGAAAGAGCTGCATGCAACACCTTGTATGCTCTTGCTTTCAGGCGGGGTATCAGCTAGCAATTATGGCTAGTCATTTGTCCAAGCGCTTTTGGAGGAAAGGGGTGACCTGCTAGGGTCTGCAGGTATTGTCAAACAAAGAGAGGCTTGGATCATGACAAGAATGCCTTCGCAAGTTCCCACCCAGCCAGCAGTCAAGTTCTATCTTGAAAAAATAACAGGGAAGGCAGAACACACAACGTTATCTCCCTTTCCTATCCCTTTGTCCATTTTTGCATCACTTAAGAAAACACATTTGGTATGGGGTCTGCCTTCTTAATGTGACAGGTTGCTTTTTTTTTTTTTTGCAGGGAGGGGTTCATAATAATAGCCAGCTGATGGCAGTAGACGTGGAGGCTGAATGACAGGACCCATGCCAAGGGGAGAGGAGACAAAGGGTTTCTTCCTGAAAGAGAGTGAGTGTGTGCAACAGAACACATCTCCCCCCCCCAAATACCTTTGTTTTGCTGTTCTGCTTCCCTAGAATATCTAGATTCGGTTAAGTATGCAAGTAGAAGACACAGTTGTTTTTACTTTAGGAGTGACGCAGGAATTCCCATTAGGACAGCATAACATTGCTAACTTTCAATCTGTGGCAACATGGAGGCAGCCCCCAAAAATGGAAAAAAGCAAACAGAGAGATTGGTACCGTGCTGAAAGGTTTAGTCATGCAAATAAAATAAAGTCATATCAACCCCAAACGCATGCTAAATGCAACCTTTCTCAATGACAAAGGAGCCTGTTGTTCTTCTTTCTTTTCTCAATGAGAGTTCCCTTGGGAGCCCTTTTTTTAGAAGGATGCCTAGATCACTCGAGAGAGGTCCCCTGCTCTTCATATATCTAGAAAGCCTCTAGGAATGCAGAACCTGTTACTCTCCAGAGGTTATGAAACTTCCAATGACTGCCAACCCTGGCCAGCATGGCTAGTGGTCAAGGAAGATGAAGGACACTGTCCATCTAGAGAGCCACAGTTTCCTCAGCCCCGTTCTAAAATCTAAAGTGAGGATGGCTTTTCAGGTATTGTTTGACTCCAGCATCCATCCATCCCAGCCAGCTTCAGGCCCATCACTGCTCAGCCTTGGTTAGGTATGATACTGACTAAACATCAGGAAGAACTTTCTTATGGCGAGAGCTACTTGATAGTGGAACGGACTCCCTCGGGAGGTGGTGGACTCTTCTTCCTTGGAGGTTTTTAAGAAGAGTTGGGTGGCCATCTGCCATGGATACTTTAGTTGAGCAGGCTGGACTAGATCATTCTCGGGATCCCTTCCAACTCTACAGTTCTGTGATGGGAACTATAACCCTCATCTCTCACCTGGAGCAAGATTGCAAACTCTATGAAATGCAGCGTGGGAGCTATCTAATGTGCCTATGACTGTATTTCAGTTGGTTTTTATAGTTGTAAGCTGCCCTGAGAACTTGCTTATAGGATGGCATAGGAATGCTTAATAAAATCCAAAACAGTTGCATCTATATTTAATCACTTGATGTGTGTCTGCTTCTAGCTCTTTATCATCCAAATCCCCTTTGTTCTGTTCTGTTTGTTTTTAGTTGTTTAATTACCTATTACACATGAATATCCCTTTTGTTCTTTATGGGGCACTGTATTGTTCTAAATAATTGTTATATAAATGAAAATTTCTTGAAATAAAGGGTATGTACTTAAAACAAACAAGGAAATGACTGCCTCACCAAAACAAACTCACACGCATCTGCTGCAGCTCTCCCGGCCATGCTTTTGGGTGAGAGCCCTGCAAAGCTATTGCTGTTCTTAGAACAGTGGTTTTTAGATTTTGAGAGCCAGCATGTTGGCATCCATCTCTCTCAAGAGGCAATGGAGTGCGCCTCCAGAGGTGAAGTCAAACTGCTGGAGCTCACGCCGCCTGCTGTGACTGCAGAATCCAAAGCCATAACTATGGGGGAAGCAAGACCCTCTTGGGGTGTTTATGCTGTGAATCCCTTCATCGTAAGGTTCAGATTGTATATCTGTGTAAGTAAACACAGGCTGAATCCTGACAAGACAGAAGTACTGTTTTGGGGGGACAGGAGGCGGGCGGGTGTGGAGGACTCCCTGGTCCTGAACTGGGTAACTGTGCCACTGAAGGACCAGGTGCACAGCCTGGGAGTCATTTTGGACTCACAGCTGTCCATGGAGGTACAGGTCAATTCTGTGTTCAGGGCAGCTGTTTACCAGCTCCACCTGGTACGCAGGCTGAGACTCTACCTGCCTGCAGACTGTCTCGCCAGAGTGGTGCATACTCTAGTTATCTCCAGCTTGGACTACTGCAATGGTCTTGAAACACTGGTCTTGAAAGACCTACATTGGCTCCCAGTACATTTCCAAGCACAATTCAAAGTGTTGGTGCTGACCTTCAAAGTCCTAAATGGCCTCGGCCCAGTATACCTGAAACAGCGTCTCCATCCCCATCGTTCAGCCCGGACACTAAGGTCCAGCTCTGAGGGCCTTCTGGTGGTTCCCTCACTGCGAGAAGCAAAGCTACAGGGAACCAGGCAGAGGACCTTCTCGGTAGTGGCATCCGCCCTGTGGAATGCCCTCCCACCAGATGTCAAGGAAATAAACAACTACCTGACATTTAGAAGACATCTGAAGGCAGCCCTGTTCAGGGAAGTTTTTAATGTGTGACATTTTAATGTACTTTTAATCTTTGTTGGAAGCTGCCCAGAGTGGCTGGGGAAACCCAGCCACATGGGCAGGGTACAAATAATAAATTATTATTATTAATATATTCTAAAGGAAACACGAACCCTGGGTGAACTCCTGGAATCTTGCACCGCTTGAATATTGGGTTGGCGTACAACAATGTGTAATGCATTTTCCATCCTCCAGAAAAACTTTCCATGACGACTTGAATGTGTTGCAGATGATTATTGCAGATGATCAAGGGCCAGGCATCAGCCATGCCTATTGAGGGCATGACTTGGAACATATCCCACAGGCTGCTATGGCTGCACATTGCTGAGGCACATTGCAGAAGCAGATTGGTGGTGATGGACGAACTGTCATTCAGGGAAGCTTGTTTCACCAATCCTTTCAATGAGGACACCCCTTTCCCAATAAACCTCTAGGGAACAACGTTCTAGGGAAGGTACTGCCTGAAAAGAGACGGACCTAGAACCCTGTAATGGAAGCACTTTATGAACACAGGGAAAGAAGACCCCACCATCTGTTGTTTAGCAGCAAGGAGGCCTCAGTCCATTGCTACTTCCAGCTTCTCCATCTGTTGTCGTCACATATATCGCCATGATGAATCTAGGTACTAACATGTCCCTGAAATGGAGCAAATGGTTTTGACTCAGGCTTCTTATGTGAATTTATGATGGCTTAAAGAAGAGACGGTGGTCCTAATAATCCAGGATTAGAAACAGAAAATGTAGAAAACCATGGGGTCGCAACTGGAAGGAAGATCATTCGTTTCAGCTGAAGACAGGGAATAAATGCAAAAGACTTCGTTTTCTCGTGTATGGAAAGCAGGCCTCAGATAAACAACGTAGTCCAGAAAACGCACGTTTGTGTGCTAACTCTGTTACACACACAGAGCTCGAGGCGAGATGCGTCTATAAATAAAAAACGCCCCACCCACCCTTCGTCGAAATCTGTGGGGAATTTAGTGAGTGTGTGTTTTTGTAAGATATTTCTGTTCAATTAGGCCACACCGTACAGTGGCTTTATATGAAAGGCGGCCTAGAGACAGAGCGAGCGCAGGGTGGCTCTGTGGAAGTGAGAGTACATTGTAATGATAGCAGCCGTGCTCGGGTTGCGAGTGTCATTCACCTCTTATTCTTAATCAAAAGGCTTCCAATCCCTTCTTGAGGCACGTCCTCTGGAAATGAAGGGACTGCCAGAGGAATCATTTGAATGTGGCAGCCCTTGATAATGATGAAATGAATAAAAGGTTCACTTTTTTATTTTATTTTTTTTGGTTTGGGTGAGGAGGAATTCAGCTCACGGCTCATGAAAAGGCCGCAGTTTAATAGCGGCCGACGGCAGCCGCAAGGGCTTCTAGTTATCTGCCGTGCGGCCTCCTTTGCAGAGATAATGGCTGCAACAAGGGCTTCCCCTCAGCCTACTCTCAAGGCCTGACGGAGCAGAGGGAAGCAGCCTGAGAGGAATGGAGAGCCTGGTTCACACAATCGCTCCTTGGAAATGTGCGCTATGTCATACCCGTGAGAGCATGGCAGCCATTTTGGGCGCCGTGCTCTCGTGTGTGTGTGTGTGTTTTGGGGGGTAAGATCTTGCGATCTCATTAGTGTTGGGCAGCCCCTAGTGGAAACTGCCATTTAAATTTCCCACAATGCCTCAGTGCAACTCCATATTATGGGCATCCTAAGAAATGGTGGCTAGGCAAAAACAACAGCAACAACCATTTTGTGGATTGGGTGTTGGGCAGGTAATTGCAGGTATCTCTGCTGGTCTCTGAGAGCATGCTGGGATCCTGATAGCTTCCTGAGGCTGCTGAGTGCAGATGTCAGGCCAGCCTGGTCCTAAATTGCCCTAATAGTTATACACTGGACCCTCAGGTAACGTTACCTTCGGGTAACATAACTTTCGGGTTGCGAACGCAGGAAACCCGGAAGTGTATACTTCCGGGTTTCACCACGCGTGCATGCGCAGAAGTGCTCTATTGCGCTGCGTGTGTGTGCGCAGAAGCAGCTCCTCTAGATGCAGATTTTTTTGGGAATGTACGGACCCCCGGAACGAATTAAGTTCGTATCCAGAGGGTTCACTGTAGTAGGGTTTGGTGTTGCCAATTTGTTGCAATCTGAGGTGTTGTTCAGTGACACTCTCTCTCTCTCTCTCTCTGTACGTGTGTGTGTGTGCGCGCACACGTGTATGTGTACGTATGCAATACAATATTTGTGAAAATTGTGTGTTTGCACATGTATATTTATTTATAACATAACTTCAGGGCGGGGTACTTGCATGTTTTCCTTCGCAGAGCTCAACAGTCTATTTGAAACGCCGTCAAAGGACAGCCCTTTCTTTGCAGGAGTCCCCTTATGAAAAGGGGTGCCTGCTCCAAGTCAAGAAGGGAGAGCGGCAGGAGTCTTCCGGTTGCCTACCAGCAGTTGGCACCCCGGTAGCAGATGGAGCAGACACACACCCGGCCACAGTCTTTCCTGCTATGGTGAGATGTATTGTTGTTCTGTTTAAATAGTTGTCATTAATAATAAATGTGCCCACGTTCATACAGAAATTAGCACAGGCAAATTTCACACAAACCTGTACCCTTTTTTCTCCTCTTTTTTATGATGCCTAAGTTGCCACCTTACAGCAGGGTCTAGCTAAACTAATAAAAACTTTTGGCAACTGACTTAAGAGCTGCCCCTCACTCCACTGCCCCCTTCAGACTGTCTAAAGTAATTTGATATCTCCAGGTTGATTGTATGTCTCAGATGCACAGAAAAAGGAATTCATGACACAGTTGTGTAAAAACAAGGGAGACCTTCTATTTTTTATTTTTTTTACAGTTTACTTGTTTATAACATTTATCCGTTTCACTCTCAGTCCTAAGGCACTTGAGATGATACATTTTAAAGATATGAAATGATAATCTTGTGCACTGAGACTTCTTTTGTAGGGCTGACAATTAGGGGGTTGGAGACTCAATTTAGCAGCCAAGATTGACACACACACCCTGTCTCCAACAGGACCATCCTAAAGATGCCCCTCAGCTGCTTGGTATTAATTAATTAATTAATTAATTAATTAATATAATGTAAATGCCTATTTAAAAGATAACTAAGTTTCAAAGCAGCTCGCAACTGAACTTAGAGAATAAAAAAAACGACAAAATAGAAGAAGAAGAAGAGTTTGGATTTGATATCCCGCTTTATCACTACCCGAAGGAGTCTCAAAGCGGCTAACATTCTCCTTTCCCTTCCTCCCCCACAACAAACACTCTGTGAGGTGAGTGGGGCTGAGAGACGTCAAAGAAGTGTGACTGGCCCAAGGTCACCCAGCAGCTGCATGTGGAGGAGTGGAGACACGAACCCAGTTCCCCAGATTACAAGTCTACCGCTCTTAACCACTACACCACACTGGCTCTGTGTGCAAAATAATGACAAACAAAGGTCAAATGCAAAGCACACACACACACATGTTTGGAAAATAGAATATTCTCTTGAACCTGAAGACATCTCAGAGAAAAATCAAATGCAAATAGCAAAACTTCACAAAACAGCATCATTAGCTGAGATAGAAGCTGCACTCCCACTTCCCCCCATAGCAACCTGTCCCAGATACATTCCTAGCAATCTTCCCCATACAAAATTCTCTCTTTAGCATTCCCACCAGCCACACAGATAACACAGATAATCCCCAGCCAACCGCTTGTTACAAGGCTAAAGTCTGGACTACAAAAAAATACCTGGCAGCTTTGAGCATAATTTGCAGCCAGCTCATTCACCCAGCTCCATCTAGGGCAATACAGACCCACCACGCCCTCCTTGTCTGCCACCCAGGTGGGGCCATACTCCCTACCAGTTCAGTCTTTCACACTGAGCAGTATTAAGCAACTTTGAAACGCACAAAAACATTGTGAGCCAGACCCTTTTGTACAAGCTGAGACACAGTTTGCTGAGGTTTTTTTTTTTCAGAGTTAAGTTACTGAAAAAGAATTCTGGTGATCAGTCCAAAGGTCCGTCTAGCATTCTGCATTCTTGCTTCTCCCAATCTGATGCCTCTGGGCTGTGAATGTGCAGTTGTTCCTTATGCTGTGATCCTTTCTAACAACTGATATTCACTGGCACACTGACACTGTGGGATAGTGGTTAGAGCAGTGTTTCTCAAACGTGGGTCTGCAGCTGTTGTTGGACTACAACTCCCATCATCCTTGACCATACCAGCTAGGGATGATGGGAGTTGTAGTCCAACAACAGCTTCAGACCCATGTTTGAGAAACACTGGGTTAGCATATCAAACTAGGACCTGGGAGACCAGGTTCAAATTCCCACTTGGCCATGAAACTCACTGGGTGACCTTGGGCCAGTCACCAACTTTGAGGCCATCCTACCTCCCAGGAATGTTGTGACAGTAATGTGGAGAGGCAGGGAGTCCAACACCTTGAGCTTCTTGGGTGGAAGGTGGGACATGAACGTAATAATAAATACTGCACCCAAAAGCGTTTTACAGTAGAACAACACATATAAAACAGTTAAAAGCAATATTAAAAAATGCATTTTTTTAAAACAACAACAACAGTACATACTTGATATCAATGACTCTAAAGCCAAAACCTATTAATTACTACAATCACAATAACAGGAAAAGCAAAATGGCAGGACTGAAAGAAGAAAAACAGCCGATATCATTGAACAATGTAGGGTCAGACCAGAGTTTACTTAACTCTTCCATATATTGAGAAGGTTTCTAGTCCTCACGGGAAAGGCTGAAAAGCCTTGAGGTGAAATTTAATTTATCTAACTCCATTTAATTCATCTGACTCAATAGTTATTGTAACGAACAAACAATGTTCACTCAATATAATGTCAATTTCAACTCCAGTTTTTAATACCTAATGTTATTGCCTTCGAATTCATCAAGAGGACAAGATTTAGAGTGCTGCTTGCTGCTTCTTTTTTTTAAGGATCCATCCAAGTCAAATGTCAAGAGCAGAACTGGAATAGTTTCAACATTCTTCCCCACGGAAGCCCGCCAATGCGTTGAGTAATGAGCTGGGAGCAGCAGGCAACAGGAAATGGGTGCTCATGAGTCAAACGCAGAGTCTGCAGGCCCTAGGAAATCTCCCAAAGAATACAGATGCTATTCCCACAAGAGCCAGGGCTTGACTGAGACTTAAGTATCAGCACACACTGGATACTGGTCGGTCGTCTTCTGACTACCGATGATGGTGAGAGAAGAACAGTTGTGGGTCTAGGATAGCAAACTTACTTTTTGCATCAGGAAGAAGGCAGTTGCCTCTGAATAGCAACTGCAGGGAATTGCAAGTGGGAAGAGGGCTGTTGGACCCAGGTCTTACTTGCAGGCACCCTATGGACACCTGGTTGGTTCCTGTGAGAACAGATATGCTGGATTTGATGGGCCTTTGGCCTGATCCAGCAGGACACTCAGGTTCCCTGTCACTTGGTTCCTGCTTTTATGATGGACACTTCTCAGACGCCTTTAGACATTTTTGTGTGTGGATTATCAGGATCCCTCCTAATCTCGTGATGTGGAACAGCGCTTAGATTGAAGAATGTCACACCTAATGCCTTAAATAAATAACCTTGGACAGCGTGTCAGAAATTTAGCTGCTGAGATCCTTCATTCTTGCTTGCCCTTCCCCTCAATGTCCCTCCCTTTCTGCTGCGTGCCAAACCTGTTTGCCAAGTACGGCCATTTTGCTAGGTCACAAAATTCTTTGCGACTGCAAAGGAAGGTGATTTGCTTTGGGCAATCGGATGTCTTAAGAAGATTAGGACAAAGGAAGAGCGGAATGAAATTAATGGAGTACTAGGGTGGCGCTGTGGGTTAAACCACAGAGCCTAGGACTTGGCCGATCAGAAGGTTGGCGGTTCGAATCCCTGCAGTGGGGTGAGCTCCCGTTGCTTGGTCCCTGCTCCTGCCAACCTAGCAGTTCGAAAGCACATCAAAGTGCAGGAGATAAATAGGTACCACTCCGGCGGGAAGGTAAACGGCATCTCCGTGTGCTGCTCTGGTTCGCCAGAAGCAGCTTAGTCATGCTGGCCACATGACCCGGAAGCTGTACGCTGGCTCCCTCGGCCAATAAAGCGAGATGAGTGCCGCAACCCCAGAGTCGGTCATGACTGGACCCAATGGTCAGGGGTCCCTTTACCTTTACCTAGGCAAGACCAAGGGGGCAAAGACTGGAAATAGAGAGAGAAGCAGAGGGTGGTTAGATGGTTGGTTAGTAGGTTAGTTGCGTCAGCTGGGGAAACTGATGGTGCTGGAGATAACTGGGAGGAGGAAGTTGACATAAATTAAGATGGGAGCAAGATTTAAAGGCTGGAGGTAGGGATGCGGGAGGAATTTGATTCATTTAAAGGAGAACCTATCTAATTTGCACTTCCTGGGGAAAAAACAATTAAATGAAACACAGCCAGTGTTTGAAATAATTGCTTCTCCAAATTTTGCAAAGCGGTTCTCCAGACAAGTAATGTTTGCAAAAATGCATATATTCGGCTAAAGGGTGCATAAAAACCACAAACGGATGTGCAAATGTGGGAAACTGGAATTAAGATTGGAAAAAGAGGAACGCCTTTCCCTAGGTGGAGGTGGCCCAGGCAGGTTAGAAGACAATGTAGTTCAGGGCCAGATCGGCTGACTGACAGTTGGAAGGGGATGCAGCAGAGCTGGATGTCGTGGACAGCAGTAACAATAGTGGTTCGCAGTTGTTGCAACCTACGGCTAGAACAGTCGAAGCCTCTTCCAAGCGTTATTGTGTCTTGACGCAGCACCATACAGGGGGAGTTTCTGTAGGAAGGAAGCTCTCAGCAACCAGAGGACCACAGTCACTAGGCTCAACGAAGCAGGTAACATTGCCAAGGAAAGTGTGAAAACGGGTGTATAGTTTTACTCTTGGATGGAAGTTCTCAGAGAATATTCGACCTAAGGTGCGCAGCCTGGGAGTCATTCTGGACTCACAGCTGTCCATGGAGGCACAGGTCAATTCTGTGTCAGGGGCAGCTGTTTATCAGCTCCATCTGGTACGCAGGCTGAGACCCTACCTGCCAGCGGACTGTCTCGCCAGAGTGGTGCATGCTCTGGTTATCTCCCGCTTGGATTACTGCAATGCACTCTACGTGGGGCTACGTTTGAAGGTGACCCAGAAACTACAACTAATTCAGAATGTGCCAGCTAGACTGGTGATTGGGGGCAGCCACCGAGACCATATAACACCGGTCTTGAAAGACTTACACTGGCTGCCAGTACGTTTCTGAGCACAACTCAAAGTGTTGGTGCTGACCTTTAAAGCCCTAAACGGCATCAGTCCGGTATACCTGAAGGAGCGTCTCCACCTCCATCGTTCTGCCCAGACACTGAGGTCCAGCGCTGAGGGCCTTCTGGCAGTTCCCTTGCTGCGAGAAGCCAAGTTACAGGGAACAAGGCAGAGAGCCTTCTCGGTAGTGGCGCCCACCCTGTGGAATGCCCTCCCACCAGATGTCAAAGAGAAAAAGAACTACCAAACTTTTAGAAGACATCTAAAGGCAGCCCTGTTTAAAGGGAAAGGTAAAGGCACCCCTGACCATTAGGTCCAGTCGTGACCGACTCTGGGGTTGCGGCGCTCATCTTGCTTTATTGGCCGAGGGAGCCGGCGTACAGCTTCCGGGTCATGTGGCCAGTATGACAAAGCTGCTTCTGGCGAACCAGAGCAGTGCATGGAAATGCCGTTTACCTTTCCGCTGGAGCAGTACCTATTTATCTACTTGCACTTTGACGTGCTTTCGAACTGCTAGGTTGGCAGGAGCAGGGACCGAGCAGCGGGAGCTCACCCCGTCGCGGCTATTCAAACTGCTGACCTTCTGATCGGCAAGTCCTAGGCTCTGTGGTTTAACCCACAGTGCCACCCGCGTCCCTGCAGCTTTTAATGTTTAATAGGTTATTGCATTTTAGTGTTTTGTTGGAAGCCGCCCAGAGTGGCTGGGGGGACCCAGCCAGATGGGTGGGGTATTAATAATAATAATAATAATAATAATTAGAGTGGGATGACTGTATTCTCACATGGCGAAACTCTGAATTACAGGCACTGAAAATGATAAAGGTGTTAAAAAGGATGGTTGCACCTTTCTTTCACCACTTGGGGGCGCACTTGCACAACCATTAACGATGGAAGACTAGCAGGTTTTTCTGACCTCATAGTTTCGAAAACCTGCGAAAAACACACACGGGGGGGGGAACAAACAACATGTAAAGCTCACCCTTTCTCACGCAGATTTCAAAACCCTGCTATTCAGCTTGAGCAACTGAAGAAAGGGTAAATTTAGCTGAGGAAATAGTTTTTGTCATGCTTGCGCATAGTGTAATTAGCTTAATAAGAGAAGCTATTTTTAAACGTTCGCTCCGTTGAAGTGGTCTTGGCTTCTCTCCATGCACGTTAATTCACACGGCGAAGGGGTACCAGCCCAGTAGGTCTGGTTAGGCCTGTGGCTCCAGCCTGGAAGACAGAAGAGGGTCCCATCAGAACTGTCACTCACTTTGACAACTTGATTTGCCACACAGCATTCGATGCCATGGCAACAGGAAAATCCCAAATTGAGCAATGATTTGCCGAACATTAGAGGCAAGGAAGGGGCTCTCCAATTCTACTTTACGAAAACAGATCTCAGAGTTACTAAGATTGAAAAAAATAAATACGTGCTTCGGGATGCGAGTTTCACAATAAAAATAGCATCACGAACCAAAGCCACAGCACATCCATTTGCAGTTGCCCCTTCTGCTTCTGGCCCGCCGTTTAAAAATAAAATAAAATCCAGACTTCGTTTCTTCTTCTCTGGCTATATGCAAGTACCTCAAAACTACCTCGGACCTTTTTTAAAAAAAACATTTTGGATTTTAGCCTCCAACTCTGACAAGTTCCTGTGACATATGCTTCAGCTTTAAAGAACATTAAATTCATGGCTCTGACATCTGCACCTTTCGCTAGGGAACTATAGAGAAGCCTTCAGGAACTACAATATCTTGACTTTGAAAAGTGAAGAGTGCAGCCCTGGACACCCTTGTGAGGAAGGACGGGTTATAAATTGAACAACAACAACAGCAACAATTTATGGCTGTAATCATGGCAAGATTCAGATAAGCCCTTCACATGCTCAAAGATGGAATAATCTAAGCTCTGCCACCTATTCTGTGTGTCTCATGACTAGGTTGCAGATTTGAACCCAAGTCTCCCAGGTCAACGTTTGACATTCTAAGCACTACAACACTCTGGCTCTCCCTAATGAGAGTAATGTGCCCCCAAGACATTTCAACTGGAGGTACTACCCCTACTGATAGTGCTGGCATCCTCCTGAAAGTTCATCTTATATGAATGCACACCCCACCATCAAATCTTGACATAGCCAATGTTAGTCAGAGTCCCTGACATCTGGATCTCCCCTCCACCTTTGAAGATGGAGACAACATTTGCCCTCCTCCAGTCTGCAGGGACCTCACCTGTTCTTCAAGAATTCTCAAAGATTATAGACAGAGGCTCTGAGATCACACCTGCAAGCTCCTTTAGTACCCTTGGGTGCAGCTAATCAGGCCCTGAAGATTTGAATTCATTTAAAGTAGCTAGGTTGGGCAATGCATTCCTTTGGGTGAAGACAGTGACAAAGTAGGTGTTGAACTGTTCCACCTTCCCTCTGCACCCAATAGCATTTCTCCATCTTCTCCACATAGAGAACCTACTATTTGCGTGTTCTTCTTCTCAACCCACCAGGTTTCAGTAATGCCTAATAGGTCATATTTGCCATCCTGTATTAAAAGCTCCAATTCGTTTTGCTTGTTTCCCATACTCTGTGCATTAGTATAGAGACAGCTGAAACCACGAGCCATTTCATCCAGCTGCTTCCTTCTTGTAGTTTCCTGCCCTTTAGCAAGTTTGTTTATTCATCTCAAGTTTGGAACAGAACTCAATCCAGTGAATTAGCATTTGCAGTTGTTGCTTTCGGTCTATAAATGATACATTTCCCCTGGATTTGCATTGTGTTTCCTATGCCTTGAAACGAATGGATCAGAATAACATAACAACCATGTAACTTACTGACATAATTTCTCTACAGCAGCCAGTGAGGCAAATAATGTAATTTTGGATGGAAGGAGAGATGCAGTGGAACAGAAACAACGCTGTATGCAACTAGTAGATGGCGGGATGGAACGATGCCTTCTTACATCCCTCCTTCCCAGTAACTCTTATCTATTTCATTGCAAGTATATTGTAAGCAGCCTCAATAACTAGTAGGTGGGATGTAAATACTAATTAATAAATATTGCTTTGGAGATCCCTTCCCTTTTCTGCTTGAAAGGACGCCAGAAACTTTCTAATCTCTTGCATGTTTGTTCTGCCCACACACCTTGATCATATAACCTTAAAGGGGGGTGGGGGAAGCCAAGTGCATATGAGGCTGCTTGTGTGCTTTCTGTGGCATTAGCATCTGCCGGGGTGCTGCAAGTCCCTGTATGTAAGAGAAATCCTCCCCGCGGGATTTGCTTCGTGCGAGAGAATGATTAGCAATTGCTAGTGATTAGTAATTTTCTCCCACAGATGGCTTTTCTGCATTCCTGTAGAGCTCCACATACACGATGGCT